CCTTACATGTTTACTTACTAGTACTTGTAGCCTCTCTTTGTGCGGCTTACAGGTACAGTACTATGCAATCATAGTCGTTCTCTCACAGACTGAAGACCTCTCTTTGTGCGGCTTACAGCCTTCCAGGTTCAGAGTTCATCATCGAGTTGGCAAAGTTTGCGTTTACGGAAAAGCTGTTCAGCTGCGCCGAGATCTGCGTGAGAATGGCCGCAGTCGCGTCCTCTGGCTGCTGCTGGAGCAGCTTGTACGACTCGATGTTGAAAGCCGTAAGGATGGCAGAGAACAGACCGGCCTGTGGAACACCACATGGTGTAAGCGAAAGGCCTAGCACAGCCATTGTCGAGTAAGGTGGTCAAAGAGAACTCACGAAGACGAGGAGGGTGTCGATCTCCTCCTTCCAATCCTGGATCATGTCCTCGTCGTATTCCCGCAGCGCCTTAGCGCACGCAGCCCAAGCTTCAGAGCTCTCCCACACGGGTTGGCCGTGGACAGAGTGGCCCTGCTCGTCACCCGCATGTCGGCGCCGTTTGTGACTATGCGCGCGATTCATCGTCTGCACTGGTGGGGTAGGACGTGGCCGTTGGGATGAGCAAGGCGTTTCTGGAGACTCGGACTCAGAACCAGGCAGAGCTCATCATCTTATATTGCCGAACAGTGCCCCTGGCGCTGCGCCATCGCACTTCTTATTGAACGTTCCGGCATAAAGCACAAAATTGAACACCGCGAAGGTCGACGCACAGCCGCCACGGAACACCCGAGACCGTGCCGCGGGACACACACAGACGCACACGCACGCACGCACCAAGACGCACCACTGACGGTCTATGTACGCGTGAATTCATCCGCGGATAAGTACATTGTGAGTACGGGTAATTGATGGGGTAAGTACTAGGTAATCGTGGGTACGGGTAATGTTTGGTGGGTGCGGGGGTAACGATGCCGTCAAAGCCATGCGAGGGGGCGTAGGAGTGGGCAGAGCAGGCGGAGAGGGAAGCAAGAATGCGCGGAGCCGCTACTAACAGTACATAGTTCAGATACCAGAGTCGGACGAAAGCGCGCCGCGGCCCGGCCCAAGTCCCAACAACAGCACGGCTGCGCGTCACGAAAGGGAAAGCTAAGCAAGAAGTGACGCGCGTCGACAAGCACCGACACCGACGGCGAAAGCGTCTACTTCGAGTCGACGTTGTACGGCTGTGCGCCGCTCGTGGGCGCTACCACAGGGAACTGGGGCGCAGTCTCCTCGGGGCCCGGAGTTTGCGGGCGGGAGGGCATCGGCGTGTTCAGCTGCGAGCGGTTGTGTGCCAGATGCGCGCGGACGAGATGGCCCGCCGCGAGCGCGGACATGAGCGAGAGCTCGCCGGCCATGACGGCCGCCGCGATAATACGTGCGAGCTGCTGCGCGTTCTGGCCGGGGTTCGTAGGGTGCGCGCCACGGACGCCGAGCAGGTCGAGCACGGCCATTTGGGGTGCGAGGATCGTGCCGCCGCCGACGGTGCCGACCTCGATACAAGGCATGGTGACAGTCATGAGGAGGTCCTCGCCGTTGTTCGTTCTGCAAATTCGAATCAGAACGAGTATACATACGGAACAAGTGGACAGACTTACGGCTCCATGAGGGTCATGCAGTTCGAGCTCTCGACGTTCTGCGCCGGATCCTGACCGGTCGCAAGGAAAATCGCCGTGAGGATGTTCGCCGCGTGCGCGTTGAAGCCACCAACGGAGCCCGCCATCGCACTACCGACGAGGTTCTTCTTAATGTTCACGTTGCACAAGCTCTCGACCGTCGTCTTCAGCACGCTCTTCACAATCTTGCCAGGGATGACCGCCTCCGCGACGATGCTCTTGCCACGGCCCTCGATCCAGTTAATCGCCGCCGGCTTCTTGTCCGTGCAGTAGTTGCCCGAGAGGCACAGTACGATCATGTCCGGGAACTCCCGCCCGAGCAGCGCGAGCGCGGCCTCCGTCGCTTTCGAGATCATGTTCATGCCCATCGCGTCACCGGTGCGTGTTGCGAAGCGCACGAACAGCGTCCGCCCGGCCAGCGCGCACTTGATCTTGAGCAGCCGCGCAAAGCGCGACGTCGACTCGAAGGTCTCCTTGATAGCCTCGTAGCCTTCTGTCGACTCGATGAACGCCATCGCCTCGGCCGCACGCACGACCGACGGGAAGTCAATAGCCGGTCCGCGGGTCATGCCGTCATAGGTGAGGACGGTAGTGACACCTCCGCCAGCGTTCAGGGCCTTGCACCCGCGAGAAGCCGACGCGACGAGAGTGCCTTCAGCGGTAGCCATCGGGATGGGGTACATGAGGCCGTCGATCTTGAGGGGTCCAGCGATACCGAGAGGCAGAGGCATGTAGCCAATCACGTTCTCGCAGCACGCACCCATGACGCGCGAGTAGTCGTAGTCCTTCATGGGCACAAGCGAGCCCTCCAGCGTCTTCGTCCGCGATGCGCGCGCTATGGAGCCCAGTCAGCATCTGTTTCATTTGCTGCATACCACGGACAACACGAAAACTCACAGATGAGCGCACGCCGGATCTTAACAGCCCGGTCAAGGTCGCCGAGCATCTTCTCCAGCGCGTACGCCGCGATCTTGCCCGTCTGCGCAAGGAGGATGACCTCCTCGTCGTTGAGCATCTTCAGCGCAACTGCTACTGGCCGAGGTCCATTCTCGAAAATGTCCACACACTCCGCGAGCGAACGAACGTCCATCTGCACCGGTTCGGGCGTCTCGGGGGTGCGCGGCTCGATGGGAGCGGGCGAGCGAATGGGAAGGCGCTCCGAGAGCTTCCTGTCAATGGTCTCCAGGTTCAACGGGCGGCTCAAAACCGATGACGGCGGCTGCACGACGGGCGCGACCTCGGGCTCCGTGATCGGGGCTGGCTCGGGGGCTGCTATGACGGGCGCGGCGCTGGCCATGATCATGACTGGCGCGGGCCTGTGCTCCTCTTCCTCGGGGTCTTCGTGCTCGAAGAGCTTGACGGAACGCGCACGCGAGCGGAAGCGCACACCCTGGGTACGCACAGCACGTACTGCCGCAAGACCAGAACCGGCCGCAATACCTTTCAGGAGGTACCCGTTGAGCGCGACGCTGACAGCGAGCAGGGCGACGATCCACTTCGAGATGACAGGGTCGCCGACAAGCGAACTCCATGAAGACATGAAATTCTCGATCGCCTCGCCGGTGTCCGCGTTGGAGGCGTGAGGGGAGGCAGTGGCGATCGGCGTGGCGTGAACATAGACGGGCGGCGCAAACTTGACAACAAGCTGGATAGGCTCGCCAGTTTGTGCTTGCTCAGACACAGCGAGGTTGGCAAGAACGCTCGCAATCGCGGGGGTGGTGATGTCGACACGTGGGGCGGGGACAACCTCGGCGGAGCGAAGCGGGTGCCTCTGGTGGCGGGCGTTAGTCGTCGCGGGCGTCAGGGTCGTGCAGAAGTTGAGGATGTGCAGAGTAAGGAAAGAGGCGATCTGGAAACAGGTAAGGTGAATGAATATCGGCACAGCCACCGGTGGGAGAAGCGCGTACCAAAAGCAACTTCAGCCTCGCCATCGGGTTCTCCACCTCTTCCATCCGGGGGCCGTCCTTGAGAAGAGAACCCTTCACGCCGATAACGGACGCCGACACCCGCTCACGCAGGTTCTTAGGCTCGTGCGACTCCTCCGCGCGGAGGTTGGTCTTGCTGGCCGTGCGCGACAGAGCGCCGCGCACAGCCGTACCATTCGCAGTCACAGCGGTAATCGAGCTGGAACGCGAACGGTTCATCTCGTGGACCTTCTTGATACGGCGAACCTGATCAAGTAATAATGTCAGAAAATAGACTTACATGACGCGTACTCAACAAACACAGTGACAAGCGGGAAGACACGTACCTCAACCATGACAGTCAGGACCGCCGTGTAGAGCGTGAACGTCATGACGCAGTCCGTCGCGAGGGCAACAGCAGCGACCGCGCAGAACTCCTTCAGGCCGCCGACACGGCTGTAAACGCCGACAAAAAGCACCGCAATCTCCAGCGCGTAATCGCGGAGGATAACGTTCCCGACGCGGTCCAGAGCCTCCAAAATGACTTCGCCTGAAGGCTTCATCCGGCCGTTCTCCTGGGGCTTGATCATGTGGGGGTGGGCCAAGACAGCACGAGCAAGACGGAGGGGCTTGTCGAATCCAACTGTGCATACGAGGAATGGCAGCGCCTCAGTCAAGGCGATGGGGTCCAGAGGAATGTCGAGCGAGCGGCAAATCGGGAGCGTGAAGAGGAACGAGATGAGCGCAGACGAGAAGATGCCAGTCGACAGCCAAAAGTTCGACCCGAGAGCACGGGAAGACAGGAACAGTCTGGCGAAGGTGACGTGCATCAAGATATAGCCCGTCAGGACAACGAGGATATCCAAGGAGTCTGCCTTCTGCAAAAGGGAGTTAGCAAGGTGTATTTGGAAACCTAAGTTGCTCGTGTGACACGTACCTTGGCGAGCTCGTAGAAACGCAGCACGAGAGCGCTGAGCGCATAGGCGACCCACTTGCTGCTCTTCATCTCTCCAATGCTTACATGACGCTTGCCGGCATCGACTTCGTATTTCACACCATCAACGAAAATGGCGTTTTCCCGCCTGAAAGCGCCGACCCAATCTTCACGGGCGCCGGGTTTGAATGACAAGGTGAGAGTGGTGGACGCGCCAGGCTCAGAAACACTGGTGAAGCACGCGACAGAGGACTCGTTGGAACCGGCGTAGTGGCAGATTGACGGGTAGGCCTTGCCAGAGAGCGAGGGAAGCTCCGACACGAGGTGCTGCCCGACGGCGGACGCGTCAAGAGGGGTAGCCTATAAGCATACTGTCAGCAAATGCACGCCTTTCACAAACATGCCTGGGGGAGTGCTGCCACGGAGATAGGCCAGCAAGGGCGAGAAGAAGGCGCGGTAATGAAGTAATTTGATGTGACACGTACCGTGCGCGCCTTGTCATCCAGGCTGAACACGAGCTGCTGCAGCTCCAAAGCCTTAATTCCATCCCCGGCACGCTTCCACGCATCAGCCCAGTCGTGCTTGGTGACGGCGACCCATTCTCCGTCAGTCAGACGCGCATAGGCAGGTCGGAGGGCGGGCGGCTGAGTTGCCTCGAAGAATGACGAGTGCTTAATCCCAGAGAGTATGTGGAAGTATGCAAGGGTGGCGAGGACGAAGACAGTGACGATGCATTCGATGGGTGAGTAGACGGTGTGCGTCGAAAGTGGGCGCAAGAGAGCGCGCATTTTGACGGCGACTTTGGGGGTGATGAATTCGAAGGGCGCCCCAATAAATGGAGGGAATAAAAAGTCTAGCCGGAGGTATTAGCAGGTGCTGCAGGAGCTGGAGCAAGGAGGAGAGGAACGCGTCAGAATCGATGGGAGATATAGTGGTGCGAGCGAACGCGAGTGGGACGAGTCGCGCACCTTGCAGCAGACCCGCGGGGCGGGGGCGGTATAGTGCGTCTAGGGCGAACGAAGGGAAGATGGGGCTGGCGCGGTTGAATGCGCCGTTGAGCGGGACGCCGAGGAGGGCTTGGAGGGCGTTAAGGAGGGGAGGAGGGAGAGGGAGGGAGGCCCTGGGGGATGGGGACGAAGGAAAGGATGTGGGACGATCGGCCTCGAATTATTATACCCGCTAATATCTCATCAACTCCCTCCCTTATTTGGTAACGCACACTTCTCTTCTCACATCACCGGCAGGCGCCCAGCCGCCCCGAGTCCGTCTCCGCCTCCGTTCATCCCTCCGTGCATCCCTCTCCGGCCACCAGACACTGACAGCGCTCGGCGGTGCGCTGCTCAGGAGGCGTCCATATCAAGGTCATCGAGATCGGCCTTGTCTCCTGCTAGTCTATGTTCCTCCCGGCTCTGCGGCTGCACTAGCATCTGACTTACCCTGCTATTGTGCAGGCGTATTGTCTTAACCTCGGTCTTCATCTCAGCAAGTCAGGCCACCCCCTTGATCATCTCTTCCCAAACTAGCGCGAAGTCCATCTTGTCCTCGCGCTGCGGCGTTTCTCGACTTATCGCTATGCATACCAGCGCCTCGCTGTCAAAGTATGACCACAGGCGCCCGCGGGATGGTCCATCTCGGCGCAAACCATAATCCCCCGGACCTAACGGTCTCGCCGTGTCGAACGTACCGGTGGTCCGCAAAGCACCAGATGCAAGGTGCCCTCTTGCCGAACTTCACCATAGGACGTGCTAACGCACGCGACGTAGCACGCCTCGAGGGGCGCCGCAATCGCACGCGCGCCCCGAAATATCCACAATCTGCTTTTGCATCCGAATCAGGGATTGCGCTGCGCCTCTGCCGTACCTGATTCCTCCGCAGACGTGCTGGGCCTTGCTCGACAGCTGCTGTCTGCTGCTCTTCGTCATAGATGTCCTCACAGTGGGCCAGAGCTACTCCGCGACTCGTCCCATGGAAGAACGTCATGGAGAGTTGAGCGTCGACTGTCCGCGCTTCATTGAAGCGTCCTACCTATCTACACCGGACTTGTGCATAGTACCACCACGGCAGGATGTCGGTGAGCCACTGCAGTGGTGTTCTTGTGAGTCGTATGATCCGTCTCTAGGCTAATGTACAACGTCCGTCCAAGAAACCTTCGACGTATGCAAGCCTACAGTAGCGCCGATCACCCGTCTTTACAGAACCCGTTACGATACAGGCCTTCCATCTTCAATTTCGCCAGTCCCACGCCCGCGGCTTCGCCGTCTCCGCACGGGCACCCAACTCGCAACCGCGCAGTCTTCTCCTGACGGAAGTGGCGCGACTCTCTGTGCCCCTGGAGCTATTCTTTTACTCGTCTCTCGTACACGATGCATCTTCAGGTCATACACCTCTCGTAGACCTCGCGCGGCGCTCCGTATCCTGTCGGTCCCACGCTGCGCACCATTTTCGCCATAGGCGCGGACGTCGTCAAAGTCACCCTGCGCGCGCTCGCTGCGCTACGTACCGGAGCAGTTTCAGCCCGCCTCCGCGTCTACACCAGCGCGCCCATGACGCCGCAAGCACGCGGGACGCAGCGCACGCACCGTGAGCAGCCGGAAATTCCGGACGCAAGGCACCTTCAAGGCATCACCCATCTCGGAGGCGAATACCGCTGCCGCTGCGACTCTAGAACCCGCCCCTTTGGCCGAGCAAGACGCGAGCCAGTGGCATGCCGCGACAGTACATAAACATAATCGCCTCAGGGCACGCACTCTTCTCGCCTCCCGCACAGGCTCCCGACTAGCCCGTACAGGCAGGCACAAACCGTGGCCCCGCCTTCTAGTGCCCCGCGGCGCGCCTGGCGGAGTTGCGGACCCACACACGCCTACAATGCGCGTGCCTCGCGGGTCTTGGCCCGGGGGAGCGATCCCGAATCACCAGTGGCAGCATCATCGGTGCAACACGATCGGAGGCGACGGTGCTCTTGTCCGGGTTTCATGTGGGCGGCGGTTTTGGTGTTGTGCACGCCACTGGGCTAACGGCCGGGATGGGGACACGTGCGGGACTAGCTGTTGTAGCGCGGCTGCGCGCATCGATAAGGCGGCGTGTGTATGGAGGCCGTCTGCGTCTGGTTGTCGACGTGTATGACGCCGGGGCTGTGGTAGATTTGCTCAGCAAGGTCTGTCTCCGGGTGTTCTGGTGTGCTGCGTACGTACCTATTCAGGGATCCCCTGGACCAAGTCCTCGCTTTGAACTTACCCTCGCCTGTGTCGTGCCGTCACGAAGTGTCCCAATCGCGCAGCACTAGGCTACACTGGCATCGATGGGCCTGTATCTTTCCACGCCATGGCATCCTTAGCCTCGCACTATGATAGCGACCGCCCGGAGCACTGCAAGCGAGCCACTAGAACCAGGCACATGCATGAACCCGTCTACACTTGCTGCTATGCCGCGGTGGGCGGATACGCCTAGCGAAGGGCTTCGAGGACGGAGAAGGCTTAGATGGTGATTATCTATGGTCAGTGTGGGTATAACATAGCGTTGGCGTGAGGGTGCTGCGAGCTTGTACGTACGCTTTTACAACGCTTATGACATATGTGCAAAACGACCGTCGCATGTCGGAATTGGGGCACATAATGGTCTTGCGAGCTGTGTAGTATGCTGGAGGGCTAGTCACGAGGAGCATAGGCGGATGTCGCGAGCTCACATGTAGATGCACGAATCACCAACACTCCTTCGGCACCACGGGAACCAGAACCATCGGAGTATTCATGCCTGAACCTTGTGCTGAGCGACGAAGGGGTCTCATGTCATCTGCAATGTGCAACACGGGGCGGGTTGACTTACCTGTCATCATGCAAACCAAATTAACGCTGACCCCAGTCCGCACAGCCATGAAAGTAAAGTACATACTATCTGCTTTCCTGGTAGGAAAGTCACCACAACGAGCGCTGAAAGCGCAATTGGCCGGTCGTTCTATCCCGCGGATGACAACGCCCCGCATACCGCGGTCTCTGCCGTAGACGGGTGCACGAAGGCGTTACCACTGCCAGCTACACGTCAACCGGACCCGCAGCACACCGCATGCAGTGCACGCCCACCAGATCCTCATAAAGCATCCGACGACCAAGGATCACCGTCCGCCCTCCATTCTCCGTGCCCGCGCGGACCAAGGGTAAGCCCGGCGCAGCCCCCTGGCTTCCTCTCCAGATCCCAAACGCCGATCCAATGGAGGTACCGTCTCGCGCAGCCACTGATACTGATAGGTGCGCACCCCACTTCCGGAACGATGGCGGGAACCTCGACACCGGCCCCCACATGGACCGCCAAGTCGACGCTCCTGGCACGTCCATCTGACGGGCAAGAACCCGCGCCGCCGTATGCCTGTCGCTGTCAGAGCTTGGGGGCCAGCTGGCAGCGCGGTGGCACTGCGCGACGGGCAGCGAAGCACGGTGGCACCGTGCTTCGGGAGTTGCGTTGACGCGTCCCCGCGGGGTCCGGAGTCTGGACGTACTCAGTAATCACGGGGAGCGTAAAATGGAAACGTACCTTGACTGGCTGGCCCAAATGTGCGCGAGTGCTTGAGGAGGGGGTAGCAGTACATACAACATATCATTCCGCGCCTATATAGTAGTCGTCCCAACCAAAAGAGAAGCGCTATAGCACAGATAAATAATGAGTAGGTATGCACGAGAAACCAAGCCAGGGAGTGAAAGTGGATGTGGAGCTGCGGCAGTTTGGAGAAAATGCGCGACGACGAAAGCAAGGAGAGCCGAGACAAACAGAGGGCATGCGCTAGTATCGTGACCACCTCTGCGGATTAGGGGGGAAATGAAGATGTGCAGCAGTATAAGTTGGAAACCAAGCTACAGGGAAAGGAGGGAGTGTCATAAATGGATGTATGCATAGTGTCTGGCGGGAAGGGACCTGCTGCCGAGCCGACATGCTAGTCAAAGCACTGATTGACGTCGCGAACGTGAGCACTGGTCGAGGCGGGCGACAGTGGAAGCGGGGTGGCCTACATGTCGACAGCGTGAAGGAAATGCATGGGTAACGGAGATGGAGATGCTGATCCCCGCGGAGGGCGGGTAGGAGGTACATGATGTGCGTGAAGTGACCCTGGATATCCCAGAGTAGTCGTGATGTAATGCTCGGGCACGGTCGGGATGATCTAGTCGTGCAAGTGTCCGGATACACGGCGTCAGGGTATCAAAGCAGTTTTGAGGCGCGCAGGTGTTCTCGGATGACCATATCCTTCACTGTAGCATGCCCTTAGTCAGCGACAGAAGAAAGGAAGCGACGAATTGATATACCACTGGCGATGATGCCTCCGGTAGTGGTAGTGTCCTGGTCATCTGCGATCAGTCACTGCCTAAGCGTGTCCAGAGAATGACTTACTGTTACAGACGTACAAAACCCGTAGAATTTGCGCGGAATAGGGGAGTGTTCCCGGTGAATGGCACTAAATTTGCTCTTGAAATCTTCGTCGAACATCAGCTTTCTGGGCCTCATGGTGGCGGAGTAAGCATGTACTCACACTTCTCCACGACCTCCGGCTCGTTCGGCCGATCGGCAAAGCTACGCACATACTTCGCTAGCCGGACCCCGGACTGGAGTTTGGACGTGAGGATGTCGCATTTGTTCAGGAAGAGGACCAGGTCGACTTTGGCCAGGAGCTTATTAGAGCAGACCTCTTTCCAAAGGAGTACGCTGTCCTCCTGCAGCGGTCGTCAGCTAACTTGACGCGAGCGCGGGCGGTAGGAGATATCATACCAGCCGGTTGATACTCCGGTCCTCCACCAGGGTTTGATCGAATGCAGAGATCGGCGCCAGGAAGATGATCGCTAATCGACGTATTCTTGAGAAGGCGGTCGCATGACCCGCAGAACTGAAAACTTACCATTCACTGTGATAAAACCACATATTACAGTAGTTAGTGAAGTGTAACATGCCATGATAGTGGGCTCATACCATCGTCAAAGAAGGGTACCCAGGTGGCTGGGGCAAGACACGGCGTAAGAGTTTGCGCTCGGTGATCAGGTACATATGGTACTCACGCCGCTGGTTCGTGCTCTATCAGCAAACTGTCAGGGAAAATATAGATACCGTCCTGACCTGTGACCTTGATCCGCCCACGTCGATGATACGCCATTCCGTGCCAGACTCTGGGCCTGCCTCCATGTGGAAGCTGTACTCAGATACCCCCACGGTCTTCAAACGCGCTCTGAGCACATCGTCTGAGGAGACAAGATTAGTATCAAGTGGGGCTAGAGCAGGAGTGATGCAACACACCATCAGAGGGGAAATATGACAAGGAGGTAACGCGGTCCAGGTCGTTGAGATAGCTATACGCAAGTGAGCTGAGTGTCGGGCTCGTAATGAAGGGAAGACTCGGCTTACAAGCCAGGACTTTCTTCTAGTCTGATCTTTCGGCGTCGTAGGATCTGTCGGGTGACAGGATCCTCCCACAATGTGCCGATATCCGCGCGACAGTGGTGTAGTACCGTCTGTGATTCGTCAATCGTTTCCTGGCCGGTTGTGCCCGCAGATTGTGGCCTGCCAGATGTTCGTAATTTCCACGACGCGCCAGGCCGCACAAAGACCTCTTGATTGTGGAAGGCGTGCGAAGGCTGCGAGTAGCCACTGCCGTAATATGATACGTTGCCGTTGACACTATTGCTCCCACCGACGCCTAAGGTGGTGGCTTCGTGCTCGTTAGGGGGCACCAGTTTAGCGATGAGAAGCGACTCCACATGGCGAAGAGGGTAGAGACGCCGTCGGAGATCGTCCAAGTGGTAGGGCAACGAGACTTGGTGCTCAGACTCCGAGTCTGAATCCGGCTCGGACGTGTATATCGAAGAAGGATAGACGTCCCGGCGCCGAATATCGCTCAATGCGTCCAGGATAGTATGAATTGAGCGCACGATGTTCAACTGGATGACCGCACGCCATAGGACACGCTCCTCCCGGAACGCGTTGGGGGTATAAAGTCGCTGGAATTCTACGCGCAAGAGTTAGTGGATATTCCCAGGAATAGTACCGAGGGCAGGGACAGTGATCCAGGGGCGCCAGAAAGCAGATATAGCAGCGCGGTGGACCGCAGGATAGCCGAGGGGATTTCGACGGGCCGGCAAAAGTCATAGTATTGAGAGCAGAGCTTCTGTGACAATCTCGGGGTAGGAGGATTCGCTGATCACGAGATCATGCCGTACGCCGCCCCTGGACACTAGCATTCGCATAGCAGCAGAGCAGGACGACTCACGGCGTAGTGTAGTGGATTTCCCTGGAATCATGATTGAATATGGACACTTAAAGTAGGAGCGTATGTTGAACCGACCTGATTCGCTTTGCCCGAGAAGGAGAAGCCTGACAATTTTTCGCTTCTTGCGCTGCTTGTCCTCGAGTCGAATGGCTTCGTCTATGGCGAGACTGACGCGCTTAGCGGCCTCCTCATCTGCTAGCCGGTGTGCCTTCTCCTCCTCGGTCTCGTCTATGGGCGGTCTGAGAGCGGCGGACAGAGGGTCGCGGTCTGTGGGTTCACGGGAGACGGGCATGATGGTCGTAAACAAGAGAGAGATGGACGCCGAGAAGAGGGAATCTGGAGAGCAGGAGTGGCGGAGAGCGAAAAGATGACAGTCATGAACGCTCGCTGCAAGGATCGGGCTCAGTGGGCGTCTATGCTCTCCTAGCAGCGCAGACGCCCGTGCTGGTACGCGCCTCTGCCAGCTTATCCGCATTCAGCGGGCGGTCTCATCCTGTCCTCGCGATCATGGCGCCGCAGCTATCCCCTCTCGACAACGCTCGCATCGCCTCTCTCCATCACCGTCGCGTCCTTCATTCCCATGTTTTCCGAGGCTCCTCTTTGCAACCACACACCCCGGCGCAAACACTCTCCGTCGGCCTGCACCGCCAGGAAATGCAGCAGCTCTCCGTGTAACCTTGACCATCCGCTGATCGCCCTGATCGCGCCGCGGGCGTGCATGTGTCCATGGGAGAACGTCGAATGGAGGGATGCGCACGGTGCCAGCCGCGCAATCCCGAATTCTGGATGTCTCCTTCTCCTCCTGTCTCGTTATGAAAGGCAATCCGCCGTAAGCTGCCTCGCGAGAACCGTGCCTGGCGTGCCAGGCACCGAAGCTTCCTATAAAACCTTGCTTGTCGCCATTCTATCTCCATATGTGGTGGCGCTACCTGAACACGAGGCGAATCGGCATCTACCATGAGGACCCACTTATATCCACATAGCCTCCCTTTCTTGAGGTCGACAGTGCTACACAGCTGAAATTTGCAATCCGTTGCCTCCTGCTAACTGTGTGCAATGAAGAACTTGCCTGTCTTACTGTACATGCATCGACAAGCAGTCCCTGCAGGGGTTCAGAGGCCGTCGAGAGCTCTCTGCCTTTCCTTTGCATTCACAGTCTAGTACAGCATACCTGGAAGTCACTCATGGCTACCTGGCGCAATGGTAGCGCGTTTGGCTTCGATCGCCGACGGCTACGTCACAGAATGTGACCAAAAGGTTGCAGGTTCGAGTCCTGCGGTGGTCATCTTTTTGCTGTTCCCTCGTCCACTGTAGCTTGACGCAAACCATAGCGGATGAAAGGCCGCTGAACATGGATAGTAGTAAGTGACGGGTATCTTTGGAGTCATCATAGGCGGTTGTATCGAGAATAATCACCGTTGCATCAGAGCTCGAACTTCGGCTCAGTGGTAAGCCGAGCACCGAAGCACTCAGCACTGGGATCTGCAGGGCGGGGTGATGGGACAGCCTGGACAACCCAGACGTTGTGTGGGTACGCATCATGCCAACATCGTGCACACAAGGCACAGGCACTGTGTACCTGGAGAGAAGACGCGTTGAGAGCGGGAAGAAGCCCGATGCTGCCTCGAGGCTCTTGACCGCTCACGTACCGCCACCCGCCGGCTTCTGGCTTAGCTGAGCTTCTCGTGATACACGCAAATTCAATGCTGCGCGAGGTGAGGCAGAAACCATCGCGATGTAAAAGGCCGGAATGACCGCTAAGTATATAGATACCACTTCCGCGTATCCCGAATGTCATACGGATCCTAGGAGATGATGTCAGTAGACGAAGGCAAGGTACGCGCCCTGCAGGGCGCGAGGACCAGCTTTTCTGACAGCCTATTCAGACGGCGTATAGCGGTACTCGCATGAAAGCCCTGAGGCAGCCTGAGCTCCTCGGCATGGGTTTCCGACTGCCTCATGGCTGCCGCATACGTACCTGGATATCCACGGGCACAGCCAATCGAGGCACATGAGGAGGCGGGGTTACGTCCTCAAGGCCCCGAGAGTAGACGCTTCCATTCAGCGCCGGCTCGCAATATGTGCGGTGTGACGCTCGGTGTTCACCTGATCGTGCAAGGAGGCTCGGACAGCAGACGTAAGTCAAGCAAAGCAAAAATACAATTTGATTCTATCTTCTTCCTGTAGCACACCATAGATCTATAGCACGAGCAAAGCGACGCAAGCAGCCTCAGAACAGCCACGGCCCTACTGCAGAACCGATCAGCACCCCGTCGAGAGACCTCTAGCGGGCTGGAACGCACCTCTCCCCCTCTCGCCTTCGGGCTTGATCTGCAGACAGCTCTGGTGGATGAGGTTGAGCGCCTTCACCGCGTCCCGGCCGTCGATAACGCAGGAGATGTTGATTTCGTTCGCGCCCTGGCTGATCATCTCAATGTTCACGTTGCCCTGGCCGAGCGTGGTGAACATGCGGCCCGAAATACCGATCATGTTCCGCATCGACTTCCCGACCAGGGAGAGGATGGCCATATCCCGGATGACCTGGACCTGCGGGACGGTCAGCACCGACGCCGAAATGAAGGAGTACTGATGTGAAGACGTACGGTGCCGCTCTTCCTCAGCTCGCGCACGACGCGGTCGAGCACCTTTTTGTCGTAGTTCTCCTCGATGGCCATACTGACGTAGACCTCGCTGGTACTGATGAGGTCGACGACGACGCCGAACTTGTCGAGCGTGCCGAAGATCGTCGCGAGGAAGCCGTGCGACACGTTCTTGCGGTTCGAGTTCACGTTCAGGACGATGATGTGCTCCTTGATGGTGACCGCTGTAGGCTGCCGGAGTGGGCTGTGTTTATCCGCATATGGCGAGGTGAGGGCCAGGGACGCCTTAGCGGCTGACGTCGTGGGGATAACAGGGGGGTATGAAGGGTCCGCGCCGTTGGTCATGCCCTCGACATCGGGGTCTGGATGGATGACGGTCCCGCCGCCGGATGGGTTCTCTACGTTTTTGATGCGGATGGGTATTTTACGCCGGATAACCTGTGAGAATGTGAGTAATGCTTTGCGAAGAAAAGTATTTTGCTGACGCACCTGATCCATAGTGAATGGGTGGACGACCTCGCTCCCGTAGTACGTGAGCTCGGCCGCCTCCTCTGGCGAGATTATGGGGATAAGTCTCGCGGTGGGTACCTTCCGTGGGTCCGCAGTGAAGATCCCATCGACTTCTTTCCAGATTTGAAGCTCAGAGGCACCAAGACCGGCCGCGAGCAGGGCAGCAAGAAGGTCCGTATAGCCACGCCCGACCTGCCTGAGAAGAGAGCCAGGGACAGGGCCAAAGAAGCCTGATGCAAGCATGAGAGCCAGGCCGGAAGAAGCTCAGCGTAGCGACCTACCGGTCACTACAGGAACACGGTTCCCGCATTGCTTTATACGCTCAGCCACTACGTCCGCGACCCGATCGTAAAAGTCTTGGTCAAGGGTTTCCGAGTCGGCGAAGTTGTCGCTTTCAGAAAGCGGGATGATATTCTCTAAGCTAACGAACTCCGCATCAATGCCCTACATGATTTGAGGTTAACAACTGAATGTGCAGTGCAAAGGATACGACATACCCGATCTCGAAGAATGGTTGCGACTAGTTTGCAACCAAGCCGCTCGCCGAACCCGATGATGCTGTCTCTTGACCTCGGAGAAATCTCGTCGATAACCTTCATGGGGTTAACGTCAATGATTGACTCGCACGTGATATCTTTAAGGCATATACCTGGGTAGCGAAGAGGAAAGACCTGATGGATTCACAGTCCTGGTTAATCTCAGCCTCGAGCTCTTTCAAGAACCCCGGATTCCGCACGGCCGCTTTGGCGGCATTGATGTGCTCCGAGCGAATAACGTCCACCGTCTCGCTGAATGTGGGCGTGGCAGCGTGCATCGGAGACATGCCTAAAGAGATCCCAGGAGCGGCAGATGTCGGCGAAGACTTCCCCGGACTGGTGAAGGGGGACTGATAGTTGGCAAGCCGGTTGAAGACCCCGGCGGGTGACATTGTACCAGGTGTTTCTGACGGATTGTTTGCGCGTTGTAAGGCCTCCGAGGCTGCCTTCAGCAGAAGGTTTGTTGTCCCCAAAGCCTTCGTAGACCCCGACCGTGCAGAGCAGACGATCGCGACCTTGTGCTGGTCTAGGTACTCACTGGCGCGTCCGAGGGTGACATAGGCACATTAGCATGCCAGGGGAATCGTTTCAGAATGAGAGTGTACGAACGGGATGATGTCCTCTGCGATTTTAGCGGCGAACTTCCCCACACTGGTTCCGCCGTACTTTTGGACCAGCCACTTCGCCGCGGGGTCGACGGTATTTTGATGCATGTTGGGAGGCGTACTGGGAACAGCAGGTACTGATAATGATGAAGACCGAGAAGAGGGAGCAGACATGGAGGTGGGTGTAGATGCGAGAGACATGGCGAGAACGCAGGATGAGGGTGGATGGCTGACGATGTCCAGAGTCCAGGCGTATAAATCCTTCAAGCGCAATGACTCGACCGGATGTTGTGCTCTGAGTCGCTCAAGCCTCCTTCGATACACTTCTTATATCACCTCACGTACCATGGACGAGCCTCCCGAGGATGTCCGCAGGCTTCTCCTTCCGAGGATTCAGAGCCATCGTCTATCTGGCGGAGCGGAGGATGCGTTGCAGGCCGGAGCGAGAACTTCCGACAGCATGGGTTCGGACAATTTTACGTTCTCATGACAGACAGGAACATGCCGAGACTAGTGATGCTTCTCATGTATGGGGAAAGTGCGGCGAGAGAAGTCGGAGTGTATCCTCGAAGAAAGAGCTCCGCGTCGAGGGTCCTGGAGGGCAGAGGTTGCGCAGGCTTGAGCCGACAGGCTTCAATGCCTCTTAGCGCCGTTGTAATGCCCTTATAGACAGGTAACACTTTCCATTGATCAATCAATAAGGGGTCAGTAGCCCATAATGAAAGCTGTGTGAAAGGCTATGCGCCGGGGTAATCTCGAGGACCGTCGCGTACACGTCGGTATCTGTTACTGCCCTCACCGTCACTTCGCGTACCACCGTCCTCCACCTCGTCCCTGCAGCCGTCTTCGCCGTCCTCGCCAGCATGGCGGATGCGTCATTCAAAGACGTACCAGAGCTATTTGAGGTATGCACGGCGGTCCCACGGGCATCATAGTACTCACCGCTTGTGCTAGGTCGAACTCACGGAGTCCTTGTCCGCGCGCACGGAAAGCCTATGTCCGTTAGCACTCCTCTCGGCATATTCTTCGGTCAACTGACTCTACGTGCGTGCAGCGACCTTCAGGGAACTTGGTCCTCCTGATCTTGTCCATGTCTTGAAGAGCACTGGGCGTAGTGGTCAACGCGATGTGAGTACTCTCTCTCCCTCCAGACGCGCCACCGCCCAACAACAACCCTAGCTCGGCTCCTACCACTACGTCTCCGGCGTCGACGCGTCTTCCTCTGCATCATTAGCAGCATACATCAACTCCCTCACCTACAATATTGAAGACGATTCGGGGTGGTTCTCGAAGGGTACGTCTTGGAAGGTCAAGAGCGGGTGCTACTGGTGAGTGCTACAGCCTGACCTGGCCACGCTACGGTTCTCACCAATGCATACAGCTGCTTCAACGCCTTCTCGCGCGTGGATGTTCGCGTCGACGTTAAGATTCCCGGAGGTGTCCAGGCATACGTTGTCGACTTGCGCGGCGAGAGGTGTGTTTCTGTGCTGAGTCCACCCCTACCTTGCCTGAACCGGTGTCAGACACGAAGCAACACCTGAAATATGGCAAGAGACCTTCCTGTCTGCCATCCTACGCGCCATCCTCTACTCCGACGACCCCACATACTGGCTTGAAGCATACCGGAAGCTTGATCCCATCACCACTCCTGAAGGCGAATTGCGCTTCCTGCAAGCTGCTGAAGCACTGTTCATGAAGGGTATGCATACCCTATAGTATACGAGATGACCGGCCGCTGATCTCTCTGTAGGATGGCAGGTTGGCTCGGACCCAGAAATCCAAGTCGCGACAGTCGTGTCCAATCATGTTACTGCAGCTATCATGAAGTATTTCGGGGACAGCGGCCGGTTCCAGCATGCTGCAAATCTCTTCGAGAAGATACTGGCCAAAGAACCTGAGGTTGCCTCGCTATTGGCGAAGAGCTATCTGGGAATGAGTGCGTGCATCTTGACACCAGCTCACGCCTGACGCTGACCTTGTGTAGACGAGGAAGTCAAGGCTGTTCAGATTATGGCAACTGCAATCAAGCAAACACCGCAGTCATACACCCTCCTGCATGTTCAGTGCGACTTCCTTCGGGCGAAGGGGAAGTACGATTGGGCACTCAAGCTTGCCCGGCAAGCAGTCAACTGCGCCCCCAGCGAGTTCGTGACCTGGGAGAAACTCACCGAAATATACATTGACATGGGTCAATATGAGAATGTACGTCCGCGCGCTTATTCGTACTCACAGGCGCACCAACCAATCGACAAATAGGCACTTTTGACTCTCAACTCATGTCCTATGTTTACTTACAATGGCCGGGACGCCCACCGCAACCTGACACCGGCTCGCGTACACCTTCCGCCAAAAGGTGCAATCATCGACATCCTTCCGGAGCGGGTGAAGACGGAGGACGATGAGGTGAGTGTAGCGAAAGGATGTCGTAGGACCCGGACCTTTTGCTCATTTCAATATGTAGGCCGACCCCGCTCTTCTTCGACTTCCCGCGCCGGGCCTTCGCGGAACATGGGCTCGCGCCTACTCCCTTCTCACACGCCTGGTGTCACAAATTGGCTGGGACGAGCTGCTCAAGACGAGGAGCTCCGTCTTCGTTATGGAAGAGGAATACCGGATGCAGAAAGCGCATGGTGACACCAGGCCGCAATCCGCCGCCGCTGGCAAGGTCTTCCATGAAGACGGCTCCGTCAGCTCTCCGCAACGCGGCGATTCGCTGCAAGGGCAGAAGGCAGAACGCGCTGATGACGACGCGTCGACTCGCGGGGTGGCATCGCCCACGGCGGAGAACGGGGACGACAATGGGGACGACGAGGACGACGCAGGGAATGACACAGACTCCGAAACGCTCGCGAATGGCAATGGCATTCCCACCATCCGGATATCTACGGAAAGCGCCAGGGAACAGAAGGCAGCGCAGGAGAAGGCCGCCAACGGACACAATGAGTCAAAAGAGAACGGTGTTACCGATGGGCCCGGCGACACCCTCGAGAAGCCGGTGCAGGCAGCAGAGAACAGCCAGGACGCCGAGGGTGGTCCGGCGGCCGCGCAGGAACCGTTCTCCTTCAGCAATAAGCGCTTGTGCGAGCGTTGGCTGGACAACTTGTTCATGGTGCTCTATGAGGTTTGTCCGACGATCTCTCACGGTGCGCCGTATCTGACTTGTGTATAGGACCTCAGGGTGTGGACCATCTTCCGCGCCGAAGTCGCGCACTTCAAGACGCAGCACGTTGCATACCGCAAAACCGGCCTGGAGTGGGAAATCTTGGGAGACCTCGGCCTGCGGCTGCACCACAAGGAGGAGGCGAAGGAGGCGTACCAGCGCTGCTTGGATACCCCGCGCTACTCGTACAAGCCCTGGTCCAAGCTCCTGGACACGTACGCGGACGAGGGCGATATCCAGCGGACGCTCCAGGTCGCCGTCCGGGTCGCCGCGTACCAGTGGGGCGAGTACACCGAGATGACGGTACGTTCCCCTTTTTCCCATCTGGCTTGCTGTCTAAACAGCCATCCACAGTACCCCACGCAAATTGCGCGCTGCTTCTTCAAGCTTGGCCAGATCCACGGCCATGCGAAGATCTCGTACACGCTGCTGAGCATGGGCCTGCCCGACCCGGTCCTGAAAATCATGGAGAGCTACCTCCACTACGGCCGCACCTTCAAGGTCGAGGGGTACGACTTCTGAGCTCCGATATCTTTGCTGTGGCCGCCGCTTTCTTCTTCGGATTGGTCTCCTGGAATTGTAGACTCTTGTATGTAGTTGCGCTGCTGCGGTTCGCGTCCGCCCGTGGGCCCCAGGAGCTTTTTAGCTAGGTATCTTATTTCCGATGAATACCCTTCACCTTCTCAAATGTTACTGTCACTGCTGACCGCGCCGTCGCGGTGATAAGGCCTACAAGCAGCTATAGCGCCATGTCAGCTAAATGAACGTTGAACTTTGCTATGCGAGGCCCCCGAGGCCCTTGATCTTGGTAACTATGCTCTTACCTACTCAACGTCCACAAGGCACATCAATACGGAGGTGGTGTGCAACGTACGGGAGTCCCTGTGGTCAGTTGCTGACGTTGACGATAGCCGCAATGTTGGCGTGAGTAAGTGACAGAGGTATCACAGAATAGGGGTTGGAGCAGCGGATCGTATAATTGATACAACATAGTTCGTGTGTGGTTATTGGTACACGTATAGGGTGCGTTGAGTGAGTAATGTCCTTGTGCTGTGTGATGTGTACGATGCGTGGTAGTCTGGATAGAGTCAGCGTGGACAAAGCGAGCGGTAAAGCAGGATGCGGGGACGGAGACATGGCAACTCATTCGTAACAGTACAGTATAGGCATAGGCGGAACGACTCTTGTTAACTTATCGGCTCTGCCGTCATCGATGAGGATGCCGACGACACATCGTCAAGAGAGGACATGGAGGACATCGCATCCGGCGGGACCGGATGGGCTGGTCGCGCAGGTCGTCGATGCAACTCTGAGTGCGCTGCGAAAGCACCGTTTGAGCTGGCAGATGCAAAGCAATCGGCACTATCGGGACGTGCGCCCGAAGTCTTCGCAGCATCGGCTTCCTGAGCAGCCGCAAGGGAGGCTAGTGCGTCACGGTCTGCAAGCGCGGAGAGGGCTTTCTCCGCCGACGTGACGAGCTTCTTCAAAGAACCTACGAAAGATCAGGTGAGAACTGAGAGGGAGACATGGGCAACGTCGAACATCCTTACGTTCGAGACTCAGCATGAACAACGTCTACGGGGTCCGCGAGCCGATATCAGCACACGTACAACTCTGCAGAATACTACGAAACTGACCTTGCGCGCATCTTCGTCTTGCAGAATCTCCGTCTTCACCCGCCCATTGATGTGCTCCATATCTGCCAACTCGTCGAGCAACTTCCGCATGTCAGGCGGTATCTTCGGCAGTCCGCGTTCGTCCTCCGCGTCTTGATCCTCAATCGCGTCAATCCCCTCTGTCGCCCCCGAGACGAAGAACTGCATGTAATTCTGGAATGTCCTCGCGCCGCGCACAATCTCGCCAGGGAGCGCTTCTAAGGCATGCTGAGCGATGTCCTGGGACTCCTTCGCCCGCTCCGCAATCGGGTGGTCTCCGTCTCCGTCCTCTGTACGGTAGGAATGTGAACTTCCGTCGGGATGACGCGAATTTCGCGGCCGAGAGCCGGAGGCGGGATTAGAGCTTTCCGCGACTGGCCGGGGGCGCTGTTTGCCTTCTTGCAGCTGTCTCTTACGGTACTTCTTGACAGCCTTGTCGAATACTTGCGAGTGTAGTGCGCTCTTGTATCGCGATGAACCTGCCTCTTGCACGACTGCAAGACGGCCATTGGGTAAGTTGCTATCGCTGTCCATGAAGTCAATGACTGACCAGACACGACAATTGTTAGGGTGCCGACTCCGAACAAAGCCCATACGACGAAGACAGAACGGCCGGCAGGTGTGACGGGCGCGAAGTCGCCATAGCCGGTGGTGACGAACGCCAGGAAACCTGTGCTCTGGAATTAGGTAAGATGTAAAACGAGGTGCGAAGGGATGCCTACAGAAATACATGGCGCTGCCATATGGCCAACCCTCGGTGGCAGAAAAGATACCGGAGCCGACCTGGGGTACACCAATTCAATAACTAGCAGCGACGACAACATGTTGGACCTACCGTCCAAAATACGAAGAAAAGGGACCATGCGATAGAGAGCTATACCAGACAGCCAAGTTAGTCATGTGCTCTCGGTTGCCATACAAACAAATACGCACCTTCACATAGTACGCCCGCTTCTCTTCCGCGTCTATTTCGCTCTGCAGCCTTTCATACGTCCAAGCGGAGCGCTGCACGGCGCCGCGCGAGTGGTCTTTCAGCCATTTCGATCCCGGATGGTCCTTGACGTCCGACCGTGACCGGCCCCATCCGTGGTTACGCCGCTGGTTATCGAGGGCGTTTTCATTCGAGTCGCCGTTCGTTCCTCCAGTCGGACGCTGCTGAGAGGTGTATTCCTCGCCGTCACGCGGCTTCTCCTCACCTTCCTCGGATTGCGGCTTAGGCACATGTGCGTGGCGGACCGCTACAGCCACCGCGAACTTCGTCAGCATCGCCGCCATCCGACCGACCTGCGCATGTGTCGGCGTCTGCGCATGCGATGGCCACCCGCTCGCCATGTTATCGCGAAAAGCGTGGTCGGCATGCCCTTGAGCTAGCGCCGGGACGATGTCCTTGTGCTCCTGTCTTGTGGGTAGGCCACCGCCTTCTCGCGCGTCTCCGTCCCGCCGTTCGCCAAGGTCGAGAAAGAGCTCCAGCGGGACCCCAGCCTCAAGTGCGGCCTCCTCCAGTTGACCGTTATTCAGAGCGTTGACGTTGAGATGCATCCCGCGGTGTCTTGTGAAGTGCCTGTCGACAACAGACTCGAAAGTGGCCGTGCGCTTTATTGTCGTCCCGACACGCTTGATGAAGGGCACGCCGGTGGTGACCTTCGGTAGCAAGCCGAGGAACCGGACGCCACGGTCATCTTCGTGCTCCTCCTTGTCGGAGACCCACACGGGCAAACCGGCTTCCCGCAGACGGAACTCGACGGCGCGCTGCCATCGGGCCTCCCAGCGCCGAAACCTACGTGCTTCGCGGCGTCGCTGGCGCATGTCGCGCATGCGCCGTCTGTACCCGATCTCGAGACCTTCGAGGATCGTCTCGCGGCACATGGCGATAGCCACACCGATGTTGATGACGCCGAACAGGATGTAGACGCAGGTCCAGACGCGTGCGCCGGTAGTCTTTGGGACGATGTCGCCGAAGCCGATAGTTTCGATGGAGACGACAGAGAAGTAGAGACCGTTGATGAAGCTCTGCTTGAGAAGGATGGAGTTGACGAGCGCGCCGAAGGCGATGTATACCAGCAAGACGATAACCATGATCATAAGCCCACGCTGCTTGCGCGTTAGGCCGCTACCTGCGAGACATGATAGCTGTTAGCATATGGCACACTCCCAAAAATATTTATGCTTACCTCGTCTTGCAAAATCTGGGGTTCGAATGAGATCAACGATGAGGCTGATGTTGGTGATACTCGAAGCGATCGTAGAGCAGAGTGTCATCCAGAAGGCCTCGCCGTACGTGAAGCCATCGTCGAAACGATGTTCCACTCCAAACACGGTGACGGCGATGATATTGATGACATCTGCGAAAGGTGAGCATCGATGTTGTCCAAAACCCCGCTAGAGTCGTTGACCCACCATGAGTAGTCAAAAAGACGATGCAGAGCAAAGTAACGGTTTGAACGCGTTTCTCCAGGAATCGAAGGACAAGGGCGACGTTGGCTATCAGGCCACAGGCGATAGAGATACCGAGACCGATCTCCAGGACCACTGGATTTTTCCTCGTCTCTACGGTCTTCCCGCCTTCAGTCCGAATGTACCACCGCTCGGTGAGTCCGGGGATCTCGAGTAGGATGGAGAACGGTATAACGATGCCAGAGATGATAGGTGTCCAGCGGTAGTTGGGAACGAGGCTGTCTAGGTCGGCGTTCTTGTCGTCGGTCGGCCAGAGGTACGATTTGAGGCGAGAGTATAGAGATGTTCCTAGGAGTGTGACGTCATCGGACGAGTTACCCTCCGCGGTATGTTGTGTACTGTCCACCTTCTCCGGGTCAGACGGGTGTGATGTACTGCGTCCGGGTTGGAGCGTCAGGAAAAGCGCAGACAGGCTGAAGAGTCCCATTCCGCCGCAGAAGGTGTGCGAGGGGGAAAGTGCCAGTGTAGCAGTGAGGCGTGCTTACGATATGAGACGGACATGGTCAGTATCTATGCCCGGTCAAGGTCGCCGCACAGACCTCACTGTAACCTCATGGCAATGTCGCGGATCCACAAAGCAGGTAGAGATGTTCAAATGGGGCACGGAGCGGGTCGTCCGGAGCGCTCTCCCTCGGCTCTTTGCAAGGCAGCTGGCGGATGTTTGGTCAGTTGAGGTACTGCATCCCTTGCAATAGCGAAAACAGCTCACCAGACGTGAGTATATGCTGTATACGGGAGAAGGAAGCGGAACACCGTGAGTGGAAGAGATGAAGTGGTTATGAATACATCCCGGTGGAGGTTCAGTCTAACAGCGTCGGATCTCGCTGCGTTCCGGAGCAGGGGCCCGGTACGAGCGCCGGTGTCTGCTCGTGTTCCGGCACGCCGTATGCTCGTAAATCACCTTTAGAAAACTTGAATAAGTGAGAGAAGATACGAAACGTCAGTCTGCACCTATGGAGATATGTAAAAATCGCAAAAACATAGCATTGACGCTGTAAAAAAGAAAAGGACAAAATGACCACCGCAGGGATCGAACCTGCAATCTCCTGATCGTTACGTAAGCATCGTAGTCAGACGCGATGCCATTTCGCCAGGCGGCCGTTAAAACCCAAACCTTACCGTTTTTGAATGGGCACTTACATGCCGTTAAAACGCAGTAAGTATTCCCCGCGGGCCGATAAGCTCGTTTTCGTGAACCGTCTTTCCCGTCCTGCATCTCGACCTCCATCGCCGCGACGATCCCCTCCTCCCACTCACCATGTCGCTCGAAAAATACCAGACGGAGCTCATCGAGCACGGCATGTCCGCCGGTGCGCTCAAGTTCGGGACCTTCACCCTCAAATCAGGCCGGTCCGTCCCCTCCCTAGGCTGCGCGCCGCTCTCCCCGTGAACCGCTTCCTCACCCTCACCCTCCCGCCCGCCCCGCGCAGGACCTCGCCCTACTTCTTCAACGCCGGCCTGCTCGCGTCCGGGCCCGTGCTCGACACGCTGTGCTCCGCGTACGCCGCGACGATCGCGCGCGCGCTCAAGGCGTCGCCCGGGCTGCCCGCGTTCGACGTGCTCTTCGGGCCCGCGTACAAGGGCATCCCGTTCGCGGCGGGGACCGCGCTGCTGCTGCACCGCGACCACGGCATCACCGTCGGGTTCGCGTACGACCGCAAGGAGGCGAAGGATCATGGGGAGGGCGGGATCCTCGTGGGCGCGCCGGTGAAGGGCAAGCGCGTGCTGGTGCTGGACGACGTCGCGACGGCGGGCACGGCGATCCGTCAGGCGATTGAGACTGTGACGAAGGAGGGGGGCGAGGTCGTTGGCGCGGTGTTGATGCTCGACAGGCAGGAAGTGGGGAAGGAGGGGAAGAGCACACTTGCGGAGGTGGAGGCGCTGCTGGGCGGGAAGGGGCGTGTGCCGACGATCCTGCGGATGAAGGACCTCATGAAGTGGCTGCAGGAGCACGGACGGACGGAGGAGCTTGCGAAGATGCAGGAGTACTGGGAGCAATACGGCGCGAAGGAGAGCGAATGAGAAGACGTTGACGATGTTAAAAGTGGTTGTATGCTAGGTGAGCAGCACCGCGCTGGACCCATTCAGTCTACTAAACCCATACAGAGGAAGACCTACTGTGCGACTTTTCCGTCTGTGATGTCCAGCGCAGAGAATCGAAGATGTGAGAGTATACATGCCATTCATCCCGATATATAGCACAAGAACATGTAGCAATAGAACCTGCAGAAACAGAAAGCATGATCAGGAAGACTCTATGAGTACTGGGTAGCCATGAACTGACCGCTATCACCAAAAACACCGCTCTCATTCGCCCAACCGACGACCCGAACCCCAGTTATATCCTCCCACACCGCTCGCAGCAGCAGCAGCCTGCTCCCTGACCCTCCGTGGGGGCACAACATGCACGCCCCCACCGACGTTCGCAACACCCCCGACCCCGCCCGTCGCGCCCCCACTAGCAGACTCCCCGAACCACCCGCGCAGCCACGCCGGCGCCGTACCTGCAGCCCTGAGCGAGCCGGTGTCAAAGACAGTCCACCACCAGAGGTGGCCGACGACAGCCCCAGAGATGCTGATGGCAGCGGCGCCGGGGCCGCCCATGAGGAGGTCCATGCCGACGAGCATGTAGGGGAGGTAGATGACGGGGAAGGTGATGAGCCCGAAGAAGGATGTCTGGGACCCAGGTGGGGCGAGCCGGGAGGAGACGTAGGTGAGCGCGAGGAGGAGCGCGCGGGTGTGCACAAAGGTGCCGAGGGGGATATTGAGACCCTGGTGAGAAATAGTTCAATGCGAATGACAGTAGTGAGATGAGTGGGTTGGGCGTACGAGGATGGCGAGTCCTGCGAGGGAGAGCTGCCACGCATAGTCTGAAGAGCGGCGGGGGAAGTGTGTCTCTTCTAGCTCATTGGAATTTCGACTAGTTGCAAGTACGCGGTGCTCAGTATCATCATGGATTACGACAGAGTCGTACGCACTAGAGCATGGCAAGGTCGAAGATGAAGTTGATCCCTGAGCCTATAAGATAAAGTCAGCACCGACATGGGTTATAGTCGGACAAGATTGAGTACGCACTTCCCAAGAAGAAGCTCGTAAATACTCTCCAAATCTACAGCAGGACGTGAGTATCGCATACCTCCGCAGTGCCAGACTTCTCTCTCATTCAACCACAGACATAGAAGCTCACCTCAAACTTCTGCGTAACGAACTCCTTCACAAAGACGACCTTGTATATTGGCAAGATCTGCAGGAGGACTGGCAGAGTGACGGCGAGAGAGGAGGCACAGAGAAACCGAGTGACCGGAGGGATTTTGCGAATCTCATCCATGAAAGACATCTTGAAGAGACTGGAGGTGAGTAGAGCGATAGAAGTACAGCAGGCAGAGCAGAGACGACGGCAGAATGTGGGGAAGAACAAGCAGGAGGAGTGACCTCACTCGCCGCGTGGCGGACCACGTAGCTCTTACCGCGGTCACGTGCATCGTACAGGCGCGTCGCGTCGCGTGCGTTCTCGATGCTTCTTGCGACTCTCCTCTGCCTTCGCACTCACAGCAACGCAGAATTCTGCCCTGACATAATGGTGAAACGGCAGAGCGCACGACAGAAAAAACCATTCCTCTTGCTTATCGAACCAGTTACAAACGCGCCAGACTCCCTTCTCCAAGACCAAGCACGCAGAGCAACGTCCCCTCACCCACAATCACGCCGACCTCGATACCTCTTCCGAGCCTCACGACGTTGCCGCTGACGGGTGCAGATACGACGCTTTCCATCTTCATCACGGACACCACAACCAACGCCTCTCCTTGGTGAACGTAACTCCCGTTCTCTGAGCCTTCCGTAAGAGCCGCGTGGAGCTCCACGATCTTGCCTGACAGAGGGGATGCGATATGTGTGGGATCCTGCGGGTTGGCGAGTTCGATGTGCGAAGATGTCGCGGTAGAAGAGAGCTGCGTCAAGGAGAACGACAGCGGCGCCGAGGTGAGCGAAGTGGTGATCGTCCCCGAGAGCTGGCTAGGGAATGCGTTATGCCCCAAAGATGACAAGACCAAAGTATGTTTCTGTGCCTGTCCCGCTGGCGAAGGCTGGGAGGCGGAGGACAGTGAAAGCTGGAATGATGCACCGGGTTGCAGTAAGACAGTCCCTGGCGCACCATCCGCGTCGCTCGAGGACCGGTCTGAGTGATTAGGCGATGTCGAGCTTGAAACATGTACATCACGGTAGAGCTGCTGCCTCCCGAGGGCCAGGACCTCATCGACATGATCCTCGAGCCAACGGGTATGCATCTTCCCTGCGGTCCAGTCCGCATGACTCATAACACCGGCAAGGAGCTCCACGTTCGTCTTGACATCTCCCTGAACGCGAGTCTCGCATAAGGCTCTCAGCACGCGGGCGGTCGACTCCTCCAATGTTCCAGCATGGACTACCAATTTTGCCAAGAGGGAGTCGAAGTCCACACCGATCGTCCACTGGGGGTGAGGGCAACCATGGGGGCCGGTCCCCAACCATGTGTCAACGCGAACGCCCCGGCCAGCTGGCCAGGATGCGTCTGCAGGACGGATGGTCCCCGTAGATAGCCGGAAGGATTTCTGAGGGTCTTCAGCTACCAGGCGTAGTTGGATGGCATGGCCTTGTGGTGGGGGCGGTGTAGGTGCATGCGTAGGCAACACCGAGGAAAGGGAAGCCCCAGGCTGAGATAGCAGTAATTGCACCCGTACGAGGTCCAAATTCGTGACTTCCTCTGTAAATTTGTTGAGCACGCGTTTGTGAGGTGAATGTCGTGTTTGGAGCCTACCAGTAACCGTGTGTTCGACTTGCAGTCTGGGGTTGATCTCCAGGAAGATCCATCCGTGCGACTGGCCATTGACGAGAAACTCGAAGGTGCCCAAACCCTTGTATTGGAGGTGACGCGCCATCTTTAGCGCAGCTTGTAAGAGCGGTTCAACCGTTTCGCGCGGAAGAGTGGACGGGGCCATCTGGTACCATGTCGCTCAGCTCCTCACGACAAATGAACACTATATGCGTCATCACACACCTCAACGATCTTCTGGAACCTGCGTACATGAGTCTCCATAGAGCATATAACCAGCTAAAAATACCCACCTTCGCTGAACGCTGCATTCTCTTTCCCACAGATGCGTTACGGCTCCTGTACCATCGCCCACAATCTGTACCTCCACATGGCGCCAGCCGGGACCAACGAACGCCTTCTCCACGAACACAAGCCGCGAAGCGCTCTCCCCGATGCACCTCCGGAAGGCGTCCTCTACCTCGTTTAAGGTATGCGCCAGGCGGATGCCTCGTCCGCCACCGCCGTCAAGGGCTTTGATGACTACAGGAAACCCATTTGCCTTGGCGAACGTTCGTACGTCGTCAGCGGATGCTACATGGGCCCCGGGTGCGACGGGCACACCCAGAGACGTCGCGAGCTCCCGCGAACGCATCTTGTCCGAAGCAATCTCGAGGACCTCAACAGAGGGCCCTACAAAAGTGATGGGCTTGGCATACGACTTGGAATCAGCCGGATAGCTGCCAAAGAGCGAGGCAAATTTGGGGCTCTCGCTGAGGAATCCGTAACCGGGGTGGACGTGTGTGCAGTCAGTTCTGCGAGAGCACGTAATGTTAGCTATTCTTCATTGAACAGAGGCGAGATCCCCGCTTACCGACGTGCAATCTCAGCGATGTGCTCTGGGTCCATATACCGCGCAGGGGAGTCCAAAAGAACAGCTTCACCGGCATACGATGCATGAGAGGCGTCGTTCTCCGTGAATAGCGCGACCGTACGCCATCTGAGTTCGGTTGCAGAGCGACATATGCGAATCGCAACTAGCACGTAGTTCGAAGGCTTTCAGCGTTTTGTGCGGACTAGCAAATAACAAATGCTCTCACCTTCGCCCCGGTTTGCGACAAGGAGCTTCGGGCTACGCCTGCTCATGCTGTCGTCGTTCTTCAGCTCGACGGGCTGCTTCGCAGTGGGAGTCCTCTTCACGGCGCGAGCTTAGAAAGGAGCTTAGCCTCGAAGTCGTCGACATCATATGAGCGCGTGATTCAGATTCGGGTACGGTTGGTGGGAACCATCGTGACCAACAGCCACCATTACGGTCTCGGAGACGTTGCACCCGGTAGCCGTTCGTTGGACGTGTTGTGTCCGAGGTTTGTCGCACAGTTCGACCACACCATGAGCGAAGGGAGGAAGAGCAGACTGGCAACGTCTGAACCGACGTCGACGACCTCGTCTGACGGCGCGGCAGCTCCCGACGCCGATGATGGCGTGACCTGGAAGGTACTCCCCCGCATTGCGTTCAGCCACAGCGCCTCATTCTGACCTTGCATCCCACTTCCACCCAGCATGCTGTCGCGAGGATCCGGCAAACGCAGCAGATCATACGAACCCCCAATCCCGACAACAAGGGATACGCGCGGCAGAAGCAGAACGGCAAGCTTTGGGTGCGCGAAAGGCTCGGCGCGCTGCTCGATGGCGGCTCCTTCAACGAAGTCGGCTCCCTCACGGGCAAGCCAATCCTCGACGAAACGACAGGAAAGATGAAGGACTATCTCCCCGCGTACGTCTGCGCGATGCTCTACCATGGACAGGACAGCGCGGTCTAACCGTATCCCCCCAGTAACATGGTCCTAGGCTGGGGCAAGATCGACAGCAGGAAGGTGTTCGTAGCGGCGGACGACTTCAGCGTACGGGGCGGGCATGCCGATGGCGGCATTCAAGGCAAGGCCGCACACGGTGAGGTATGTAGCCAACCGGTCTCGTCGAATTTGTGGGAGTGTATACCAGAGAGTCTGTGAGAGTGACTCTCACTGCGACCAACAACTCCCACTGAGAGTGAGTGGCAACAGTGAGAGTCTCGGGATATCCCGCGAGCATTGTTCTGGGTAGGAGTCGTATGTCTCAGCGAGAGTGACTCTCACGTTTCTGGTCGTCACTCATTTTGTGGCTTGGAGGCACGGTCTAACTCCCCCCCCCCTCAGGCCCTTGCAACGCAGCACAGGGTACCTCTTGTGCGTCCCGACCAGTTACAGGGGTTAACCCTATCACTGACATACTCTTAGATACGGCTGCTTGATGGATCGAGTGGAGGCGGAAGCGTGGCGACCTGTACGTATACTGAGGCGACCTTTCAATGGCGTTACTGATCAAAAGCGACTTTACAGACCTCACTTTAGGCGCAACATATATCCCACCTCTAGCTGGATTAGGCCAGAGTATGACAGCGATGGCTACCGTCCCTGTGGCCAGCGCATTACTGGGGCCCGTCGTTGGCCTAGCCTCTGCCAAAGCCGTCATCAGTCATTTCAGGTGCTGTGCCCCGGTTTGTCCTGAGACCGCCAGCTCATGGAATTGTGTGTGTAGCGTGATGGTGAAAGGACTGAGCCAGGTGTGTTTAAACCCTTCAAGCCCTTATACAGGTGTCGCTCAGACAATTCCAGCTTTTTGCTGCAGGGCCTCCGGTTGTGAAGCAGGCTACCTACGAGGACCTCTCCAAAGAAGCTCTAGGCGGATGGGAAATCCACGGACGTAACGGCACCGTTGACAACGTTGCCAACTCCGAACTAGACGCATTCTTGCAAATCCGGACGTTCCTATCATTTCTCCCTTCATCAGTGCATGCTATGCCACCTGTGGTCGCTTCGTCCGATCCAGCAGACAGAAAGGAGGAGGCGCTGATCAGCATCATTCCGCGTCGCCGGGCCAGGACATACGATATCCGCAAACTTGTGCAGCTTCTTGTCGATCGCGTGGACGCCAGCCCCGGCGACCAACATACTGCGTCTACAAGCTCGTTCTTCGAGATCGGGGCAACTTGGGGACGCTCTGTCGTTACCGGACTCGCACGGCTTCGAGGAATGCCGGTAGGCATTCTCACCAGCGACTGTACTGTTGGCGGAGGTGCACTTGACGCTCTCGGAAACCAGAAAGCGGCGCGCTTCGTGAACTTGTGCGACCAATTTGGGCGCGTGCTATCTCTATTTACGCTCGAGCTTGTATCACTGACTATTGCCCTGTAGCATACCGCTTCTGAACTTGGTTGATCAGCCGGGCTTCGCTATAGGTATAAACATATGCGCTTTCCCCACGAGACCACTCACCAATGCCTTCCAGGCTCTGTGGCAGAGCGCACGGCTACAATCCGCCACGCTGCCGCGATTATGGCAGCACTCTACCATGCCACCATCCCCATATTTACCGTGATCATCCGCCGTGCGTTCGGCGTCGCAGGAGGCGCGGTCGCCGACTCAGGCGACGGGCTGAACACTCGCGTGGCATGGTACGTCCCGCCACTTGTCAGCAACCCTCGAGCCCCCTCCTGACAACGCGCACAGGCCGTCAGCGGACTGGGGCAGTCTGCCGCTCGAAGGTGGAGTGGAGGCGGCGTACAAACGGCAGCTCGACAGCGCTCCGACGCCAGCCGCGCGCGAGAAGATGATGAAGGACCTGCTGGCACAATTTGAGGACGTGCGGGATCCGCTCCGGACGGCTCAGATGTTCGGCATCGAAGAGATCATCGACCCGCGCGACACACGACCGCTCGCTTGCAAGGTAAGTGCCAGACATCGCCGCACTATAGGAACAACACTGACCGTGCCCCCAGTGGATATCGCACGCATACACCCACTTGCTACCCCCGCGGCTCGTCGCCATACAAGCGTCTGCCGCCGCAAAACCCAGAAAATACAAACTGTAGCCACATGTAATACATCTTCCTTTACCTCTTCGAAACCGCGAGCTCTACAACCCTGAATGCGGGGTACACCATGCACGCGAGCACGAACCCGACGATGATGCCGATGTCGCCCGTCCCCGCGTTCGCGATAGGGCCCACGTACCACGCCTGCGACATGCTGGGGATGATGATGCCGCATGCGCAGAGGAAGGCGAGAGTCGCGGCGATGCCGAGGGGGAGCTGCTTGGGGTGGCAGTACTGCGAGAGGTCGTACCGTTCCCAGTCGTTCTTGCGGAAGATGAGGTGTTCGACGATGACGATCGCGGCGAAGACGGTGCTCCAGTATCCGATGACGCCTAGGGTAGTCAGCATTACCGTGTGCCAGGAAGTAGGTGAGCTACTCACTGAGGACGTCCACGAACGTAGTGTAGAAGTGCTTCGCGCCAACGATCGCCACAGGAATCAAGCTGGTTCAAGAGTCAGCATGGCAGAACTGTCGAGAGACTGCGGAGGACGCACATAGCCTCGGAGATGAACGTGTAGACGTATCGCGGCACCCGCGCGAACCACGCGTGGATCGTCATGAAGCTGGACGCGAATGTGTACATCGTAGGCGCACACGCGCTCGGGATCGACAGCGCGAGCAGCACGGTCAGGAACTTGCCGAACCCGCCGGAGGGGGAGAGGACGGCCTGGATGAGCCCGCCGACGTTGTTGCCCTGCTCGAAACCTGCTTCCCAGGAGGGCACGCCCGGGGCGGCAGCAGCGAACGCGGCGCCGAGCATGTGTGCCGCCAGCTATTAGACACGGTCGTGGTCGGTTTTGCTGTCAAGGTAAATTGACTGGTGCACTTACGCTCGCAATAAAAAATCCGGCATAGCTGTACAGGAATATTCGCGTGCTGTGGAAAGTCAGAATACAATGACCGCCGGGAGTGACGTTGGTCTCCCTACCTGGATGCTTTGCCGCTATGGTATACGCCGTAGTCGGGCGTCATCATGCACCAGCTGATCACGCTGGACGCCGTGGTGGTGGCGAATGACAGGACCGCAGCTGCCGATGGTGGCGGAGGCGTCGGGGCCTCCGTGAGGTGCTTACCGCCCAGTCCGAGCATCACTATGAAGGTGATAACGCTCGGTATCCACGCCACCGTCTCGTACCTGCGAATAGGCTCAACTGACAATGGTCCATCTACGTGCTGGGCGGGACTTACCAGTGGATAACGCGGTACCCAAAGAATGTGACCTGGACATATGTTAGTTATCAGGCCGTAAAGCACATCTCCTCCTGACGTACGATGAGCGACAGAACGCCTATGATCACTATCCCAAGCGTATCATCCAGGTGAGAGGACACACTCGCGAGAGTCTGACCACCGATAATGCAGTTCAGGATCATAAATCCCTGCATCGAGAACACCGTGAACGCGCTAGGCAGGATAGACCCGAAGTAGCTGCCACACACGCCGTCAGCGTCCACCACTAGAGCTTATCCTCAGAGCTGAGTTTCACCTACCCCCACGAGTAGCGCGCAAGCACCATCGAGCGCATGCCTAGCTTGGGCCCGAAGACAGCGCTGACGTAGAAGGGAGTGTTAGTCAGGCGCCTCCCAGGGTGCTACGCATGTCACCTTACAAATAAGCCGGAACTATGCAGGAGCTGTGGTACGTCTGAGAGCCAATTCAGCAGTTCTGCGGCCTGAGATCACGCACATGAGGTCCACTATAACGAGGATAATAAACGAGTCCCTCAAGCCGAGGCCAAAGAAAGCAGGCCCCGCTGAGCCTGTTCCAAACCTAGTGGCAAGTCACATAGATAAACGGACGGTGTCATTATAAAGCGCCTGCGGAGTCATCACGTACGTTAGGATGTTGATATTTGCAGAGAACCACACGAAAAACATCTGGTAGAGCTTCGTGTCCGTCCTGTCTTCCGGCAGGATCGGGTTTATTCTATCGAAAGGAGGATTAAGTTGTGAACAGATAAGCCATTGGTGAACAAAGTACGTACCCGTTCGTCTCGATCCCCCAGTGAGTAAGAAATTCGGAGGTGGACGCAAAATACCGCTGCAGGCGGGTCGCAGGGACAACATCTTGAGAGGCGTCGCTGCCGGCCTTTTCGTCCTCGTACGAGCCCATACTTGCCTCAATGGTGGGAGGAAGTAAAGGGTGGACCGCAGAGAAGTGCTGATGGATGCTCAAATCAACTTTGATTTTGCCGCTCGTGGAGACGGTCCGAACACCGGGCGACTAGATTGGGCGGCGAAGTCAAATCCTCATGCAAGGTACAACTTGTGGCGATATGCAACTGTGGATTCGTAGTTCTGGAGGTATGAATGCACAAGTAAAAAATCGAATCGGGCGAACGGGGTGTGGTGACTATATGAGAGTGCCTTTCGTTTTGTTCAGTTGTGTTTGGAATAAGTATGTCGTACCTTGACCAGTGTCACTCACCGAGATCATATATCTAACACCGAATTCGAGCTTCGTACTCATCTACAAGGGACTACGGCGGTTGGGTCAGTACTGGGTCAAAGGTGCGTAGCAGTTGCCTGGCGTACCTGTTGAAAGTTATCCATCGAGTTTGTCTATACGACTCGTCTGTGAAAGCCGGTGCGAAACACAAGAAATATACATAGGGACATTTGCTAACCATCTATCTTCCGGAAAACGCGATTTCTATGGCCCTGAACGCAGGATACACCATACCCGCGAGTGCGAATCCAACGATGATGCCGATGTCGCCTGTCCCGGCGTTTGCGATAGGCCCGACATACCACGCTTGGGACATGCATGGGACGATGATTTCGCAAGCGCACGAAAACGCAAGTATTGCAGCGAGGCCAAGAGGTAGTCCGTTGGGTTGGCAGTATTGCGAGAGGTCGTATCGCTCCCAGTCGTTTCGCCGGAAGACGACGTGTTCTGCAATGACAATCGCGGCGAAGACGATGCTCCAGTACCCGATGACATCTAGGGCGAATTATTTCAGTATTGACGGCGGCGGGAGAAGAAGCGTTTTGGCTCACTCATAACGTCTACGAATGTTGCATAGAAATGCCTCGCGCCTATTATTGCTACAGGGATGAGGCTAACCATAAACGAGCATTGAGCGTTAGCAGGGAGATCAAGGTGTTTTAGGACGTACATAGCTTCGGAGATGAAGATATATACGTATCGGGGCACCCGAGCGAAACTCGCATGGATCGCCATGAAGCTTGACGCGAACGTATACAGTGTAGGGGCGCATGTACTCGGGACCGAAAGCGCCAGGAGTACAGTCAAAAACTTGCCGAATCCCCCAGAAGGAGCGAGGACAGCTTGTATGAGGCCCCCAGCATTGTTGCCGTTATCGAAGCCCGCTTCCCAGGAGGGCACGCCCGGTGCAGCGGCGGCGAAGGCGGCGCCGAGCAGATGCGAGGTAAGCTAGTTCGTCTTTCGGTCAGCGTGGCAGTGCAATAGACTATGACCGCATGTGCGTACGCTTCAGAGGAAGAACCCGGCATAACTGTACAGGAAGATACGTGTGCTGAAGGGGTCTCGGAGTTGAAGTGTATCAGGGTAGTTTCGCTAGTCGATCACATACCTTGAGGCTTTGTTCGTGTGATACACGCCATAGTCGGGGGTCATAATGCACCAGCTTATCACACTAGACGCGATGGTAGTAGCGAACGACAAGACAGTTGATGTTGTCGGCGGAGGGGGTACTGGAGCCTGGGTGAGGTGCTTTCCGCCGAGGCCGAGTATCACAACGAAAGTTATGACGCTAGGGATCCATGCCACCGTCTCGTACCTATAGTACAATACTACGTATAGCACAGATCGTTGCAAGGAGGTTGAGACGACTCACCAATGAATGACACGATATCCGAAGAACGTCACCTGAAACAAGTTCAAGTTCAAGTCAAAACGTTCGAGAGGCAATCAAATAACCACGTCTCTTCAAACGTACAATGAGTGATAGAACGCCTATGATGATAATCCCCAACGTGTCGTCCAAGTGGGAAGAAACGCTGGCGAGTGTCTGGCCGCCGATGATGCAATTCAGAATCAAGAAACCTTGCATCGAAAATACAGTGAAAGCGCCAGGGATAATGGACCCGAAGTATCTATCACGCAATCGTGTCAGTACTGCACACACCAGGGAGTGTTTAAGATGTAATGGACCTACCCCCATGAGTATCGCGCCAACACCATTGAACGCATGCCTAGCTTGGGACCGAATACCGCACTATGGAAGGATAGAAAATCAATTCTGCTGGGCCATGGGACACATGGATCCTCACAAATATGCCGGGATTACACAGGAGCTGCAATATATCTGAGGTTTAAACCGACGTAGTCCGTGAACCAGGCAACGTACATCAAATCCACTATCCCGAGGATGACGAAAGAGTCCCGCAGTCCAAGACCAAAGAACGCAGGACCCGAAGAGCCTGTTCCAAATCTACGCAGAGCATCCACTTGAGCAGCCACGTTCCCGGGCGATGTGTCGAGAGATTACGCACCCCAGGACGTTCATGTTCGCAGAGAACCAAACAAAGAACATCTGGTACAGCTTAGTGTCCGTCCTGTCTTCGGGGAGAATGGGATCGATCCTGACACGGTCGATGAGTGCACGATACGACAACGAAACCGCAGCGAACACGAACCCATTCGTCTCGATCCCCCAATGGGCTAGGTACTCGCTGGTAGGCGCGAACCACCGTTGCAACCGAGTCCGTTGGGTATCTTCTGCGAACGATGAGTTGGCCTTTTCATCCTCTGGTAAGTCCATGGTCATGTAATGGTGGGAGAAGGTGAAGGCGCGAGGAGGGCGTATAGCGCTTGCCGGAGCTTCCATCAAGGTTCAAGTCATGCATGTCTGACAGATTACGGTCCGAATGAGCGCTTTCAGTGTCTAAACCGGTGAGCGAATATCCAGTCGTGGGCGTTGTGCGCTGCGAGATAGTGGGGGCGTGTAACCGCAGCCCATTTATGAAAGATGCAATAGCCAGAGAGGAGCTGCTCCGTGCGATGTGGGATACAATGGGAGCGCACCTGCCGGCCGAGAGCGGAAGGCAGGTCCTGGAGATCATGACGCTTTCCTAACCTCGTAATTTCTCACAGCCTGTGAAAGGTCAATTTCGGTGGGGGATGTGTACATTCCGGACGCGTGCTTACCTCCTCGAAGTTCTCGTGTTCCCAGTGCATCTCGACTTTGTCCAACGTGTCCTCCGGTAGATACCACTCGAGAAACATGAAGAAGAGGCAGTCGACGAGCAATATGATAGCGAAGATGATACCCGCGAAGCGGCCCAGGTCGAGAGTGCTAGAGCCTGATAAGAAGGCTTTCGTCTGACCAGGGGAAGTAGACGTACCGATGCAAACGCGTCCAGAAGTCGGTCGGGGTGGAGCTCAGAACGGAATCATACACTGTCTCCGTTCTTTGGGTGATTTCCTTCCAGTCGTACCCCTTCATCCATGCTTGGGCACGGAATCGGTCGTGCTTTCCGGCGGCTACTAGCGCAATTGCTTCTGACATTGCGCGGACCACATCTACCCAAAGCAATACAAGATATTAGCGTGAGGGTGGGCGTGGCGCCTTGACAATAGACTCACCGTCTTCATCTGGGTTAGCGAAGGAGATCACGTCTTCTGGGAGGATCTCTGGTAACCCGCCGACACGAGTGGAGACCACGTAAAGCCCTGCACAGGCAGCCTCTAGAGTTGCGATGCCGAACGACTCGGTGAGAGAGGTGGTCATGAATATCGAACCCCTGACGAGAACCTGAGAATAACAATATCAGTTGCTGCGGGCGACATCGCAATGTCGGATCTTACATCGCGAACATCGTTTTGGCGGACCATACCGAGCATTTCGATACGATCTTGGAGAAGGTATTTTTCTCGCATCTGCAAGAGGTCTATCATCTTAGGACCGTCCCCGCCTAACCGCATTGAGCTTCAGCTATATATCATGCCTTTACCTGAGGACACGTACCTATCAGTAAGCGCACGTTAGGAAAAAGGGCGCATATTCGAGGTGCCGTGGCCACCAAAAGGTCAACTCCTTTCCGGTAGGCCATGCGAGATATGACTACAATGGTAACTGAAAGTCATTGCACTTAAGATTAGCACTCTCGATACGTGGTCGTTGTTTCCAGCTTACTGGGATCAGTGGAGGGGGGCGAAGATGCTGGTTTGAACTGGTCGGCTATGATAGCGTTGGGTATGACATAGACGTGTTCCGGGGGCAACCTTGACCTCAATACAGTGTTCTCACGCCTGTTCGACCTAAGTATCAGCATTTAGCACTGGACCATCGCAGTGGTCACCTTACCCGGTATGTGAAACGCATATAGCAGCGTCGACGTTTCGCAGTGCACCTTCTAGTAGTTTGTTTGTGAGGATGCTAGCGGCATCATCAAAGCCGAACAGACTGTGGTCCGTAAAGACCGTCCGTACGCCCATATGGTGAGCATGTAGGATCGCCTCCTGCGCCAACGAGGACAAGCCGGCGTGGCCGTGTATGAGCTGTATCCCCTCCCGGAGTATGATAGTCCGAAAGTACGGCAAGAACGTGAAGTAGTTGGGCAGGGTCGCCGACGAGGCAATGGTCGGGAAAGGGATATAGTACACCTTCAGCGAGGGAAGCAGCCATCTGATGCCGACACGGTCTGGTGGGTGGCTATGTGTTATGACAATCACCTGGTGACAAGCGTCAGTAAGATAGCTTGCACTGGAGTTGCCACACCCTTGCCTTATGGCCACGACGAAGGAGGTTCGCACTGAGCATGTATATGTGGTTTTCTACTCCACCTACCCCCGGGTAGAAGAAATCGCATACCATGCTGTCACTGCGATTTAGCTTATAGCGGATACTATGTCATATATGCAAGACCGTACGCAATGCTAATCCCCATGTTGGGAAGACCTTTCGAGCGTTCGATGCGCACAATGAGGGTTAGGAGGACCACAGGCGTAAGTGGTAAGGTGTGGCGTTACTTTACACGGGAGGGTTCGAGCTCGAGGGCGGAGGAAGAGCAGAATTCCGAATCTCGGCGGGAGGCTGAGCGAAGAAGGGTGCTGAACGAAAAAGTGCCTGCTCCAGCGAGAGTACGGTTCGATGGTGTAGTTGGTTATCACGTCTGTCTCACACGGGTTTGATCATCTGATCACGTGATTACACAGGAGGTCTCCGGTTCGAGCCCGGGTCGAACCACTTTTAAATTGCCTTTTTGGGACTCAGTACGCTACCAGACGGGATAAAATAAATGGGAGCTGCATCAGAGCATGTCTGCGCTGCTTTTGAGGTTGTTCGTCGCAGCGATAGCTCAGCGGAGCCCGACGTTAGGGCTCCTGAAGCGATATACGGTCTCGATCCTGCTGCCAGCGGTTAAGCGCCCTGCGCTACGGAGCTCTGGAGAAGTTCTCAGCTTCGTGACAGTTGTACGTTCACTGTGCTGCAGATGTTGCACCCTGGTTTACTAGTTCACCACAGTGATGCAGACAGACCTCGAGTGCTAAGTGCTGTTGCCCAAAAATTACATGTCAAAAATCTGCTTGCTGCTCTTTACATTCCCAGAGTAACACACGAGCCCCAAGGTCGAAACACGCGGTGTCCCTACGACTCCGACTAGTACGAACGACCGAAGAGGGTCCAGCGCTTCGCGTCCTTGCCGCACCCGACGCATTTGGTGACGCCGGGCTCGATCTTGGGCCAGCGGGACTGGTCGAAGGGAATGCAGAGCGACTTCGCGCCCGCAGAAGGTGCGCGCTCGTCCGTGGGCTCGGACCTGATACGCATTGTTAGCCCCGTGCACACCAACAGCCTGACAGGCACGTAGAAAGTGCACTCACTCGTTCGCGCTGCGCGTCTTGATGTCGTCCTCGCACGCCTCGGCCTCGCACCAGGGGATAACGACGACGTTCTTGTCGTCCAACGTCGGCACGACGTCCTTCCACTCGTGCACCTCGCGCAGGCGCGAGAAGTACACCTCCTGTGCGCGCTTGAACATGTCCGCCTGGATCTGATCGAGCAGTGCGGGCACGGCGGTCTCGATGTCTGCAAGCGGGAGCGGGACCTTCGCTCCGGTGTCGCGCCGCGCGCTCAACGTCTGGTTCTTCGCAATGTCGGCAGGCCCGACTTCGAGGCGAAGAGGAACACCCTGACCAGAGTGTGTCAGTAAGGAGATACCGCAGGCGATCGGGCGAAGCTTACCTTCTGCTCCCAGTCGTTGAACTTGAATCCGGGGGTGTAACCCTCGCGGAGGTCGGCACGCGCGCGAAGACCCGCTTTCTTGAGCTTGTGAGCGAGCTCATCGGCAGCGTCGTTGACAGCTTTGCGCTGCGCATCGGTCGACTTCGCCGTGATACCGCAAGGAACGACGACGACCTGGATCGAGGCGACGCGGGGCGGGAGCACCAGACCCTGGTTGTCGCCGTGGATCATGACCATAACGCCGATCGTGCGCGTCGAAAGACCCCACGAGTTCTGCCAGACATACGTCTTGCCCTGGCCGGTTGGGTCATTCGGGTCCTCGACGACGATGTTGAACATCTCCGGGCGCGAGAAGTTCTGGCCAAGACAGTGCGACGTCGCGCCCTGGATACCACGCCCTGTCGTGGGGACGAAGCCCTCAACGGTCGTCGTGTAGAGACCACCCGCGAACTTCTCTTTCTCGGACTTGACACCGGGGATGACGGGCACGGCGAGGAGCTCCTCGTAGACGCGGCGGTAGAGGTCAAGGATCTCGAGAACCTCCTTGTCAGCTTCAGGCTTCGTGAGATGTGCTGTGTGGCCCTCCTGCCAGAGGAACTCGCGGGTACGGAGGAAGGGCTCTGGGCATATGTTAAATATAGCTGAGAACTGCAGGTGGTGAGTACTTACGGGGGTTCTTGAACTCCCATCGGACGACACTGTTCCACTGGTTCAGCTTGAGGGGGAGGTCACGGTGACTCTGGATCCACTTGGCGTAGTCTATAGGCGAGAATCAGCGACGTCTCCTGGGTCGTGCCATAGGGGCGTACAAGGGTACATGACGGTTTCGGAGGTCGGCCGGATGGCGATCGGCTCCTCGAGCTCGGAGGTACCTCTTTATATAGATGAGCACGCATTTCATCCGCAATGTGTGTATATACTTACGCTCGCGTTACCCATGCGACTTCCGGAGAGAAACCCTCAACGTGGTCCTTCTCCCGCTCCAGCACTTTCGACGACACGAACATAGGGAAATACGAGTTTTGCACACCCATCGCCTTGATGTGGCCGTTGAACCACTCTGAGCAACAAGTTAGTTGACGGTTATTGGCGGTATTATAACCAAGTGCATACCTTGGATAATTTCCCAGATGCTGTACGACCACGGACGGAGAATATAGCAGCCACTGACGTTGTAGTAGTCGAGCATGTCCGCCTTGATGAGCACGTTTGTGTACCATGTCGGGAAGTCGACCTCTTTCTTGACACCGATGGCGATCTGGATAGCACCCTCGATCTTAGCATCCTGCTTGCCTGCAGGGGCAGGTTTTGACGCGACAGCCTCCTCCGCAGCGGTCTGGATAGTGGCAATGTCGATCTCGTGAAGTTTGGGAGCACCCTCAGTCGCGAACTGCTTCACATAAGCAGTGAGATCCTTTCCGGAGAGGAAGACGGTGGAGTCGGAGGAGAGGCCGCGGACGGCGAATGTTGAGGTCGCGGTGGCGATCGCGGTGTCGATCACGACCGTGAGTTTAGGGTACGATTCTGAGTTGATGGCGAGAGGAGAGACTGGGCGGAAGATATATTCAGCACCAGTTGCTAATTAGTGGAAGGACGAGAACACGACTTACGGGAGTTTTTGTCAAGCGCGAAGAACTCCTTAAGCAGATCCTCGGACGCGAGACGGAGATCCTTCAGGTTCAGGACCTTGCCCAGCGCGCCGGAGGGCACATCCGACGTTTCTCGCGTGATCAAGAACACGGGCACAGGCGTCGCGGTTTTCGCGGTCTTGGGCTTGTACACAAGCGTCTTGGTGAGTTCAAAAGGCTTCGGGGCAGACGAGCTAGCCTCTAGGGCCTCTCGCCAGGTCTTGGGAGAGTTCGTGGGCGCATGCGAGACAGTAGCGGCAGGAGAGATGGAGAGCTTCGAGAGAGCCTGGGCGACAGCGTCCAGAGAAGCCATGGTGGCAGGAGAGTGAAGAGCACGAGCAGCGGGACGGAGAGGATAAGGAGACGGAGGACGGTGGGTGTGGCTGCTGCACTCGGCGCTTTTGCAGATTGACTCGACCGTTTTGGAGTGCGGAGATGTTATCAGATGCTGCGATAGAACTGCTCGCGCTCCTCGAGCTCGAGGAATCCGCCGGACGACGGCACTCGAGGCGAGCATTCGCACGTCGTCGATGCAGGAACGGCAGAGGAGGTCGTCGCGTCAGAGGCAGTGACGCGACGCAGAAACGCGTCCGCGACTGGGCGGTCGACGCGATCGAGGCGCTCACCAGATCTACCCGAGCCTGCATGGGCTGCATGCTGATTTCGAGAACACATATCGCATCTATTACGGAGAGGCCGCATTCGCGACTCAAGAAAGCACATTGCGGTGTATATACAGACGTGGACATGCTGCTACCTATATATGTGATGATTCAAAATCATTAGCTACCTCCGTTCCGATTCGTACAACGGTTGCAGACACGTCCGTGCGAGATGCGGCGAGATGGAGGCGGTCAGTGGTATATGTATTGTACAGACGAGACGTGTAAGTAGATCGTGATGTTCATGCGGTGGAGCTCGAGCTTGGGGTGGACGTCGACCCGCTCTCATCCTCTAGCTTGTGCTCAGCAGGCTCCTTAAGCTCCTCCTCGATCGCCTTTCGGCCTTCCTCCGTGAGCTCCGGCAGACCCGACGAAAGGTCGGGGTCGAAGTACCGGGGAACAAAACTGTGTGCACTGTAAGCTGCTGGTCGAATGAAGAACAGACGTCCACCTACGTGACTCCTTTGCGCTTGCGCTCCGCCGCCTCGTCTCTTTGCTTCTGCTCAATAACGAGCTTGTGCTTCGTCGCCTCACTGTACTCCTTCGATATAAGCTTCGTCGTCACATTCTCCCACAGCTTCCTGCTCTCCGTCGGCAGCTGCTTCTCCAGCGGCCGCACCGTCTTCGGGATCACGTGCAGCGTCGACAGGTCCAGCAGCGTCGCGTACTCGGTATCCGGCGCGTCGACACGTTTCCAGCGGACGCGATCCCGCCAGGAACCGTCAAAGACCGCGAGCACACGCTCGCGCGGAACGTGCTTGATGCGCGTCCACTCCTCGTGTACCGTCTCCTTGGGGTCGTAGGTGTGGATGATGCCCTCGCACAAGAACTGCGCGCGCCCGAGCCACGACTCCTCCTTGTACTCGATGATCGCGCGAAGTTTCAGCCCGTCCTTGCCCCCGGAGCAGGTGATGATCGTCGTCTCCCCAACGGTCACGTAAAAGCTACCACGGAGCAATCCGTTCACCGAGGCGACGGGGTGCGTGATGTGGTATATCTCGCCCTCCCCGGGCTCGCCCGTAATGCGGACGTAAATACCCTTGTTGAAGGTACCCGGCATGACGCGCAACGTCGTCCCAGAGACCTTGGCAGAGATCTGGTCCACACCCGCGAGCTCTAGATGACGACTGGGGCATGACGCGTGGAACGCCGATATAGGGGGGTGGTGCGAGACCTGCTCCGTGAGGAAGGCAATGCGGATGCGCGGTTTGTCCGCAGCCGTCTCGTCCGTCTCCAGGAGGTCCGCTGCGCCCGAGGCGCGGTCGTTCGCGAGGCTGAGGCTAGACAGGCCAGCCTCGATGTTTCCCTCGACGGGCTCGGGGGAGGTCGCTGGCGTGGTCTTCGCTGTCGCGGCGGTGGACATGAAGCTGAACCGGCTGAACGCACTCTTGTTGCTCTTGCCGCTCTTGACACTTGCAGTCTCGGACAACGAAGGGTGGGCGACGTCGGGCATTGAGTGGGTCGCAGGGGTATTGAACCATGATGAAGTCGCGACCTCCGCGCCGGGAGGCGACACATAGAGATGGTGAATGGGGGGCTCGCTCGGGTCCGAGGGGTAGGAGACGGGGATGACGTCCCAGTGCGAGCGGAAGTGTTCACCCAGCACCGAGTTGTACGGTTTGCAGACCTTTCCCCTCTGCAAAAGTGATCAACATCAGATTGCGGTATACGGTGGCTGATGCGGCCCACGCACGATAAACTTAAGGTCCTTCGAGAAGGTGAATCGGAGTACGGCCAGCATACGCTCGAAGGGATCGTCAGAATCATTGATGCTGGGAGTGTGTCAGTCCAAAGTCGCTCGCCCGCATTACACCCGCATTACACCCTACTCACGCAGCGAACAGGTCGGGCCTATCCAGGTACTGCCAGTACTCGAGGTTGGGGATAGGCTCTAGTAATGACGCAGGGAGAGAGAGGCGCCTAGCTCACGACGTCAGACACGATAACGAAGAGAAGAGCGCGCTCTAGACGTACATCGCAGCGATATCCTTGACACCGAGGCACTTCTTGACGAGCTGAACGATCATCTTGAGCTTGCCACTCTCGCCGGTGTCGCTGGCATCGGGCACCGATATCGGCTGGCCCGGGGCGTCCTCGTCTATGGCCGCGGCAGCATCGTGCTTGTCCAAAGAGGCCATCGCAGACACGGAGGAAAAGGGGGTGGGTGGTGGAACGAGGTGAAAGAGGTGCGCAACGAAGAACGTGTGCAACCCCGCCCCACCCTGCTTAATGTGTCCAGTATGGGCGCTTGTCAATACGTTGCTTGGCTGCGCTGCGCACGGGCCGTGCAATGCCGTGCCTGCAAATATATCTCGCACACAGCTCGCTGCGTACTCGCAGTGCTCTTCGATTTTGAACATCATATTGCATTCTCAGTTCGGCGTCGCGCGACGCCATTATCGTAAAGTACAAAGCAAGAGACACAGATGATAGACATGGGACGCCGGGTGAACGGGGGGATAACATAAGTACTGCTACGGGAGTCTGTATGTGGCGAACGGACATGCATGGAGGGTGAGCGTGGGGGTGGTGAGCACCAGCCCACCTGGCATGGTATGTATCGGAAAACTGTACTACCGTGCATCGAGCGCGTGAGGGGAAATGGGGGGAGGGTGGGTAGATACAACTGGGGAATATTGACAATGAGGGGGAATGCGTGAGGAACGAGAAGGGACTGGAGTGTGGGGGAGAATGCGAAGGTCGACTGGGTAGGCGGAGGCGAGGCCGTGGAACAGGAGAGCAGAGACCGGGGAGGTGTGGAGGGAGGTATCACAGAGGAGGATTAGACAACAATAAACATCGATGCAGATATGCAAGGTTTTGACGTGAGCCGTCCGGAGTGGCGGCGAGAGTTCGTGCATGCTACACAACAAAGAGGCCAGAAAAGCGGTGACGAGAAAGACCAGAAGCGATATAGGGATGAGGATGGAGGTGTCCCGGGGTGATGCAAGCAAGTCATGCGCGCAAAGTACGATCCGGCGAACGAAAAAAGTTCGTCAGACATGATACACCTCATCGCTCCTGGAACGTATCGCTGCCCGTCGTGCCGTTTGCCTGAGCTATTTGCTCCTCTGCAGCCCGCTGGTCTTGGATGATCGCTTTGAGAACAGGAAGTTCTACCAAGAGGTCCACCTGCGTGTTCTCCTCCCATCGCTCCAGGGCCCAGTCGCGAACAAAGATACTTGCCTGTCAGAGGGAAGACAAGTTTAGTCGGAATTGTGCCAGAATGACAACGTAAAGACGACTGACCTTCAAGAACTTCTTGGACGCATACTTCTTGAAGAACGACTGATGCCGTGCGGGCTTCAGGATGTAGTTCAGCATCAAGTTGGCGGTGGGGATGATGTCCCTTTCGCGGTACGACGAGTAGTGAGCGAGGTTCGGTGTCTAAAACAAGATGAGCGAAAGGACGCCCGTCGATATAGCGCAAATCATACCCAGTCCGAATATCCGAGAATCAAACGAGCGAGCCAGACGGACGCAGCGGCAAGAAGGGAGGGCGGGGCGGCGATGAGGCGCCACTCGAGGCACTGGATCTCAAGCAGGTACTTGCCGATGGTCCGAACCTGGACGTTGTAGTCATCTGCCTTGCTGATGCGGCGAAGGAAGTGGATGGGATTCGGGTAGCTCAAGTTCCACTCGATGGTCTTCAGGACGTAGCGTTCCGCCTGGAGAATTTCGGTCTCCGTGTATGACGAGTCCGCACAGTAGAGGAAGTTGCTAGCGGAGGGTGCGACGATCTCCTCGACCTTCGCCGCGATGAACATGCACGTGATCCCTACGAGCTGGAGTTTCGCCAGGGAGACGACGCGCGCGGAGAGGAAGCGGTCAATGATGTTGACGCAAAGGAACAACGTCTCGGGGAGCAAACGGAAGCGAGAGTGGACTTGGATGAGCCAGTCGGTGAGAATCCCGCGCATCTTCCAAGCCAGGTCCTTCTGGTTCGCCATGTAGTTCGGGTTGGGCATGGTGGTTTGCTACGCGAACATCAGAAACGTGCATATATGCGGGAAATAACACGACATACCTCGACCTTCTTGAGGTACTCAAAGATCTCGACCACATACTCGCTCACCATGAGCGGGTCATCCGCGTCCTCTGCATCCAGATCATCCCACGCGTCATTTTCCACTTCCTCCTCGAACTCGCTCTTGGGTATCACAGCGTTCTCTACCTCCTCTTCGTGCATCGCTGCCACGTCCGGGACATCTGACGACGTACGCCGCTTCTTGTGCGCACGAGTAGCCTCTTCCTCATCGTCCTCCTGCTTTAGCGAACGCCCCGATATCCGACGGGGCACTCGTGAACCTCCAGGGATACTTGTTCGCGCGGCCTCGCGAGCAGCCACAAACCGCTGTGGCGACGGTATAGGTGCAGGAGGTTGGGGGTCGATAGCCATAGCATCTTCGTCGTGCTCTCTCAAGACCTCCAGGTGCTTGCCTTGCGAGGGCTGTACGTGCGCTTGTGTGCCTGTAGTCGTACTCCGGGTTCGACGCGATGCCGCAGTTGTCGAAGTCGTGCTCGAATCCACTACGGTGCGCAAGGGTCTGCGGACAGTCGTGGTCGTGGTTGTCTGTTTGAGAACGACGCCCTCGAACTTCTCCTTGATCTCCTTGACGCGCTCCTTACCCTTGAGGTCGGTGGTACCCGGAGCAATGGCAAGCTTCGCCTTGTTCTCCGGTGGTTTGGGGACCTCGCCGAGAGCCGCGCGCTTGCGCTTGCCCTGGGCGGCAGGATCAACCTGAGAGGTAGCCACACCAATCGACTTGGCCCTTGTGGCTGCAGTCGAGCCCGTCGCGCGCACGGCACCCGGCGGCTTCGCATTCTCTGGCTTGTCTGCGGCGGATTGAGAGGAGGGGGGTTTCGCGCGGGATGCAGCTGTACGTCCTGCCCGAGCCGTCGCGTTCTCCTTGTCTCGGAGGACAGCGGTGCGATTGGTCGTAGCCCGCGTCACACGCCGCGTCTGGAAATCAGCCTGTTCAGTATCTCGGAAGGCAGGATGGGGGCTTGTGAGACGTACTGGGATGGCAGAAGACATAGGAGAGGGAGCAGCGGTCGTAGGGAATGTGTACAGCGGTGAAGAGGTAGTACAGGTTGGATGTGGACTAGGCAAGCGCGCACCTCACGACTCGTTTTGTTCAACACCAGCCACAAACACACCAAAATAACACGCCCGCCGCGGCGCGTGCCCCACGTGACCCGCGCCCCAAGCCCTTTCCTCCCCGTTAGGCGCCGACGCGTCCGCTCATCTCTCCTCCGGCTTTGGCTCTGGCTGCTGCTCTGTGCTTGGCTCATGCTCCGCTGGTCCGTGCTTCCTGCAGGGCTACGACTCAGCTGCACCCCATCATGTTCTCGCAGATGGCTCTCGACTACCCGGCCTGTATGCGCTGACAGCTCTCCACGCTGGGGCGATACCCTTCTGCTGCCCAACACCGCGTTCCCATTGTACAATGACCCGTCCAAGGACCCAGCGCTGCGGAACAAGACAACGGAGGACCTCTACCGATGGCAGGTTGGCATATCTTGGGACAAACCACCATCACCTCCTCTCATGCTTGTCTCGTTTAGTGGAAGCATGCGCAAGGCCCTCTCTTTGTCTTCCATGACGGCCCGCCCTACGCGAATGGAGACCTGCATATGGGTGAGCTCCTACTATTGTAACAGCGCTTTCTATACGCTGCTTTGGTTCACGCGTTGCGGCACCTACGCAACATGCGGAAAGGCCGTGGTGATGATTGTATGCGACTCAAACAACCCTCTACAGGCCACGCATTGAACAAGATCCTGAAGGATATCATCAATCGCTATCATGTCTCTCTAGGTCACAGAGTAAAGTAAGCATACACTGTAGCCTGTCGCGGAGCCGCGTCTAACCATGCATCCAGTTATGTGCCTGGCTGGGACTGCCACGGACTTCCGATCGAGAACAAGGTCCTGAAGCAACTAGGGGTGAGTTCTTTGCCCATATTATACAAGTTACTTACCCATTTCCTACTTCAGGCTGAGATAAATCAACTCACCCCGTCGCAAATTCGGGATGAGGCCGAGAAGTTAGCCCGTAAAGAGGTCACATCGCAGATGGAGCAGTTTCAAGCACTTGGTATCATGGCAGATTGGAGCTCAGAGACGACATATCGCACACTTGGTGAGCGTCATGTTATGTACTATCGAGCCGTTCACCAACCGTCTAACGCAGATCCCGAGTATGAGTTAAGGCAACTGGAAGTCTTCAAGGCCATGGTCGAGAAGGGTAAGGACAGTCGCATACCTTGCATCTACCTATCCTCATGATCTCGACCATAGGTCTCATCTACCGGCAACATCGACCCGTCCATTACTCACCGTCGTCGCGGTCCGCGCTTGCTGAGGCCGAGCTCGTGTACAACGAGAAGCACGTCTCACACTCCATCTATGTAACTTTCGAGCTCGACCCCGCCAGTCCACATATGTCGGGCTCTCTTCGCGCAATGATTGCAGGTTCGAAGAAGGTGTCACTGTTGGTCTGGACAACAACCCCGTGGACTTTGACTGCGAACATGGTCTGTATGGTTCGCGTTATGTGGCTGGAGAGATTACTCAACGCCTATGCAGGCTATTGCGGTTAACCCGGAAATGGACTATCACGTCGTTGCTGTCAAGGATGGCCCGGAAGAAGGCAGCGCCGAGTCACTACTGATTTACGCAGCGGAACGTGCGGACGCTCTTCAAGAGATTCAAGGTCTTTTCCCCACCCCACCCGTCCACATAGGCGAACTCGAAGGTATATCCCAGTCAGCCTGTCATCCTTCTGTGACCTCACTGAAGTTCTACAGGGTCCGACCTGGTTGCTGCGGGCTACCGCCCGATCTTTGCGCCACTGCATAGCTCGCCGGCTTCGTTGCCGTCTCTCCCCATCATACCTTCGTCGCACGTCACACACGATTCCGGTACGGGTTTAGTGCACTGCGCACCTGCACACGGACCAGAGGACTATGCCGTCATGCAATCGCTTGGCCTCATCTCGTCGTCCTCCACTTCGTCATCCTCGCCATCATCTTCTGCAGTCGACCTCGTGTGTCACGTCAATGGCCTTGGACAATTCACTAGCGACGTAACAGATGTTGTTGGCAAGGAAGCCGCGAGCCGTCTAGTTGACCAAGACATCCTCGACCAGGGCGGACGGGAGATTGTGAGCCTCCTTACCGAGCTCGGGGCCCTTCATAAGGTACAGAGATACAAGCACCGGTATCCATACGACTGGAAGACAGACAAACCCGTGATTGTGCTGTGGGTGACTATATTGCGCCCTCCGCTGATATACTTACCATTTGACGGATTCTATAGGGCGACATCGCAATGGTTTGCGAACCTGGACAACATCAAGGAAGACGCCGTTACTGCTCTGCAGGACGTGTCGTTCTTCCCCGCCATCAGTGAGCACTCTGCACCGTATGCCCACTCGACATACACTAACCTCATGCAGCGCGCAACCGCCTTGAGTCCTTCATCCGCTCTCGCTCCGAGTGGTGTATCTCCCGGCAGCGCGTCTGGGGTGTACCCATCCCCGCACTCTACCACCTGCCCTCCAACTCCGCCGTGCTCGACTCTGAAAGCCTCGCGCACATCATGTCCGTCCTCCGCGAGCGCGGCCCCAAGTATTGGTGGGAAGGCCCCGCGTCCGCGTTCGTTCCACCATCTCGGCGCGAGGGCATGAGCGACGCGGAGCTTGATGAAGTGTGGAGTAAAGGCACAGATACGATGGATGTGTGGTTCGACAGCGGGTCGTCGTGGAGCATGCTCGACGCCCTCTATCAGGACCCCACCTTGTCCTCCCAGGGAGGCAAGGAGCGCCCGCGCACGTTCGGCGCGGACGTCTGCCTGGAGGGCTCAGATCAGCATCGCGGGTGGTTCCAGAGCCAGCTTCTGACCGCGCTCGGGTGTGCGACCGCACCAGAGCGCGCGCAGAAGGCACCGTACTCGACGCTCATCACGCATGGCATGGTGCTCGACGAGGCAGGGAAGAAGATGAGCAAGTCGCTCGGGAATATTATGAGCCCCATGACGGTCATCAATGGAGGCAAGGTCAGTCACCCACGTTTTGCCTTGTCTTTCGAGCACCTCTCACCTAACGCATACGACGGACAGGGCAAGAACGAGAAGGCGTACGGGCCAGACATCCTGCGATTGTGGGCCGCGACTGTCGAGTTTGGCAAGGACATGTCGATCGGCCCGACAGCGCTGACGCAGACTGCTGAAGCGATGCGCAAGATTCGCAACTCGTCGCGCTTCATCCTCGGAAGTCTCGGTGACCGGCCATACGAGCACAAAGTCGAGCGCGCGGAGCTTGGGCTCGCGGATCGCTACGTGCTCCATAGCCTGCACGCTCTAGATAAGACAGCCCGTGAGGGCTACGAGACGTACAACTTCCCGCGAGGTATGTCTCGCCGTTCTTGGGGGTTTACTGCAAAGAGACAATGCTCACGATGTCGCAGTGATCACCCAGTTGTCCTACTTTGCAAACGTCGTCCTGTCCTCATTCTATTTCGACATCAACAAAGACCGTTTGTACGCGGCGCACGAGCAAGGGCTCGAGCGTCGCCGCGTTTTGACGGTGTTGGATCAGGTATTTTCGTTCTTCTGTATCCTGACATGCAGCTATTTAACTCAACTTTTCCTCGATGTAGGTTTTGACGACCATGACCAAGGTTCTCGCGCCTGTTCTACCCCACCTTGCTGAAGAGATCACCGCCACCCTACATGGACCTGATGCACCCTCTGTCTTCACCACCCCATGGACACCTCTTGTGCGTATCTTCCCTGATTTCATCGAAGTGCATACTCATAGAGTGTGTTGCGCAGCCGGACGAGTACATCGACCCTCAGGCGGAGGCAGACATGTCGCAACTATTCCGTATAAGAGACAAGGTCTTCGCTCTCTTAGAAAAGGCGCGCAAAGACGGGTAATTATCTCGCGTACTGGCAGATATGGGGCATCGGTGGCTGATGCCGCTCTGCAGACACGTCAAGAGCTCTCTTTCCGCTGATCTTGCCTTGAACATCACGTCGGCCACCACGTCAGATGTGATCGACCTGCTCGGGCGCGAAGGTACGTCAGCCGCCCAGTATCTCCACCGCAAGCCTCTAACATATAGGACAGAGAACATGCTCGCCGCCCTGTTCGGCGTATCTGGCGTCAGCCTCTCTGAACATTCCGATCAGTCCAAACCGCTTTGGCAGTACACCGACACCCTAGACCTAGAAGGTCAGCCGGGTGTGGCTGACGCTGAGAACGATGGCTGACTTTCCCTGTACAGGTACCGAGATAGAGATCGTTGTGCGTCCAGCGGCGTTGCACAAATGTCCCCGGTGCTGGACATTCACCCGCCACGAGCACGACGACCTGTGCAAGCGCTGCACAGACGTCGTGCACCCACAACAGGCATCATAGGCGCATACGCGCGCCACATACATAACTGTAGTAATAAACGTAATGCGCTCTCCGCTCCAACTCATGCTTCCTTCGCCCGAGGACGACCCCAATGCCCGTGTCACTGTCAACTGCAACATATGTTCGCCTGCAAAATTGGACCCTGAGACTGCGGCTGAGGCTGGCTGTGGCTGACTAGCGGTTACTCAAAAGAAGCCCGGAGTCATCGAGATCCCGATATGGTGGACAGCCACCGACGTCCCGATCACGGGAAGATCTGTGACGTAATCGATCGGCTGGCTTTGGTAGAAAACATTTGTTAGCCTCGAACCTGAGCCAGGCTCCACCCAACACTGAGACCATTAATGCATAAGATATCTTTGCTGGCGTGTGTTTGAGAGAGGCTATGACGCCGTTTGCCTGTCAGGATTCAAGACTATCCGGACACCGTGATTGTACGCCTTCAGCATCGCGGTGCTCAAATTCGAAACTCGAGGCTCTGGTGGGACATATGGGGGAATTGTAAGATACATGTACATTGCTTATGTATTTTTGGAAGCGTTGCCTCATCACGCTCGTCGTGTTCTGGTGTGCTACAACTTGTTTTTCTCGAGTCGGGTGTACGGAAACGAAGTACATTGGATTTGTCAAATTTCCAGGCTGCAGGGCGATCTCTTACAATACACGTATATCCTTTTGCTTCATTATTTACCTTCATGCGCAGTGGAAACGTCCCTCTAGGCAAAGGTGCCCTGCGGGAAGACCATTGGACCGGCTACTTCCGCTCGCTTCTCCTTTCCACACAACAACTCTACAAGGGTGAGTGCGAAAGGGAACGTCGTGCCTACAACATATCGAATATGTCAGTAGCATACACACATAATACCCAGTTGAGCGTACCTGGACCCCGACTATGGGGATCGCGCCGTTGGTGAGTGGAATTCAAGCAACCCATCTGCGTAATCGCATACCTTGTAACAAGCTTGCCAGAAATAACCACGGACTCCTCGGAGTAATCGAAATCTATGTGCGTGTATGTAAGAATCAGCATGGAGATGATATGCATCATAGAAAGTATGCTTGCCATCCTTCAACTGGTCGCGGACACTTGGGTGAGAGGTGATCGGCTGGCGTGGAAGCCCAGCCGTGGAAGCCGCCAAGCTCCCTATACGAGCTGGAGTCAGACCACGCATTTTCCAGAAGGAGAGACGGACTGCTCACCTGCACATATCATGCCAACAAACTTGCCTGCTTGCAGGTACTCTTTCACTAGATGCTGAATGGATGCGTTGCCCGAGATCGTCGCGGCGCCTTTCGCGCCTCCCGGTATGACCAGCAGATCAAATTTGTCCTGGAATTTGACTGCATCAGCAGCAGTAATCGCCCATCGTTTTGTAGCGGGCCACAAACGGGTGTCGCTGCAGATGGCGAAAAGTAGATGTCCGGGACGATCCTGATACCCCGAGAGCCTTTGACAAACGGCGGGTTCGACTCATGGCTCCTATGGTCGTCACCTTCATCCCTTTCTGAGACGAAGGCTGACGTGCAAGCAACGCCTGCACGTACGAGGGTGTCGTAGGTGATGGTGCTGGGTGTCTCGCCTCAGAATATGTCCCGCTCGATCTGATGGTCAGAAAAATCGGGCGTACAATTCCATCTCCTCTGTTCCGTCAGCAATCAAAATCAAAGCAGACGGCATGTTTATTCTGGATTCAAGTGAACGGAGAAATGGCAGTCTGTCGGTGTGATGGTGGTCAGAAGAGAGGCAGCGCGCCTCGAGAGTCCGAAGTGGCTGTGGTGACGTCAGCCTTGAAGGTATCCCGTCAAATTAGCAAATATTTTGGCTTGTCTGCGTAAATATTCCTCCCTAATTTTCTGGCAACTGGTCGGACCGGGGCGGCGAGGTGCGTGTGGCTGAGGAACTCTGGAGACGACCACGACGACCGCCAATCCTCCCCTCGTTCCTGTCGTTCTCGCTGCTTTCGACGATCTGCGCTGCAGTCTGTGCATGAACTCTCGTACTCGTATACTGGCACCGAAGATATCGCTGGACGCCCCATCCGGAAGCTTCGTACGCCAGTCCCACGCTCACGCCCGTCTGCCTTGTGCCAACTATATCGCGCAGCGTCTGGTATAAGCGGTGGTGTGGGAGATGTTCACCCGCACCAAAATGGACGACCAGTTCACAGAATGGCACTCCGTACGACCCTGGCACCCAACCCTCTCCCTCGCAGTCCGCGAGATCACCTCTGTCTCTGTCACCTTCCTCCTCTCGTGCCCGTACTCTGCCCCAGATCCTGCGAAGGAGGACCCCACATCACTCGGCCTATCCTCCTCGGATGACGACGATCAGAGCCGCGACAGCGCGAGCACGACAGATTCCGTCTCCACCCAGGTCGTCGCAGACATCCTCGCCAAAGGGCTGTCCGTGAAGGTCAATGGCACGCCCTGGCAGCGCGTCTTCCTGAAGATGGACGAAGTCTTCGACGAGGGCATCATCATCCTGTACGGTTTGATGCCCGCGAGGATTTACGACGTCGAGCTGGGGCTCTCCCCAGGACAGGCTAGCACCAGCGTCCGCGGGCAGATCACTACCGGTACGTGCCACCGTTTTCTCTTGCGCAGCCAGGCGGTCTGGCATTGAACCCGAGTCCCTGCACTGTCAATGCAGTTGACGCTCTGGGCATCAAACTGAGGGCAACTAGCCTCGCCAACCGTCGTTGACACCAAACTGCCCTATCCCTTCCCTACCGACCTCAGGACCGCCATTAGATGCGACATACATCGAAAGATCGATACCAGATCACCTGGCTGCAAAATAACTCTGAATGTAAACTCACCGTGCTTTCCCCAATACAGATAACGAGACGCGCTCAGAAATAGTAACATTACCGGACGCCATCTCTGACGAGGCCGCAGCAGACTCTTCCGAATCCTCCATGTCGTCCTCCATCCCTCTCTCCACGACGCCTCCACACACGAACGGCGTACACACCCCTGGCCCCCCGCCTACGCAGTTCACACTCGAAGACCACCGGCTCCAGCTTACGCACCAGTTAAATCAATTAAACGCGGAGCACTCCAGTCTCACCTCCTCCCTCAAGTCGGCACGGAAAGAGTCGCAGAAGGCGGACGCCGCGCTCCGCTCCGAGATCGACACTCTCAAGCGGGCGTCAGACCGGTACGCAGCGGGCGAGAGCAGGGCGCGGCAGAAGATCCTCGCGCTGCAGCAGGCTGTGAAGCAGACTGTCGCGGCCGCGCGCGATATCGAAGCGCTTGTAAAGGATATAGAAGTTGCATTGCCTGCGTTGGAACAACAGAGAACAGAGGTCGAGAAGGAGTGGACGAAGGCAAAGGAGGACGCGAAGCGGGCCAAGGCGCGGCGGACAGAAGCGGAGAAACGGGAGCAGGCGCGCGCAGAGGCGTCACAGGCCGAGCTCGCGGGCCTTGCGAATAGGCTTGACAAGCTAAACGGGAAGCGCGAGAAACTCGAAGGCGAGGGCGGAGTACTTGCGGAGCTGGAGGAGAAGCTGCGCAAACTCGAGGAGGAGCGCGAGCGCATAGAACGCGATCCGTACGGCTACGAAGGGGAGGCAGCGGGGGATTCCGAGGACGGCTTCGGTGCATCGGAGGGACGCTCGAAAGACGACAGCTCCCCCGAGGGCGAGCGATCGCAGCCTCTGCCCGGTCGACATCACAACCAAGCCCACGGCGCTCACCCGAACAACTTCCACCCACAGCAGCACCAGCACCCGCGCAAGCGGCACTCACATCCCCACATGCACAACCAGCCGCACGCGCACCACCCCCGCCCATCCTTCCCGCCCCCTCCGCGCCCCGTCGAGCCAGTGCATCGCCCTGCCGCCGGGCGCGCGTCCTTCCCCATGGGCACCAACGCCGTCCCCGGGGTGATCCACCTCCCACAGCATCCCCACCGCAAGAACCACCAGCACCGCGGCGCGTTCCACGCGCACCCGCACGCGGTTGGGACGGGCTCCGGATCATCATCCGCCTCGTCGACGCCCGTCACGGCCACCGCGGCTACCGCGAACGTGGGCTCGAATCTGTCAAGTCGCGCGCCGCCATTCGAGCCGTCGCGCAGCCGCGCGCACTCGCAGTCGTATGCACAGGGGCAAGGGCCTGCGCGGTCGGAGCTGAACCCGGGGTCTATGCCGTTCGCGCCGCGAAAGGCGGGGTTGGGGCCGTAGAGGGCTGTGGGAGAGATGGAAGAGGAGGCGGATGATGAGACTGTTGTACGCAGCGCCGACGGTGTGCTTCATATATACTGGGATGCAAGCCTGCTTGACGGCCGCTCGTAGTCCCCGTTGTACGACTACTAATTAGACCAACATGTATCCATTGCAGCACTCGCATATCTAACGCTCCACTACCCTCGCTGGTGATCATTCTTTCACCATCCTGGAACGTCGCAGGCACAAACGCGTTCGCGAGAAACCGAGGTCCTAAAATAAGTATTCCTGATTGTCATGCACTTCGCTCAGGCGCAGTTTCATAGAGAATGTTGGTAAAAGCGACGTACCATAACCGCCACCCCCTCGTGAGTAAGGGCCAATCGCGGTGCGCATCTCCAGGCTACGCTCAACGTTTGCGGGCCCTCGATCTCCCGGTGGGTTATCCGGAACGGATACATAGTCTGCACCGAGCCCCAGCAGCTAGAATCCCGCTTTCCGAACATGTCATAGGCGTCGACGTGCTCAGTGGGACCGTATGCAAGCGGCGGGACCTGCTCTCCAGCCATCGTACTCTGCGCAAAGGGCAAGAGCTCGATGATATAGACGTGCGGGGGAGTGGGGGGAGTGCCGGGCCTCCGATAGGCGAATACCACGGCGCACCGCGAGCCCAGGGTCGCGATGACGTGCGCACGGGGATGCAGGCTGACCAACCGCGAGCCACGGGGGCCCCACTCCTCCCAGAGCACGCTGCGCGCGGGCTCGTCCGTGGCATGAGGGGGACCATTCGAGGGATACGAAGCGAGCAGTGTTGACAGCGGGATACACAGCACGAAGGACTCCTCCGAGGGCTGGGGAAAGGGACCGTCCGGTGTGCTGTCCAGGGCGGTCCTCATATGAAGCACCAACATCGTGAGCGAAGGGTCTTGTTGAAAGTGAGGGGTGCAGTCCGGGTATCCGGTGGGTGGGAACGTTAGGTACGGCTGCAAGCGGCCGAGCTGCTCATGGCTGGTGGGAATAGGCGGTGTCAGGAGGGTGAAGAGGCAGTCGTGCAGTTGTACATAGCTGGCGTCTGCCGTGCAGGACGGATCGAATTGGAAGACGCGGATAGAGCACGCTACGGTGTCGACCACTACCACACGAGAGGGCGAGATGAGGTATGCTTTGAGCTGGTGTGCATGTTGTAATGGATTGCCGATCCCGAGTGCGAGGCTCTAAGGGACGCCGAAAAGGTTCAAATCAGAATGATAGTGAATGGATAGAAACGCACCCAGACGAGCACACCGGTCTGCCAATTCCAGACCATCATCGCACAACTCCACCCGTCACTGTACAGCAGCTCCGCCAATGCCAGTTCTCCGAGTAATTGCAAATTTGCAGAGATGTTCAAACCTCTCGACGTTACGATGGGTATGGGGCCGTACCAAACACGTCTTGACGAGAGCGGGTGAGGGCCCGAGGGGTCCTGGAGATTGCTCAGGTTGCATGCTATAAATGGCCTTCAAGCTGGAATTCAGCAGCCTCGTTGGCTCGAATGGTACCGAACATTGTAGCTCACGGGTCGCCGGCTTGTATGTAGGAGGTCATGATTAGTAGATTTCGTGCGAAGTCAATGGCATAACGTTGGCCAGGGACGATGAGTACTGGTCCCAACGAATGAGCCGGATTTACCAGATCGACTTCGAGAAACCGTTCGGGTAGCCCGAAGAAGGGCGCAGGCGGCCTCCAAACTCTCAAGATAGACTCCGTCAGGCTTTTATCGCCACGAGAGAGGTCGACGTGTCCGGAGGGGTACACGCCTCCAGCTCTGAGCTCTCCAGGACGGCGAAGCATGGTGGTGCAGTGGTGGATGGGATACTCAGCGCGCAGCCACACCTTCTTGTATGCCCGTAAGGCTGCTAGACGATCGATAATTGGCACATCGCTGGGGGGTCCGTCAACCATGCCCATGAGCGCGAGCATTAGCTTGTACTGGATCTCGGTAGTCCCATCGACAACGTCGGCGAGCCGGCGGCATACCTAGTTACTCAGTATCGGACGTCAGTTCCGCTGCGTACTATTCGAGCAAAGTGTCACACACCTTCCGGCATACAAATAAACTCTCAGTGTCAAGGGCAGAGATGATCTTCACAAGTAATTCTGTGGGAGCTTCCAAAAGGCTGACAGGCTGATCCTTGCTGTCTGGTTGCATAGTGTTTCTGTGTAGTGCGAGATGACCTTTGCAACGAATATGAGGGGGTTCCAGTGTCCACCGCAACTTGCGACGATCGTGGTAAGAGCTCAAAGGGTCGAAAAGCGGTGCAGCGCAACTTCAAGTTTACGCCACGTGCTCTTGAGATGCTCGGTAAATGTTTACGGCAACGACGACTGCCAGGGACATTTGACAACAAGAGGGAAAGCGTACGAGCGATATCACCTCCACGGAAGGCAGTCGCCCTGTATGCAGTAGCGCAGCTGCGATAGATCGGTGCAATGATAACCCCAGCTCATGCCTGACACTGCAATCATATGAAAGACGGCCCGAATGGCGGATGGCAACGCGCTGGAGTGAATCGAACCAGTAAAACAAAACAATACACGCACACGCAGGCTCACATCCTCCTGAACGTGTTTTTGCTCCCGCTCCGCATGCCCTGCCGCCGCTTCGCGCGCCCCTTCCGCTCCGTCTCGCTCATCTCGTGCTCCGGGTCCTCCCCGCCCCTCTCCATCCCCGCGCCGAACGACTCCACGCCCTTCCGCTTAGCGTCCTTGCCCTTCTTCAACGGCGCCGCGTCGTCGTAGTCCTGGCCGGAAGAGGTCGTCCGAGGAATGAACGTCATCTCGATGCCGCCCCCTGCTGTGTGGCGGACGGAGGAGTCTCCCCGCCCAGAAGATGCACGCTCCTTGCCCTTCGAGCCTAGGTGAGAGCGGCGCTGGCCAAACGTCGCGTTCTTGTCCACGCCGCGAGCACCCGTGTCGCTCTGTGCTTGGAGAGGCGCCAGACGGACCTTCGCCTCCCGCCGCTGCGGTGCCCTCGCCTGCTTCTGGGAGCTTGCACGCGCCGCCATGCGCACACGGATGTTGTCCTGCCACAGTTCTACGACGGCGAAGTATTATCAGCAATGACTCCCGAACGATCCATGTAAAATACTCACTGCCGGCATCGTCGCTGTCTTCGCTCTCGCTGCCGCTCTTGTCCGCTTTGCTCTCCTCACCCGAGCTAAGACCGTCGGAAGACACCTTGTCGCTCTCATCCTCCTCATCCTCCACCGCCGTCTTCGTCCGGCCCCGACCCACCTCGGGACGCCCTTGCCGCTGCGCAACCGCCGAGGGGTTCAAAAGCGCGAACTCTCTAGTGCTCTCGTCCACCTCGAACTCGGGGTCCTGGAACACGGCCGCAAAACGCGGATCGCTGAGCAGCGTCGGCTTCTCCGTCTCCTCGTCCTCCATCTCCTCCTCTTCCACGGCCACCTCGTCGACCTCCATCGCGTCCTTCTCCCCTTCCTCCGCATCTGCCGGGAGATTTGCACGTTTCGCACGACGCTCGTCGCGCTTGCGCTCGCGCGCCTCCTCCTTCTTGAGCTTCTCCGCGAGGGCCTTGTTCACCTTCACCGCGCCCGCGTCCTTGCGCGAGCGGATGCGCGTCTCCGCGAGCTTCTCCATCTTCTCCTGCACCATGCGCTCGCGGTGCTCCGCGTACGCGTACGGGTTCGCGATCACGCGCGCGGCGTCGTACAGTTCCAGTGACACGAAGTACCCGTGCATGTACGGCTTGAGTGCGGGCGTGCCCACGAGGTGATCCAGGCCGAGTCTAAAAAGAGTATCGAGTCAGCACCGAGTCGCCAGCATAGAGCGAAGGTGAGGACGAACTTGGAGAGCTCGCCGCGGTCGATGAACTTGTAGTCCTGGTACGCAGTGCGCGTCGTCTGGTCCTCCATCTCTTCCGTGAGGTTCTCGAGGAAACTGCACCACTTCGGGGCGGGTCCCAGCTGGGGGATAAAGTAGCTCGTCATCTTGATCCCCTCATTCGCGAGCAGCAACAAGCCGCTGCCCGGTACATGGTGCACATCGTTGAGGTCGTTCGCGGGCGTGATGGAGGTAAAGTTGACTTCGGGCTAGTGGCCTATAAGTAAGTGTATATGGACACCGTGCGCGCGCACGTACCGAATTCTTATTCCAAATTTTGATGACCTTCTTGTCCGCGCTCAATAGATAGCCCTCCCCAGCCATTCGGCTGCCACCCTCTATCCACTGGACGTTCTTCACGGGCAGGCCGTACCCTTGGTCCTTCATCGCAATATGTCTTGCCGACCGAATATCGTACAAGAGAGTGTGGCCGGTAGACGTCCCCACGGCGTATGAGAGGCCGTCCGGTCTTGACGAAATAGCCGTGACAGACAACGGTGCAGGGCCATCGTCCACGCCAGGTAGAGCAGGTGCGGACAGATGGTTCATGGGCATAAGCCGTTCGCGGGGTAAGCGCAGAATGCCGACCCGTGAGCGCGAGCGGGGATCCCAGAACTCGACTGTACCGTTCCCCTCCACTCCGAAGGCGAACAGTTGGTGTGCGGGGTTGATGTCTATGACATTCACCCCTGCGATATCCTCCCCGCCCTCGCCCTGCAGTATGAGCGGATTTAGGAAGCGCCCTTGGTCGAGGTTGAGGCGAAAGATTTCTGGGCCGGATGCTGCGAAGAGGGCGTCGCAGGAGGGGAAATGGTAGGCGAGCGAACGCCCGAAGCGCGGTATGCGCGTTCGGTAGTGGAACCCGCCTTGCGTGTGCAGCTCGACGGAGCGGTCGTTTTGTAGGTGTATTGACTTTGTCCAGTCATCCGAGAGCATCTACAGAAGAGCAGACAAACGCGGTGAACATCCCAAGCACGAATGTACGCCGAAACGCGGGGAGGTACAAGACTCACTCACAACAAAGTCAACATTCTCCGCATCCGTATGCCTCTCGAACTTCAGTGACAACTCGTCCAAGTCCCAGACCTTGATTTGCGGCTTATAGGTTCCCGTTGCGAGCGCATGGCGGCCGTCCCGGGTGGTCTTGACCTTGTTACTGGCCTCCGGGAAGTCAAAGTGTTGGATGAGCTCTATTGAGCCCTCGATGTGCTCCCTGATAGCCCTCTTCCCCTTCCCCTTTGCATCTCGTTTCCGCGTGAGCCAGTCGGGCAGAGACGAAGAAGACCCGGAAGCTTCTCCGTTCACGGTGTAGACCTTCACCGCGCTGGGGTCCAAGGCGACGCTCATTGTTTGAGCACAGGCTAGATATACACAAGACCTGAAGGTGAAAGCCACAAAACCGAGCAGCAGCGGTCAGAGTCCAGAGAGAACAGCGAGCAAAGCTGCAGCTCCGATGGCGGCACGGTCTGAGTTAGCGGGCGCTTGCCAAAAAATGGAGACCACGTTATCGAGCACAGTGATCGATCTCAGATCCGAACCTTCGCTGAACGCCCTGCGTCCGCAGGCCTGCCAGGCACATCGCGTGCATTCCCAACCACCTCCGTCTATCATTGCTCATATGTCGCGCAGTCTCTGTCTGTCCATCCTCTGAAGCTGCTCCAAATAAACAACCTGATTATCTAGAGCTCCTTTCTTCTGTACCACCATCATGGTCGGGATTTCCCACGCTCGAGTCATGGGGCGGCTCGACGTGGGGGGTAACCATGACACCCTATAACATGAAGGCGTTGACGGCCAGTTGTCTGGTCGTGCGCAAGGTCTCCCGTGTGCCCGCTGAGACCCTATGGGGAGCGAGGGAGCACCGCGATGAACCGTACAGCCTGGATGTACGTGGCGGTGGACGGTGAAGCAGCCGTCGGCGGCATGCGAGCCGAGGCATGGAAGAAGACAAGGGCTGCAGGCGTGCGCACCCTGGTTGTAATATTGCTCGAGAAAGCACAACGCACTCGCTGTATCGGCGCGAATGCGTGTGCACGTCGGGGACGTGGCCATGAAGCTGGACGGGGGCTATGGTGTCGGCGCGCTAGCTAGTGATAGGTGCTGGCGCTGGCACGGACCGACTACCCGAGGGGCTAGAGCTTAGCCTTCCGGGGCCTGTGAGCGCCTGGTGCCTGATGTCACGGCGGAGCCTTCTCGGTGGTTGGCCGAATGGGGGAATGAAAGTTTGTCCCTCCGGTGAGGACGCGCTGAATCGCGCCCTACCGTATAGGAGATGTGTGCTACATCCTAGTCCGAATCTGGCTGGGGTTCGGTAGGAGGCGCGCTTGGGGCAGGGAGACGCAGCTGGATGTGCAAAATGTATGAATTTGGTGGCATGAGTGAGAGCTGGCGGCCTCAACCCTCGCTTGAGTCTTAAGCGATGTTATGCGCTCCCCAAGAAAATCTGAATCATAGACCCCTCTCCCAGCTGCTCTACCCTGCAGAATGCCTTGCTAGCGTGCCGCCAAACCCGCTAAAGCAAGCGAAGTGCGCCTCTTGAATGTGCTGTCTGCACTTTTAAAAGTGAGCGGTACCCACAACACTCCTGCTATCCACACATACCTGCTCCCTATCATGCCCACAAACTACACCACCCTCTTTGTCTGCGAACACAACGGAGCTACGCTGCAGCAGACACCGGCCGCCGCGTGTTTCCAACTCCTAGTTTGCCCCTCCCGCCCACTCGAAATTGGCTCAAACGTCCACCTCTCGCTCCTCATCGACCCGCCCGAGTTGGTCCCCTTCTTTCCAGTCGGGACGCGGGCCCCCTTCACTGCCATGCGTTTGAATATTTGGGGAGGAGTCGTCGGAATCGCGTCCAGGGATAGGAGGACGATCGAGTTTGAAGTCGAGAACTGGAATGAGGAAGCGCTCGTCCGGCACGCCCGCATATTGGTCCCGTGGCTGCCGGGCTTGACCACTGGCCGAGACCTCCGAGGGAGCTCGGAGACCGGGATGCCCGACCGGACACAAGAGGTACGCGAGCGTGGAACCCGGTGTGTAGATGGGTATGAGCTAATGGTCACCCAGGCATGGTCCCACGCGGGACTGCGCCAAGCGGCTGAGGAACACCAGGTTCTGGGCACGCGGCGTTGCACGGTGCCGGCCTGTGAAGCGGAGTTATGCAGCGTATGCGGAGATTGTATTCCGAGGGACTCAGACTCGGAGAATGCCGGGACGGCTCGAGGGTGTACGTACTACGCGAACCGTCCACAGCCTGTCGCCTCCCGCTCCCTCTGTGCCTACCCCAGCCCCGTACCCTCGAGCTCTCGTACGCGACCGACGTACACAAACACACCCGAATGAAAATTTTCGTGCTTCTCGATGGACCCACCTCACGCTCGCAAAAATTTTACATGCGCAAATCAGGAAGGACGATCGGGCGCCGACGCATAGCTGGAGGCGGCCAGGACACAGACGTAGTCCGGCTAGCAGACGCGACTCAAACTTGGCCGACGAGCGCAACCAGGATGGCCCAGCTGTTGAGTTATACCAAAATGAGTGCGATGCTGACCATTTCGGGGACTGACAGGCAGAGTCTACGTGCAGCCGTGGTCGCTGTAAGCTCGCGAAGAAGCACTGCACGACTCTGTGCCGCTCTCGGCCACCCGCTTGCGGGAAGCGGACACATCGCACGGTGGCGTGAAACAGAGGAGTCGGCATGCACGGGCACGGTGCTGAAGGAAACGAAGGGGGGAGGGGAGCAGTATAAGTACTGCACTCGGACGACGACGAGCAGTGTCGCCTTGTGCACACACCCCCGGTCTTCTACTGCCAGCCTCTCGCCTCGCGATATCTGCTCTGATGCCATCCCGCCGCAACGCCTCTCTCTCTCGCCCTGCGACGCCCTTCGACTCGAGCATGCTACCGACGACGACGACGACGCCAGCGGTACCCCAGACCGGTGCTGCGCTGCCTGGTGGACCCCTCCACTCTACCCCACCTGCTAGGACCTACGCCCAAGTGGCCGCGTCCCCCCCGGCGAGTCCGACGATGCAGCACGCGCTGATGCTGCACGCGGCCCACCCTGCGCCGCCCGGCGGCGTCATTCCCATGGGGCTCATGGTAAGACTGCTCCCCTCACGCAGCGGCCTGTTTCTCACCGTACCGCAGGGCCCTGCGACGACGCCGATGAGCCTGCCGGCGGCGAGCGTGCAGCCGCGCCCAGGCAACCAGTATGTACAGGGTGCCTCGGACCGAGCAACGGTATGTAAAAAGTCATAGAAGCGAACGGAGCGCAGGCCTAATCTAGTGAACAGGACGCCGCTGGGCCGTCGCTGCGGGCAGAGAGCTCTGCGGTGGGCCTAGATGGAGGTAGTCGGGGCAAGCCGATAGACAAGGGCAAAGGGCGAGGCCCGCCAGGACCTCCGAGCCCGACGCTCTCTCCTGGAGAGTTGTCGGCGCCGTCAACCCCGCGGTCGCCCACACCGGCTTACCCCGACGACTTCGAGGTACACGGGAGCCGCTTTAACGATGCCGAGGAGATCGCGTGTGCCATTGCGGAGAGCATCATCACCGACGGGGCCCGCTACGACGACTTCATCACGGACGGCATCGGCCGCGACGGCCTGCCACTTCCTGGGAGGGTCCCAGACTACGAGCAGCGCAAACGCAAGCGAGCCCGCGTGCACACCCCCTCCTCGGAATGTGACGAACCGGCGATTTTCTACGCGCGCGCCCTCGAGAAGCCGGAAGACCTGCCCCGCCCGCCCACACCCCATCCCTCAACGATCGTCACCGCGCGGGAGCTCCACAACCTCCGACGCTCAACGGGCGAGGAGAACGGCCGCGAGGACTTCAGCCTGGAACCGCCGCCATCCAACCAAGCGGCCCTGCGCACCCGTCCGCCGCCCTCGACGCAGCCTCGGCAACCGACATCGCGGCTAGTCAAAGGTGGTGTGCGCCCCGCCCGCGGAAGGAAATCCCTGCCGGCGTCCAAGACTCTGTTCAGCGGCGCCGACCCGATGGATGTCGACATCCTGCTGGCCTCCCCGGTGCTCCGACCTTTGGATGCGCGCGCGCACGCTGCTACGCAAGGTCCTCTTGACGAGAGCGGGAGTCAGCTCTTTCCCGTCTACCTCACCGGGACGGCGACGGTGCCGTCGCGCCAGTCCGCAACAGGCCACGCGACGGTGTCCACGAGCTCAACGTCGACGTCGGTCGCCCAGCGTCGGGATCCTGCTGATTTCTGGGCGGACAACCGACCCGGGCGGAGCTGGTCTGACCGGTCTGAGAACTCGAGCAACATCCCCGCGCGTGCTCCCCTGCTTCCCGAGCCCTTCTGCCCCGACAACATGAGTCACCGGCCGCCGAACTACCGCCCTCCTACGCCGTTTCCCCGGGGCTACGACGGGGTGCTCGACACTGCCCCTCGATCCTCCGGAAATGGTGCAGGCCCGAGTTCGCGCGCGGCCCGAGCCCTGACGCAGCGCGAGCCCCCTCAGAGCGGGCAGTCGCCGTCCCCCTTCCCCCAGGACGGCCGCTTCCACACGTATGTCGCCCAAATGGCGACGCTGCAGGCGTACGCGCCGCAAGGTTTCGGGTTCACCCCAGCCCCGGCGGGAGGTTTCGGCCCGCACGACTTCGGAGATCCGGAGCACCTGATCTACGGGATGGCCAGCGACCGGGTGGAGGAGTTGTGGCAGGAGGAGCCGACGACGACGGCGCTCATAGAAGTCCACGGTACCCGCCATCCCAGCCCGCAACTGATCCAGGCGCAGACAGATCTCATCACCACGGTTGTCGCCGCCGCCACAAACGAAACGGACTTCCGCGTCATCGGGCCCGAGGCCGAGCACCCCACGCGCCGTAAGTACAGCCCGTCGACCTACGCCCTGGTGAAACTCCGTGCGACCGCGATTCTCGCCCTGGTCACCCAACGCATCTGGTCGTCGGAGCTGATCACGCTCAGCGTCTTCCGACGCGTCATCACCCTCCCCGACTTTCTCTGCCTGCTCGAGGGGGTCAAGCAGCACCCCGAGCTCGACATCGCGCGCACCGTGTGGGAGACCTTCAACGGGCCGCACATCCTCCCAGCCCTCCTGCGGTACCTTCGCGCGAACCCGAAGTACAACCGCATGCACCAGGAGGTCGCCGCGAACATCGTCCTGAGTTCGCTCCGAGTACACGTCACCGCCCTCAACAACGGCAACCTCGTCGCGGCGATCTATTGCACGTCGCCCGCTGCGACGGTCGCTGAGTGGCGCGTCTGGCGCGACACGATCCTCCGCGCCCCCTTCCATGTTCGCGACGACGTGGTCATCCCCAGCCAGCCGAGCCTCTGCGGTGGCTGCCATAGCGCCTCCCACCCCACTGACCTGTGCCCATACCCGGGCGTCCCGGACTGGCACGCGACCCCCCAGCGCTCACGACTAGCCATCACCCAGCGCGACAACGTGGACCTCGGCCCTAGCACGGCGACTCTGCAGGGGGACCAGGCGGGCCCGTCCACGTACAACCGCTCCCTCCGCGGCCGCGGCGGCGCTGCAATGCGCGGCAACAACGGCCGGCAGAACCCTGGGCGCGGCGCGTCGAACGGTGGAGGCAAGCGCGGCGGGCGCGGCGGCGCGCAGGACGGGGCGGGCAACAACGGCCGCCACAACCGCGACCCGTACTAGTAGCTCGCGCTAGCATGTATGTCTGCGCTCGCATGTGGCTCTCTCTTAGTATCTCTCTCGCAACATTATAATAGAATCTAGTATGTTCCCTATGGCACCGGAGGCTGATCTTACCGCTTGAGGGCGGAATGCCGCACTTGGCTAGCAGCGGCCTATTTAGGCTGGCAGCGCTGCTCTCGTTACGCGCCGAGCCTCAACTCGACGTGTCTGCCGCCTGGATAACTGGCAAAATTATCGCCCCTGAGATGACTTGGTCGAACACTCGGGGGGCTAACTCGACTGCGAACCAAATACAACAACCACATAACCCTGTTCCGGCCTCCCAACCATGTCCTGGCACTTCACGCCCTGTCCAGCCCCGACGGAGTCGCAACACCTCTGCTACTGCTGCTCTGAATGACGGGTTAGATAGGATTGGTAGCAGAGCGCTTGGCGGTGACGCCGAGCGTCAGACACCCGCACTTACAAACCCTCCCCTCGCCGAGCCGCGAACGTTCACGCGGGCGCGCCTGCGCGTTGGTACTCTAAATATCAAGGGCTTTGGAGTATCGACGGCGGGGGGGGCGTCTGATAAGTGGCTATACATAAATCAAATCATACGCGACCAAAACCTGGCTATACTAGCTGTTCAAGAGGCCCACCTAACCCAAGAGCGGGTGGATAACCTCAGTAACCTCTTTGCCACCAGTCTTGAGATATACTTCTCCCCTGACCCTAGCAATGGCGCCGGAGCGCGAGGAGTTGCTTTTGTTGTAAATAAGAGAAGGCTCGCGGGGAGGAAGTGTAAATTTGAAGTGCTTGTCCCAGGACGCGCCATACAGATCGCATACCCCTGGGCGGCAGAGAAGATGATAAATGTCCTAAATGTCTATGCACCGAATGCCGCGAACGAGAACGCGGGGTTCTGGGGGAAAATTGGAGAGGCTTGGGACGCTGACGGGGGCGTAAAACCGGATGTAATGCTCGGCGACTTCAATGTAGTGGAAAGCGCGCATGACCGCTTCCCTGCCCACCCGGACCCCGCAATTGCGACGGAGGCCCTGGCTGGGCTCCTACGCCGTATGCATGCGTGTGACTCATGGCGCACGGCGCACCCCAACGAGAGGCTGTTCACCTACCGGCAGGTAGGGTCGGACAGGCAGTCCAGATTGGATAGAATCTACGTGAAGCAGGCAATGATGCCGAAAGTCGCGGACTGGGCAAACGCGGGGCCCGGCCAATTATCGGACCACCAACTAGTACTTTGCTCTATTGCAAACTACCACGCCCCGGTAGTGGGGAAAGGCAGGTGGTCCGCGCCCCTGTCTCTCCTAGATGATGAGAAATTTGTTAGCACAATGAAGAAGCTCGGCAGGGAGCTTGAAATGAAACTCACCGACATGGCACCGAGGAGTGTGGAGGTAAACCCGCAGGTCCTTTTCAGGGACTTCAAAACAGAGCTGGTGCTCGCGGCGCGGACGCGTGTAAAGGAATGGGTACCTAGACTAGATAAGAAGATCGCGTACCTCAAAGACCATATTCGCTCTCTTCAAAGCTCTACGGTACCGATCGAGGAGGATCAGGTGGCGGCGGAGACGGCGGTCCTGCTGCAGGAACGTGTGCAAAAGTTAGAAGCGAACCGATTTGGATATCGGCGAGCAGCAGTCCACGCAAAAGACTGGATGCACGGTGAGAAAATCGGTCGTTATTGGACTAGGCAGAACGCACCTCCGAAACCGGATAACATCATGTACGAGCTGCGAAGGCCGTCAACGGACTCGGGCTATGCGAACAGCACTAAAGAAATGTGTGAGATAGCTCGCTCCTTCTACGATGACTTACAAGCGACGGACCCGCCTCCCTCGGAGTCTCAGCATGCCCACTCGATCAGGAGTGCGCTGGAGTGCGTCGAGGCCCGCCTGACGGGACCGCAGAAGGCCGTCATGGCGTCCCGACTTACGAACACTCACGTCCGCACTGCCTTGAAGCACTCAGGGCGGCACAAAGCAGCGGGGCGCGATGGCATTCCCACGGAGTTCTGGCTGGCGTACCTCCAATGGCATGAGAAGGCCGGCACGCACTCCGAACTCGCTCTCGACATAGTCGCCGCCCTGCGGCGTGTTTTTAACGATGTTGAAGCCCACGGAGTGGCGGCTGGAGTCCCCTTTGCGGAAGGATGGGTATGTCCCATCTACAAGAAGAAGGACCCGAGGGAAATCACTAATTTCCGTCCCATTACTGTGCTGAATGCGGACTACAAGATTATGACTAAGGCACTTACCGCCAAGCTCTCGAGCTTTGCTCCTGATATCATACATCCGGACCAAGCGGGCTTTATTCCAGGGCGGAGTATTTTTAACCACATAAAACTTGCATCGCTGCTGGTCGACTACGCGGAAGCTGAAGAAATGAACGGTGTCATCGTCGCGCTGGACCAAGAAAAAGCGTACGACCGGATTGATCATACGTACCTCTGGGAGACGCTAAGGCATATGAACTTCCCCGAAACTTTTATATCGACTGTGCGCGCCCTGTACGCGGACGCGTCTAGCGCCGTCATGATTAATGGTACGCTGAGCCGCCCTTTCAGAGTCACCAGGGGGGTCCGACAGGGCGACCCCCTCTCATGCTTGCTGTTCGACCTGGCTATCGAGCCACTAGCCGCTGCGCTACGGACGTCGTCCATTGGCGGGTTCTCGATTCCTGGCGCGGCTGAACGTCTTGTCTCAGCGCTCTTTGCGGATGATACCACAGCGTTCTTGAAGGAAACGGACTCCTTTGATGACCTGCTGGAGATCCTTGGCAAATGGTGCGCAGCGTCGCGCGCTAAGTTTAATGACGATAAAACCGAAGTAATCCCCGTAGGCTCCCCGGCTTACCGAGACTCGGTGATTACGACGAGGAAACTTGCGCACGGTAGCCAGCCACTCCCGCTCGGAGTCCGGATCGTCCCTGACAGACAGCCCGTACGTGTCCTGGGAGCGTGGATCGGAAATGTGGTCGACCAAGCTGCAGTCTGGGGACCCATGATTGACACAGTGCGGCGGAACCTAGAACGGTGGGGGCTCCGCAACCCAACGATGTATGGCCGTAAGCTTATCGTAGGCATGGAAGTGGGAGGCCGCACTCAATTTCTCGCTAAGGCCCAGGGGATGCCGACATCGGTCGAACAGGTCCTGGAGCGCACAATATCGAGCTTTGTCTGGAAATGTGGGAAACCGATGGTAAGCATGTCAGTGCTACAAGACCCTATCTCGCAGGGCGGGCTCAACCTACTTGACGTCAAGGCTCGGAACGAAGCTATTGACCTGATGTGCTTGAGAGCATATATGGACACATCCCCGGCCCGCCCGACTTGGGCCCTGCTGGCTGATGCTCTCCTGTCAAACGCGGTCCAGTCCGCTGACAAACGGCTAGACCAGACGGTACGTGTCAATACCTTCCTCCAAGGATGGAAAGTGAACGCGACGCCTACCGGGAGACTTCCGCGCGACCTTGCTCGAATGGTTAAGACTGCGCGGAAATATGGTGTGGAGGTGGCGGCGCAAAATCCTACGGAGGAACTGAAGGCAGCCCTCCCGATCTGGTCCCATGCCGCCCTCATCCAGAATCGCCTGCAGATAAACTCGTTATCCGCTAAGTGCCTACGAACGAAGCATGGTGTCCTGACCGTCGATGACTGCGTGGCAGTGGCAAGACGCATACTAGAACCGCGCCAGGATGGAACTGCACACTGAGGTAACGCGGGGTGTACGTGCAACGAATGTCGCGAGGACCGCATGGAGCGTGTGTGCCCGAACCCGCACCGATGTGCGTCCCTCGCAGCTGCCATGATACAACAGATACATCCAAAATGGAGGCCGACGGGCGGCGCGGTGGCTCCTGAGGGGGCGGGTCCTGGCCTAGACGCTGGAAGTGAAGGCGTGCGTCTGCTGCGGCCGTCGACCACAGGCCTTCCTGTCGAGAATGCCCTACGCGTCTTCGTGCACGACTCCAAGGCAGGCACGGGGCTGTCCCAGGCAGTTGCAGAGCCCCATGCCGCCCTGCAAATTGTAAACGGGGCCGCCGCGATCACGGTGGCGTACACCGACGGCTCGTGTGCAACCACGGCGCAAGGAAAGGCGACGGCGGGAAGCGGCGTCTGTTTCGGCCGCAATGACGAACGAAATGTCGCGGCACGAGTCCCTGGGGAGGAACAGACTAACAATGCCGCCGAGATACATGCGGTGTCCCTGGCTGCGACGCTCGCCCCAACAGAGGGCGTACTCGCTATTAAATCAGACTCAAAGCTCGTGGTCGACGGACTTACCACTCACCTGCAAGCCTGGGAGGATAGAGGGTGGCTGGGAGTTGCGAATGCGGCGCGTGTGCAGGATGCCGTGGCGCGCCTGCGTGCACGCAAAGGCACCACGACGCTAGAATGGGTTAAAGGGCACGCTGGCATAGAAGGGAATGAGTTGGCGGACGAACTGGCAAGGAAAGGCGCCCAGATGAGCGCCGCCGACGGCCCTATGCTCCCGCGGCCACCAATGAGCTATGTCGGGGAAGGGGTGCGCCTCCCGATCTTGACTCAGAAGCTTGCATATCTGGGGATTCGTCAGTGGAAACCGAGGCAAGAGAGGAGGCGATCGGCACTCACCGTGGGACAGGTCGTCGAGGCAGTAGCAGCGGACTGGTCGCTAGCTCTCAGTCCGTCGCAGATATGGCTAGCGATACGTCGAGACGACATACGGCGCACCCTCCGTGACTTCTGGTGGAAGGCGCTGCACGGCGCCCTCCGCATCGGGAAATACTGGGATAATATTCCGGGATACGAAGGACGGGCGACTTGCTCGCACTGCGGGGTGCAAGAGTCGCTTGAACACATTTTGGTAGACTGTGACGCGCCGGGTCGCGGCGAGATCTGGAGCTCGGTGAGTACTCTGCTTGCAGCTAAAGGGATAGAGGTGCCCGGCCTCAGCATTGGCACGATCCTGGCAGCACCGGCGCTCTCAGCTGCGGGTAAAAACGCGAGAACTCAGGCGGGCAAAAACAGGCTCCTCAGGATACTACTCACCGAGTCCTGCCACTTAGTGTGGAAATTAAGGTGTGAGAGGGTCATCGGACGTGAGGGAGACCCGTCGCAGTACCACTCAGTGCCAGAGATCAGGCGTAGGTGGTTGAACACTGTACAACAGAGACTCGAAATGGACAGAGCGCTAGCTAAGCAAAGCAAAGGCAAGATCACTAAGTCCCTTGTCCTCGAGACCTGGGCAGGGCTCTTGCACGACGAAGGGGCTGTCCCTGAGAACTGGATATATTATAAGGGGGTTTTAGTGGGTAAGCCGTCATACTGGGATGGATAGCAATAGATCCGTGCCTAGACGTGCAGCCCCACACTACAACAGGTAAGTTGTGTGCGTAAAGCATTTCCTCCGGCACGGTGCTAAGGGTGTAAATCCCTATAAACCTGCATTAAACATAACAAGCGTACTTTCAAAGTCCGACCTATGTTGCACCGCAAAAAAAAAAAAAAAAAAAAAAAAAAACAACCTGATTATCTATCAATGATGTCCTGTGTTCTCCTCTATTTGGAAGATGCCTGCTCTGAGTCGTCTGTATGCTCCGGAGCTACGCATCCCGCGGCGGCGCCACTTGATATTTGCGCCTCCGAGCGTCTGATACCACTGCGGCACAGGCCATATGATACTCGCCGCTCGTGCGCAGGCCCCCGCAGCGATACAACCTCAGGCTAGACCACACAACACGATCGCCAAACGGCCCGGTCTCAAGGGCAGCCACCGATCACCGTGCCATGCCCCGCATGCGCAGTGACTCAGATTCGGTGGGAGCATATCTTTGCTTCGTACAAATACGACTCCCCCGCCAACTCACTCCCTACCTCCTCACCACCCCCAAATATACCCATGCAGCCTGTTGTAGAAGCTTCGGGCGCCACTGCGGCGCCGGTCAAAGCCTCGGAGACGTCCCCGCTCCTCAAGCAGAAGCTGTCTAAAGCGACGCTAGAGGATGTCAAGCCTATGCGATTCCGTACGTCCCGAGTTTGTGCACACAGCATACAACTGCATCCTATGCCATGTTTGACGCTAACGCTGTTCTGTGTGACGGATATAGGAGATCTCAGGCGGGCCATGAACGTCGCATCCAACGCATTCGTGAACGACTCGCTAGCGAAATACTTTGACGTACGTCCGCCAATATACAGCACTTCATGCCCACCACAGCAGCACTCCGAGTGATAGCTCACGATTCGATTTCACCTTCACAGTCGTCTGATACCGGGCCCCTTGCGAAGTTCCGCATCTGGCTCATCAAGCTCTTCTCTTTCGCGGGCAGCGTCTACCAGAAACGGATGCTGACCGTCCACGGCGACGCCTTCCTGATCTAGTACGCATGCAAACTGCTACGACTATCAAAAAAAACTAACAGCTTCATCGCACTCAGCTCGACCCCACAGGTCAATAAGCCGCTCCGGATCGTGCACATGCTCATCTCCATGGCCAACTTCTTCCGCGCCGCCGAGCTTGTCCGGGTACGCTCCGCCCTCTGTCTCTTGAAGTACCCGTCTGAACCCGCGCGCATCACATCAGAGGAGAGACGAGTTCGGCGCAGCAGTGCAGGCCCAGGTGCAGGACGCCTTCGGAACCCGCGCGGCCGAGATGTACGAGATCCAGGGGCTCGCGACGGCCCCAAAGGCGCAGGGCCGTGGCTACGGCAAGGCGCTGGTCAAGACGATCACGGACATGGTGCGTCCACTGAGCTTACGGGCTTGCGTTCGAGGCATGCTGAACTGGCTGTGGCAGGCCGACGCGGAGGGGCGCGATGTGTGGGTGATCACGTCTGACGCACGGCCGTTCTACGAGCTGCAGGGGTTCAGCGTGGTGCGGACTGCGTTCATTGGTGCGAATAACCCAGCTTGGAACCGCGCTCCGGTGGTTGTATCTATCGTGAGTGCCGCTTCAACAGCATTCAGGGTACATCGATCGCTCATGCGTTCTTTCTTGACAGATGGCAAGGCCTGCAAAGAAATCCCACGAAACTTCGTTGGAGAAGGAGACTGTATAGTATTTCATTGCGTTCGTGATGTGCATAGATGTAATTTGTTCTGGGTTGACACATAATAGGGGAATTACTAAGTTCATCGGGGAACCGTCCAGGACTCGCGGAGGAGCAGCGTTCAAGTCTTCATCCCCAAAGCGCATCGGTATCCACCTCGCGCGCCGGCCTCTCCCCGCCAGGCTGGGGGTGGGGGCCGTTCTCGTCTCCCGGAAGCGCGATGGGCCCTGTCCGGCGGCGACGTCCGCGGAGCCAGACCCACAGCGTCGACGCCACAAGACCAGCCGGATGCAGGACTGTGAACATAACGGTAACGAGCTGTAAGCAGCGTCAGCTATCAGCGCGCTTGTCAAAAGTTCTGCGTACGCACGAAGACAGGGTAGGGCTTGGGTTTCTCGCTCCATATACTCGCACATATCCAGGTGGCCGCTGCGCACCACACTATATCGCGGCGTAGGACGATCACAAGGAGCCCTAAGATTGGGAACGTCAGTTCAAAGCCCGTACTAGCAGCGATAGAGTAGAGCATACCGAGCAAGTTCACGCCAAGCATGACGGCCAACCCGGGCCACTGTCCGCGGGCGTAGTGCTGGGGCTCACCGGGCGACCATGTCAGACCGAGTGTTACACTAGTGCATGCGGTTACTGCGTGAGCATGGAAGTCAGCATGACGAAATGGCAAACGCACAATAGGCTGTAAGGGAACATAACCCCCAACGGCAGGAGGAGGAACAGGCGCACAGGCGCATGAATAAATGCAATATCGAGCGGTCTAGGACAAGTCAGTTGATTGTTGCTTCCCATGCAGCCGCATTCAGGTGCTCACCGTTTGCCAGTCGGTGCGTGGTATATGAGGAGTACGACGTTGGCATACAGGAGCAATCCTAGCAGGATCCCAAGCAATACGGTAGACAGAAGGAACGCTTGGAGGATCTTGAAACGACAGTTAGCAACAGTATGCTTTGCGAGCGCTTCCCAATGTAACGCACCCATGAGATGGCCCAAAATGCCATGACCCAGTTGGCGAGCATCAAGGGAAACCCACATCCCTGGATGATGGCGCGCTTTGTCTCCGGTTTCCGGGAGAGTACAAGCAGCACACAGTATCCAACTTGCCCGACATAAATTGCGACGATGAATACAGCAATCAGATATGGTTTGGGCGATATTACGGATGGGTATAGTTCGGATATTTGGCCTGTACAGGCTTGAATAATCACTCCACCGTGTGCGAGAGTGGGACATACCTAAGTTTGGGTCGAGTACGAACGTACAGACCATCAACGTCGCTATGTTGATGAGGAGTGACAGAGGTGTCAGTACCTGCAGTCTGATAGCCACTTTTGTCAGTGAAATTCCGCGCCAATCACGAAAATGGGGCAGACGCACCGGATGAGAGCGAGGTACTCCCTGACCGCAGGGTGGTTGGTGTCGATGGGAAGGTCTTCCATCATCGCCGCAGCCAAAACACAGCCCAAGGACTATGGTATGCTGAAAAGCTGAAAGTGAGAGGGTGGTGGAGGGAAGAGAGAGGGAGTCGCTATCCTCGACAGCGAGCAGGCTCCGGGTTCGTACCTGTGGCGGGAGACCAATGATGTCATGGTCAATAACGCTTGGCGCTGCAACCCTAGGGTAGGGTCAACGCCCACTTCATAACCACCACTCCATTTGGCAAGTGCTCCAAGTGCTGTGCGTCGGTCTCCTACCCCTGCTCGTTCATCCACGACTGGCTGGCACCGGCTGACTCCTGGGTATAATTTGCCTCTCGTAACTCTCAGATCAAATCCTGCAAAGGTCGAAAGACAACCATATCAAGAGCAATTGACAAAACAATTTAGTTCAACGCACAGCTGCCTAATCCACTATCCGCCGAGTATACTCCGGAGGAAGACCCCAGTATGCTTTTTTCTCCCGTGCAATACTGGGCTGTCATTTAGAGAACGCGCTGACACTTTCAGTACGGCATGTGCTGCCTGCGGGTATCTTGACATGGTCGACCGTACGGCCTGCCTACGCACCATCCGAGCCCAAGACCCTGGCATTAGCATTCTATACTACATCAGACCTAGCTGCGTCCATCACCCTGACACATGTACTCTGCGCGTTTTAGCACGTAAGACCGTGGCATAGAAGCCCCAATGTCCGCCCGCGTTCCTATCCAGTTCACTTCGCCATTCGACCCTGACTCTCTTTACTACACAGAGACGGGGACGCCGCACCGCGAACCCAGAGAACCACTCCCCGTGGCCGTAGCGCACCCGCCAGCCGCGCCAGGTTTTTGCCGTAACGACCCTCCCCACGCGGCTTAGAGTTCGGATAGCCTATCTGACAGCTCTACTTCCGTCCGTCCGCCCGCCATTCAGTCGCGCCCGCCCATACCCTTCGCGGGACTAATCCAGGCCAGCGACCTGCTCCTCGCGCCGTCCTTACGGCCACAGAGGGGCCCGTCTAGCCTTCGCCGCGGCGAAGTCCATGGAAACCTATTCCAGGCTATCTGCGGTATTTCGGCGCGATAGAACCCGGTGCGTTTTACGTCTTTACCCTACATCTGCGTCGCGCCTCAGACTACCGGGCGACTGCCGTTTCCAGCACGAAGCGTTCTCGCGGATCGCTTCATGCGGCGCAAAGTTGCGCCTATGTAGTATCGCGGGAGCTGAATCTTCCACGGACACGTCTTCGCATGTACGTCCAGTGCTATCAGACCGCGCACGCTATTCTGATCACTAACGCGTTCTCTCTGCGCCACCCTGCGCGGGTACAGTCGCTGCTCACCTGCCACGGACCCTGCGACTGTATTGCGTATGGGGAGGAGCCTAGTCGCGCGCCCGCCGAACGAACTTTGCGAGTATAACCTAAAATCCTGCCAAAAAGCCTGTCGGCTGCTATGTGAAGGCTGTCTCACGTTTATCACGGCCGTCACGCCCAGGGCGCACAAGCTCGTGCACTTTCTCCCACCTCCACTCCTAAACACACTAACCACCTCTTTTTCCGTGCACGCCGTCATTTAGGCTGGGGCCAGGCTGTGACGATCTGTCCCTGAGTGTCCCACCGGGGGCACCCCCGTCTAAGCGACGTCCTTCGACGGCACTTCTGGATGGCCTCGGTGCCACGTCGACGCTCCGCGGCTGCGTTCTGGAGAGCCCCCCAATGGTGCTTCAGCTTCAAGGCCCGCCAACGCCCGCTCATCGCGCCGAACGGGCCCATTCAGTCGGCAGCAGCGATCCCTGCAACGGCGAAACTGCGTTCCTCCGCCACAGGCGAGCCAGTGCGCCCTTCTATCACCCCATATGCCCGTATCTGCCATTTCGTTCCGTGCCCTGCATTCCACACCCGATACCCCTCGAAGTCCAGAAGAGTCTCTGCCCTGCAGCAGCTCACCACGCACGCACCCGCTAGCCTCCACTGCACCCGCCCCAATTCCAATTTACCCACACCGTGGCACCGATAACCTTCACACTTTATCTTCCCCATCTGGTAGTCTATCTAGAAGCCACCCACCGCTGACCGCTGCTACGCGTCGTGGCCGCTGGGAACCCCCGCGCAAGGGTCCCGCGGGAGCGCCTGCAAGTCAGGGTGCTGAGTGCAAACCGCCCAAATCCAACTCCGCTGCATACCTCCGGATCCTCCCTCTGCGCATCACACAGCGCGCCCACGAGCCCACGCACCCACGTACGCCACCGGGACGGCCCTTCAGCGAAGACGTACGTCAAGCCCGCAATTCGAGTGCGCATTCCGCGGCCTCGCGGTGCGCCACATCCCCCCACGCCCCCGCGCGTTCCCAGGCGCGCCCACAAACCCACCGCGGCGGGCTGGCGCTCGCGGCGCCTGTACCGTGGAACGACGAATGGCGGAGCCTGAGCCTGGGGAGAGGGCGTCCCCCGGCGCTGTGGGTGGAAGGGTGGAAGCCGCGATACGGTCTCCCTTCCGGCTGCCCTCGGCGAATGCCCACCCCTCTTCACCGTCAGCAGCACGCACTGGCGCGCAGACGGGTGGGAGGGAAGGCGAGAGGCACGTCACACCGGGCCCACGCGCGCGTGTGCACGCTGCGCGGGCGGACTGAATGCGCTACAGCGCAGAACGTTCGAAACGGTGGCGTTGTGGCCGGAGGCGCGGGGGACCGGGGTACGCAGGGAGGGAGGGCTCTGTACGTACACGGCATTGCGCCTATTCCCACTCTCCCTCCCCTCGTTTGCGCGTGGGTGGATTGGCTGGCGCGGGCGTGCGTCCCAGGGCGTCGTCCTGCGGCCCATTCGTGCGGATCCGCCTGCCGAACGTTCGTGCAGGCCCTCATTTCCGTCGTGTTGTTCCGATCATCTGGATGGTGCATAAGTGTCTCTCTGGACGGTGCGGTGACGTTCTACGCGGGCTGCTGCGTGTGCCTGCTAAACGGGGGGAACAACGTCATGTACGCCAGAACAGACACGCACGTCGCGACGGGAGTGGGACCGGGAGAAATTATATTAACAATACCAGGAAACGGTCCACGCCAATCCACATTTTCACGAAAGATACAAGAGAAACACGCTGCCCAATCGTACCCTTGGCCGTCGCCGTTTGCCCGTAGTGGAAAGGCCGGCCCCGCACGAAGGGTGGCACGCCCCGTCGGACGTTCCGCTGCATCGGTTCGCAACCCATGAAAGACACCTAATATGTCTTCTTCTTCTCGTCCACAGAGAGACCACCTTGAGATACAGAGATGAGGGCCAAGCGTGTCGGGTCAGGCAATGAAACTTACCGGGGCCCATGTTGACAAGGAGAATGAGGCCGCCCACGATTGCTGTAAGTTTGATCTATGTAAGCCATCGACCCAATCGTGCGAAGTAAATGAGACGAACACAACGTCTGGAAGAAGTCGTATCTGCGCGTACGTTAGCACTTTTGGTGAGGGCGAGGAACTGGCGGCACTCACTTCAGGAAATCGCGTTGGGGGTGCGCTGAGTGGATGCTCCAGAAGTTGTTGATGAAGACGTTGAAGACGCTGAGCATCAAGACCAGGAAACCTGCGGACCACTTCGCCTTGAAACCGACGGCGACCATGATGCACGCCACGAGGCCGACGACGGAGACGAACACGCGGGAGATGCTCCACTGTCCACGGAGGATGAATCCGACGAACAGGAAGATGAGCAGGATGCGGCCCGCGAGCAAGAAGCTGGGAAAATGCGGTCACGTGCCTGGGGAGACAGACGTCATAACCTGGGGTAGCACTCACTATTTCTTGCGGTCGTTCTCAGACAGCGTCGGCAAACCGGCGAAGATCTTTTTGCGGGTGTACAGGGAGTCCGTGAAGACCATGAGGAGACCGCCGATGACACTGAGGTTGCGCAGGAAGAAGTTGAGGTCGAAAATGAGCCCGTAGCCGAATGCCTGGATGATGACGACGCCGAGAAGACCGCCGACTCCGTATTCCGAGTGCTTCTTCGTAATAACCGCGCCTGAGCCAACGAGCATGGTCTGCGGGTTGTCAAGATGGTCACTTCGTGGTACATACTGCACAGTGCGTGTACACTCACAATCACGTTGATTATCAGGAAAAAGTGGGAGATCCCCCATGGGAAATGACGATGTCTGTATTGGCAGAACGTTGTAGCATAGCATATAGCATGCCACGTATTCACACTTACCTCTGCAGGTACCACAGTTGGTCGCTCCATTGCGTCGTGATGCGCCATGAGTCCTCCAAGAACGTTCCTACGATGAGGAACCTGCCAATGGCAGGGAGGTGGGGCCGCAGAGGCTGGGTGTAGATCTCGACATAGTCCTCGACTGTGTGGGCGAACGCGCGGAGCTTCTCGACCGGGTCGTCCGGGTTTGCTGCTCTGTAGCCCTGCGAGGGTCGTGAGTTGCCGAAGCCGTGGGGGTCGGGGGTGTAGCCTCCAGAGGCTGGGCGGGCGATATTGATGCGGGCAGACATGGCGGGCGAAGAAAGAAAGAGAATGAGGGCAAGTTGAGAAAGCCGGAGGACGCGCGACGACTTGAAGGCGACGTGGCGTAGACCCGTGGGAACATGCCTGGGGCTCTCCTCCGCGCATTCCCATCACCACATCATCTCATCATCTGCAAGGACTGCCTCCTCGACCTCCACCGACACAGTCTCAGCCTCAAGCGCAGCGCCTCACCCTCCTCCGACGCGGCGTGCGTTGCATCGGAATATCCTGCGTGTTTTGTCTTGATTAATGGCGGGCGCTTGAAACGGGCACGTGCGCTGTTCGGCGCGTCTCCCGGTGCGCGTCTGTCTTCACGTTGACGCGGAATAGACGCGCTGGGCCATCTTGCCTCCCGCGACGTGCCTCTTCTCCCTTTGTCCTTGCCAGATGTCCAGGAAACGCAAGGCAGAGCTCAGCGACAGCAGCAGCGAGTATGAAGACGCGTCGTCTGACCAGAAGAAGCCGCGTCGAGCAGTTAAGGCGAGGAAAACACAGACGAAGACCCAGGGCAAGAGGCGCGGGAAGGCAGACGCGTCGAACGATGCAGAGTCGGGGGAGATGCTGCCAGTCCGGCCACACGCGGCTGCTATGCATTTGTTGGCCAGTCCAGGACCGTCTCGGGAAGCTCTGCTGCAGTGGTACGATGGAGTTCATGCGGTCCGAGGCATGCCCTGGCGGAAGCCCTATCAAGACTCGTGGGATGCAGAAGAGAAGGCCCAGCGAGCGTACGAGGTTTGTCGGTCTCACTTCGTCCCGCCTGAGAAGTTTGACATGAACAGCGAAAGCTTACCTTTAGGTTTGGGTTTCGGAGATCATGCTCCAGCAAACGCAAGTTGCCACCGTGATACCTTATTATAATAAGTGGATGGAGAGGTAGGTTCGTTTCCGGGGTGCTGCATACAGACGCGCGGGAGTTGACTCCCACTACCGACACGCAGGTTCCCCACCATTCGCGCCTTGGTCAGCGAAGGTCCCTTACGGATTCCCGGCCATCACTTACGTCGTCTCGCCAGGCAGCATCCGATATAGATACCGTGAACGGACTGTGGAAAGGTCTGGGGTACTACTCGAGAGCCGCCCGCCTGCTAAGCGGCGCGCAGAAAGCCGTCGAGGAGTTTGGTGGCCGCCTCCCGGATAACGCCCAAGACATGGAATCAAAGATCCCCGGCATCGGACGCTACAGCGCCGGCGCCATATGCTCCATTGCGTACAGCCAGTGTGTCCCTGTGGTAAGTGGTGCCCGGCGATGCAGATCGCACTGCGCGAACATCTGCTGCATCAACTTCCTTCACCTTCGGCCGTCACAATTTTGACCGAGCGCGCGTCTCCCTACAGCTCGATGGGAATGTGCACCGGCTCATGAGCCGCTTACTAGCGCTGCACGCTCCGCCGAAGGCGAAGCAGACGTTGGACGTCCTCTGGGCGGGTGCGAGCGCCTTCGTAAAAGATGCCGAACGCCCAGGTGATGTGAACCAGGCGCTGATAGAACTTGGATCAACCGTCTGCAAGGTACGCGACCCAGCGTGTACTTCCTGCCCGCTGCAGCCGTGGTGCGGCGCATACGAGCAGCAGGCGTGCGCGGGAACGCACGACGAGGTGCGTCCTTCCTATCGAGCCCCGCCCTCCCCGAAACTGCGTCGCTAGAGCTGAGAACGCACCGTGTAACCAGGGTGCAAAAGATGCGACGTCCTCCGCTGGTCATGCGGTCCCGGACATCGAGGAGCTCTGCACCCTGTGCGAGCCCCTCCCGGCGGGCTCGCCGGTGACCGCGTATCCCATGAAGGCGGAGAAGAAAAAGGCGCGTGAAGAGCTCGACATAGTGAACGTTATCGAGTGGCGCAAGCACGCCGCGAAGGGCGGGCGCTGGTTCCTGCTCGTCCGGCGTCCGGAAGGAGGTACGTCGTCTATTTCCATCGCCGCACCGTGATCTCGAGCGTGCTCGCGACCCCCATCCGCTTCGCCTTCCCTTCCTCGCTCGTCGTCCGGGCTGTGCGTGCGGTACTGAGCGAGCTTCCGCGAACGCAGGGCTTCTCGCCGGCCTGCACGAATTTCCCACCGCACCAAACGTCCCCGTGACCACCCCGTCGACGTCTGCGCACATCGAGATAGCAGATTCGCTCCTCGCTGCGCTTCTCGCCTCTCCGCCGCCCCCTGCCGCAAAATCGGATGGCCAGACCGCTCGACGCACCGCTGCTCCCCCTGCCCCTGCTGCCCCAGCACGCACCCCTCGCCCGCTGCGGGTGGCGAAGATCGTGCCCGCCGGTGACGTGCTGCACATATTCTCTCATATCAGGAAGACGTACCGCGTGCAGTGGGTCGTGCTAGAAGGGGGCGCCAGCGAGGAGCCCCCGGCCCTAGTGCAGGAGCCTGATTTCACGCTATTCGGAGCCGCTGCGCCCAGCACCTCTAAAGGTAAGGCTCCCCCGAAGACGCGCAAGGGCTCGTCCGACAGATCTCGCGGAAAAATTTCGCCAGCGGCTTCGTCTCGCCCCCAGGGCTCGCTGTGGGTTCCTATGGAGGCTGTAGCCGACACCAAGTGCGTGCATCCCCTCTGCTTTCCTGGACGGGCTCGACTGATCGCGCTTACTGCAATTTGTTGCTGCGTCGCGGGTGCAGTATCGGCACTGGCGTAATGAAGATCTGGCGGCAAGTCCGTGCGCTCTGGGACGACGCGGAAAGCGACGACCACAGTGATTAACGCTTTGCCGCCCCCTCCCTCGGGCACCGTTGACGCCAGGGATCGGTGGTGGAGCCGTCGATGTCGATGTGTGCGCCTACGCCCTGTTATGAGTCCAGAGTTATGTCATGTTTAGCTTGCTGAGAAGGATGCGCGCGGCTCGCCCTGCACCAAACCTTCCCTCGGGCCTCGCAAACCTTCGTGCGCGGGCATGTGTCAGCGCCGCATGTGTACGCATCGCCGCCCGTCAGACGGCCAACGTACCTAACCTACGGTTAACCGGCGCGGGAGTAGCGCGATCCTCGCAGCACGCAAAGCCTAACCATGCTGCAGGGCCCCGCGCGCGCTCGATGACCAGCCTGAAGCTCCGCCCGCAGGACCGCAGGGCGACCCCAGCCAGCAGCCCTCGCCAGCAATCTATCCATTTCCGGCACTTTTGGGACAAGCGTCCACACCGGGGCAGCGGGCGGGGCAGTCGTGCGTCGCGGTGGCGGCGTGTGCATATGGGACGTCGGTAGCTTGCCGCCGCCGCTTGCGCTCCCGCGCAAGTTTGGCGAGCGGTGAGCGAACAGAAGATGGGCAGGGTCTGATCTCAGCCCGTCTTGTTGCGCAGGCTCACGCTGACGATGCTCGCCAACGCCACGGGTGGCAATGGCACGAGCTCGGACCGTCTCCTGCTCGTGCCATCGTGGGCAGTCTTGTTGTTTGGCATGACTCCTGCCAAGGCCGGCCATACGTGCCATCCCCGAGTCGCTGCACACCGCACGAGCGTGGGCCACCCATGGCTATAGGTGCCACCCGCCAACGCGGTGCGCGTGCCTGTCGACTCGGGCACCCGGGGTGCAATGCCGCGGCCGCGCGGCGTTGCATAGTGTCGAGGGACGGGCTGCATTCAGCCTCCGGGCGCATCAGCACACGATCGCATCGCGGTGTGCCCGCGGCCGCGTCGGGAAAAGGGAATCGAAAGTCTATAGCCGTTTCCCGCTATGTATATGTGAACGTTGCTCCCGCTGCGGCGAATCGGCGCGCTGCGAATTTGAAGCCCAGTCTCGCCGCCCGGGCTCCCCCCGGCGGGGAAACCGTGTGCCGGCGGGACGCGGTCGCTGGAATCATCCTATCAGCAGCTGTTAACCTCAGGCTGGGGCCGGCCGCAAAGGCCGTCGGCGGCCTCCCCACTGGTGTCGCGTCGAGACTCCTCGACATCCGGGTCAGGGTCCAGCGCGAGCTAGAGTATACCCTAAACAAGAACAAGAGTTAGCTGCTACCGACGCTAAGCTGCATGCATGCATAATCGCGGTGAGACCGCGCGCTGCCGCTGCCGCGTCGAGGGCGTGTGCGCGTGCGTGCGAGGCATATTGGATTGGGTAATTGCCGTGCCTCGATCGGAGGCTCAGGCAGGGCGTGATGGGAGGCGCGCCGGGTGGCTGGGGTCAGGGTCAGAGTGGGCGCGGGCGATAATAGAGTGGGCGATCGGCCGCAGGGGGTGGTGCTGTGGTCGGGTCGGGTCGAGGAGGAGCGCTGCAGATCGGGCCCTGGCGCGTCTGATTGCCTCACCACAGATCCTGGATCCTCTCCTCCGCGCTGCGTTCGGACGCCGGCCGTCGGACGCGCGATCGCCTCGCGACCCAGCACGCCCGCTCCGGCTTTGTTCTCGTTACGTGCGGGGTGTCAGACGCGTAGCCGAGCTGGACGTTTCTGCAGGGGGGGACGCGGCAGCGGCCGCGACGATCGCCGGCGAACAGCGAACTTGGGGCGAGCGAACAGGCGAACAGGCGAGGAGTAGCAGGAGCCCCAGAAATGGTCGTGTAGATTCGTATGTATCAGTACAGGCGATCCGTGTGGTATAGGTGTGGTGTAGTGTACAGTCGATAGCGGTACAGGAGGGTCAGTCAGTGATGCGGGCGTAAGCAGCAGGCAATATAGCTAGGAGAAACGCGTGCGATGTAGATGAGCAGCAGCAGTGCCAAGCGACAAAGCAGGAGATATAGTCAGTAAGGTCCATGATGGGGCGAAATGCGAAACCGAAACGGTGAATGGCGATGCGTCCGTCTCAATCGCAACATGTGGCACGGCGCAGGCGCAGAGGCACGCCGTTAGCGGCGACACTAGAGTACACAGTTCCAAGCGTCCGACGATGGCGGCAGATCGCGCAGGGCGCGGTCGCCCGTTCGTCCAGTCGTGATGGTAGCGGATATGGGGGGAGGGGAAATAAACACCGTCTGATGGACGGAGTAAGGGGACGCGGCCGCGGGTCTTCTGCCCGCCCGGGGGGAGTGTTTTGCGCTGGGAGGGGGTGTCGTGATCAGGGTGCTGAAAGCCACGCTCGGTCCAGCGGGCCTAGACCGCTGACGCCGTGCGAGGGCACACCCCGCCCGCGTGGTCATGGGGCCCTCCCCGCGAACGCACACGCCCTCCTGTCCGCGGCGGGGTGGAAAATAGAGCTGATGACGGCAGGGCCGCCCTGGGTTTTCCCGTTCTCGTTCTCGTCGTCGCCGGGGAGATCACCAGCGCGCGGCGCTCTGCACGAACGCGGGCTTCGCCTCGTCCTCGGCGAAGCGGTCGTACAGCGGGCTGCGGCCGCCCACCGAGCTCGTCCACGAGTGCCGGTGCGAGTCCTGCGCGATGTCGGGCGAGGAGAAGCGCTTGAGGTACAGCTCGTCCATCGGGTCGCGCGGCCGCTGCTGCAGGCCCTGCAGATACGCGAGCGGGACGAGCTGCGGCGCGGCCTTTTCGGCCTTCATCGAGAGCGGCAGGGACACGTTCGAGGGCGGCGTCAGCGGCGACGAGAACGGGCGCGGGGAGAGGCCGGGATCGGAGGACGATGACGACGACTGCGTGTATGGCGAGGGGTCGCGGTACATGTTCAGCCCGGTATCGTGCAGGTTCGGCAAAGGCACTGGTGCGCCCTGCGGGTATTGGCTCGTCGTTGGCGGGAGCGAGTGCGCGGGGTGCCTTGGGGACTCGTATGGGTGGGGGACGGGCGGGTAGGTATTGGAGCGGACGGCGTAGGGGCCCGCTGCGTTCTGCGGTGAGTGCGACAGCCGTGGCGACGGGTGGGACCATTTGGGCGTTGCGTCAACGGGGTAGTGCGGGAGGGCGTGCGTGGCTTGCGGCGTCATCGTCACGCCCCACGGCTCGTGCGTCGTCGGACCGACGTCCTCGATGGGCGGGGCGTCCATGCGCTTGTTCGCCTTGTTCGCCCGTGCGCTCTTGAACCAGCCCTCGGGCACGACCACGTCGCCCACCCGGGGGATGTCGTCTATCGTCCCGAGGCTGTCGATCGTCGTCTGGCTGAAGTACGCCGCTGCAAAGGCCGCTCAGCACGGCGCCCGATAATGGTACGGCAGCCGGACGTACTCAGGTGCCATTTCCGGGTGAGCCCCCGCGGCCGGTCGTCCGGCAGGGAGACGTGCACGCTGTACGTCTGCTTGATCAGTCGCTCGGCGTCCGTACGGGAGAAGGGAAGGTTCCCCCGCGCGTCCCGTCTTCTGAAGGCGCGTCAGCATGCTGACCTGCAGAAGGGGCCTATTAAATCACGAACCGCATCATGCTCGCCCAGCGGGCGGAGGGGTTGTTCGGGTCGTCGTGCACGTCGTTCTCCCGCTGGTGGTAGAACAAAAATTCCTGCACGGGCGGTCAGACACGGACGCCCCGGGCGCAGCGGAGGCAGAGAAACTCACGTCGCGTACGCGGCTGGGGCCCCAGCCCATGCCGTCCGTCCTGCAGCAGACATGGCGTCAGACGGAGCGAACGCGGGAAGAGAGAGCGCGCGTGTACGCACCACCGCTCCATGCCCATGCCGGTGGCCTCGGAGTTGGCACAGCGCTCTTCCCAGATGTACACGGAGCCGGACGCGATGCTGCACGGCGGGTGAGACGGGCGGACGCGGGGAGGGACGCGCGGGGCTTACGCTCTGCGCTCCTCGGCGTCGAGGCGCCTGGTGGTCATGGGGAGGACGTTGCGGGCGACGGCATAGAAAATCTGGAGGGCATCGCGGGTGGAGCGGATGCGGATGTTGGTGAGGGTGGGCTGCTGCATCGTGCGGCGGAGGGGGGAGTGATGGGGAAAGAAGGGGGCGGGGCTGGGAGGGGGCGTACATTTATAAGAAGAGGGAGGAGGCGCTTGCTGATATGGGGAGTGCTCTGGTGCTCGCGGTCCAGAAAGGTTAAGCAGCCCGCCAGGCCCAAATTAAGCAGGGGATCCCCGAATCTGAAGAAGGCGCGATTGAGTTTACATTAGCTTTGCCGCCCAAATTAAACCACAACTCCGCAGATCGGGGTCTGAATCCCCTTGGCGGTATATCCATTCCCGCCAACGTTGTTTGACACCGACCCACCGCCCGGCCCAGCCCCCCAAGCGAGGCATGGCAGGGACGACGCCCCCGCTGAGGCCGCCGTCGCCCCCACCGACCGCGGATGAGCGATAAGCACACATCACGACCGCCATCCTCATCTGCTCAAACAGCAGTGGGCATCATCCGCCACCCAAGTCAATCAGACAATGCGCGTCTCCCCGCGTTCGCGCGACATGATTGCCGCGCGCGCAGGGCCCGCTTCACGCCCGCAACGCTCGGGCGAGCGTATTTATCTGCTCTAGCTGATGGGGGGCTGATAGCCGCCGCGATGGCTGGGCCTGAGGACGAATTGAGTGTGCATGAGCACGTACGGCATGGGCACGGCTCGCGGACGGAGGGGGGCGTCTGTGCTCGACGCGGTCCTCCGCCGAGATCTGCTGGGTGGGCGAATACTCCCGCGAGTGGGACCCCAATCAGGGGTGTACGTACACAGCTCGCCACCCGCCAGGCTATCTTTTTAGATTAGATTGAGCGTGGGACGGATTCGCCCAATGGGCCGGTCCGATCGAGCCCACGGTAATCCGCGCTGCTCTTCAACCTTGTCTGCCCCGGCATCCCGCGCCCTCGCCCTCGCCCCCGTCCCAGCAGCCATCGCCCGTGCCCATGCCCGTGTATGTAGTAGCACCGATCCCAGCGATATCATACTGCGCCATCGCCGCACAAACAATGTCACAAGGGCCCCCATCGCCCGCCGCCCGCGCCCCTGGCCCGCCTTGCCCCGCTCGGGCACAATGCATCGGAGGTGCGACGGAAGGCACCCAGGCGAGCGCGAGATCAGAACGGTCGCTACGCCACCCGTCGTGCCCGGAGGTTCTCCGGACGCAGACGCGCGCGCGCGGTCGCCGGCGAGAGAGCTGCTGCCCGAACGGGGCGCGGTGGGAGCGTGCGCCTTGCGCAGACGCGAACGAGGGCGGGAAGCCAATCGCCATCAGCGCGCGAGCCGTCGCCTGCGGGGATCACGTACGACAGATCACGTACGACCGACCGACTTTGCACGCTTATTCCACGTTCGCCTCCAACCGATTGGGCACGCCCCCGCCTTCTGACGTGCACGAAAAGCATCGCGGGAGAAGACAAGCGAGGGCCCATCCACATGTCCTCCTCCTCCCCGTCTTCCCTCCCCGCCCCCCTGCCCATCCCCCGCCAGCCCGGCACCCTCCCAGCAGCCCAGGCCCGCGAAGCACCCGCTAGCAGCGCGTCTCGATTGCGCAGGGCAGCCCAGAACGCACATAGTGCGCCGCGACGTGCACGGCGCGGTCAGATGCATACGCTTCGCAGTCCCAGCATAGGCGTCCCCCCTCCCAAACCGTCGCGACCCTGAGCCCGGCACCCACCGGCGCGTGGATCAGACAGCCCCGTCTTCTGCGTTCTCGTTCTCCCGCACACACGCACGCACGGCAGATGATCGCACTCTCGACGTGCACACACTCGCCCTCGCCCCCGTCCTCGCCCCCGTATCACAATTGTCTCGCATCTCGCGAGTCTCGCGCGTCCGAACCGGGGGTGCCACCGCTCCCAGGCGACCGAGCTAGCCCTGCGCGAAGGAACGACGCAGCGGAAACGGGGGCCCGGATATTTTCTCTGTGGGACCCGAGCGCAAAGTGACACGCATGAGGTCATCCAGCCGCCCCTGGCCAGCTGCCTGCGCGGAGGTGAGAACCGCGTTCTCACCGCACGCCCCGACTGAATCCCCCCGCGGCTGATTCAGCCGCGGCGCCCACGCGGGGCCTCCGTGCGCACGCCCGCGTTACGTGTGGGGCCCGCGCGCGCCGCGACTCGACCGCCCTCGACGGGTCGACCTGCAGCGCAGCGAAGAGCGAAGCGTTCGATGCGCGGGAGAGGAAGCGGACCGAGTGCGGGCGATCTGCTGCTGCAATTAGCGTGCGCCCGAGCAGACGGGCCCGTCCCCGCGTCGTCGTCCGCTCGTCCGAGGAGGAAGCGGGCGGGGGCGCATCGTGTGAGGCCTCCAGGCATTCGAGGGGGCCCACGTTCTTGTGGCGGCACGCAGCGCCCAGGGCAGGAGATCCCTCTCAGACAGGCTATCCGATCGACACCCCCCGCAGGCCTCAGCACCCGACGCGGCGGGCGAGTAGCAGCAGCCGAGGGGGTGCGCAAGCACGGACGTCCGAACGCGGACGGACGTTCTCGCAGCACCGTGGCCAGGGTGGGCGCGGAGCGATGGCAGGCGGGCAATGCGTGCTGCTATTCGGCGGTGTGCGCACGCGGGCACGCTCTGCGCGCTCGACGCCTTCTGATTTTCGATGGGGGGCAAGGACTAGACCGAGGGGCGAAACGTGCCGGTGTGTGGCGCTTCTATTGAGTGCTCGCGAGACTGACGACTGAATGACTACGGTAGGAAGTGTGCAGCGCAGGGGTGGGCGTCCCCGCTGCGAGCGGCGCAGCGCAGCGTGCCCGGGCGAGCGCGAAGGCCCACCGCGAGGGATGTGGGTCCCCATGATGGACGACTGATCGCAGAAGCCGCGCCGGGGGTGGCATGCGCGAGCCGCCAGAGCGACCGCGCCCTCATTCGACGCAGTGATCTACAGCGGCAGATGAAAGGATATCAGCGTCCTGTTATTATTACCGCCCCCGTCCCGCGCGAGCGGCCCTCCTCGAGCGTTACGTCTCCGAAGCCGCTGCGGAAGGAGCGCGGGGTGCGTTCGACGTACCTTTCAGGGGCAACACGACCGGCATATAGTCGGGTATTTCTGCGTAGTGCGCGCGCCCGCGGAACCTGTACCGGATCCGCAGCGTCTTGGGCACGCCCGCGACGGGGTCGAAGAAACCTGGGATGCCAGCCTGTGGGAGCGGGTGTGTGTGTGAGCACCGAAGCAGAACAACACCTCCTCCACCGCCGCCTAATGCAAATTTTTATCGTGATGGCAGAATGCGTCAAATGACGGCACGATACCGGCGAAGCCGGCCTCCACCACCCTAATGCGCTGATAGTCTGGCGCGGGGCGCCCTCGATCGCGCCTTCCCACACCCGTCGTGCACACAAGGGAAGGCGGCCCTGCGCCAGCACAATCAGCGACGCCGGCGAGGCTAGCACGGCGCCGCCCAGGCGCAGACGACGACGTGCGCCGCCGCACCCACCCGCAATGGCAGCCAGCCACCCGACGTGAGCGTAGCAAACGGCATACAGCTTAAGTGACCGCTCAGGGCATTGGCGGCGGCCGCGACCCGGCGCCGTGGACCAGGAAGGGCTCGCAAAAGGCCCCGGACCCAGGCATCGGATAGCGGTCGAAGAGCAGCGGGCTTATCAGGCTGACAGGAAAGGCAGGCGAACGTGCTACGCGCACGCCCGCTAGCCGGGGGCTCACCTTGCTTCTTATCCCGGGGATGTACAGCTGGCTCGCGTTGACCAATGCCTGCACGGGGACGGTGACGTCCACCTCCAGGCCTTCGCTGCCCCCGTCCTGCTCTGATGGGCCGTAGCGGGCTTCTAGAACGACGAGCCCTGTGGGAGCAGCGAGCGCTCTCAGAATTAATCAGGCTCCCCCGAACCGCGACCGCGAAACGCACCGTCACATGCCTCCTCCGCCCGCATATGTCGCTGCGCGGTGTCCTGCAGAAGCGAAACCGTCTCCTTCCACTGGCGGACCAGATCGGATTTCTCCTCCCGCAACTGCCGGCGGGCGTCGTCGAAGAACCTGCACGAAGCCGTGAGAACCCCCGCCGAACCGTCTGAGGCAAGCAGAACGCTGACTGTGTCCGCTGCGCCCGGCGGCGCGGCCGTATCCTGAAGTAGTATATCAGGCTCAAGGCCGTCGACGGGAAGACCGCCGTCCAGAACGCGAGCGCGTTGTTGTGCTCGCGCGAGAGGACGACCGGGAGCGTGAGCGTCTGCCCGAAATACGTCGCACTAAACCGCCGTCAGCCCCTCAGCGGATGACTCGGGCGCGGACTGCACTCACTCCACGCGCAGGGTGACGCCGTCGACGTTAGCGCTGACGTTCGCCCCCACGGCCGCATTGTCGCCCCGCCACTCGCCGCCGAACAGCCAGGAGAGGCCGGCGAGCCCGAAGCGCAGCACGGCTTGGAGGTGCACCCCGAGCTCGAGGAAGGAGAGGCCGTACCGCCCGTTCAGGCCGGTCGCAGGGCCGGCGAGATCGAACCCGAACTGCCACTCACTGGTGTAGTATGCGAGTCCAGACACGGACGGGGCACGGAAGGCAAATGCGCCCGAAGGGTCCTCCGGGGGCACCTCTCCGGCGGGCAAGCTGTCGTGGAACGCAGAAGAAGACACGGCCGCAGTAATTCTGGGCCCGGTCGGTGTGAACCCAACGTCGAGCACGCCCTGCATGGGCGACTTCGGGAACAGTTGCCGCGCAAGCGACAAGTTGACGGGTGGCAGAAGGAGGGTGTTCCCCTTCTCGTACGTGAAAGGCTGCAGGAAGAGAAGGGGGTGCAAAACGGTCTGGCACGTGAGAGTGTACGCCTCTGCTTGGTAGGAGCTCTTCACGGAGACGCCTGAAATCGCGAGCAGATTGGTGGTTGCCTGTGGCGTGCGAGGTGAGAAGCAGACGCGTCGTCGAGAGGAAATAGTGCGAACCTCGAAAGCTAAGCGAGGGGAATATTGATGCTTCACTGTGCCCGTCAGCGCGGACCCGTAATACGGTCGCTGTCTTGGGTTCAATCTGTTGCTCATTGTGAGACGGCTGGAAAGCACCAGCCATGTCTTCTTGCTGATCTCCGTCTATACAAATGTTATTAATGCACGGTCTGGTCCGTCAAGATGCACTTTACCTGAACACGGTGTCTCACGCTCATGCTGTCTCGTCGTACATCATTGAGTGCGGCGCGGAGATTTTGCCCTCGGGAGAGCGGGGAGCCATCCTCGGTCTCGTATTCGTCGTCGAAGAGGGACGAGACGTCGAACCCGAGGGTGACGGTTCCCTTCGGGTGTATTGCCTGTTCGACGCGCTGGCGCGCAAGCTCGCGCTGCTGCCGCCGTAATTCCTCCTCGAACTGTGGCCGGATGGATATTTACGTCAACCGCCGCACCCGCGCGTGAGAACGACGGCTCACTTCTATCCCTGGAGCATGTTTGAAGTCCGCGGACTGGAGGAGCAGTAGGCCTTCCGGACCTGGACGGACGGAGTGTCAACCTTGGCGGGATGTACGAGAGAGTAGGTAAGGCTGACCTAAGGCGTCGTAGGCGCGACTGAGTGGGGCACGTACGTGAGTCGCGGGAGGTGGCGCGGATGCAAATGGACGTACCGGGTCACCGGGTCTGAAAGAACTGGAGACGGAGGTGAAGACGTGCATCGTGGGCGGAGACTAGGCGGTGCTCACCTTCGTACGCCTTCTGGAGCTCGAGGAAGCGTTCGGTGGCGGCCTCCTTCCGACGCTCGTCGGTCTGCTTGTCTGGGTGGAAGACGATCGAGAGCTGGCGATAGCGTTCCCTGATCTCGTGGTCGGACGCGGTCTTTGGGAGGTTGAGGACTGAGCTGGAGCGAAGGTTAGCGGGAAGGCAGGAGTGGCGTCGGGCGGCGGGCGTGCGCACTAGAAGTACTCCTTGTCCTCTGCGGTTCTCGAGCCCGACGCGGGAGCCGGGCTGCCTGTGCCTGGCATTCAGGTTCGCGAAGAGCGGGAGGGCGAGTGTGGAATAAAGCCGTTTAGTGAATGCACATTCCTAGCGGCGGTGGGAAAGCGAGGGCGAGCGGTGTTCTGCGTGCGCGCGCGGGAGCCCCGGCCTCGACTCGACCCTTACGCACGTAATAAACCGGCATACACCACATTCTAACCGCCTTACGCGCGGGACTTACATCGGCTAATCCACGGCCGTAAGCACGATAAGCACACGTTTCACGGACAAGCCCGCGAGACGCGCTGGGCGCTCGCGTATGATCTCATACTCACACTCAGCCGGATCCAGCCTCGATTCTTGCCTCCGTCTGCCACCGCGCCCTCCTTCCCCCTTCCGCGTTTGCCAGGCTCTTCCCCAGCCCGACAATATCCAGCCCATATGTCCTCCAGCCAATCAGGGCCCAAGGCCCAGGCTCTCGCCGCATCCAGCACCGCAGAACCCAAGGCCCGCGGCGCCAACCGTTCCACCAAGGTTGCCGGGAAGCTCAAGGTCCTGCCAGAGCACGCAGAGCCTCTCCTGCAGCAGCCCACCGCCGCCCAACCGTCGCACCCCCCTCGCGACCGCGACCGCGACGAGGGTGGCGAAGGTTCCGGCACCCTCGCAGACAGCGAAGAGGAAGAGGACGAGGACGAGCCGGAGGACGTCGAGGTAAGCTCGCCTTCCACGGTGCGAATGCATCCTGCTTCGTGATGCTGAGCGTCCCCGCTTCCCCCTCGTGTCGCCGCATGAGCTAGGTCTACAACCAGATCGACCTCATACCCGCTGGCACCGCGCGCAGAGATGCGCTCCGCCTCACCAAGAAGAAGGCAAAATCCCTCCCGCGGGTGACCGCGTACGCGACCGCGAGGTGCGCCCCACCCCCTCCATTCTCCCTGTGCCCGCTTCCTGACGCGTCGCGCACAGTTCCTACCGCTTCCCGGAGCTTATGAAGTTCTTTAACGCGCGCCGCAACTCGTACCACACGAACCCCCGGACAATTGTCGACGTCATCTACACCCCATACGTATACGAGCCCGCTTCGTCTACTGATCAACCTGCCACGCAGAGCCGCGTGCACTTCCAAGGAGAGTCGCGGGAGCCTGGGCAGACAGGCGACCTTCTCGGCGTGCCTGAACTTGCACCTGGGACGTCTGACGTCGAGGGTGCGCCTGAACCGGCGAACGGCAAGAGCAGGAAGAAGAGCAAGTTTGCAGAGGCCCCGACCGAGGCAGAAATATTCATATTCGAATATGGCACCGTCGTCCTCTGGGGCATGACCGAGGCGCAAGAAAAACGCTTCCTCTCCTCCATGTGAGTTTGCGCACCAAGCGCGTAACTCCATATAGCACAAACTAACGCCAGCTCCCAGAAAACGGTTCGAGGTCGAGCGGTTAGGTACGCGGCGCCCCCTCGCCAACTCCGACACGACATGCTGAACTCACGTCCCCGCAGCGCCGCAGGACGTCGAAATGGAAGACCTGAACTTCTACTATGCTAGCTACAGCAGGTGAGCGGCCCCGCGCCTGCCCCGCTCCCCGCGCGCTCACCGCTCGTCCCAGGATATACAACGATGTCATCACGCTCCGGAAAGGGTCCAGCTACATGTGAGGGCCTCGCCTGACCTCACGCTTACGCGGGGCGCGCGCTCACCGAAGCTTCCGCTTCCCCGCAGGACGAAGCTCTCGCTCTCGCACGCGCTCGCGCAGTCCGTCAAGATATCGCTCGTAAGTCCGCCGACATCCCGGGCGCCACCCGCGATTGATAACCACTCACTGACCAACTAATTCATATGCGTATGTTCTCCCCGCCCGCCGGCGCGCGCACGTTCGCACGCGGGGTGCTTCTAGTTTGAGAAACTCATCTCGACGACGATAGAAGAGACGAAGGACATACCCGAGATCATCAGCGAGACGGGCAAGATAGACATGAGCCACAAGGAGATCATGCGCAAGATCGGCGAGCTCTTCCTGCTGCGCACGAACATCAACTCGGTCGGCTCGGTGCTCGACTCGCCCGTACGTACCCCCGCACTCCAGCCGCGCTGCCCGCCCGCTCACCATTGTTCCCGCTGCTTTTCAGGAGGTCTTCTGGGTACGCACGCGCCTCCCCTCGTCTGTATATGCCGGATTTGCTGATTATCTGACGCGCACATTGTAACACGCAGACGTACCCGGACCTGCAGCCGCTCTACGACGCCGCGCGCGGGTACCTCGAGATCCCGCAGCGCATCGACCTGCTCAACGCGCGCGTCGAGGTCCTGCAGGACATGCTCCAGCTCCTCAAGGAGACCGTCACCTCCCGCCACGCGGAGCGCCTCGAGCAGATCGTCATCGCGCTCATTGGCGTCGAGATCGGTGTGTGCTCTTTCCCTTCCCTCTTCTCCCCTCCCGCTCCTCCGTTCCCGCGCATGCATATCCGTGCGAGCTAATGAACGTGCTGCTGACTTCGCGGCGTCTGTGAAGTGCTCGGCATCATCACGATCATCGTCGACCTCTTTGCGTGAAGAGCAGGAGCTCCGAGAAGCAGACGTCTTTGCTCGTGGCTGGCCCGACGTTGTGGGCGAAAGGGAGCCGAGGCGTCATTTCGATACGCTGATATCGTGGCATTAATGGACGGTCGTCACGAATTTCGCATTTGTAGCATAATCACAGGTTCTGCGGAGACTGCTTCCACGGACAGCTAGCGGACTTCGTATACCACAACACTGGCATTTGCCACTTCGATCCCAGGATCGTCTGCACGCGCCGGCCTTCCCGCGTGAATGCGCCAACCGCTAGCTGCGGTGGGGAACATTGCTCGAGGGTATATTTGCATTTCAGAAAACGTCGTCGACATAACGATACAATACGTGCTCGGCTTTCTATACGTACAGTACGGCGCCCCTGCCGTTCACAACTTCAACCCGTGTGCGGTTCAGAGCCTCAGGGCTTGATCGCGATCTTGAGCGCGCCACGGCTGCTCATCTTGTCCAGCGCACCCTGGTAGTCTGCCAGCGGGAAGACATCCGTGACCTGTAGACGATGATGTTTAGCCCATGCTCGAGGGTGTCTGTAGGCTGTTTCTTACCATGCCCTTGACGTTGACCTTGCCACCGTCCAGGTATGCCACTGCACGAGGGAAACAGAACGCCTGCGAGAACGAGCCAATGATCTGTTGCCTCGCATGTGAGTAGTTAGCTTTGAGCCAATGGCAGAAAACGCACCTTGATCTCGTCCGAGAAGATCTTGGACGGCGGCCAGTGGATCTGCGCCTTGTTCTCGTACACACCGTAGATCATGATCGTTCCGCCGCGGCGGACGTAGTTGATGCTGTCCTGCGCGAGCTTCTCGACGCCGGTGGCCTCGACGACGACGTCGAACCCGTAAGGGTTGTCCTTCTTCAGCTGCTCCCACTGCGCGGCGGGGTTTGTCCTGTCGAGCTCGATGTACTCGTCGGCGGCGTTCAGCTTCTTGGCGATGTCCATCTTGATACCCTTGTTCGCGGCGATGGTGACGCGGTGAGCGCCGTTCAGCTTCAGCAGCTGAGCGAGGATCAAGCCGGTCGGACCCGCGCCGAGCAGGAGCACGTCAATGCCCACTGGCGGATTGAGCTTGTCGAGGCCGTGGATGGCACATGCCGCGGGCTCGAGAAGCGTGGACTCCTCGTCGGTGAGGTTGTGGATCTTGTAGCACTTGCTCTGGTGGTAGACGATGTACTCCGCGAAGCCGCCGTCCTGGGTGACGCCGCGCGCGTTGAAGTTCTCGCAGAGGACGGCCTGGCCTCGCCTGCAGTAGAAGCAGTTGTTGCACTACGTACGAGACGCGGGATCTTCGTGAGCGGATGCGGAGATGTGTGGGCGGCACAACAGAGACATACAGAGGTGCCCACGTCCGCGACGATGCGGTCGCCGATCGCAAAGTCCGTAGGCTTTACGTTCTTGCCCATCTCGACAATGCGCCCGATCGCTTCATGTCCGGGGATGAGCTGATGGGAGAAGCGTGAGCTGTGCGATCCCGCAGGACGATCATGAAGGCGCGGACTTACGGGGAAGGTTGCGATAAACTCGCCGTCGTGGATGTGCGCGTCGGTTCCACAGACACCGCAGAGGGTGACTATATGCGTATAACCTTAGCCAATGGCGCGGCGAAGGGTGCACAGGCCTCGAACGTACCCTTGAGGAGAAGATCGTCGTCGCCGCACTTGGGGATGGGTACCTCCCGGATGTCGAACTTTTGAGGCTGGACACGACGCGATCGTGATTAGACGACTGTGGGAGAACGCGGAGGTAGAACGCGTACCTCGCTGTACCAGAGCGCTTTCATGGTTCCTTCGGGCATGGTGGATGTCGAGTTGGGTGGGTTGGATGAGGAGGAGGTGGTGGTGGTTGAGAGCAGAGATGTGCAGGGTCGGCGGGCCCAATGCAGGTGATCTTTATCTGCGCGTGAGCTGAGCTGTGCGCGCCACTTGTCGAAGAGAATCTGTGAGCCGTACGCCCTCTTTCACGAATCACCGACGTCTTCCCCCGGGCCGTGACATCATACGACCTCTTTTAGCCCTCTCGGCTCTCCGGCACCCCTCGGCCCCTCCGTGCCGGCGGCAATGACGCGCTCCCAATGTGCCCGAAGCGCGCCAGACGCGCGCTCGTGACCGTGTTTTTGCCGCAAACGGAAGGCCTACCGAGTTTTTGCGCGTGGCAGGGCAGGGCGCGCAACGGACTGCGTCATAGGTCGTCCCCTTATCAGTACCCCTGATTGCGTCCAAAGCGCAGGCTGCAGCGGGACCCCTGACATTGACAATCCTCCCAGATGCCTTACACAGTGCCCGGACCAAAATCGGGCTTACGGGAGCTCTAGATATATGCCAATTACACAGAACGGACCAAAATGGGCTCAGGCCTGGATGCGCGATGCCTTACTATCCCTGTACGGGATATGCAAATAGCGACATGTAATGCAAATTGCGCATTCCGCGGGGAGAGCATGTCCGTTCGCACTCGACTTTCGTACGGTGGTTGTAGAGAGCTATATCGCATGGTGTATGAAGTTTGAGGTGTATCGGCGAAGGAATGCAAGGTGGAGTTGAGAAAAGGTAGTTTTGGGAGGCCAATGTACGCGCTTTCCGGATGTCTTATATTTAGATCTATAGCCAGGCTCCCCACCAATAAACTTGAATACTCGTGTGCAGTCCTGCATAGACACTAGGATTTTGATATACATGCCCGATAACTGCTCTGAGAGCCCGTTCCACACCCAGAGACATCTTGTATCTCATGTCCTCTCGCAGAGTGCCTGCTTTGGACTCCGCCTTGCAAGCGAGCTTGCCTGCTCGTAAGCGGTGGCTGACGCAGGAGGGACGCGTCCAGGATGCGTCCTCCTGCCCGTCTGCACCCAGAGCTCATCATATACAACTGCCGAGTCGGAGCTCAAATGTACCACCGTGACTGACGGTAACCGCCGTTGCATTACATGGCGAGAATCAGGTCGTCCTCCCGGAAGTGAGCGCTCCGAGGCAAGTTCGCATCCTCTTTGAGGGAAATAATATTCTGAGGCATGTGCAGAAGACCAATCTGGACCACCTGGCGAGGTTTGGTGGCATCATGCACAGGGATGCACTCATAATGGACGAAATGGCCAAATCCTTTGCATATCCCGTACAGGGATAGTACACACACCCGGACCAACTCTGGTTCAGGACGAGATTTGGGGGTCGCGTCGAGCGGAATTTCCGGTTCATGAAAGGCCTTACGCAGTCCCCGGACCAAATCGAGTCCCCTGAGGCGTACGCCTTACACACGGCGCGGACTAAAACCGCGTCCGAGGCCCCAAATCTGGCCCGGACCAAAACGCGATATTTTGTGACCCACCGTGTAAGGCATCCAGGAGGATTGTCAGGGGTCCTGCTGCAGCGGGAGAAGATTATCTAGCGCGACTACGTAGCTGCAGGGCGCATACGTAGTGACACTGCGGCCGAACCCTGGAAGAACCCCCACCCACCCGCCCACCGCTCGCCTGCTCGTTTACGTCTTGAGTGAATGACAACTATAGATACAGCACTTCCCTCTACGATACCTGCAGCTATGTTGGCCGCCACTGCGTCGCGGATCGCAGCGCAGGAACATCTGCCACGCACACTACCGACCGTCCGAAGACGTACGGCCAATGCCCTTCCGCGCGAGCTCCTTCGACCACTCCCGCAGGATGTGCTTCTGCACCTTCCCGCTCGCCGTCTTCGGAATCTCCTCTGGCACCCCGTCCTCCCCCAGGAACCACACCCATGCCGGCGAGTTCTGATAGAATAAAGGGGAAAGGGGTCGTGATCAGCGCACGGTGCGGGGGCAATAGCGACGGCCGCGGTGCGTGTGCGTACGGCTAACCTAGTGCGGCAGTTTTGCGCTACCGACACCAGTCTGCGCACACCGCACTCCGACGCACTCCGACGCAGACGAATAGAAGCGGGGGCACGACGCACCTGCGGGTTCATTCCGTCCGCGACGACGCGCCGCGTTTCCTCTTTGGAAATCGCCGTCTGTGCTTCTCGCACGATCCAAGCCCCGACGACCTCCCCGTACTTCGGGTCGGGCACGGAGACTACCGCAGCCTCGCGGATGTGCGGGTGGGCTGTCAACACGTTCTCTATCTGCACTGGGAACAGGTTCTGCGACCAAGGCTCCATCAGAATGTAGCCGGGGATGTGGGTGGGCTGAGCGCACCTCTCCGCCACGGATGATAATGTCCTTGATTCTCCCCACAACTAAGGGTACATGGGTTAGCAAGGCATAGATGAGCGGAATTGGACGGAAAAGTACTCCTGAGGTAGCCTTCCTCGTCCATGATCCCCTCGTCGCCTGTGTGCATCCACAAGGTCCCTTTCTCGTCTGTCTGCATTACGTGTGCTGTTTGTTCTGGGTCACCCCAGTACCTGTTCGCTGTCAATGTCTATGCTGGCGAGAATACCACGGAGGCACCTACCCTTTCTGCAGAAGATATCCAGCAACGAGAATCTCGCCAGGCGTCCCAACGGGCACAACGCGTCCCTCGAGGTCCACAATCTTGGCCTTGACATGCGGGAGTATCCTACCCACCGTCTCGACGCGTTTGATGACCGGGTCATCGGGCGTGGTCTGAAACGACACAGGACTTTGCTACATGTGAGCACACGAGTTCCCGTACAATCCTGACGAGTGGCGCATACCTAGTCTCCGCTGCAGGAGAAATATCAATCAGCTATGCCGCACAAAGGTGGGTCAGGTACGAAGGCGTACTCATTCCGTAGGCTACCGTCAGCTCCGTCAGGTTCAGTTTCTCGATGAGCTGCTTCATCAGGTCAATGGGTATCGGTGAGCCAGCCGCGATACCCGTCCTGCATTCCCCAGACAGTCGCATCAGATATACCCGGAAACCAACCTCCACAGACTTACCGCAAGCTTCGCGCGTCGACATTCTCCCCGTCCGCCCTCCGCCGCTGCACCTCCGCGAGGACCCCAAGGAAGTGCGTAGGGACGCCATGCAGCGCAGTGCACCGCTCCTGCGTGACCGCGTCCACGATCGCGGGCGGGCTGAAGATCTCAGACGGGTAGACGATGCATGCCCCATGTGTCCATGCGGCCAGGTTTCCTAGGACGAGGCGTGCGTCGCGGAGGCGAGGTAAGTCAAGGCGGTTTCGTCAAAGTGTGGCGAAGCACTCATCAAAACAGTGGAATAGTGGCGGCACGTTGCCTATGATGTAAGGTCAGCGTCACGAAGGGATGAAGGGCCATGTGCGCGTACATAGTTTGTCGGACGGTGTTAGGTGCATGCAGCGGCCGATTGATATCCCGTTGTTTAACAAGTTGTGGTGCGTTAGCTGTGATGCACGATATCAATCAAAACTGGTGACTGAATTACTTGTGAATGTTTCGCTCACAGATACAGCCTTCGGCGCGCCGGTTGTTCCACTGCTCACGGGCTCGTAATGAGACCTGCGTTTCCCCAGTACAAGCAGCCGTACGCACCTCGTGAACTGCAAATTAATCACATCGTCCACCTCAAGCCCCGCCATAATATCCTCAACCCTCCTCCGCTCCGCCGTATCCTCCCGCCACACCATCACCTCGCGAAAGTCGACCGCCGGCCTTACGCCCTCCATCTCGCGCTCGAACTGCTTAAACTCCCCCGTGTTGTCCACCACGACGAGGTGTTTGAGCGCGGGGAGCGCCGCCTCCTGTATGTCTCCCGGGTGCGAGTTCGCGAGCGCGGGGAATGCGTCGCACAGCATGCGCACGTACGCGGACGAGCGGATGCGCGGGACGACGAAGAGGTGGCTGACCCCGACGAGCTTGAGCGTGCTCACCTGCACCCCCGCGCACACAGAGTTCGTTATCCATGACCAGACCCTCGCGATCGCGGCGGCGCACGTACCAGCTCCGGGAGGCGATATGCCGGGTTCAGCGTTACGAGGATCGCGCCTATGCTCGCGCACGCCCACTGTAGGCAGGCATATGCACTGTCGGCGCGGGTCGAACGTGAGCGCCGTACATTGTAGCGCTCCATGGCTGAGCGCCCCGTCCTGAGACCGCGACGCACCTGTTGTTGCCCATGATCACGCCCACGCGGTCGCCCTTCTTCACGCCGAGGTCCAGCAGACCGCGCGCGAGCGCCTGGATGTGCCGGTCGAACTCGCCAAAGTCCCATGCGAGGTGTGTCGCGTCGTCGAGGTTGCGCGAGCGCGGCCCGCCGTGTGGGCGCGCCTGCTCTTGTCGGGCGATGAGAGCAGGGCGGGCACCGTGTATTCGTAAGATGTCGTCGCGGAAGTACGCTGGGAGCGTCTTTGAGACAAGCGGAGGTTCGAGTGGCCCCTCGACTGCTGAGAGCGTGAGACGCGACGATGATGCTGCTGTTGAGAGCTTTCGCAGAGCCGAGCGCGAGAGCAACGAGGACCTGCGCATCGTTGAGGGTGAGCCTGCTCGCGCAGTGAGTGGGAGGGAAGAAAAGAGCGGGTTGTACGTACCCGCCAGACGACACACTAAGCCTAAGTACTCCGGGTGTGGGGGCGCTCGGCAATCCGGGGAAGATGGACAGGTGACCGTGAACTAATGGCACTCGTCTGCCGGTCACGCATGGCGTAGTTGAGGATATGTCTGCCGGTTGGGTGGTATGGTGTAGAGGCGCATTGCACGGTAGGAGTTCTCTGAGAAGACACTCATGGTGGTAGTCCGAGTTCACGATCGCGGTGGCGGCGAGGCGCGTCGAGGACCCATCAATCCGGGGTAATTGAGCGACTAATCGACCGGCCCGGTCCCCGTACTTGGAGGAGGGCTCGTACTGTGAACTGAACTGAGTACTGAGTGCTCGAGTGTACAGCCTCAATTCAACGCGTGTACATCTATAGTGGGCCCCAGAGTGTAGTGATAGATACGAGGAATGAATGTCTAGCGAGTGTCCGCCCCATCCTTATCAGTCGGTCACGGCTTCGCAATGACCAGCGCAGCAGCCGCTTGTATTTCCTCGCGCTCCTTGAGCTTGTTGACGGGCGTATACGCGCATTCCGCCTCCCAGTTGGTCGGCGTGAGCTCCAGCACCCGCTCACGGAACGCTGCAAGAGTGCAGAACTCGGGCGAGCCCGGGAGATGCTTGCCCTCTTGTGCGCAAAAAGGCAGAGCCTTGTCTTGGTTCTGATAGCGGACGCGGACGTCTGGGGCGTGGCCGGTGCGCGTTAGAATGTGGGGTCTGAATGGTGGACGCGTCACAAAAACGTACAGTGCTCCGTCGGTTCTCGATCGCGGCCGAACATCGACAGCACGTTTTGCCACGCAGAAGCGGGCTGGACGGCTGGCGTGTGCTTCTTGAACAGCTCAAACGTAACGGCAGCGGTGAAAGCAGGCCATCTGCACGTTAATGTGAGCATGCAGTGAGTATGTGAGTGCATAGCGGGGGTAACGTACCTCTCGTCGAATATGTCCAGTGTGTTGGAGAGACCAGCTAGGCAGGTGTCGTGCGTGCTGTGAATGAGAATCTTCGCGACATTGGCGTCGCTGTTTTCTGCCTTGGCTTGCATTTTCTGCGCAAGGTCGCTGAGAAGCGGGCCCATTCCTAGTCTGCGTACTTCCTCAGTGCGGTCTATCGTGAACAAGGCCTGTCAATGAGAGGGCTCTAGGAAGAGATAATCGAGTGGGCGTCTCACACCCTGCGAACCATTCATGGACCACAGCCTTCTCCTGCGAAGTCATATTAGTTCACCATACATACAAGGGGCAAATGAAGGTGCCTACAATCACATCCAAGACGCCTGCTTCTTTGAACTCTGAAGGCACCTTCACGCCGTGCGCGTCTGCAGCACGAACCTTACCGACTATGAGTAACGAGTGTCGCAGCTATACGTCGTAGAACCCACTGTATCCAATATGCCCGATGCCCGGGGTTTGCCGTCCAGACGAACGGGATTCCCGCCGATAAACTTGGAGAGCTTCTTGTCCAGAGGTTCTAGTGTCGTGTTCCAGGCGGCGGCAGCAGCTATGACGCAAATATCTAGTCATACATTCGGACTCGTGCTTTAGGGGAGAGTTTACCATGGGCGAAGCCGATTTGAAGGACTTCGAGACGCTTGCAAGCCATCGTGTTCCCAAATAGATTCTCATCCTTGCCGTTCCTGCCGAGACACCGTATATGCATTTACGTTCGGCGTGCTCACCAGTGTTCTGAACTCACCGTATCCTGAGCAAAGGTACGAAATCCTTTGCGTGTTTTGTCATGGGGTACAGGCCGTGAGTGATCTGCTGCAGCGACTCGATCGTACGCGGCATATTCGTTGAGCGCAAGTAGAGTTCGTCATTCGAGTTAACGACGTCAGGCAGGAACTTGAGCCTAGGTGAGCGTCAATGAGAATGGCTGCATGAGGTGGAACAGCCAAAGAACATACTTATCGACATATAGCTTCCTGAGAGAGCTACCGAAATTGTATGTCGACTACGGCTATGTTAGCGAGAGCGCTAACAGATATCCGCTCCAAGCGGAAGGCACGGTGGACGCACCTCACGGCCGACATCAGTCAGCTCTCCGAGTAGACTGAATGAGGGAAGTCAGCAATGAGCAAGACATAACGTCGCGACCACCCGCAATACGCAAGCGTGCTTCAAGAGACGTACCATTCACCGACCGCAGTGGAGCCGTCCCTCCGTTCCACAACCCGACGCGCCCGTAACTCCTCCGCCGCCGGCCCCGTCTGCACCGCCGGGAACAAAAGGTTCTGCCCTTCTTCTGCGGTCGCGCTCGAGACCGCCGCACGGAACTGCCGCGCCGTGTTGCAGAACATCCAGTGCTCGGGGATGTTCGCGGGCGGGTCCGCCATACGCACGCCGACGGGAGTGCGCTCGCCTAATGTATGGTATAGCAAAATACCGTTGGATCGCACGAACAATGAGATACACACAACACGCGTGAGATTCGCGAAACATGACGTACCGTGCCGGACGTATATATGCACCTGCTGCAGCTCCAATTCCGGCGGCGCGGCAGGGTACCCTTCCACGTCAAGCGGTACATGCCCTCTCGCTACCACATTGCGTCCGTGTTCGTTTCCTGATAGTCCCATTCCAGTCCCAGATTCAGCTTTGTCGATAATATGCGCGTAGGTTTGGACTAGGAGAGTCCCGTAGAGCAGCTGGAGGATAGACGGGATGGAGAGGTTGAACATCAACGCAGAGCTGAGCTCAGTCTAGATTGCACAGGCCTTTATAGTATTCGGGGAGGACTGAGCCGTTGTCTGAGTGATAAGCCTATGCGAGGGTCGTGTAGGGTCGCAGTGTCGTATGAAGGTCGTGTGCGTCGCGCGGCGCGTGTGCTGAGGGACACAACGTAAGGATGTAGGCGCCCATGCACCGCCGGGTCAAGGAGGTGAAATTGTGTCCATGTCTCCATGACGATATCTACGCTCCGTCGTTCGATGACCACCTCATGCCAAGTCTGACAAGGCTTGTAACATAATAAACCTCAGGTCTTTGAGGACGTATAGTACTTGCTGAGCGTGCACTAGCCAGCAAGGGGGAGGGGGTATCCGATGTTATTCTTGCAGACTATAACACCATCTACAACATGATCAAATGACAAGGCAAAACTAAGACAGTGGGGGAGGATGATATGCAACGTCCCAACACTGTAGGGAACGTCATTAGTGGCGTGTAGCGGTACTTAAAAGAACAAGTCGAATCCCGATATTATGTGCACGTAAGGATGGGTTTTGGCCGGGAAAATCGTGTTCCTACACGTCTCTAAACGGTCAGAACAGTGTTGAAGACGTAGTCCCAGAGCTTGCTCGTCACGCCGAAGGCGAGGTCGAAGTTCTTGTAGTGGTGCGCAAGGTGGTACTTCTTCAGCTCGCGAACATAGGCAGGGAGTCTCGTGTGGTGGAGGCTGTTGAGGGCGGTGAGTAAACATTGACATGACGCTGAGCAACAGTTGACTTACGCGTAATGCGTGCAGTCGTAGAGGACGTCTGAGGTATATTAATTAGGTTATGCGACCACACCAGTGATTTGTGCACTCACAAAAGACGAAAGCACCCGAAATGATACCATTTGCCATGGACGGCGGGAACAGCAAATGCGCGAGCTGTGTCATCGGGTACGACAGGACCGAGAACATCAGAGGCGGCATGACCAGCCTCAGCCTATTTATATAATAAGCAAACGTGCGCGCAACAGCGCAGCGCGCTAGACTCACCTGTCCATGGGTAGGTAGTGATGGATTCCATGCATCAGGAAGTGTAGGGTCAACGCCGCAGCGTGGTCCGGCAGCGCGCCGTCGATGTGGAACAGGAAGCGGTGGAAACCGTATTCCAGGAGTGTCCAGATGAGGTTACCCGCCAGGAAGCAAGGAATCGCCTTGGCGAAGGCGGAAGGTACAATGCGTCCAGCGGCAGCGGCACGCAGAGGTGCACCAGGGTCGGTGGTGAAGAGAGGGAGCGCGTAAGATCCAATAGAGAACTGGACCAGGGAGCGCACGAAGATGTACGCAGCAATGGGCAACCAGATCATGGGCACAATGTACCACGACGTGCGAGTGAACATCTAGGGCAGTATGATTGAGCACACACGGCATTTGCATTTCGGCGTTGAGCACTGACCTCGAGGTACCACTGCGCGAACAGACGGGGGGACTCAGGGGTATGCCGCGGCTGGTGTACCTGCTGCATGTAATACGCCTTGGAGAAGTTGGCCTCCCAGACCTGCCAGAACAGAGGCCTCCGGAGGTCAAGGAACTCATTCTTCTCAAAGTCCGCGGTCACGTCCGTCTCCTCTGGCTCGAAGTCGTCGGTGGCCTCCCAATCTAACGCGTAGCTAAGCACCTATCTCGGACGGCGTAACACGTGAAAACGCACCCTCGCTGACAATGTTCTCCCCAGCGCGCACCCTGCCAATACAGTACTCGTCGAGCATGTCGTAGGCTGAGTCCGAGTGGTCGTGCTCCGTCGCGTCCTTCATGATCGCGCCAATGTCCTTGCCGGCGAAGTTGACGATGAGGTCGTCCCCTCCGGGGTGGTCCGGGAGGAAGGCGGAGACATCGTAGACCTTGCCGTTACGAGTGACCCAGCAGTCGGACGCCGTCGAGTGCCTCTCGACGTCCTCTGCGGTGAAGATGCGGATTCTCTTGGACATGGCGGAGGGGGACGGAGGGGCGAACGAACGGGGACGGCAGAGCAGCCGAGGTTTTGTCACACCACCCTTGATTAGATTTCAGCCAAATTCCCACGGGTAGCTAAGCAGGATGAGTGTACGCGACGCGCGGAGAAGCGGCAGACCGATCTCGGGCCCCCTCCTAGAACGACCACCATGGCCGAGAATCCGCAAGTTTGCAAATCACAAGCATGCGGTATGGCGTAGAGTGTGCACAGTCTTTATTAACGGCTAGCGGCGGCCCTGCACCCCGCTCCAGGTCGCACCCACACGGCGGCTCGTAAGTCAGCACTACTTACTGTTGATGCCCGGGGATCATAAAATACGCAGTTAGTGTTCGAGGAATCGATATCGAGCGAGGCCAACATACAATTTGGCGGTGGTATTCAATTATGAAAACTCGGAGCGGGTCTGCGTTGTGCAAGAGAAAATAGGAGGAGAGGGCTATTTCGGCGCCGGAGAGACTCGGACGACGGGGCCTAGTCTGGTGTGAGACGTCGGTTTTTGGAGGAGGGTGGGCTTTCGGACATTGCCGAGACAGGCGCTCAAGCGTTCGCACGGCGTTTGACTCAAATTGTAGAGCACACAGCACACCGGAGTACATGTAGAGTATATCATTCACTCAAAACGTCATAAAAGAGAGCTCATGCCACTTTTCGTAAATTTTGAACGGAATCTGCGCTGAAGGCGAGGCTTCTCGGGGTACTCGGGCATAGAACCTGGCGCTTACTGGGTGTCCCAGCAGTCAACACAGCGGCCTTCGTGTTGCTGCAAGACATCAATGTTTCGGCATGGTTTAAATTCATGATGCCTTCTGTTTGGCATATAAACCTCTGTGGATCGTTAAATTGGGTCTTAAGAACTGCAGAGCGTCCGCGACCGACATGGAGAGCTTCGCACTCGAGCGTCTATTTCCTAATCGGGACGAGAGGGGACCCTCCTGCAAAAGTCCCGCGCCTCGTCGCAGACTATATACGTAGATCGACTGTCATCTCCTATATAGTCAGCCACGGAGACTAGACGGGGCCCTATCACCACGGTGCAGTAAACATACGTCACGGACGGCTTCGCCGGAAGATGAACGGGGAAGGAACACGTCGGCCGGTTGGTTACACCTTGTCAAGAGCGCGTTCGCTGAGCCCCGAGTGAACACAGTGACGATATATCATAGCCTCATCCTATCGCACATATGCGCCATACCCAGCAATCACAAGCCTTCCACAGCATATAACGGTGACGACCGATAAGGCGAGCTCCATCTTGGCAGGCCGAAGTTCTTATTCATCCATCACGGGCAGAAAGTGATGGTGTAGTCGGCCTGGAGAGCGGAGTCGCAATGGTTGAGCCCGGTGGGATCGTCGAACGCGTAGGCATAGGCATCCGGGCAGCTGTCCTCTGCGGTATACAAGCTCAACGAAATCGGGAATCCCACCGAAGAAGAATAACTTACTGAAATAAGAGTAGGACTCAACGCTAGAGGAGGGGCAGGTCTCCAGGGCGTTGTGGGTACCCGTGCAACAGTTCGGGTTATTAACTGCAGGTCAAAAATATGTGTGAGCGCTGAGCAGACAAGTCAATTCGCAGCGACGACATACCCAGATCGCCCAGCCCAGCGGCGCAGGCACTTGCAGCCGAGGATGGCGCCACTGGGATCAGTAGGGCTAGCAATTGCAGCCGGGCCTATCCGTGTATGCTGAGTACGATGCCCGAGCCTGTGTGTATACATCATTGACTCACAGTCGGGATTGAGGTCCGCCGCACAATCGGCGACGGGGCAGCCCTTGTTGTTTTTGATAGCCACTGGTATGTTGAAGCCGTCTACAAGAGACACTGGTTATGCAGCCGATGGTCAAGCCTAGCCTGAGCGTCCTTGCTCCATATCCAGCGGCTGACTCACCGTCATATGTAGTTATCGGCAACTCCATTGGTGCCCAAGGTGAACTCAGCTAGAGTAGCAGGAGGGACACCCTAGTTCGCAGGATGAATGATATGTCCCGCACATCTAGTTTTGAAAAGCTCACCGTGCCCGAGTGCGGGTCGCACTCAAGTCCGCCGCTACAGCCTCCGTCGATGCAGGAGTTCGGACCTGGGTTTGGCCCGCTGAAGTCGCATTGACGGCGTCGAATGCACCCTCTGGTCAACATACAGTGGTGATGGAGCCCTGGGTGCCACAGACTTACCCAAATACGACCGGCCTTCCAGTCGTTCGGGACCGTGAAGGTCAGGACCTCGTTTGGGTCCTGCTCCCAGCTGTGCATGAATGTGATGGCATGAAACGATCAGCTTCAGTCTAGATTTCTCTCCGCTTACCCAGTAGGTTGGTCCGGAGTCGTGCTACCAACATTAAGGTCCGTGAAAATCTGTACAGTAGTTCAATGCGTTGCCAGTACGAGTGTGCCATTATCAACGCACAGCAGGCCTGCGTAGTCGCCAACGTCAATAGCGCGAAACGGTACGAAGAGACATACACGTACCGGACGGTATAAGAGCATGGGTTGATGACTGTGAAGGTTCGCGCGGTGGCTACAGTAGCGAACGTCAAGGCAACGAGAGCAGCGAAGTTCTTCACGTTGAGATGGGAGAGGTCGAGAGGTCGCTACTGCTATGATTAGGAGTGACCCAATATTTTATAGATATCCTTAGAACCCTACAAACCATATGCACACACACGACACCTCACCTATTGCTTCCTCATGGCGGTGCCCAGAGTGTTTCAGTCGGACATACCAGTATCATCGAGAGAAAGTCAAGTTGATACGGAGCCGATAGCCACACACGAGAGTATAAGTCAGATGCTGTCTCATGAGTGTGCCACTAGAATTATGTAAAAGACCACGGTAGAACACTTTGGCGTGAAGTCCTTTCTTCGTGCGCTAGGGATATCTTCCTGCCGAATTTTGCACCGGCGACATCGCTGTCCGTGGCGTTATTTCAAACAGTTCCAAGGAGTTGTATACAAGCACCTTAGAGCCATAAAACATAGAAAATATGAGTCCACCCTGCGCTTCCGGGGATATGTCGGGTGACGGCGTCCAGTACCAAAGACCGCCGCAGTGTGGAGCCGTGAAACGGTCAACGCGAACATATTTCTGGGTTCAGCGTGTACGCAAGCCACCTCAGCAGCGCAGCATTCGAAGTAAAAGATCATTGAGAGACCAACCGATGTAACCAAGCAGAGTGTAGCGTAGTATGCAGCCTGGAGATGGTGGACGGCACTCGCTTTACGAGACGGGCGTTCAATACACACGTGTTGACGGGGTGACCGGGGTCTCAGCGCATACAGATCGTTGCTGTGGCTGAAGCGTTCGCTCCTCTCTACGCGTCTCCTACACTCACTGCTTCCTACCCGCTGCGTCTCTCACTTCTGCTTGGCTGTATCACTGTTCTGGACTCCCGATATACCAAGGACTCTGAGTTGACTTGGGCTCAACGGAACGGATACTCTGTGCTAGGCCATGGGGCGGCTAAACGTCGACATCGACGATGATACTCTCTTGAAAGCATACAAGCTCTCCTCTATATCAGCAACGTAACCGGATCCTTTGCAATAGGTTCTGTTATCTGGGTCTTCTGACGCGCCCGGTCATATAGACGATGGGAAGAAGTGGACCAGGACACCGACAATGCTGTACCCGGCATTACTGGACCGGCGGAGAACGACACAGACCCGCTGGGCTTGGGAGCTACTATCGAGTATGCAGAATGTTCTCAATATCCGAGACGCGTACATTGATCAGTTGAGATAGCTTGCGGGATATGGATGCGGAAACCAGTCAGTAGTCATGTATAGAGGCCTGCTCCTGCCTGCTCAATATATCTGCTTCAGAGGCTGCGGTGCTCATAACATCCAAGTCGTTCAACCCCAAGACGTTCCTCTCCGTCGTGCATCCGAATGCGACATATCAAGATCTCTCTGCAGCTATCGCGCGCCTTCGCGCATCGCTAGACTCACGCTCTGAAGCTATCCGTGTGCTTGTCGAGGAGAACTTCGACAGATTCGTCGCGGTGAAAGCATCAACAGATGGTATGGCATAACCCATAATTCACACCCTTGTACTCGTAATGTTGTGTTGATTGGTTTCTCATAGCCTTGTACGCCGAGATGAAGGAGGGTATACTGGCAGAACAGACGGACTTCGCGTCGAAGCCTCTCAAAGATCATCTCAAAGGTCAGTGCCAGCGGCAGCAATAACAGCTTACATTTACACTCGTGTTATCAGCTGCTGCCCAGAAAGCAGATCAGGTCTTCCTGCCTGTGCTAGAGAACGCTATGAAGGCGCAGAAGCTGCGCACAACTCTTGGCGTGTTTGATCGCTCCAAGTTCTTCTTCAATTTGCCCAGTTCACTTGTGGAATGCATTGAAGCGGTAAGCAGTCATAGGAAGCAGGCGCATACGGACGCGCTGATCGCTTACGCTGTATATAGGGGCGGTATGAGGCAGCAATGCGTGATTACAAGAAGGGCAAGCTCCTGCTCGAGACTCGTCCTAATCAACTTCTGCCAATCGGCACCACGAAGGACGGTCAGGCATCGGGATCCGCCCAGCAACAGCAGAAACGGATTCTTGACAAGGTATGGGCAACCGTGGAGAGAGTCATGGCGCAGATGCGGAACGAGCTCCAAGTTCAACTACAAGAGCCCACGCGCAGCGTGGAAGAGCAAGAGAAGACGATAGAGTACACATTTTTATGCCCGCGGGCGTGGCCATATTTGGCTCAAGGCATAACTTATCTAGGATCTTATGCGAGTTCAACACGTCCGACGATCCAGCTTGGACATACTTCGACGCGCAGCATAAACATATCATGCAGCATATGCGAGAAGCGTATGCGACTGCCGTGAAAAGCATCCAAGGTCTGCGGTGCATAATGCCCACATGTTTGACCTTGGTTCTAAATCCTTCACAGGCATTGTCGACAAGTCCCCAGTGACTAGTCCTGACACCCTTTCCCTCAACCGTGAACTAGCGTCGCAGTTACAAGACTGCGTGTACGCTTTGGAGACGAAACAGCCCGACTCCGTCGTAGGTATGTGCAAACGACGATGCGAGCCTGAGCTTCCCCGATTGACTCGCATTGCCAGCGCAATCCGGGGGTCATGAAGTCTGGGAAGCGATCCAAGTCTTGGTCAAGAACGTGTCTGAGGCCATGCTGACACCTCTTCCCAACTTCTGGCGAATATCCAAGTCCTTCATGGATGGACGATACCGGAAGGTGATTATATGCACCCAACTTTCACACTAGTGTGCCTCGTCTCATCGCTGTGCTCTACCAGACTGTACCTACCTCCTCTCGCCGTAGCCCGACACAATGCCGGACCATGGCGCTGGACATCATCAAGCTCTACATCACCCTGCTTTCCGAGTTCTTCCTTTTCTCCGACATGGCCGTCATGTCCCCCGGCCGGAACACCACCCCACCCCTCTTCCCCAAGTGCTCCAACTCGCTCACCACCGCTCATCATTTGATGAAACTTCTAGGCGAGATCCAAGACAGCGTCAACGACGTGGCCGGGATGGATATCTCCGGCGAGGCCACCTCAAGCTTGAAGAGCCTCCTGGAGAGCGCAAAGTGGAAGTTCGCCGACATCCTCGTGAACGACTGGCTCCGAGGTCAGTCTCTCATTGCCTTTACTCTCCTAAGTCTGCGATTCACAGCCACCCAGATGCGAACATCTTCTACTACCTCGAGACATGGATCGGCTCCACCGTCGACCAGTACACGACGATCTACCTCTCCCAGATGCGCGCCTTCCAGAAGCAGATCACGACGTGTGCCTTCAAGGTCGCCGGCGGCGTCGACCTGTCCTCCTCCGCGGCGTCCTCGTCGCGCCCGACGAAACAGAACCCGGTCCCAGCGGAGTTCGTCGCGAAGATCACGAAGGCGTTCCTGGACTCGCTGTACGCGTTCCTCGACGGGATGGTGCACTTGGCATCGGACGAGAGCCCGACCGCGAGTGGGATCAAGGCGCTGCCGCCACCACCGTCGACTGTGGTCCCGGGCACGAACCCACTTGAGCTAGTCAAGGTCGAAGAGGCTGTAAGTCCCGTCCCGAGATCTGATGAGCATGCCCCGGCTCAGTGTTAATTGCGTGTCTAGGATACCCGTATCCTGCTAGTAGTGTCTAACTTCGGACATCTCATGCGGGTTCTCATCCCGAGCATGATCACCGAGCTCGAGACTGCATTCAACAGCTCTATGGCGGAAGACCGGAGGGTATGTCCCGCGCGGTTGCTCCGCCTCATGTCGTGTAGCTCGCATACTGAATGTTATCAATGACAGGCACTCATGTCAGTCGTACAAGAGCTCGACAAGACGCTCTTCGAGAGCTACTTCAAGCCCAAGTCCGCCGCACTCACCGCGATCGTCCGCGATGGCATCCTCGACCCGGGCATGGACTGGTACGAGACGCCGCAGCCGAAGGGTTAGCCTTTCCCCCCATAGACCTTTCCGTGAACAATCGCTGATACCATTCGCAGAAATTCGTCCATACGTATACGAGACGCTCATGTTCCTCGTCGGGGTCCACGCGCAAGTGAGCGCGGCGGCCGCGCCGCTGCTCGAACGCACGCTCAACGCGCTCGTCGAGGACGTCGCGGAAGAGGCCCTCCGTTGTTTCCGCCAGGTGAAGCGCTTCGGCATGGGCGGCATGCTCCGGGTGCGTCTCCCTCCCTCCCCCGTCCTCCTCTCCCTTCTCCATTTCTCTCTCCCACATCCCACATCACCACTAACCGCACACGCACCCCAGGCGACGCTCGAGATCGAGTTCATGCACCAGACGCTCTCGCGCTACGTGACGCCCTCCGCGGACGCGACGCTCTCGGAGCTGTACACGAAGATCTCGCAGGCGTACGCGAAGCGCGCGGGCGACGAGAACCTGCAGGCGCACCTCGACGGCGTGAAGAAGACGCTCGCGGACGCGCGCCGCGCGACCGGCATCGAGTTCCTCTGCTTCCGCCAGACGAAGGACCGCGCGAAGGAGCGCGTGCGTGGGGGCTCGGGCGACCAGCCAAGGGAGCGCGAGCGCGAGCGGAAGGAGAGGGGGGAGAGGGAGAGGAGGAGGGAGCCGAAGGCGAGTTAGGCAGAGGACGGATGAACTGTAACGGATGGGTGGTTGTAACTTATCGATACCAATGTGAACTTCATCGAATGCCGCGTTCGAGGGGGGGGGGTTGTGGACCCAAACATCAGAACCTGCACGGGCGGAGTTACTCAGCGATGGTGTCTTGCTTCATTCAGTCAAATCGACAGCACCGAACTCAGGTCACACTCCCACATCAGGCAGCAGATGCTAGCACGTACTTAGAATCGCGGAACGGCCGGTGTATATGCCCAATTCCAGCAAAGCGTATTCGACGTAACGTATCCTGGATAACCATGCGAGTAAACCAAGCAAAACACAGATATACACGGTACACATTAGCCGCCACAGTGCAGCAGGATGGGAAGGCAAGCGACAGCAGGGGGCAGCGGGGGACGGGACGTAGACTAGCACATATGGTACACGGGGCCCGGGCATTAGAGCGGCGGCGCGCGGGCCGCCGCGGGGGCGTAAGTAGGTTGACAGCTGTTGAAGTGTAGAGCAGGGGAAGGGGCGAGAGCGATGCAGGGGGCAGGGTACATATTGACACAGAACGGGTGGGTGCGAGAGCAGAGCGCGAGGGGTACGATTGTGGATGGATGCGGACGATGTGAGGTGGGGAACGGGGATGCGTGCTGCGTAAAAATGTAAAGCGGGACGTGGAAAGCGTGGTGGGCGTGGACGTGAAGGGATCGTAACTGGATGTGCAGTATGGCGACAGCGGGGGAGGGGCGGGGAGAGAGGGGATAAACCGAGATATAACGATATACAGGAGAAGATGAAATGGGGCGGCGGCGTGAGGCAGCGGTCTGCGTGACTTCTGTTAGCAAACCGATCCACAGCGACTCGAAAGCACCTCACCAGGTTAAGGCGGACCCGCATCTCCCGCCCGTGCGGCGGCGCTCCCCGCACTCCGCCAACTACGCGTCTCCCCACGCGCGCCGTCCCCACCACCGCCCCCACGCACCTCCCACAGCACACGCGGCGTCCGGTACGACTCGCGCGCATAAACAGCCGGGTCATACTCGACCTCGACCGTCACCGTCTCCTCGATCTGCACCCGCACATCCGGGCACTCCCCCTTCTCATCTCTCTCATCTCCCTCCTCAATATCGTCCTCGTGCTCATGGCCGGCCTCCTCGTCCCCGCGCGTGCGCCGGCTCCCGCGGTGGCTGCCCGACCCGAGCGTCGCGCTCGCCACCGGCCCGACCCCACTCGTCCCCGACCCAGTGCCCGTCCCCGTCCCGGACGCGGACAGCGAGCGACTCCTGCCACTGCCCTTTCTATGGCTCCCCCGACCCCTGCCCCGTTCCTCGGCGGACGCCCACCCGCAGTCGCACGAGCACCCGCACGAGCGCTGCCCGCTGCCGGACACGGTGTACACGGAGCGCTCCGCCATCGCGCCGTAGTCGTTCGTGTCGAGGTCGAAGCCGGTGGACAGGGCGTGCGCGCGGCGCTGGCGCTCCTTAGAAGAGAGCTGCTGGGTGCGCATCGCGTGCTGGATGGAGTGCGCGGAGGGGAGGGCGCGGGAGACGACGAGCTGGGTTGTGACGGTGCGGTTGTGCGCCGCGGCCGCGTCTGTGTGGGACGCGTCAGTGGTGAATAGATTTAGGTAGTGCGGGAGGGGGGGGGGCGTACCGCGGAGGTGGATGAGGATGCGCTGGCTCATGATCCAGGTGAGCGCATACCCGAGCGAGACGCTGTCGACGCCAACTCAGCCGAAATTGAACACAAACGCCACCATCCACACAACCCAAACCCAAACGCAAATCCAAACCAAAGGCAAACGCGGTCAGGCACGCAGGGAAGCACACAGACAGACACCAGGCACACGTCAGCACTATTCTCGGGCCCGGGGGGAAAGGGACAGGCACACGCACCCTGACGACTGTCCGCGCAAATAAGGCGGGGAGGGACACACAGACGGGTCAGCCACCATCCGGTGCGTGTGCGCGTTGTGGCAGAGTGTGGGAGCGGACGTACCTGTATCGCTTCGTTCGGCCGGCGGTAGAGGATCAGGTTGAAGATGTTCACGCCTGTCCACAGGCACGGGTGTCAGAGTGTACGGCAGCGGGGCGAGGGCGGGGACTGGGGGAGAGCGGACGGGGTGCGTACCGGTGAGCGCGACGAAGTAGACGAGTCCGTCCGTGAGCATGCTGCGCAGGCGCGTCCAAATTAGCACTCCCATGCGCACGGATATAGAAAGATGTAAATGCGCGTACATGCGGCGGAGGTGCTGCATCCTGCGAGATGCGCGCGAACAGTGGTCAGACATGAGCATGGGGCGGGCGGCGGGAATAGGGCGCAACAGGGACGTACTTTCCGGAGTTGGGGCTGAAGCTGATGAGGTACATGCTTGAGATGCCCAGCGTGAGGATGTCGTACACGATCGAGAGGAGGTAGTAGAGCCAGACGGTGAGCACGGGCGGTTTGTTCCCCGCGGTGCAGCTATAGCCAGCCCGTCAGTAGTGAGAACTGGCTGGGTGCTGGAGGGGACACGTACTTGTTACGCTATAACGGGTTAACGTGTGTAAGAGGCCGTGAACGCATCGTAACAGAAAGACAAGCGCGCTTGGCACTCACTCGGCCCTGCACGGCTGAAAATAAAACTTGGACTGTTAAGACACAAACGGACGAGATGCCGAAAAGAATCACTCACAGACTCGATTCCATAGGTTCAGGAACCATTGTGCCTGCGCTGGCATGAGCACGGGGACACGGGAGGCATTAAGAATAGGATCGGCCTGCTTACAGCTGTGCAGACCAGGAACGTGCAGGCTATGATCCAGGTAACGTGTGTCGAGCGTCGCGATATATTAACGGTCCTGGGGTCATAGTCGGCATTAGGTCGGCTGGAGCAAAGTGGTGGATAGTTGGACATACCTGATGCCCAAGATTAATTGGGAGACCATCGTCTGGACGACTGTGACGGGTGTCAGCACACAGGCAACCCAGGGGAAGGAGGGCGGCACGCGCGTAGCGCGACGGCGCGTGCGTCGGCGCGAGGCGCACCTTTGAACACGGGCGGGATAATGAAGTAGCGCGCGCATGACGCTGGGGTGAAGAAGTTGCCAAAGTAGCCGACATTACTGAGGGTGATTACCGCGATGCTCGAGTACCTGTGGGCGGGCGGGTGCGCGCCGATCAGGGAAGTGTGGGCGCGTGAGAGGGCGAGAAGGGCGAACCGGATGGCGATGAAGAGCAGGCAGCCCAGGCTGAGGCGCCAGGAGCGCTGGCTTCTGTAGAACCGCCATTCTGCGGGAAGGGTAAGGATGTAGCTGGGGAACACGCGGTGAGCTCGGGTGGACGGGTGATAGGCGAGGGAGGGGCCTGACTCGTAAAGGGCGATGGAGAGGGAGACGACGCGGATGAAGGAGGTGGAGGTGTTTTGGCTGCTGTCGAGACCGGTGCCGTCCATGGGCCACAGACGCGTTCAGGGCGGCGTGCGCGGCGGGGGTCGTTAGCGGGTCGTGTCGGGCGAGGAGGTGGGGAGAGGACAAGGACGGGAGCGGGCCATGAGAGGCTGCGAGGGCTGGTTGAGACTCCCACCTTGCGCTCATCTCGTCCGCACACAACCGCGCGAGGGCGAATATCACCCACGCAGCCGCCCGTCCAGCCCACGCGCGCCAGGCACCGTCCCCGCTCGCTCTCGCCGATCCATCCCCCGATCCCCGTCCCCGCTCGAGCAACGCTGGACCTGGCCAGCCAGCACCCGCTTCTCTTCCCTTCCGCCCATGGGTGCACACAACTCTGCCCGACACAGTACTTGGAGTGCCCCTTTGCGTGCGCCTCTCCCGCCAGCGAGTCCGGCTGCACATCTCGCCATCTCGTGATCATCTCGTCTATTCCCCGCGCTCACTGTCCATTCAGTTCCCACCCACCGTGCACACCGTCCGCCCCGATAACACCCACACCGCACCCAGCGATGCTCCGCAATGAGATCAATCTAAAACACCCCAGCACTCTCCGTGCGAACGGCCTGTCGGAATCACAGGATTTGCGAATTGACTGCGATTCAGGCCCATAGCCGCTGTCACTGCCTGCCAGTACTAGTGTTAGCGTGCCTGCACACTGAAACCATCTGGTATCCAGGTAGAGTACAAGTTCTGCCTCTTCGGGTCTGCTATGTACGGCTATGTACTTGAAATCTTAATCCCTCGCCATGACCACCACATGCGAATGGGCGTAGGGCTGATGGCTGTATTCCGAGTACCATCCCACCGTGGCCTTCGGAATCGGCTCCTCCGACGGAGCAAACGTCCCTCATGGCAAGCCTCATGCCTCCTCCATCTGCTTATGGTTGTAATTGGCTCATACAACTCATGTAGACCGAGCCGAGAACGATGATTGGGACCATCCCGCCTTCATCGGTCGTCCATATCATGACCATCGGTTCGACTCTACATCCTGCCGCGCAACCTCGTTCCTGTCACCCACCTCTCCGTCGAGGTCGAGGCGCTCGCCCGATGCTGCTTTAAGTGCTTCAGCATCCACGCCAAGCAAACACAAGTCCTCGCGGTAGATCGCGCTCGGCGTCGGGACCGCAGGTCATAGCTATAGCTATACATATGCTTCACAGCCAGTCCCACGCAAAATTCCTGGCCATGCACCGTCATCTGCGCACGACATCACGTCTACGCGTGCGTGCAATTCGGAGTTTTCGGTTGCGAATGCAAGGACGGGCCCGTACTGACAGACGTGCACGCGCTCGACCACCGTGGACCCACGAGGTGCACGGCCCCGGGGCCCGCAAAAACAGCTGGGGGATTCAAAACCGCATGGCGGCAGTCTCGATAGTCTTTGACCAGTACAAGTTCCGGCCGTTGCAGTACGGCAAGACCGCGCGCCGCGCACCAGTAAGGGAGAACTAGCATGCAGAAAATATGAGTGCGCGAAGTCTCGACCGCTGCACCTCCCCGTAATGATGGTACATACAATACTTCTTTCACTGATTCACCGCTCTCTACCGTACGCTGCCATGCATTTTGCACCCACAACCAAGGTGAGTCTAGTTCCCGCTGCTCCTCCCAACCGCCTTCACCGCGCCCCCCTCCGCCAACGCCGGCAACCTTTCCTTCCCCTCCCCCTCCGGCGGCAGCAAGAAGCCCGCGCCCACCAGCCACGCCAAATACTTCCCCATCAGCGCCTCATCCACCGTCCCGCTCGTCCTTGCCCCGTCCCGCTCCAACACCGCGCGCATGCGCGCATCATCCAGCTCCGGGGCCTTCGTGCTCGTCGGCAGGTCGTCCAGCACAAAGTGCAGCAGCGGGAACAGCGCGTTGTCCTGCACCTCGAGCACGTGCCGCTCGAGCTGCCGCCGCCACACGACGTACTCCGCCTGCGCCGCGCGGAAGCCGTACGCGGGCAGCGCGCCGAGGAACGCGTTGAACGTGGGCCGCGGGGCCGCGGCGACGTGCAGCACGCTTTGCGAGGAGGCAGGGGCGGGGAGGGGCGAGACGGCGGCGGCGGCGCAGCAGCGCGCGACGTGGTCGACGGGGACCATGTTCACGGTGTTGTTGATGTCGGGCACGAGCCCGAGCTGGATGCAGCCCTTGACGAGGCGCCAGAGGAAGTCGTCCGTGTTCGTCACGGCAGACGCGGAGTCGCCCACGACGTATCCGGGGCGCACGATGTGCCCCGACAGGCCGCGCTTGCCGGCCTCGAAGAGCAGCTTCTCGGACACCCACTTGCTCTGGCCGTACCCGGTCTTGAGCGCGGTGCGCGCGCCCTCGAGGTCGTCCGCCTCGGGGACGGCGCCCAGTGCGTCTGAGAGCTGCACGTAGTGCTCCGTGTCCATCGCGGACGTGGACGACACGAAGACGAGCAGCTTCGGCTTGCCTGCGGCCGCGAGTGCAACGGCTGTCAGCGTGCCGAGTACGTTTGCGCTCCGCAGCTTCTCGTACGGGTACACCCAGTGCACCAGGGCACCGTTGTGGATGATCGTGTCCGCCTCACCCGCGACGCGCATCCACGCAGCGCTGTCGAGCCCGAATCGCTCCTGGTCCAGGTCTCCCCTCACGACCTCCAGCCGTCCCTCGGCAACCCACTTCTCGTCCCACACCCCGCGCCCGACCGCCGTCTCGCGCAGCCGCTCCATCGCCGTCGCGTCGTCCTTCGCGCGTACGAGGCACACGACCTTCTTCACGCGCGTCGTCGGGCGCTCCAGCAGGTCGCGCAGGATGAACGCGCCCAAGAAACCTGTCGCGCCCGTGAGGAACACCGTGAGTGCGCGCTCGGAGTAGTCTGACGGCGCGGACGGGTACGACTCGTCCAGTCGTGCGAGAAGCGCCTCGTAGTCCTCGCTGTATGCGGCCTTGTGAGCCACAGAGGGGGCGGTGGGCGACGACGGGCTGTTGGAGGTCGAGAAGCCGAGGTCTGCGTTACGCAGATGATCGACCGCGTCCGCGAGCTCCGCAATGGTCGGCTTGTCGAAGACGAGCCCGAGAGGGGCGTCGACGACGAACGCCTTGCGGATCTCGAAGATGAGGCGCGTGGCGAGGATGGAGTGTCCGCCGAGGTCGAAGAAGCTCTCGTCAAGCGGGAGCGGCGAAGGCGCGTTCGGCAGGATGCGTGCCCAGATCGCGCGGATGGCTTCCTCGGTGGGACTGGCGGCGGGTCCACCGCGAGTGGGCTCGGGCGCTGCGACTTGCGCAGTGTCCGGGAAGGGCAGCGCGGGCTTGTCGATCTTGCCATTGGGGTTGAGGGGCATGCGCTTCAAGGGGACGAACACTGCAGACCAGTAGATCTCAGCGACAGATGAACCGCTGCAAGGTCTAGGTACGTACGTGTGGGGACACTGTAGCTCGGCAGCTTCTTCTTGAGGTACTCCCGGATCTCCTTGATGAGTCGCCTGTACTTGCGCATACCGCTCACAAGGCCCTTCTCGTCGCCCTCGTCGCCGACGTCACTCATGTACTCGTCTAGCGCCGGGCCGCCAATGGGCACGAAATACGTGACAAGAATCTTCTCCTCGTCCTTGTCGCGCCGCACGAGTGTGACGTTCTCGCGCACAAGCGGGTGTTGGCTCAGGTGCGTGTCGATCTCGCCGAGCTCGATACGGAACCCGCGGATCTTCACCTGGTCGTCCGCACGGCCCGTGCACTCGACGATGCCGTCGGGGAGGTAGCGCCCAAGATCGCCAGAGCGGTACATCCTGTCGCGCACGCCCTTCCAGAACTGCGCCTCGGGCCCGGGGGCGGACCCGTCGGGGGGCGAGCGAAGCGTGTCCGCGCGCGCAGGGGCGTTCTCGCAGAACCAGTTTGCGACGAACTTCTCGGCCGTTGCCTGCGAGTCCGAGTAGCCCTCGGCAAGGCCACCCGAGCGGACATAGATCTCGCCGACCTCCCCGACGGCACAAGGGACGGAGCGGTCATTACGGTTGACGACGAGGAGCTGGACGTCGATCATGCCCTCGCCGGCAGGCATGATGTCCTTTTGTGTCGCGAGGAAGGTCGCGTCCTCGGACACGGAGGGGATGAGGAAGTATGATACTGCGCGTTGCGTCTCAGTCGTGCCGTACATGTTCACGATGCGGACGTTGGCCGCAAGTGATTGGAGACGGAGGCAGTCGCGCTTGGTGAGGACGTCGCCGACGAAGAACGCGTTGCGGAGAGCAGGGATCTGGCGGGTGGCTTGTGCGGAGAGAAGCTGGCCCATAGCGGGTGTCAAGTGGGTGACTGTCACCTCGTTGTCTGCCATCCATTCTGCGAGGCGGCCGGGAGTGCCGATGTCGTCAGCGGTCGGGACGTACAGACTCGCGCCGAAGAACAGCGGGGTAAACACTGCAATTGGTGAGCATATCGTAGTATATCAAAGCTCGTTTTCGCACTTACTGTCGCGTTGGATGGGGTCGTGGGCGATGCCGCTCAACATCGTGAACTTCGAGTGTTCGCCGATCTCGAACCGCTGACCCATCCACGGGAAGAAGTGCGTCAGGCTGTAATGCCTCCCCTTCACGCCCTTCGGGATACCCGTGCTGCCGCTCGTGAACGAAAGCGTAGCCACGCTATCCGGACCTAGAGGCACAGCCGGATCGGTGCCAGACAAGTGCTTCTGGGGTTCCAGGACATCCGCCGAACCTTCAGTATGCGAGCCGCCAACAATCTGGCCATCCGCCAACAGTTCCAGCGCAGGGACCTCAACGCGAATCTCCAGCTCCGTGTTGACGAACTCCCGAACGGAAGGGGAGATCTTGCCCGCGCCCTTGAGGACGACAAGCGCGCGAGGCTGGGCCACCTTGAGGTAGATGGTCTGTCGGGATGGCGGGTACGCAGGGTCGATGACCGAGAATGTTGCGCCAGCCTTGAGCACGGCCATGACAGCCACGACGAGGTCAACGCTGCGGTACGCATATACCATCACGACTTCCTCGCGCTGAACACCTCCTTGAATCAAATGGTGTGCGAGGATGTTTGACGCGTGCAGGATCTGGCTGTAGGTAAACGTGCGCCTCTCCTGGGGCTGGTCTAGGCTAGCCGCAGGGATGCATTGGACCACACATTGGCGATCCGGCCATTGCCTAGCGTTGCGGGAGAAGATGTCGGGAATAGCGCCCTTGAAATCGCACCAGTTGAGGTCGGCAGTGGGGTCAGGGAGCTTTGCACGCTGCGAAGGAGTGAGAAGAGGTACAGAGCCGACAGGTGCAAGAGGGTTGGAGGCTACTCTGCGGAGTAGGATGGAGAGCTGATCGACAATGCAGGTAATGCGAGCAGCGGTGAAAAGCAAAGAGTTGTACAAGATGCGCAATGATAGATGAGGTGCGATGGAAGAGCGGCTAGATTCTTGCTGTCTTGTTACAAAGATCGTGATGTCTGAAGTCAGACTTGTTGAGTGGAGGAATTGTTCTTGGGGAGAGTCTGTTTCATCGAAGAAACGGACTCTGAAGATGGGACGAGAGGCTTCGACGGTGTCCGCCTTGTCCTTTCCGAGCGCGCGAATGATTGACTCGAAGGGCACACTGTCCGCTTCGGCCTCCTGCTCGACTTGTTGCACCTTACGAACGACTGCCCAGAATGGATCTTCCGGGCCCACACCAATACGCAGCACTAGAGGATCGCGTGCTGAAGCAGATGAAGAGCCAATGATGAGATCTGTGTCGCCAGTGTATCGGTGAAGCAGCACGGAGAAGGCAGAGAGAAGGAGGTGGAATGCGGAGGGAGTGTTGTTCGCCGGACCTTCCTCCTCGAGGTCTTCGTCATTTTCGTTGTAAAGGGCCAGCTTCATGAGACCGTTACAGGTCTGTTCCGAAAGCTCTGCAGTGACGGCTGCCTCAACCACCTTGTGTCCTCCGGTCGGCCTGGGGTAGTCCGTAGGGAGAGACATCTCCGGCAGGTTTTGGAGTCGGGCGACGACCCGAGCGAGACGATCGGCCGCCATTTTGAAGATGAGGGCCTCCTGTCGTAGGAGGCTGGGTAGATGGCCGCGAGTGCGAGGTGGGAGGAATGGGAAAAGTGAAAGACGCGCCTTTGCGGAAAGCAGGAGCTCTAAATCAAAATGACTCCCGGGCGATCGACATTTCGGCTAGCCGGCCCGATAAGTCCGTAAGTTGAGGACCAACTTGGACCTACCCGAGCCACCCGCCCCTTTCTTTTGTTCTCTCACTCCGGTCGTTTACCCTCCCTGCCCATAGCTCTTCCCTTGCAAACCCCGCTATCATGACAGAGGTCGCGAGTCATGACATGCTCTCCGAGCTGCTCATCGCCAAGATGCTCGAAGACGACATGCGGGAGCTCGAAAACGCTCGCGCAGCTGAAGAATTTCAGCTCAGCGAGACTCTTCGATCTTCCGCACTTGCAGCAGGACGATTTCCCAAGAAGATCCAGCCCGTGGCCTTGGGTCGTTCTGACCATGACGTCGCCCTCGAGGTTCTTGCCGCTGAGGTCCTGGCGAACAAGGACGCAGTGATCGCACAGAGCTGGCAGCATGCCGAAGATAGCAACCACCTCGCAAGCAGGCAGTACGCCCAGAAGCTCGTCGCCGCTGAGAAGAAGAGTGCTATAGATGCAGAGTTTGCGAGACGCCTTCAGCAAGCCATTGATAACGGAGAAGATGACGTCGAGATGCGCGATGCTGAGAGGTATTCCTGTAACCGCAAATGCCCTGACTATCTGACGTTGCTAAATCGGCCCGTCACAACAGCGTTCTTGGACAGCATGCTATAGAGGACATAATGGTATGTGATATTGATATCCGTAATCAATATCAAGCGCTTCATGTGTTTGCCATGTTCAGGCCGGTGACATGAACGAGAAAGGGAAAGGCAAACAGCCAGCTGTCTTCAAGGGCAAGCGCAAACTCGAAGAGATAGATGTGCCTCCCCCGCCGTATCGCGAGTACAGTAAGTGGTAACCGAGAGTAGATGGCAAGCATATTATTGAAACCGCCACATAGTCAAGAAGGAAGAAGACCTTCCCGTAAACCTTTATCCTACTTGTGGGATCTGCATGGAGCCTTTCCAGGCAACGTATTCTCCCGCAGCCGCGGCGCGTTCTGCGAACTCTTCGTCGCGCCTCCAGTTCGGCACCTCTCTGCCTTGTCCGATGTCTCACTCGTACTGCATCTCGTGCTTGACCGGCTACATCAACAGCAAGCTAGACCCGGAAGGGAACGGGAGTGTTGGGAGTCAGAACGCAGTCGTCTTTCCGATACGGTGCCCCGAGTGCCCCGTCGCGGAATGGCCAGAAGGCATTCCAGACGAAATTGCACAGCGCGTGCTATCGGAGAAGGGCATGGTTCTCTGGGTATGACTCCCAAAGCTCGCATATATTACCCCAAACTGGAACCATATCCTCTTCAGCATCACCAGAAACTACTAGACAGTCTTCCTCGCCATTACTGCCCGAATCCTCGATGCTCTGCGCTCGTTCAACTGGATGAAGACTCTGAGAACCCTCAAGCGGTTTGTCCGTCATGCCAATCGGTTATATGCGTACCCTGCCGGGTTGTTTGGCACGAAAGTATGTATCGGACTGGGCGACAATGGCGTCACATCTGACAGGATTGTTGTAGATCTTACATGCGAAGACTACCAGGTATAACCGCCTGTACCTGTCCCGTCCATGCTTTAACCCTTTGGCTACAGGCACTACCATTGGATGACCGATCTCCGGAAGACCAGAAGGCACTACAGCTGATGAAGGTAGGCTCTACATAAAATTCGTAATGAGTCGCCTATATCTGAACTCTGTTTCAGGCCGAGAACTGGAGAAGATGTCCTAGTTGTGCTGTAAGCTCGGATAGACTTGAAATTTGTTCGTTCAGTGCTGAACATGCTCTCGTCCAGTTCATCGTGGAGCTGGCTGTTGGTTGCAACCACATTACCTGCAGATGCAAGACAGAGTTCTGCTTCAAGTGCGGTTGTGAGTTCGAAATGTTGACTGGCCGCTGTGAGTTGTCCACTCATCGACCACCGACAGCTATATGGGATGTCCGGAACAAGCGGTGCTCGCGCGAGCCTTCGTGCGATCTGTGGGACGACGAGATGCTCCTCGAGGAACGTGAACGTGCCCGTGAGCGCGAGCAAGCTGCTCGACAGCCGCCACGCGCGCACCTCGGCAGGGCTGTAGCGATGCCCCCGGCGCCCGCGCCCTATGTGCCCCTGCCGGTTTATGTGCCGCCGCTCAGAGTTGCAGATGACGAGGAGCTCTCATGGATAACTGACCCTGGTGCGTCTTGACCCGTGTCCGCTTCCAGTTCCTGTCAATCGGCTCATGCTCCGTTCAGACGTTATCTGCGCGCGCCACTGGTTCACCGCGGCGATGATCAACACGCTGACGTGCCAGTACTGCGACACGAAGCTGAACTCGCTGGCGGACCTACGGTACCATCTCACCCACGTGCGGCGGCACGCCGTCTACGCCTGCTGCGGCCGGTTCTTCAAGCGGGAGGTGGACTATGACCGGCACATGGGAGCACGATATGACCATGAGCATAACTTCCGGCGCGACTGATGGTCCTATATGTATAGTAGGCAGACGGCTGTCGATGGGTTCAGTACAACTCGACGTGCTGGACATAGCGGAGTACAAGCTTGAAGCACGCATCATCTTGCCGTCGTCGTACCAATTTGCCAGGGTTCCGTTGCGGTATATCTCAATCGGGTTTGCGCCCCACACGATACGGGCATGGAGTAAAGCACACAGGTGTTAGTGAGCGAGTGTCATGATGTCTAGGTGTATTAACTGGGTGATGATGTGCGATACATGCGATAGCAGCAGTACTAATAGCCCGTGGATAGCATAGCAAAATAAGATACAGCGGCAGCGCACCTGCCGCGCCGGAGTGCTAGTGTAGGTGGGACCTTAGCCAAGTGGGGGGTGGTGCCCGGGGTGTGTGGTGGGCGTCGAGAAGTGCTGGCTGGCGGCTGCTCTAAAAGTCGCCGCCCTCACCGCTCTCGGAGCGCCTTTTGCTGGAGCCTCGTCCTTCCCAGCGGTTGCCAGAGCCCTCCCTCCGTGGAGACCGCTCGCGACGCTCACCGCCGAATGAGTTACTCCCGAAAGGGTCGGAGTCGTTCCTGCGGGGACGGTAAGAGCGCGTCTCCGACGCGTCGCCGTCCTCACGGTTGTGACGGGGGAACGAACGCTCGCCGTCTTCCCGGCGCGGCCTGAACGAACGCTCTTCGCCATCGTCCCGGCGCGGCCTGAATGAACGCTCCTCGCCGTCTTCGCGACGCGGCCTGAATGAGCGCTCTTCGCGGTCACCGCCATCGTAACTGCGACGGCCCGAACGCTCGCCATCGCGCTCGCGCCCACGGAAGCCGCCCGACGAGTGCCCTTCACGACGCTCGGTCCTGTATCCACCGCCACCACGCGAATCGCGGGAGCCCCGCGAGCTGCGGTTGCCGACCGTGAACTCACGGGGGAGACGAAGCTCGACTTCCTTGCCGAGGAGCGCGGCGGCCCACTGGTGCGCGCCGCGGGAGACGACGCCCATCTGGACGCGGAGCTCCTGGTGCTGCGCGGTGTAGTACGCGAGGACGCTGACCATTGCGGTGCGGACGTCCTCCTCGGAGGCGCGACCTTGCATAGCTTCGAGGTGCGTCTCCATGTTCTCCAGGGTCGGAACGGCCTGGCGGTGGTACTCTGAGCCCTCGGGGATCGATGCGTCGACCTTCTGCGCGAGCTCGAGGACCTGCTCCTTGAGCTGGTTGGTCGTAAGCTCCTTCAGAGGGATGTCCTTGAGTTGCCAGGTAAGGAAGCCAAGCTCCCAAGGCATGAGGACGAGATCGGCACGGCCAGACATGTTCGAGCCACGGCCAGTACGGCCGACACGGTGAACATAGACGTCGCCGCTGGATGGAATACCGACCTGGATGACACGGGTAACACCGGGGTAGTCGACGCCGCGCGCAGAGACGTCGGACGTGACCAAGACAGACGCGCCAGACTTGTCCTTGCGGTACCAGTCAGAGACCCGCATGCGAGAGGACATAGTCATCCTAGAGTGGAGGTCGCCCCAACGAGTCTTGCTGCCGACGGGGAGGATGCGGTTACCAGACTCCTGGAGGAGCGAGGAGTACAACTGGGTCAAGGCAGTAGTCGGCAGGAAGACGAGGACCTTGGACTTTCCGGGGTTGGAGAGCTGGTCGTGAGCGATCAAGTTCAGGATGTGGGGAATTTGATCCTCCGCGCTCGGCAGGCCGGTGTAGTACTGAGGGATAGACATGTGTGTAGGCAGGGCATTGTCCGGCACGCAGTTGATGAACTTGTGGTTCTCGGCGAGGGTCTTGCGAGCAATTTGCTGGATAGGCTTCGAGACCGTGGCGGAGAACATGAAAGTCTGGCGCTCCGGAGAAGGCTTGAGAACCTCAGTGATGGCCTGGAGGTCCTCACGGAAGCCCATGTCCAGCAGAGTATCAGCCTCGTCGAGGATGAACTGTGGAGATGACAAGTTAGGCAAAACTCAGGTTGAACATCAAATGTGGGACGCACCTGTTCAGCAGTCTTAATTTCGTCCGCGAAACGGGGCTCATTCTCGATGCAGTCACGGAGTCGTCCAGGTGTAGCTACCACGATGTCACGGCGCCTGGTGTTCCACTCCCGCAGCTGAGCGCGTTTAGGAAGACCACCGACGAGGAGCCTGACTTGGAACCGGTCGAGGTGCCTGGTGAGCTTGAGAGCCTCGTTCGCAATCTGCGTAGCGAGTTCGCGTGTAGGGCTGATGATGATGGCGCCAACGTTCTCGCGAGCATACTGCTCTACGACACGGTCGAGTTTGGGCTTGCTCTGTGTTTGAAGTTCCTCCGCAGCCCATTCGCTACGTTCTTGAAGGCGCTTCAGACGAGCCTCCACTGCCGGGATGAGGAATGCGAGTGTCTTGCCAGTACCGGTGCGTGCCTTTACCAAAAGGTCGCGGGGACCCGTAGCTCCCTCAGCGTCGTGGTCTTCCAAGAGCTTCGGAAGGAGAGGGAGGACGGCCGCTTGGACGGGTGACATGTGCGTGAGCCTGAACGGAGACTTGACGAGAGCCTGCAGGACGAGAGGCGAGGCGACGCCCTGAAGCGTCTCGAACTTAGGCTGGTCATGATTGGCAACAGGTGGCTTCTCCGGCTTGGCCTCCTCCACCAAGGGCTCAGAGGACTCAGCGTCGACATTCTCCTCGCGGGTGACTACAGGTTCTGCCTCCGTGAAGGTGGTGGGCTCAGTGTGTTGCGAGCGTACCGAGGTGAAGCGTCCTGCGCGGAGTGCTGGACACGCGCGTCGCGTCAGTATCGCGTCACGCGTCATAAACACGGGAGAACTCACAGTGCTGGGCCAGCGCACCATGAGGGCAGCGACATATACGTGCTGCGGGGAGGAGAGCGAGGGACTTGGACCAGAGGGAGGCCGCCATGATGAAGGGGACAGAACGTCCACTGGCGGTTTAGGGACAGGTCTGACCTCCAGCGCTTCCCAAAAAAACTCGGTGGCAGCAAATTCCGTGCCACGATCACAACACACACACACACGGGCTCTGCCTGCTGTGCCGCGCTCGCGACTCTTGAACCTCGCCACCGCGTACGCCTCCGCCTCTCTCCGCGTTCCTCCTCGCTCTCCCGCTATCTGTTGTCTGCAACACATCCCCATCCTAGCGTATCTCGTCCGACATGTCCTCCAAGCGCAAGTGGGATCAGGAAGGCCCAGAGGGCGGTGAAGGCGAAGGGCCATCCGCCAAAGCTGTGAAAGTGGAGGATGGCAAGACTGCGTCTGAGGCTGCCGCAGCTGCGGCTGCTATCGCTGCCAAAATCGCCGCCCAGTTCGCGAGCTCAGGCGGCGCGAGCTTGGGCCCCAAGGATCCGCATGATGGCGACTTCACCAAGGACATCGACATCAACGACGTCAGGAACAGATACCTTCTCACGAAAGGGTCCACTCAACAACAGGTGAGACGATTCTCCAACTTCCAGTGCGCGGTGAGATGCTGACTTGTGAGCGTCCAGGTTCACGAGGAGACCGGTGCTTCCGTGAGCACAAAGGGCGTTTGGTACCCCGACAGGTCCAAGGCCACCGAGAAGGATCCTCCCCTCTACCTGCATGTGTCGGCAACGAGTCCAGAGATGCTTGAGGCAGCTGTCGGCAAAATCAATGACCTGATGAACTTGGACATGGGATCATTGGTGGAGGACAAGAGCAGCCGTGTCAGGGAGAGAGTATGTGTTATGATACTTCAGCAGGTGGCGTCGCTAATCGTACCGCAGCGCAAATGGCCAGAAGAGAAGATTCCAATTGGTATTGACAGCATCAGGAACTTCAATGTTCGTGCCAAGGTGGTCGGACCATCGGTATGTTACTACGTTCATCGCGCATAGAGGATTCACTGACCTGTTCTTTCACAGGGTATGTTCGTCAAATACATCCAGCAGGAGACGGGTACTCGCGTGCAGATCAAGGGGCAAGGCTCCGGATTCGTTGACCAGGACACAGGCCACGAACACGACGAGCCCATGTTCATCCACGTTACGTACGTTCTTAACCTCATCGAGCAGCTGGTCTCTCATTCACATCGTTGTATCAGCGGCCCGGACGAACAGCAAATACAGCGTGCGAAAGCACTCACCGAGGATCTGCTGGAGGTCGTGCGTGGAGAACACGACAAAATGAAGGCGCTCCTGCAGCAGCAACAAATGGAGCTCCATCAAGCACAAGTCCAGTACGCTGCTTACAGTGCTTACGGTGTATGTATGCTCCACTCATGTTTGTCGCTTCTGCGTGCCAGTCTCACGTGGCATACAAGTTGCCTCTATGATTTTGGTCTGTATATCCGTGTGGTGTACTCGCTCACACGCTTGTATTTAGGGATACCAACCGCCACCGCCGGGTAGTGCACCCCCGCCCCCGCCCCCAGGCGAACAACCACCGCCTCCCCCGGACGGCAGCGCGCCTGCACCCCCTGGTGGCGCCGCTCCCACGTCTGGACAGGCCGGCGCAGCACCTGCTGCGAGTGACTGGGAAGCCTATGCGGCCTATTGGTTAGTCAAATATGCTGTTCCTGCTTCGACCGCAACCTGACAACCCGCGATCTGCAGGGCTGCTTACGGCTACGACGTCAACTCGCCGCAGTTCAAGGAATGGCAGACACAGCAAGCCCAGCAATACGCGCAATACTATGCCCAAGCAGGGTACCCTGCAGGTGCTACTGACGCTACTGGGGCCGCAATGGCAGCAGCTGCACCGGGATCTGCGCCTCCTCCAAGCGACCCAGCTCCCCCGCCGCCGCCTCCCGCGTGATCACCCTGGTAATTCTGTTGTTCGGTGTGAGGTCGGTATCTAGTTGGTATATGCTGCGATGTACTGTAATGCCGCGGTGGGATCGATATCAGTGGGCGGCGTAGTAGTACATGAGCACGAGTTTTCACATCCATGGCATTCTCCCTACTCAGTGCACGAACATGAAATTCACCGAGATCATTCAAAGTAGCGTCGGGTGTGCGAGGAGACGCCGTTGGGCGGACGCGAGCGTGTGAGCTGGTCGGGTGGGACGGGATCGACCGCAGGGTCGGGGTGCGCCTGAGAGCGGTACAGTTACGTATCTCCTGCGCAGCGGTGTGGCCATGTCCGCGTATGCGACAGATGCAGGAAAGCAGCTGGTTGAGCTCGAGCGTGGGCAGCGTGGGCGGAGGAGGTCGCTCCAATACACTCTTTTCCAGCTTCCTTGGACACGGCTGCGGGCCTCGCACGCTTCGATCTCCCTCCACGCCGCCGAAGAGGCCCGGCGTGCAGGCGCTCCCACCACTACTAAACCGGACTCAACCTCGCTCGATCCCGCCACACTCCCTCTCCTCTCCTCCGCCCCTCCACCCGCTTGCCGCACAGCATGGACTACACCCTCTGGCTGCTGCTCGCTGTCGTGCTCCCCGTGCTGCTCTATTTCTACGTCCGCGCGAACGATGCGAAGCTCACCCGGCTGCCTCCGGAGGCGACCGCGTTCTCCCCAAGACGCTGGACGGTAGAGGACCTCGAGCGGACGGCTGCGTCGCCCGCCATCGCGGGCTCGTCACCATCGCTATTCTCGCCCGAAGAGCTGCCCCCGAAGACGGGGAGGAGGTACATCGTCATCGGCGGGGTGAGTGTTGACGTTCATCCTTCTTATTCAGCGGGCGCGCTCCGAGGCCTCGCTTGCTTGCAGGCCCCTGCCGCTGCCCGCTATGATGGCCTTACAATGCTTACCATCGCATACAGGCCGGCTTCTTGGGCGGGTGGATTGTACTCCATCTCATCGCGCGCGGCGAGGACCCACGCCGGATCCGCATCATGGATGTTCGCCGGCCTATTCGGCAGGATATGCTCGAAGGGCCCGCGACGAAGGTTGATTTCTGCCAGGTCGACGTCACGAATGCCGCCGCGGTGGAGGCTGCGTTCCGCAAGCCATGGGTGGACGGCGCAGCACCAGGCGAGCCCGAACCCGAGCTGACTGTCTTCCACACCGTCGCGATCATTCGATTCTACGAAAGGCACCCAGCGCTCCAAGTCTACTCAGATCGCGTCAATGTGCAGGGGACGCGTAACGTCATCGACGCGGCGCGCAAGGTTGGCGCCGCCGCGCTCATCTACACCTCCTCGGGATCCGTGTCCGTCTGCCGCTCGCGCTTCTGGCTCTGGCCATGGGAGCGCGAGCCCGCGCACTTCGTGCAGCCTATCGGTGACGACGATGCACAAGTGCCGACACGACACGAAGACTTCTTCTCCAACTACGCGGTCTCGAAACGGAAGGCGGAGGTCATTGTGCGTCGCGCGGATGGCCTCTCCTCGGGCAACGGCATCCTCCGCACAGGCTGCATCCGGCCAGGCAACGCGATCTATGGTCCAGGAGGCGACCTGCTCGTCGCCGCGTACCTTCTGCGCAAGGCGAACATGACTTGGATCGCGAACAGCCTGCAGTCGTTCTGCTACGTCGAGAACTGCTCCATCGCGCACCTCTGCTACGAACAGCGCCTTATCGAGCTCGCGCGCGGAGACAGCCCCAACCCGGATATCGGTGGCCAGTCATTCGCGGTGTGCGACGCGGGCCCCGCGCCGACGTACGGGGAGATCAACCGCGGGCTCACGTACCTCTCCGGGGGCGCGTGCACGTTCCAGGACTTGTCACCAACAGCGATGCTCGCGCTCGCGACGCTCGTGGAGGGGTACTACCTCGCGCGACATGCACTCCTCCGTGCGCCCGCACCGTTCTCGGCCCTCGCGAAGCTCGTCCCCGCGCTCTCTGGCGACATCGTTTTCCTCCAGCCGTCAATGTGGGCGCTCACGCAGGTACACCTCATCTTCGACGACTCCCGCGCCCGCGCTTCACCCTCGCTAGGCGGGCTCGGGTACAGCGGGCGGGTCACGACGCTCGAGGGGACATGCAAGGTGTTCGCGGAGCACATGCGCACGGGTGGGCGCGACAAGGTGCGCGTGATCGCCGGGCACGACTCGCCAGACCTGGCGCTCGCACTCGCGCGCGCGGAGAAGAGCGTGGAGGAGGTCATGGAGAAGCTCGGGGCGTCGCTGGACAAGCCGCGCGTGGCGGAGCTGCAGTACTGAGTCTCCTCTGCGGGCCTGGAGCCGGCAGCAGACTGCGGTCCTGGATACCTTGCGGCCGTGCACATGTCAGTGCGATTTGCCTCGTGCTGTGTTTATGCTGTGTCTGACGCTGTACATAGAGCTTGTTTTCGGTGTGTATGTATATGTATTCGCAGTTCGGATGTATTTGTATCGGAGCGTCATCGTTGTTGTTGCATTATAATCTTGTCTTTCTTGAACAGGCTCGTGCGAATTATACACGAGACACCTTAGCCCTATACCATCGAGGGGATGATGTCTCATGGTTGCGCGGTCATGGCCCGATACTTCACTGGCTACTCATCAGTGAGTACTTGTACTTCCTAGCCTTCCTACTATATAGCTGGAGTACTACTTCGAACGACCGAACCGGTCTTAGGGCTTGAGAATCCGTTTCTTATTAGCAGCGGGAAGATCGACCTCCGTCTTCGCGTTGCTAGCACTCTAATTGAGTCCTCTCGCGAGTGTCGCAACGTCCTGTGTGTGGGAGTGGGGCCAACTCTAAGATTCAAAGTAGTAAGTACCACTCCGCGGGCCCGGACCCCTTGCTCCGTTTTCTTCTCCCGCGATTTTTTCTCTCCGCTGCGGAGAGCACCCATCCTCACGAGGAGACGTGGATGCGGTGGGATCCCGTCCCATAGACGTACCATAGACATGTAACAGGTCGTGATCGGTATGCATGCCAACGTACAGCGGCCCGTACCATGGGGGTGTGAAGTGAGCACCCCATGGCCAAGCCATGCACATGAGCGAGGATCCTCTCCCTTGATTTGGAAACGTGTAGCAGCCAGTGAACCTGTTCAGTCTCGTGAAAGTGTCGTGTGACTCCCATTGCTAACCAATGCAACAAATTGACAAAATGTGGCACGCGCTGCGACCTTCTATCTATATGATTATACGAGTAAGGTACTTCTTCAATGGCCCCATTCGCCCGTCTCCCGTCTCGATAGTGTACACAGACGTACCGCCACCTCTCCCCCAACCCCATCCCCACATTCGCAAACGACTCACTGCTCGGAGCTGAGGATGGCCTCCTCGCCGGCAGGACGGGGCTCCTCGCTGCGGAGCGACGCCTCGTCGACCATCGAGCCCTCGGGATGCGGCGGCTTGAACGAGCGCAGCTGGACCTCGAGCTGCTCGTTGATCACCGATGTGCCTGCCGCGGCCGCGATGAACCCGAGGAACGGCGGCGACGGGTTCAGCGGGCGCGTGCAGAACTCGGGGTGCGCCTGGAAGCCGACAAAGTACGGGTGTTCTGTGCATACAAGCAGTCGTCAGCGTTATTCGAGGCTGGCGAACAGGTGAGCGAAGAAAGACTGACCAGGCAGCTCGAGCACCTGCATACGCTCCCCGCGCTCATCCTTACCCACAAAGCGCATCCCACTCGCCGTAAGGCGCTCGATGAGCGCCGGATTGACCTCGTACCGATGACGGTGGCGCTCCCAGATCTTGCCCGCGCCGCCATACAGCTTGCGCACCTTCGACCACCCCGCCGCGTCCTCCTCGAACACGGTCGGGCGCAGGCCGAGGCGCATCGTGCCGCCCATGTGCGTCTTCGAGATCTCGGGCATGAACACGATCACGGGCTCCGGCGCGGCGGGGTCGAACTCGGCGGACGTCGCGCCCGCGAGGCCGCACACGTTGCGCGCCCACTCGACGACGGCGAGCTGGAAGCCGAAGCAGATGCCCAGGAAGGGCTTTTTCTGTTCGCGAGCCCACTTGATGGCGAGCATCATGCCCTCGGAGCCGCGTACGCCGAAGCCGCCGGGGACGAGGATGCCGCTGGAGAGCTCGTTAGTAGGGGCGCCGAGGGCGTTCTGGTTGGCACGTACTTCGCGGAGACGACGTCCCGCCACGCATCATGGTACTTGGCGGGGCTGGTGTGTTGTGCCTCAGGCTCAAGATCTGAGGCATCAACCCACTGGAAAGAAATGTGAGAAATTGTGTGGAAGCAGGAAGAGACGGTCGAACCTTGAGCTTCAACCTCCTATTACACCGGAACGCGGAGTGCTCCAGGGACTTGACAACAGACATGTAGGAATCTTGCATGTCCGTGTACTTCCCGACGAGTGCGATAGACACCTCATCGAGAATACGTTCTTGCCTACAAATCCGTCAGTTATATGTGCTGAATAAAATGCGCAACGCTTGCCCTCACCGTTTTGTGAGTTCTCGCCAACGCAGCTCTAATGACGACCCGCGTTCCTGCATCTGAGGGGTGATCGTAATCGTGGAGAGGTTAAGGCGCTTTTGGAGATATTGGATGATTCCCTGGGACTGGAGAAGGAGGGGTACGTGGTAGACGGAGGAGACGTCGTGTACGCCGACGACCTGCTCGGGCGCGACGTGACAGAACATGGAGATTTTGGCCTTGGTGGCGGGTTCCAGGGGCTTCTGGACAATCAGTCGGCAGGCGATCTGCATGTGGTGTTGTGTGATAAGCTATGCTCGGTTGGAGAGGGTTGGTACACACTGACCAGGTCGGGGAGGAGACCGAGGCCGCGGAGTGCATGGACGGTTGTCTGTGTAGGCTTGGTTTTCTGCTCGCCATGCATGTCGGGGACAAGTGACACGTGGATGAGCGCGAAGTTTTCGTGTCCGACACGGAATTGGAACTGGCGCATAGCTTCGACGAAAGGCGCCGACTCGATGTCTCCAACGGTACCTCCGAGCTGTTTATAGAATGAGCTCTACAGTACGCGTTAAGATAAAATAAAGCAATATGTGACGTGCCTCGACGATGCAAACATCGGGCTCCTCGCCGGTCTCATCCACAGGAATCTTGGACACGCGCTCGATCCAATCTTGGATGGCGTTCGTAACATGGGGAACGATCTAAACCCGCCATGTTCAGAGTCATAGGTTCGGCGTTCCATGATAGACCCTGTCATACCTGGACAGTCTTGCCCAAGTAGTCTCCGCGACGCTGTCGCGTAATTCCTCTCAGTATACGCGCGAACCTGCCTGCGATGTACACACCTCCTTCTCAATGACCTCGCGGTAGATCTTTCCGGTCGTGATGTTGTTATCCTTGCTCAGGGTCACGTTCAGGTAACGTTCGTAGTTGCCCAGATCAAGATCGACTTCTCCGCCGTCGTTCAAGACATAGACCTCGCCTATCTCCACGCTCAGACATGTTGAAACGCGCGCGTCTACACAGGGCGATCTCACCATGCTCCTGTGGCCTCATCGTGCCGGCATCAATGTTCATGTACGGGTCGATCTTTATGGCGGTGACCTTGAGACCGGTGGTCTTGAGGAGCAGGCCCGTAGAAGAGGCTAGGATACGGCTTGAACACACATGTGTCGCGACAGGGAGATCAGAGCAGAAGAGGCGCACCGATGACGCCCTTCCCGATGCCGCTCACAACACCACCAGATACGAGAATGTACTTTGTCATAGCTGCCGGCGTGCAGGGTGAAGTGGTGGTGGTCGCAGGAGCACAAGCTCTGCACTCGTCTCAGACGCGCGCGCGGTCCGCAAATTTCCCTTTTCGATTTTCTGTCTATGACATCTGCCACAAATACGCACAAATAACGCGTCGCGTCGCGTCGCGTGGGTTGCCGTCGCTCGGCGCATCACGCTCCTTTCCTTCTTCCCCCCACATCCCCGGTCCTTGCGTGAGCGGTGCCCTCTGCTCTTTCTGTGCACACGCTCTCTGTTGGCGCAAATTGCTCTTGGAACACGCTAGAACCACAGACCTGCTAGCCTCTGCATGACGAACTCTACCGTGCTGTTGGGCGCAAACCTCTGCCTCTCTGCTATTGGTTAAGTTCCGACATCGGCCCGTGGCACCGCACGTCGCCACCAGTAATCCCATGGGCCTGGCCAGCGTAAGCCTCCACGCCCGGTGGCTGCTTCTCAAAGTGTACCTAGCATACCGGCGATCCGGGGTTTAAGGACTCTCGGGGGCCGCATACCTCATAGTCTGGGCATTGCGGGGCCCCTTGGTGCCCCAGCTGCCCTTCCAACTGTCCTTTCTATCTGGTTAATTAATGCCTGGCTGGCCTGCTCAATCAGATCTCATCCGTAATCTGCGGTCCGTGCTTCCTACGGATCCAACCCACCGGCATGTATAAGAGCTGCGCACGGGACGCCCTTCGGCATACAGTCCCACCCGCACCTTCACCATTACCCAACTTGCAGACACAACCATGGCGACCGCTAGCACGATGAAAGCTGTCTACTACCACAAGGTATGCCGCACATTCTGCTCGAGGACCACCATCTGCGCTAGATTCTCACCTTCGTTCACAGCCGCGTGACTTCGAAGTCCGCGAGGTCCCGATCCCCCAGATAAATGACGACGAGGTGTTGCTGAAAGGTAACACATCTGGTATACAATAGAAGATCTTCCTCTCATCTTGCGAATCATAGTCAAAGCGTGCGGCAAGTAACGGCATAGGATGCTGATCGGGCGCTATCTGACGGTCTGACATAGGCGTGTGCGGCACCGACCAGCATGTCCACAACGGAGAGTTTATCACAACGTTCCCCGTACGTATCATCCCTTGTTTGGATATATCCGCTGCTGACACAACCTATATGTAGCTCATTCCAGGACATGAGATCGTAGGCGAGATCGTCCAAGTGGGCAAGAACGTTGCCGGGTTTGAGAAGGGAGACCGTGTGGTTGGGGACCCTAGCGTGCTGGTGAGTGCGTTGTGGGTGTATTTCACGCGTTCCGGGCTGATAACACTCTCAGTGCGGTGCTTGCTTCTACTGCCGCAGAGGAGAGGCTCTCCTGTGCGAGAACTACAAGGGTGTTGGTGTGAGCCTCCACGGAGGATTCACCGAATACGTTGTCTTGTTAGTATCCATGTTTTCACTCAAGCACTCTTCCTTAACATATGACACAGTGACGGGAAGAAACTTTACAAGATCCATAACCTCACTGACGAGGAAGCTACTCTTATCGAGCCCGCGGCCTGCGCGGTGCACGGGATGGACAAACTCGACGCACCTGTGGGCGTGGAAGCGCTGATCATCGGCTCGGGCCCTACAGGCCTCATCCTCGCTCAGCTGCTGAAGCTCAACGGCGCGATGCGGGTCGTCATCGCCGCGAACAAGGGCATCAAGATGGACATCGCGAAGCAGCTCGAGGCAGGTGACGAGTACATCGAGCTAGACCGGGAGAACCCAGACGCCCAATGGGAGGAACTGAAGAAGAAGAACCCCTATGGCTTCGACGTCGTGGTACGTCACAAAAGGCTCCCCCATGAATCGGATCTGGCTCATGGCTTTCCAGGTTGAGGCCACTGGCTCAGAGAAGATTGCGAACCAGGCCATCCACTACGTTCGCAGAGGAGGCACGCTGATGGTGTACGGGGTGTACGACAACGCCGCGCAGGTCCACTGGCCCCCGGCAAAGATCTTCGTCGATGAGATCAGGGTAAATGCAGCTGTCAACTTCGCGCTGTGGTATGCTAACCAACTCCACACAGATCATCGGGTCTTTTGCTCAGACGTTCTGCTTCCCGCGGGCCGTCGCGTATCTTGACAGCGGCAAGATTAAAGTCAAAGGACTCGTAAGCGGCCTTTCCCGACCTTCTCGGTTGACGATGTGCTGAGCCACATTGACACAGGTCACTGACGTCTATCCCGTTGCCGAGTTCGAAAAGGTGCTGGAGAAGATGCGTAGCAAGACGGCAGTCAAGATTGCCGTCAAGCCTTAAGCCAGTACTTGCGGCCCGTGGACGGAGAAGCGTTACGGGCAGCGCTGCGCAAGTAATATCCGGCATTCCCGGAGTATGAACGTAGGCACGCGGCCGCACCAAATGATAATGCAATACAGCGGCTCTTCCCCGGGTCTGTTATAAACGGCCTTCCATGCATGATTGAACAGCTCGATAACGGTCTCTCACACGCTCGACTGGGTGCAGTCATATTGCCGTCATGCGAAGTGTCATTCCCACAACCAGTCATCTGCAGGATAACTTTCCAGACCTCATGGCGTACGTGCTCTCTCATATGGCATTATTGTCAGAGGTATCAGTGCTAATCATGTCCCTACCAGTTGTGTCAATCAGATTGGACCAACGTAGCCAGCACCACCTATAAAATTAGTGACCGATCGCGGGCTACTCGCGTACAAACCGTGGCTACACCCGCATGGCATTATTTCCGGAGGATCTAATCGCCTTCTCATCCCCGCTGTCTCCCAACTAGACAGGCGGTGGGCATTCCAAGTCCCGGGAACATGAGCCGAGCATGCACGATGATCGCTACTCGCGCCCATGCTTGTCACTCGGTTATAAGGACCATGATCACAGCACTCACAGCTGGAATTCCCCACGTATCCCTACAGAGTGCGAGTCCTTCAACTGTGTTTACGGTATGCCACAGCTCTGGCTTTTTGTTCTCTCAGCGGCGGTGTCGGTGTGGCTGTTGCGCTACTGGAGGACGTCCAGGAGGCGGTTGCCGCTCCCTCCTGGCCCGCGGCCACTGCCTATCATCGGGAATGTCCTCGACATGCCAGGCAAGAACTCTGGTGCGGAGTATCGCGAGCTCAGCGACAAGTACGGTACGTCCAGTGCAACGCATGTTTCCTTCTACTGGACGTTGACATGGCTTTCCTAGGCGACCTTGTGTACCTGGACGTGCTCGGCCAGCCGATTCTGCTCTTGGGAACGCATGAAGCTGCGATCGATCTCTTAGACAAACGCTCGGCGTTGTACTCTGACAGGGTTCACTCGCCTATGGTTAACCTGTGAGTGAACGCTCGATCTCCTGGCAGCGCGATGGGCCCATTGGCACTACCATCTTTGCAGAGGCGGCTTCGACTGGGTCTTGACCATGATCCACTACGGTCCGTTGTGGCGCCGCCACAGACGCGCTTTCCACCAGTTCTTCAACCCCAGTGCGATCACGCAGCTGCGTCCGATGCAGCGAAGCCAGGTCAACCACTTTCTCCACCGACTTCTGGACACCCCAGAGCAGTTCACAGAGCACATCAGGCAGTACGTCTTCTACACTCCATACCCTATGTACCTTCTGCCTTTGGACGGCGATGTAACGCACCCGTCTCCAGCTTATTCGCCGCGACGATCATGCGCGTCGCGTACGGAATCGAGGTCGCGGAGGAGAACGACGAGTACGTCACAATGGCGGAGGAGGGACTCGCCGCGTTCAGCAGCCTGCTCGTTCCCGGCAAGTACCTCGTCGAGCTCTTCCCGATACTGCGCTTCCTGCCCCGGTGGCTCCCGGGCGTGCGGTTCAAGCGCGATGCGGCTGAGGCGAGGGTGGTGGTGCACCGGCTCCGTGACACCCCTTGGGAGCGCACGCTTGCTGCGATGGTCTGTAACTACTGCTTCCAGCTAGGTGGTCTATATGGGGGTTCTGATGCATGTCTGTAGCGCGAGGGGACTGCGACCCCATCGATGACCACAGCGCTTATGGAACGCAACTCGACGCTGAAGGGTGCTGAAGGTGAGGGAGAAGAGATCGTGGCGCGCAACACTGTCGCGGTAGCATATGGCGGTAAGTGACCTCATTCACAAAGGTTTACATCCACGGTTCATCGAGCCATTTGACAGCTGGTGCCGACACTGTGAGTGAATACGCTGACATCAATCTGTTTCTTATTCACAATTCACTCTTTCCCCGCAGACCCTCTCGTCCATCCAAGCGCTCTTCCTCGTTCTAGCAGCATTCCCTGAAGCGCAAAGGAAAGCCCAAGCAGAACTGGACGCCGTCATTGGCCCTCATCGCCTCCCCGATTTCGCCGACCAAGACGCACTACCGTATGTCTGCGCGGTCATCAAGGAGTGCCTGCGCTGGCACGCCATCGTCCCGCTGGGCATCCCGCATCGGCTGATAGACGACGACGAATATCGTGGCTACTTCATCCCGAAGGGCACCCTGGTCATTTCGAACATATGGTAGGCCCTTAGATCTCGGCACCTATATCACATCCTCAGCACCCACATCATTGCTTACATCGCCGCGGCTTCCCAGGGCGTACTCTCGCGACGAGAGCCGCTTCCCAAACGCCGAGGCATTCATGCCGGAGCGCTTCTTGAAAGACGGGAAGCTGAACCCTGACATCACTGATTCCGCGGAATTCGCGTTCGGTTACGGCAGGAGGTGAGCAAGCTTGGGCTTCTCCCGTCTTTTCCTCGCCCCATGCCCAAGCATGCCCTGGCAGTATGGCAGCCGTGATTTCTGACACCCTTCTTCGTGCAAACTCAGGGTGTGCCCCGGGCGCTATTTCGCGGCGTCTTCGCTCTTTCTGATCGTCTCCTCGGTGCTGCATACTCTGAACGTCTCGGCACCCCTCGATGAGACCGGGAAACCCGTACACCTGGAGGGCAAGATGACCTCGGGCGTAATATCGTGAGCCGCCTATCCTCGATGGATGTTACGTAGCCTGTTCTGACTGAAGAGCGTTACGACTTCCAGGTACCCGGAACCGTTCGAATGCGTGATCAAGGCTCGCGCCCCGTGGGCCGAGGCCCTCATTCGGGCCAGTGACCAGATCCCGGTCTCCAGCACGACCGTGCTTGGGTCGAAGGAATGACAATCCGGCGTCTGCGGGGGCTCCGGCGATGATTCCTTGATAAAGTGACCCTCACTGTTGCCACTCAGCTCAACGGGGAAGCGTTGGTCTCAGTGAGGGTCACTTTCGCAGATTTGGTAGTTATTCATCTGTCACCAACGGCTTCCATGCATGATTGAACAACTTGATCACGGCTATCTTGGACATAATGGGTGCAGTGGTGCCGTCCTGGGCAAAACAAGTGAAGTGCTGTTCTCACAGGCTGGCCATCCGCAGGACTCCACTTTGCCACAACATATGATGTGGGTGCTCTTCGCTGCGACGCTGCGGTAGTGTCAGCAATATTGGTGCTGACGATTTCCTCATCAGTTTTGTCAATCAAAGCGCCAGCCTCGTTATCTATAGTCGGTGGCCCATTGCGGGCTGTTCATATACGAAGTTGTTTCGTACATGGCGCCCCATGCTGCCCCATGACTGCACTTCCGCGGCGTCATGTCCAGGGAGTTCAGCCAGTCTACTGTTTTCGTTGACTGTCAACCGGACGGGTATTGCGAAGCCCATGTTTCGCGAACCACGGCTAACATGTAGGATACCGCTTGCGCCGCTCCTACGTTTGTCAGTAAGTCGTTTATAATGATCATGTCTACCACACTCACAGCCGGAATCCCCCACGTACGCCAACAGAGCGCGATACCTGCGACTTTGCCTATAGTATGTCACAGCTCTGGCCTCTAGTGCTCTCAGCCGCGTTATTGGTATATCTCTCGCGTTACTGGAGAGCTTCCAAGAAGCGGTTGCCGCTCCCACCTGGCCCGCGACCACTGCCAATCATTGGGAATTTTCTTGATATGCCAAACAAGAACGCCGGTGTCGACTATCGCGAGCTCAGCGACAAGTACGGTACGTCCACTCCAGCGCATGTCTCCTGCTGGATACTGACATCGCTTTCCTAGGCGACCTTGTGTACTTGGACGTCCTTGGCCAGCCTATTCTACTCTTAGGAACGCATGATATTGCGATGGACCTCTTGGACAAACGCTCGGCGTTGTACTCGGACAGGGTCCACTCGCCCATGGCAGACCTGTGAGTAACCGCTCAATCTCCTAGCCAGGCGATAGCCTCCTTGACAGAAGCGTTTTGGCAGGAGCGGCTTCGACTGGGTCTTTTCCATGATCCCCTACGGTCCCTGGTGGCGGCGACACAGACGCGCCTTCCACCAGTTCTTCAACCCGAATGCGGTAGCGCAGCTGCGCCCGACGCAGCAGATCCAGGTCAACCATTTCCTCCACCGACTCCTAGAAACGCCAGAGCAGTCTACGGAGCATATCAGACAGTACGTTTCTCATCCCTCTTACCCCGTGTACGTTAAGCCTTTCCATTGTTATCTTACGCACCTCTCCACAGCATGTTCGGTGCAACAGTTATGCGCGTCGCGTACGGAATAGAGGTCGCGGACTCGGGGGACAACGAGTACATCACAATGGCGGAGGAAGGCCTCGCGGCGTTCAACCGCATGCTTGTTCCCGGCAAATACCTCGTCGAGCTCTTGCCAGCTCTGCGCTTCTTGCCTAAGTGGCTTCCGGGGGTGTGTTTCAAGCGCGATGCGGCTGAGGCGAGGGTTGTGGCACATCGGCTGCGGGATACTGCCTGGGCGCGGACGCTTGCTGCAATGGTGAGTATCCACTACTTCAAACCAGGTCTTGGGGGCCCATAATGCAGGTACTGATGCTCTTCTTGCAGGGCGAGGGAACTGTGAACCCTTCCATGACAACTGCGCTCATGGAACGCAACTCGGCGCTGGAGGGTGTAGAAGCTGAGAAAGAAGAGATCGTGGCGCGAAACACTGTTGCAGTAGCATACGGCGGTAAGCGTATCCCTCCACAGACTCCTGACTATGTGTCTCATGAAGTATCCAACAGCTGGTGCCGATACAGTGAGCGAGTACCCCGACGCCAATGTGTGTTGCTGATCAAATTGGCTTCAGACACTCTCGTCAATCCAAGCGTTCTTCCTTGTCCTAGCATCATTCCCGGAAGTACAGAAGAAAGCCCAAGCAGAGCTCGACGCCGTAGTTGGTCCTCACCGCCTCCCCGACTTCGCCGACCAAGACTCACTGCCTTACGTCTCCGCCGTAATCAAGGAATGTCTGCGCTGGCACGCCATCGTCCCCTTGGGCATCCCGCACCGGTTGATGGAGGACGACGAGTATCGTGGTTACTTCATCCCGAAGGGCACGCTAGCCATTTCTAACATATGGTACGCTCTCACATCTTGGGATTTGGGCTCGATCTTCAGCGCCCACATGATTGCTCACCACGCCGCGGCTTTCCAGGGCGTACTCTCGTGACGAGAGCCTTTTCCCCGACCCCGACGTGTTTATGCCAGAGCGGTTCTTGAAGGATGGGAAGCTTAACCCCGACATCACCGATCCCGCGGTTTTCGCGTTCGGCTATGGCAGAAGGTGCGTGTTGTGCTCGTCCTGCCTTTTCCTCCCCGCATGCCCTCGCAGAACGGCATGCGTAATTTTTGACACCCTTCTTCGTGCGAACCCAGGGTATGCCCAGGGCGTCATTTTGTGGAGGCCTCGCTCTTCCTGGTCGTCTCCTCGGTGCTGCACACGTTGGCTGTCTCGGCCCCCCTCGACGAATCCGGAAGACCGGTGTACCTTGAGGGCAAGGTGACTGCAGGCGTGATATCGTGAGCCGCATATCTTCGTCGGACGCTGCGTAGCCCATTGACTGTGGAGCGTTACGACTACCAGGTACCCGGAGCCGTTCGAATGCGTGATCAAGGCTCGCGCCCCGTGGGCCGAGGCCCTCATTCGAGCCAGTGACCAAATCGCGGCGTCCAGCGCGACCGCGCTTGGGTTGGGGAAATGACCGTCCGCAGGAGCTTGGAGGAAGCAGGTATGCAAACTTGATGGGATAACATAATATATGCGCCGTGCCCATAACGAAGAATACGGCCGGCCGTTCCCGATACTTATGCTGCGACTGTCACCAGTTGGAACCTGCTCGAATAGACTCATTCCTGAACCGGTTGTGCGAAATCCCCACTGATTGAGCTCGCAAAGACATACCTACGGGGCTCACTGGGTACCTTAAGCTTGATGGCGGCCCCGCACCAGTAGGCTCCGTCAAGCGCACTACACGGACTCGTAGCGAACGGCGCCCGACACCGGCGGGCTGGCGACGAGCATGCGCAGATCCATTACGCTCTAAGCAAGCTGACCGCTAATATTATATCTGCTGAGCGACCCAGATGATGCAGTCCCGGAAAGTGCTGCAAATGGTCAGGTACCCGAATCTATGAAGAGAGAGCGCCTTGGGAGCCGCTGCGGTTACGTTGTAACTCAACAACACACCATGGCGATAGGCCTGGAGGGATGTCTCCTAAGTAATCCTTCGTTCATTCCCGAATTGCACTCAGCAGAGCCTGATAGCTTCTTGATTCTATCCGCGTTGATGACCCCCAAACCCGACTGGCAGGCCACCCACGGCGCCCTTGGGAAATTGTAGTCCTCAAATTGTTTAAACTTTGACTCGTCGTCGACGTACGTAAATCGATGTTCTACGCAAGCTTAAGGTCCCAAGATGTCCCAACTGACGACTGTACCACGATGTTCGGGGAGAAGATTACAGGCTTGCCGTAGGACACCTTCCATGCCGCTGTCAGTGTCACGGTAGGGGCCGCCCAGGTGCGTAGCGAGTGCCACAATCATTAGGATCCACCTATACCTCGTTAGCATCGACGTTTAAGTTCATCAAACGTCACCGCGCTCGCGACGGGCGGGCTCAGGGAACAGAGTTGCGCAGTTACCAGTACATACACTACTCGCGGACAAGACCACGCTGACCGCTTTAAAGTCCAGTATTCCACATTTGTTAAAACACATTTAAGCGGAGCTCCTGGGGGACACCGACGCTACAGCACTGCGGAACGAACTGTCCATGAGAAGCGACGACCGGCCCCTCAACCGCCCCCGTCCGACGCCTCTCCGTCGGCCGCTTGTGCGAGAAAGGTGAAAGCAGACGGCTGTCGCCCTACATCGCCTTGCCGAGGGTCATGTTGAACGACTTGCGGCTCCGGCCGTCCTCCACGTCCGTCGGCGGGACCTCCGCGCTCTCGCCCGACATGCGCGTGTGCATGGCCGTCATCGTCGTCCCGCTCCCGGAGAGGCCGGTGAGCACGATGGGCGCGGTCTGGTTGCGGCTCCAGAAGCGCAGAGAGGTCATCTGCTTGCGCTGGGACCCGTAGGCCCCGCCCGTGTCTGGGGCGTCCTCGCTGCCCTGGGCGTGGCCGAGCGAGCGCATGAGCCAGGTGAGCAGCACCGCGAAGTTGGAGACGATGAGCGCCGTCGAGGCCTGGGGGGAGGGAGGGAGGTGAGGTGTTTGTCAAGTCATATGTGGACAGAACGTACCTCGATGTGAGCGAGGATACCCTCGCCGTTCCGGTTGGTGCTGAACACGTAGACGCCGTGGATGATACTGACGATCGTGGTGAACATGCTGGCCGAGAAGATCAGCTGCAGGAGGATCCGCTTCCCACGCGGAAGCTTGATGCGCCAGAGCAGCCGCATGGGGAGAAACACGAGGATGAGGTCGGCGAGGATGTCGGCTGCACGCGTCCGACCGGGCGGGAAGGGGGGCAGATGGGCTGGTGAGCAATGGGTGTATGTGCACACAATCCGCACTCACTGGCTAGCTCGAACGCCCCGACCCCGTGGCCCAGGACACACTGCACGCCGGGGGACTGCTTCCAGGCGGGGTTGGACTCGCATACGGCAATTTTGTGGATAAGGAGTGCGGTCCACATCAAGCCGAACAATACAGCAGAAAGATGGGCGTAGATGCGGAGCTTCAACAAGCTCGGGATGAGCCTGATGATCGAAAACAAAATGCTCATCCGAGAGGCCCTATTAGAGTGTCAGCGTTGGGGGCTCTAGGTATGCGCGGAGAAGCGGCGGCTTACCAGAGAACGCAAGTGAATGACACGTTCAGCATATAATATCCGATTACACGGACACGGTGGGAGTGGTGAAATGGCCCCGTCGCTGTAAAGGGGGGGGGTCAGCCAGGATTGCACGCCGCTGGAGACCGTCTGCACTGACCGGGAGTATCACTCCTTGTCCATGCCCCAGCGCACATGAAGAACGAGCAGACCACGGCGAACGCTGCCCAGGCGTCATCATAGCCCAGATGACGTCTCGACCACCGGTAGTACAGTCGGAGCAGCGTAAGCAGCACCGCGAACCCCGGGAGGATCGTCGCGAGCACTATGAGCAGTCATGATCAGCCTCGATCAGCAGTGATAGATATTACGCAGCAGACTCACGGCGGATGGTGAGGACGAAGGACATGGAACTCAAAGTTCGGAACCTCCGGTGCCTCCGCGACTCAGCGCAGCGAAGTGGGAATGGTGGGGGGTCGTGTATGCCCGACTATGTGAGGCTTGAGGCCGCATATGAGGGATGGCGGCTGCTCAGGGGAGAGTCTGTTGAGAAAAGAGAATAAGCCGTCCCCCTGTGATCTTTATCTCGCAAGCATTTGATGGCGCCAATGGCCAGGGGAGGGCAAGACAGAAGCGACGGACGTCGGAGCGTGTGCTCTCCCCGCCGGCGGTCGTGATGATGGGCATCAGAGCCCTGTCCCTTTTCGGTTAGGGTTCAGAGTTGGCCACTCCCCGTAGTTAAACGCTTGCAGCTCTATCGAACTTCGGTCGAGAAGGGGCTTCGGCGTGCAGCGTGCACAGCCCCGCGTCCGCGCGTCATCCCCGTCCATCGCTTCAATTGAACGGTACTCATTCCAGCTTCTGATGTGCCGATTGCTTGATATGTATAGCGTGTACCTCCTCGTCGGCGGAGAAAGCTTGCGCTGTTATTGCGATGACCCACATGGGACACTCCTGCCGCCAAGGGTTAGCTCTGCCAAGGTCTCCGTCACTTTACAGGCCATCCACTACTTAATTCTTTGCCTAGGAGAGCTTCGGCTGCCCCCGAAGCAAATTGACCGTCAGCCACGCTGTGCTTGGGTAACAACCGTCCGAAGAGCTAAAAAGATGTCAACACTTGGTCACGAGCAATGATGTAGGTACAGGTACTTCGAGGTACTGCAGAAAATGAGGGCTTACAGTTGTTTGACATTCCGATTTGCCGGACTCGTTCTGCCCGTTGAGCATTCGATCGCGCATTCCTTTGTGCCTGTCGGAATCATTGTCCCTGCGGTTAAGCGGTTAAGGCATCCGACGTCTTCGATGCAAAGCACTACGCCTGGAGTCTATCTGAGTTCGCCACAATGTAAGGATAAAGAAGCATGAACTATGGGCTGCACTCACTACGTCGTGTTCGCATCGGCCGGTGGAAGTACTCACTGTCTGCACAGAGTCGTCAGTCAGGTCCGAGTCGGACCGAGGTAACATTTAGCAGCACTCAGGCATCCGTTTATCGGATGGGTCCCTGTTACCATTTTTCTGCAGCGAGGCCCCTATCAGTGCCTGCTCCTCTTTCTTTGGAACGCATCGATTTAGTTAGCGTACGCATACGCAGAGTGCACATTGGCTTCTCAGTGAGGTCAAACCGAGTGTCAGCCTTGAGGGATCCCGAGGAGTCGGATGTTGAAGCTATGGTCTGACAGTTCCGAGGTGTGCATCTGCGACGATGTGTATGGGAGTTGTTGGTGGTTGGTACACACGAGGCTCAAGCTCTGCTTCTCTTCGCGGTGATCGACGTCGTGTCGGGTAATATCGGGCTTCTCGGAATTTTCCGGGTCCATGCATCGTCGATACTCACAGGCCATTGCAGCTTGAACTCAAGTTTGTACTGCTACTTTGACATCCTATCTTCCATCGAGCAGTACCAACTTGCACCTCAGATTGTCAGCGGAAGCCACCGGTGAATGCCTCAGGGTACATCGCGCGGCTGCGTCCGAAGTTGATGAGATGATGTTCCGTGAGTTACCCGCGAGTCGCTTTCTTCCTCCTTCCCCAAAGCAAGTTAACTTTCTATCGCCGTGCACGACCATGGCTGCCTGACACCTCCCGGCAGTCTACACTGCTGTACCTGCGAAAGAAGGCTCTCAGTTCAGGCAAGATCGTCTGCTAAGTTTGTAGACGCGAAGGGCCGCCGACGAAATCGATACCGAAAAACTCGCGAAGAACAACCGCATCTCAAGGTCACATAGCATGGCAAAGATGCACAATTAGTATCACGAGGGTGACGGTGGACTTCAAACGCCGACGCCGTGCTTAGCCTTCAGTGCTGATTATGTCGACAAACTGTAGCTCGTCTCGTCCCAATTAACTTCGCTCGACGCGGACAGTTCTCGGACCAACTGGTATGGCTCATGTTCTCAACGACGGCAAACTGGGGACAGCCGTTTGGCATCAGCTTCTGGCGCAGAATCTCGGTCGTGCGCAAGCATCCTCGCGGCGGCAGAACTCGTGGACGTCGTTTTCCGTCTAGCAGCTGGTTCCTCTCTTGCCGACTTATAAGGGACACTTGACTGCAACGGAAGACATCCCAGGTTTTGCTCGAGCGCACTCGCCGTCATGAAGTCTTTCGCAGCCTTGCTCTCTGTTGTCACTCTCGCTCTCTCGGTACGCGGCCAGGCGGCTGTTTGGAGCCAATGTAAGTGCCGCTGCTCTTCATCAATACGAGAATCTGTGCCAAGCTGACGTGCGACTATATAGGTGGCGGTACAGTGAGTTATTCTAGCATACAGCCTACATGTACAAGAACATGCACAAGAACATACCGCTGATCCTCCTGCTTTCTAGGGTTGGACCGGGGAGACCACTTGCGTCGCCGGCTCGGTTTGTACCTCCCTCAGCTCATGTGAGCGATTTCCAGCCCGTCATATTTTACTTCAATATATTGATGGTTTATCTTCATAGCATACTCTCAGTGCGTTCCGGGCACCGCAACGGTCAGCACTCCTGCAGCCCCCTCGGCGACATCTTCCGGCCCCGCACCTCCAGCATCCACGTGTGCACCCAACAGCCCGCCCGCGAGCGCCGGCAAGCTGAAATTCGCTGGTGTCAACATCTCCGGGTTCGACTTCGGATGCAGCACGGACGGAACGTGTTCCGCTAGTGGGGCGTGGCCGCCATTGACCAAGTACTACGGTCAGCCCTTCTCCTTCGGACTAGCTGCACGAAAGTGTTTTAACGTTTTGTTGGACTGCAGGCATGGATGGCGCGGGCCAGATGAAGCATTTCGTCGAGAACGACGGCTACAATGTCTTCCGCTTGCCCGTCGGGTGGCAGTTCCTGACCAACGGCGTTGCAACTGGTGACATCGACGAGGTCAACTTCGCCGAGTACGATGACCTCGTTCAGGCTTGCCTTGACGCTGGCGCGTCGTGCATCGTTGAAGTCCACAACTACGCGCGGTTCAACGGCAAGGTACGATGCGCACTTCTGCGAGGTTGTCGACTATAGCTCATCAATCCCCTGGTGTACAGATCATTGGTCAAGGAGGGCCCGCGAACGACCAGTTTGCAGCACTTTGGAGCAGCTTTGCCGCCAAGTATGCTGACAACGACAAGATCATCTTCGGAATGTGAGTGCCATTTTCGGACCCTACAGAGCGCAGTTCACGCAAGATCCTGAACGCAGCATGAACGAGCCGCATGACGTCCCTGACATCAACCTCTGGGCAGAGAGCGTCCAGGCAGCGGTGACCGCCATCCGCCAGGCTGGGTATGTAAACTTCATCCATTGTTCAAGCACAGCTCACCGACTTGCATTATAGCGCGACTTCTCAGCTGATCCTCCTCCCCGGCAACAACTGGACATCCGCGGAGACCTTCGTCTCCAACGGCTCGGCCGACGCGCTCAACAAGGTCACGAACCCCGACGGCAGCATCACCAACTTGATCTTCGACGTGCACAAGTACCTCGATTTCGACAACTCGTACGTCTCCCCACGTTATACAGCGATTTATATATGTGAATTCGTATTTGGTAGGGGTACGAACGCGGAGTGCACGACGAACAACATCGACAACGCGTGGGGGCCGCTCGCGCAGTGGCTGCGCTGCAACGGCCGGCAGGCGTTCAACACCGAGACGGGCGGCGGGAACGTCGCGTCGTGCGAGACGTTCATGTGCGAGCAGGTCGCGTTCCAGAAGGCGAACTCGGACGGTAGGTCTTATACTGCAGTAGTGTGGTCCAGGAGCTAATAGCTTCGCGTAGTGTTCTTGGGCTACGTCGGTTGGGCCGCGGGCAACTTCTACGATGGCTACGTGCTGAGCGAGGTGCCAACCCAGAACGCGGACGGGAGCTGGACGGACCAGCCGCTTGTTGCGAAGTGCATGGCGCCCAACGCTGCTCAGTGAGCCCAAAATGCATGTGCCGTGCGTTGGCATGTCTAGTCACCCGAGGTGGGAGTGTGAATGCAGTGTATATTATCACTTGGAGTCTCGTGAACTTGAACATCTGCCTTTCATCCCCTTTCAAGTAATCCAAGAAGGTGAACAGCACACTGAGCCCAGGTGAAAGACGTGCTGGTACTCGCATACACACTGACCGGTCCGTATACTAGTACTTGATACGATACAATTTAGACGCCCAATATTTCCTCAGGATGCTCGCCGCTGGCTTTGTGGCGGAGTTGAACATAATGGTGTGATGCCGAACCAACATGCACCACTTGTCGTCTACGCCCATCATCGCAAATTGAAAGAGAAATAGCCCGACATTAGGCCACGGGCTCCGGTGCAGGTCGCCCATTCATCTGGTGTGAATGTCAGCACACTAACACAGGTATACTTAAACAGGAGGCGCAGTTCGACCAGGTCAACAGCGATGTTCAACAAAATCGCGAGATATGTTCGCAAGAAACGCTCCCGGTATGGTAAACGTGAATTAGATCAAACGTCTCTGCGACACTGATACGCTGCTCATGAGAATTAGAGCCCAAGGGGTACTCCAACCCCCCTCGTTCTCGCCACAGCAAGAGGCCAGCTGGCAGTCCGGGGAGTCTGGAGCTCTATACCACAATTCGGCTGCTCACGAGGCGAACATGTCGACATACACGCAGGATGAATTCATTCCGGACGAACGATTTTCGGCGGGTGGCGACGCGATCATGGATCCTTCCGCCCTGGGAAGCTTGTGGAATTCCTTTCGCCCCATCACCAAGCTCCTCGACGAGATACTGGTCGAAATCTTTCTCTGCACCGGAGCCGAGCGTGGCGCGCACGACAATGGCATAAGTCCTGTCGAGCTGACCCGATACATGTCGGTGTGCTGGCGGTGGCGCAGCGTTATCGTCAGCCATGCGTGTTTCTGGGGCACCATCGTTGTCAAGAAACGCTCCGAATGGTTGCAAATTGCGCTACCTCGCTCTCAATTAGCCATGGTTCACCTAGAGTCCGACGCGTCGACCCTAGCCTCCGTGCTTTCCGACGTGATACCCCACCGCGACCGGATACGCTCTCTAGAGCTGGGAAAGTGTCGATCTTACGCTCAAGTTATGGGAGTGTCTTCCTTGATCCAAGCCCCCTTCAAATCCCTCACAAGACTCCATATCAAGAGTTACGCACACGATCGTCCGGATGTTGGCCCCTACCTTCTCTTTCTCCCGGAACACTATCCCCAGTTGACGCACCTTACGCTGAGAGGTCTCCATGTGCAATGGACCGAATCCCTTTTGTCTCGTCTCACGCTTCTCTATCTCTCTCACTGCTCCATTTGGCCCTCCCTTATGGACGGAGATGCCTTTCTGGATGTGCTTCAGCAAGGACGACGCCTCGAAGACCTGACTCTCTCCGACTTCATAAGTGCAGCATGCTCGGTTGTCCCCTCCCGATCTCGGCGGCCTTTTACATTCCCTCGCTTGACCGACCTCCTTATCGTCGATGAAGAGCGGTGGTTTCGACAATTTATGGCTTTCGTGCGGGCGCCCCGACCGCGTCAGTTAACACTGCGAACCGGCGACGTTGGCACCGACGATCTCGACAATGCTCCAACCAGTCCCCAGGTGATCATGCGGGCCCCCGATGTACCTTTCTTTTTAGATACGGGGGTCAGGGCACACATCCATGCCTCCACAACTGTGGCGGCGTTCAACATGTGGCACCGCGCGAGCGACATGCAATGCACGTCCTACACCCTCGCTTTTCCCCTACCCGGCATGGTCTTGGATTTCTCGCCCATGATTCAGATCTTCGGTCTCCTGAATGGGGACATACCCGAGCTCTCCACATTGTCCGTGCTTGACCTCAAGGCACCTATGTGCGGCCTGGACCGCGACACACTCGACGCATACTTCGACGCTGCCCCGCACTTGCGGTGGCTGCACATCGGATGCGGGAGGGATGCGAGCTTCCCGTTGCCGGCATACGTCTTCGACTCCCTCTCGACACGAAGCGAGGCCCCCGACGCGGACTCGAATGGCTCCGACGCGGCGGTGCGCTGTCCGAAGTTGACGTATCTCGGCCTGGGAGGGCTGGACTGGGACGGCGGGGCGGTCATGGACGCAGCGCTGGGCTGCTTGCGGACACGGGCAGCGTTAGGCGTGCCGCAACTCGAGCACCTGGCCATCCGCGTCAGGCCACGGCCCCCCGAGGAGGAGCCGGAAGGTGGGTGGGGGCCGGCGGTCGCGCGGTATGCAACGCAGCTGCAGGAGATGGTGTCGCACCAGTTCTCGTTTGCGGTTGGCCCTGAACGTGGAGTCTATTAGTCGGAACGCACCCGTAATTTTAGAATTACCTTACTCGGTATTTACATTCAAGTAGCTGGTCCGCGTGGATGCAAATCGAAACGTTCCTCCTCCTCCTCGTACATTGTTTTATATTCCCCTCCCAAATTGTCGTCTCGCGCTATCCTGTCTATAGGTGTTGTCCATACCGATCGTTACTGCTCGTGCAAAATGCTATCCGCTTAAAAGTTTCATCAAACATACATGTACGTGATGCAATATGTAGTGTGTAAGTGTGTACTGTTGTTGGGTGGGTACGGGATAGAACACCTCGTCCTGTTCTTGTATGATACTACTGGAATTCTTCAGTATCAATGGAACTGCGTGACTCGCGGTTGGACCCACTTCGCACAACGTGGCCGCCCACGTTCTCTTCAAGTATCTCCCCACCTCGTCGTCTGCTTGTGCGCGATCGATGGCCGTCTCCCATCTCTATTGTCGCCTCGACATGACAGGCGTTAGCGATTACGCAGCTACTACTTCGTGGGCTTCCTCCTTCGTTTCCATCGTCAAATCACGGTGATATCGTCCAGGAGATATAGCAAATACATACACAAATATACAAGCAGGTCAGTTCTATCAGATCCGCCACCCATCCCTCACGCCTCCACATAAACATACCCCTTCCCGTCGCCCACAACATCCGCAAAGATATCCGTGAGCACCCCCGCCAGCCGCACCCCCGCCATCGCCAGCAGCCGCTCGACGACCCACCCGCGCGCAAGCCGCCCCGCATACTCGGGCGTGTCCAGCTCGAACAGCTCCGGGTGCCGCGGCGCCCGCCCGCCCACCGCCACCCCCGCGTCGCCCGCGTCGCCCGCCTCCTCCAGCAGGCGCATGTCGAGGAAGTCGACGACGTCGTACGGGACCTCCGGCCAGTCAGCGCTTGCGGAGGAGGACCCGTGCTCGTCCCCTGGGGCGTCAAGCCCGTGCGGCCACACGGGGAGCGAGGCGTCGCAGTTGAGCGCGTGGATCGGGCGCGCCCACGCGTACGGACACACCTCGGCGTCGTCCCACTCCTTCTCGGTGCCCGCGCGCGTGGTGAGTCCGAGCGCGGCGGGGACGTCGAGGTTCAGCAGCGCCTGCACGGTCTGCGAGTCCCCAAGCCCGAGAAGTCGCAGGGCGTACCCGAGCGCGCTGCTCGTGCCGGCGTTCTGTGTTTGCAGCGTGGGGCGGGCGTCGGAGGGCGTGGGGCAGTCGAGCCACCCGTCGCTCTCTGCGGCGAAGCGGCCGCTAGGGGAGAGGCCCTCGTGCATGATGCGGCGCACGTACGGGTCGTAGATCGCGCCGCGCAAGTGGGGTTCTACGAACACACCGCCGGTACCGGGGAGCGGGTGGGAGTAGTTGTTTGGGGTGAGGCGGAGAGCCTGGGCGATAAGGAGGCCGTCCCATACGCTATGGAGGTCTGCGGGTCAAGCCACGGTGAGTCTCTAAGTATGTACACAAGAGGGAGGGGAACGCACTCGTCACCCGTCCATTCCACGCCACCTTCACGCCGTTCCCGCCCTTCTCGCGCCCGCTCATATGCAGCGGCTGGTGCATGTCGCCCATCCAGTGCACGAGGAACTTGAGCGCCTCCTCCGCGTCGCTGACGCTGCGGTCACCGCGGGCGAACTCGCGGAGGACCTTGGTCTGGTTCCCGAGCGCGGCGAGGATGTTGCCCGTCTGGCGGCCCTGCCAGCCGTGCGTCCCGGGGAAGGGACACGAGTGCGGCGGGGCGTCGTCGACGGCGTTCACGTAGTGCATGGGGGCGGTGTAGCGGTACTGGGGGCGCATGCGGATGGAGTCGGCCCACGCTGCGATGGGGGCTAGATGGCATGGCGGGTACGCCTCCGCAGCAGCAGAAGAGGCGTTGAGGTTGGGATGGAGGATGTCGCAGACGAGGGAGAGCACGGGCTTCGGGAGGTGGATCTGGGCAATGGTCGCCACGATTTCGTGCCCTGCGGCACCCCAGCCGTACACAGTTGGGATGCTCACGAGCGCAGCTGAGAGGATAGATGTGCGCATGCTGGTGGTTGTGGGGAGAGAGACGAGTGCAAGGTGCATGGCAGTGGACTGTGGACGCAGGACTCGAACCTGGGCTGCAGTGGGAGCGGACAGAACGCCGTTTGTCGAGCTCGGCCTTGGTCGCAAGTTTGGCGCTCGTTAGATAAGATAAAGTGCCGCCGCGCTCACGTGATACATACCGCGGACGCGTCGCGACAACTCTCGATCGCGCGTGCGGCCGTGGCCCGTAGTAAGGAAGTAGTAGGGCTGTCAGACTCAACAAAAAGCCGCTTTTAATGGCGCTACTCCAGACAACGTAGTAGATAATATAGAATGGGGAGGACTTCCTACAGCAGACAATTATCTTGCACATTGATTTCGGCATAAAAGGACGGCATCTCCGCGCATCGTGTTGAGGAGGAAGACCGGGTACAGTATCCGCTGTCAGGGCCGGTTTTGACTACAACCATCATGAGATTCTAGTATCCACGTTGCGCTCTGAATGGCCTCATTGAGGAGATTTCACCGCTGAGCGCACCAATGTGTACGCTCCGCGATCAGACATGCGCATCCCCGCAAACAACTACTCCCGGTTCGCTCGCCTCTACACCCTCGCCTGACCCATGCACATCCTCCTCCACAACGCACGCCTCACCGTCCACAATAAGGACGCTAAACACGCCTCCAGACTGCGCCCTTGTGCGAAACATCAAGTCCGGGGAAGACCGTGCGGTTGCGGCCGTGTCGGCCCCGCAGATGCTCCCCGTAGCAGAGGAGCCGCGACGCGCATCGTCCGCTTCGTGGAGATCGAGGATGAAGCGCCAGGTCATGATCGCGGTGAGTCTGGGGGCCCGAGCATCAGCGTGCGATCGAGCAAGTGCCAACATGCACAGAGGACGGGCAGTGACTTACGCCGAGATCCAAGTCGAGGCGGGCTCGAGCAGCTATACGAGGTACGTTGATTGCGGGAGAGAGGAGAATATTTTAGCACAGTACACACCACATGTAGTGGCACCAGGCGGCGACAGCGAGGACTCACGTTGATTTGTCGAATGAGAGAGAGGCCGACGAGGTTTGCTATCAGAAGCACTCTATAGATCAAGACACGGTCATTCAGACGCTACTCAATCTAGGTGCGTCTTGCGTGCAAGGAACGGCGCTCACAGAAAATAGGCCGTGCCTAAGGAATAAAATGTCAGACACCGGATTTTGTGGGTTAAGATAGATACCGAAACGGCTTCAGGGCCACGTACCGTCGCGCAGGAAGACCATAATAACACTCCGGCGAGAACCTACGCGGGCCTGTGCCGCCTCGGAACGATTCGAGTAGTACCACAGCTGCGTCCAAGTGATGATGAGGACGAGCATGTCCACGAGTATGCTGCTCGTGCGTGCGCCGATCATCCCTGATCATCCAGGGCCAGGTCCATGTCAGCGTTACCATCTGGAGGTAGTAAAGACACACAACTGTCGGTGATTATTCCGTCCGAGTCAGCTTCAGGTGCGATAGAAGAGCGTTGCACTCACTTTTCGTAAACAATGTCTGGGAGGAGATTATCATAGCCGCACGCGAGCACGTCTGAAGAGGCCAAGGTGATGGTGCCTACATCCATCTCGGTGAAAGTGAACTGCAAAGAGGCTTGGGGTCAGAACATAATCGCCGTGGCCGCGGAAACCGCCCATGAACGATGGTGTCCGCGATACGGATGGGTTGTAGGGCGGAGATGAATCCAGAGCGGGTTCCACTCACCAAGACAATCGCAGGGCCGACTAAACCGAGCACGATGACAATGACCAGGACAACCTTGTTGCGTGAAGTCAGCGCGTACGCTCTCAATGCGGAATTTACTGACCAGCGAAAGGTACGGTTTCAGCAAATGAGTGTATATGGTCGAAAAATAAATGGAAGTACCTGTGACAGTGGTCAAAAGTATGATGTCCAGGGCCATCTGAAATATGGTGACTATCACACAACTATATTCCAGGGATCAGCCGGTCGACGCGATGGACTACGTGTATTGTAATGAATAAGAACGCACTCCTGTAGAAGAAGCTGTAAGCATCTGATGCGGAAAAAGTGGTGTAAGAACGTACGTGATCAGACATATTAGCCCACGGTTTAATGTCTGTTACAGCGAAGAACACATTGCATAGGGTGGCGTAGCGCAGTGTGTAGAACAACAGCGCAGGACCTGAGAAACCACGCCGCCATATGTATTGGACCTCACGGCCGGAAGTCAAGAGGTAGTCGTAGCAGACAAAAGCTACGGGAGGTGTGATGTCAGTGCACATGAGCGGTGGACAAAAATTAGCTTACCTGTAGGGATCAAGTATGCGATGTTTGCAGCACGGCTGGTGTCAGGTCGGAGTCATGAGCGGCGGATGTTGAACGAGTGACGAGAACTCACATTTGCGAGAAGTCATCCGCTATATCACCGAAAGATTCAGCTACTGGACTCGAAGCCGTCACAGACCCCATAGTAGAGCGGGCGGCGGCGGCGGAGGGTGTGCTTGTGTGGACCTGCCCCTGGCTACTCAGGTTTTAGAGTGCCTATAAAATACTGAATGTCATCTGTCATCGCTCGTGTGTCTGTGAGTATAGTTAGAACTCTGCGGTGAACAGCGACGTTACTACACCCGAAACAGGAATCCGCCAATGGAGAGCCGATTAATTATACGTGCCTCTCAACGGGTCCGAGTCTCCGCAACCTCCGATGTTGGGGGCTAGGCTGGAGCCTTGGCGACTTCTGAGTTCCCGGATGTGACAGATAGATAGAGTAGCGATCATATAAGGGAGTCCCTGTATCCACGGGTACGATAATCTAACACGGGTACTGCTTGACAAGGTTCTGTTGGTGCGGTGTCAGTACCGCATGCGGTATACATTCAAGTTGTACAAGGACCGAACAGTATCATATCCTGTTTTGGTGTGGCAGCACGAAACTGATGAGTGATAGAGTCCGAGTTCAATTACTCTCGGCTCCAAAGCGGCTTGATGATAGAATGGATAGAATCAGTGGGCGTGAATGTGAGTGCGCAGACGCGCAAAGACCTGCGGGTTTGAGGAGAGCAGCGGAACCTGGTCGAGCCCTGTGCGCGCAGTTTAGCGCCCTAAGTTCCGCGCTCACGTTATATATACCTCTAACTCCCACGGTTAGAACGCTGTACACGACTCTCAGCTTAGACAACGAAATAGTACGACTCAAGTACTCCCTCACTCACTCAATACACATAGCGCGCCGCGCGGCGTGTATATAAAAAAATCTATGGTGCAACACACAGACATTTACATCTACGTTTTCCGCCGGACACAACCTCGGGGACCGCCACGCGTTCGCGGTATGCCACCATCTGAACGGAGAGGTTGCGTTTGGAACTGTTTGAGACTTATGCCAGTGAAGATGTGTCGATAAACGACACGGAATTGTGCGCAAAGGGCTTGTGAGGAGTATAGGTAAGCGTATATATTGCGTTTCGACTAATAGACCCCGTGTGGGTCAGGGCCGACTGCGAACGAGACCTCGCACGACACCATGTCCTCCAGCTCCTCAGCGTACGACAGGTCCACTTCCTCCCACCCACCGTCCATCTCCCCCTCATTGGGAGGTCGTGGCCTCACGCGGATTGCCAACTGTTCCAGCTGCTGTGCGCCCCGTGCCTCCCGGATCCTCAGGCAGTCGATCACCATCTCCATGGCTGCCCCGCCATCCCAATCTAGCCCTCCCAGCCCCAGGTAGGTCAGATTCCGGCACGGTACCGCGGAAGCTTCATATAGGTTAAGCGCACTCGTCGTGAGGGCGTCGAATACATGTGCTACCGAAAGCGGGTAACTGGCGTCCTTACCGCAGCCGATGTGCAGCCACCGCAAGTCCGGGGCCCCTTCGATGTACATGTTAAGCTTCTTGAGGTCCATGTCGCGCATGGGGACCTTGAGGTCGAGCATACATATCGAGGTCCGCGGGAATGCGTCCACGAAAAGGCTACCAAAGAGTGCGGCCGAGTAGGGGAGAGGTAAGACGGAGGACTCGTACCGCGATACCACTGAACCGCGATGCCAGTCGGTAAACATTAACGCAGTGGCACCGCCGTGGATGTGGAGCCGTACGCCATTGTCTGCGAAGAAAGGCACCTGGGGTGCCAGCAAGAGCCCCCGATGGCTGATAGGAGCACCGTCGAGATGGCCGGTGTCAACTTCGCCGGTAAGTGCCAACTCAGGCGGCGTGGGCGTCCGCACACATGCTAGGAACTGTCGGACCATTTGCTCTGTATCGACGATGAAAATGGTATCCAGCTGCGCGAGGGGGAATGGTTGCCGAATTCGGGAAGGGATGTCCGGCGAGCAGACTGCACCCATGAAGCCTTTGAGTACGAGGGTCTCAAGGCGCTGTCCGTGTTGGAGCACATCCAAAAAGGTGTCCCAGTCCATGGCGGAGGAGCACACAGAACAGTCGTTGAGAGACAAAGCCGTGAGTTGAGATAGGAAGGACGCGGTCCATTGGACATGACCGGCTACCAAGGTAAGGTCCGTCAACTGTGGGTAGAGTTCCGGGAGGATGACAAAATGACGGCGGCCACGGAGTCGACGACCGGGTTTGGCAAAATTGATAGCAAGTTTTGCGAGGGAATTGAAGGGGGCTTGAATCATGACAGATATAGCCGAAATTTGAGTATCGGATCCGTCATATTCCAGCTCTAGCGAGCGGATTCGACCGCGATGGGGCAACATCTCTGGAAGCAGGGAGGCCAGAGTGGTTGAATCGAACTTCAAGTGAAGCATAGCTAGCTGAGAACGAGGTAGGGCTAGTTGCAGCCATTCCGGACGTCCTTTGACAACGATCTTGTTCCAGAAACACGCATGACTGACGATAACGGCGCGCCAGCGACGACATACCAGCATGTTTCGGGTGAGCTCGACAAGACCAATGTCCCATTCGTACGCCCCAGCATAGTAGTTCTTTGTCCATGAGCAAAGGAAAACCTCAACGAGCACTTCGTCGGGGAGCTTGCTGATGGAGGCGAAGGAGTTCCACTTCCTACGAAGGGCGAACGTATCCGCGATCGTGTTGTTGCCGGTCTGGTATCCCTCCTCTGGCGCGGAGTCAGCCTCCGTGAACTCCACCGCGAAATCCTCCTCTAGCGTGGATTCCTCCGGCGCGAGTTCTTCCCCAGACGTGAACTCAGGCATGTATTCGTCCTGTGAATGGGTCGCCTCGTCCATCTTGTGAGCAGTGGCGTCCTGGTATGGATCATCTGACTCCCTAGAATCAGAGTGAAGAGCTGATGCTAATGCATAGTATGGAGTCTGGGGACGGCGTGGAAGATGAGTGCCACTGGCCGCGGGAGGGCAGGCCTCTGGCTGTGGAGAAAGCGCGCGGGCTTGGGGCCTTCCGCTTGCTCTAAATCTAGTAAGCAGTACGTCAGTGCTGTAAAAATATGTGCTTTGAGTCGCATTCACCGAGAGCGTTGCTTGCAAAGATATTTGACAAATTTGTCGAACATTAATGCTGTATCGGAACAACGGACGTGGTCTTGTCGTGTACCCTTGTCAGTAGACTGATATCGGTACGAGATTAATACACAACTGGCAACCTACAATAACAGACGATCGCTCTTGGAGGTGGTGGATGTAGATAACCAGGGATGCACGATGGTTCGGGCTTTCCACCATGGCAAACTCCGCCACAAAGGCAACGAGTGGCATAGGCGTCTATCGTGTTGACGATACCTAGGCCTTAGGCGTTATTCCCAAAACACTTATAAGAGCACTCATTCTGTAGGGTCTATGATCTAATTTATAAGCGAGGTTGTGTGTGCATGCTCATGGTAATGAGCGCGGGGAAAGACTGTTATTAGAGTTTGTCGAGCCCTAAGTCCGCGCTCGCGCCGTTACATGTACATATGCATACCGCGAACGCGTCGCGTTCCTGTCGATAGTGTGCGGCAAGAACGTACCTGCAGACCTTGCGTATTATACCATTTCGACCTAATTAGAGAATACATGTACGTGTAAGGGTATCCGATTGCGTTCAGACTAATAAACTCCGCGTATGTCAGGGCCGACCGCGAACGAGAACTCGCACGACACCATGTCCTCCAACCGCTCCGCATACCGGATATCCACCTCCTCCCACTCACCCCGCTCCTCAGGCTTCCCCTCTTTGTGCCGCGGCCTGACGCGGATGGCCAAATACTCCAGCTGCCGCGCACCGTCCGCCTCCCGGATCCTCAGGCAGTGCAGCGCCGCGTCCATCACCGCCCCGCCGTCCCAGTCCAGCCCTCCCAGCCCGAGATACGTCAGTTCCGGCCACCGCGCCGGGTAGAGTGCCTCATCCACGGAGTCATACGGACACGCCGCGAGGATGTCAAACACGTACGCCGGAAGCGCGTGGCTCGCGTCCTTCCCGCAGCCGATGTGCAGCCACTGCAGGCGCGGGGCGCCCTCGAGGTACGCGTCGAGCGTGTCGCGGTCCATGTCGTGCATGGGTACGCTGATGTCGAGTATAGACAATGAGGAGGACGGGAAGCAGAACATGGTGGGGCTGCGGAGGATCGCGGCCGAGAAGCCGTTGGGGGTGTGGGCGTTGTAGATCTTGTGGCCCGCGCCCTCTGGGGTGCGGGCCCAGTCGGTGAGCATGACCGTGGTGCGAGTCGCGTGGATGTGTAGTCTGGCGCCGCTGTCCGGGAAGAAGGGTGTTGCGGGTGCGAGCAGGAGCCCCCGGCGGCTGATGGGGGTATTGTCGAAATCGCCGACGACGACTTCGCCGGTGAGCGATAGTTCGGGCGGCGTATGCGTTCGGACGCGGGTCGTGAACTCACGGACCCACTGCTCTGTGTCGATGAGGTAGACGAGCTTCAAGCGAGAGAGCGAAATGGGAGGTCGGGTTCGGGAAGGAATGGCCGAGCAAGCTGCACTCATGAAGTCTTGAAGCATTAGGGTTGTGAGGCGCTGTCCGTGTCGAAGGACGTCGAGAAACGTGTCCCCGTCCATAGGAGAGGGCCATATAGAGCAAAATTTGAGGGACAAAGTGGTGAGTTGAGACAGGAGGGACGACGTCCACTGAACGTGAACGCCTGCCAGAATCAGAGTTGTCAACTGGGGGTAGTGTTCCGGGCGAAGGACAAAGTAGCCGGCATCCGGACGGTCGTCTGTAGGTGTCTTCAGTTGAAGTACCGTAAGGCATTTGAATGGGGCTTGAAACAAGGAAGATAGAGCCGTGACCTGGGCATAAGATTGGCATCGCTCCAGCCCTAGAGAGCGTATCCGTTCGCGGTGAGGTATTACTTCGGAAAGCACAGAGGCGAGGGTCGACGGGTCGAGGCCAAGGTGAAGCATGGCTGATTTAGAGCGAGAGAGAGCGAGTTTCAACCATTCCGGGTGTCCTTTCGCAAAAATGGTACTCCAAAAACACGCGTGGCTAACGATGAGGCCGCGCCAGCGACGGCATACCAACATATTTTGGTTCTGTTGAGAGTAGAGCAAAACCTGAACGAGAAGTTCGTCGGGGAGCTTGCTGATGCCGTGGGAGAAGGAGTTCCACCGCCTGCCTTGAGGGGGAGTATCCACGATTACATCCTGGCCGGCCGAGAAGTCCTCCTCATGGGTAAACTGATCCTGCATTTGGGATGCTACCGCCAACTCGTGAGCAGCGTAAGCGTGCCATAGATCCCCGAACTCCCCAGATTCCGACTGAGGGATTGAGAAATCATAATATATAGCCTGGCGACGGCGTGCGAGGTGTGTGCCACTAGCGGTTGGGCGGACGGCCTCTTGCTCTGGCGAAAGCCCGCGGGCTTGGTGGCTTCCACGGGCTCTGCGTTTGATAAGCAGAGTATTAGTACGGTAGGAGTTGTGTGCTCCGAGCCACTCTTACCGAGAGCGCTGCTTGCGAAGATAGTTCACGACCTTGTCGAACATTGTGGCTTTACTAAAGTAACGGACGTACTGCGCCCGCTGTGGTACACGTCTGTCAGTATATTGATATCCGCATGAGATATAGACACGACTTGCAACCAGTGATGACGGACGTTCTCTCTTCGTGGTGGTGGGGGTGAACGAAAAGGAATAGTCGATACTTGAGGTTTTTCACTCCGCCACAAAGGCAGCCAGTGGCATAGGCGTCTATGGCGATGAGGATAAGCACCTTTGTTAGAGCAATCACCCTGTAACGGTCACGGTCGCTCTGAAGTGAGGCTGTGTGTGCATGCTCGTATGCAGGATTGCGGTCGTCATCAGAAAGTCCAGAGCCATGCGTCCAAGAGCACAGCGCACCGTGACCCGTGGGTCGGTAGAGTGGATTATCGACAAGCTTTAAGCAGGAGCTGCTCGCGGAAAAAAGCAATGGAGATACTGCACAGACTGAGCACTGAAATAATGCATACCAGCAGGGAGACAGATGGATTGTGGGTGCGAACCCCGGCTAATCTCCATCCGCGTCGAGTGCATCCGACCGACGCTGCAGCGTGTCAGCTCCTGAGGGTGTTACAATTCAGGATGTTCCGTATAGCTTTGCCTGTGTGACTAAGGTTTATGTTGCTATGGACAGGCTGGGTAGCATGCATTGGAATGGGCCGTGCGGGCAGAAGCACGAGGAGGAGATGGAGGAGAGTGTCAAGAGGGGATGGAGCGGCGAGGCGCTGGTATGGGGACGCGGTCACGTGGCTCGGTTGACGCGGAGCGCGGGGCAAAATAAAGCGCCGGGGCTCGTCGACTGCTGCGACCCTTTCCTCGGAAACATCCTCACCTCCTCCATCTCCTCCATCTCCTCCTCCTTCGCCAACTCTCATATGCTCAAACGACCCCGGGATGCGTTTGACACGCCAGAATCGTCTTCGCCGCCTCTTCCTGCCAGCAAACGACGCTACCTCTCCTCTGTTGCTGGTTCGTCTCCCTCAACCTCCGTGTCATGCCTCTCCACGCCCTATACTCTCCCGTACTTCCGCTCGCCATACTCCGAGTCGATCCCCCACGACTCGCCCTCCAACCCTTTTGGCCTCAACCGCGCCCTCAGAGCCTTGACAATCCCGCGCCCGACCGGCTTCAGCAAGCACATCGTCCTCCGCTTGCAGCTCGTCTCTACCGCCGATCCCGCGGCGCGTCCTCGGAAGATATCCGTATCGGACGCGCCATACCGCATCGTGCAGGTCCCGCTGAACTACTCCTTCCGCCTCCTCCACATGCTGGTTCTCTTTCTTCTTGCTAGCGATGCACGTCTACGCGTCCGCCGCCGCAAACGCGTTGGGAACCATGTTCTGCGATCACGGGCGCCTCCTGCCTCTCATAAGCCCAAGGACGTTGCCGATAATCTGGAAGATCCTCCAGAAGCGCAGGACGGACATCTTTTCGAGGTCTACGAGAATGTACGGCTATACACCAACACGTACCGCCCTGGGGTCATCAAGGACGGTACAGGCAAGTTGTACGCCAGGCTCTCAAGCACGCGAGAACGCAAGCTTTTTCCTGATGGTCCTGTCGGCCGTGCGGACAACGACGTCTTCGGCGGAGCCTCGATAACACAGTCAGATGTCGGAACGATGGACTCCACAGCTGACGAGGACGACGAGGAAGAGGGGTGGGACTGGGAGCCCGAGGACGACTTTCTTCTGTCAAGCGTGTGGACGGATGGCCCCAGTTTGAAGAAAGGCATCATCTACGTATGTTGGGCTTGCTCTTATCCCGATACGCATCATTCACAACTATCCTCGTGTAGCACCACACACCCTCCACCACCGTCCACATCACAGTGAACCAGGCGCGCGTACCACCCCGTAAGGGCATCGGGAACGCGCCATACGTCTTCGCCGCGCACGGCGGCACAGCTGGCGCGGTCCGCATCGCGAACATAGCCCCTAACATCCCGCCCTCCTCTGCCCCGCCCTCCACCTCCACCGCGCCGCAGCTCCAGCGCATACGCAAAGGCAAGGCGTTGCAGCAAGCCACCCTCAACGGCGGCAGCGACTCTGAGCGCGACTGGGACAGCTCGTCCGGGTCCGACGCACCCGCACCCGAGCGGCCGTACACAGATGACGGCGACGAGGTCCCCGACCTCAGTCCGTACGAGACCGCGGACGAGGCCGCGCTCGAGCGCTGGAACGCGCACAACGCGTTCGAGCGCTTCCTCAAACGCGAGGCTGCGCGCGAGCGCGCCATGCGTCGCCCCAAACCCGCGTCGTCGAGTGCGGTAGCGGGGCCTTCGAGGGTGACACGCGCAAGAATGGCGGAGGGGGACGTGCCATCATCTCCAATCGGGGCGCGCGGGGGCGCGCACCGCTACGGGCACCGGCGGTACGTGAGCGGGGAGCGCGACCCGGACGTCGACCCGGATCCGGACGGAGCGGAGGCGTACATCCCGCCATCGAGCCCAAGCACGCTCCCGGTAGACATCCCGTCGGACTGTGAGGCGCTCTGGACGGACACCGACGGCGAGCTCCCGGGGGCGTATTCCTCCGAGGGAGGAGAGGACGCGCGGGAGAACATGCGGTACATGATCGAGCTGCCGCTGCAGACGCCGTTCCCGACGCACCCTGCGCTGCGGCGGCGCGTGCGGCGGGCGTCGGAGCGTATGGAGCAACAAGTCAGCAAGGGCCTGAGCGAGTTCGATGAAGATGAGCCGGAGGACGAGGACGGGAAGGGAGGCAAGCAAGCGAAAGACGGGGAGGCGGGTGCGAAGGCGGGCGTGAAGGGGAAGGAGAACGTGGTGGCGAAGGCACACCACAAGACGGGGGTGCGCGGACGCGAGCCGGATCCAGAGGAGAGTCCTGTGAAGGAGAGGGTCGCGGCGCGCAACGCACATCCGCCTCCACCGGCTGCACAGCCCGAGTCGCCGTCTGAGGAGAACAACGACGAGAGTGAGACCGAGAGCGAGCAGGGGAGTGTCGAGTCGGTGGAGGTGGACGGATTCACGATGGGCGCGCCGTGGCTGCGTATGCGCGGGCCCAAGGACGGGAGCAGTACCGGGCGAGGTAGTCAGTGGGATTCTGACGAGGAGGTTTAGGCTGAAGAGGAGAGGACTGTCCGTGCATACTTTGGTGAGGGAGAAGGACGTATACATAATCGTAATATTGTAGCAATAGCTTTGTCGGCGCAAGCAATTCAAGCTGCACCTATTCAACGTTAGACCACTTGGTGCAACTAGTCTCGAACTCGCAGGCGTCAACATCAGGCAGGTCGGGTGGATAGAATACATTGGGAGTCTACATGCAGAGGAGCACGACAACGACAGCGCTGCGACGGTACTGATTACATCGATCGGGGGAAGACAAAACGTACAGATCCGGGACTCTATTCCCTGCAACTCGATACTGGGGAACGCTCAGCCGATCGCCATCGCTGTGTCGACGGCATCGGAGACGTTCGTGGTGGAGCCCGGAGCACTGAGGCGCGACGAGAAGATAACGTCCTTGAGGACTTGCGCGATAAGACCGTGTTGCGCCTCCGTGGCGATCTTGTCGCTAAGGTATCGGTCAGTATCCGTTACAGGAGAATGATGCAAACTGAAAGCCGACGGACCTGTCTTTCACCGCTTTCGCTAGGGCGGACTCGTCCTTCTTCTTGTCTTCCTTGTTCTATTGCGAGAGTGAGCCTCAAATGCACGATCCAAATATGCGATCCGACATACCTTGATGACGGCCTTCTCGTCAATAAGGATCGGCTGTGGCGCCCGTGTCCCAGGAACTGAGGTTTGTGCCTTGGTCAGCTTCTGGTGCAGGTCTGCAAGCTGCGACGCTGCGTATGCTCGATTCTATAACCAGGATCAACACAAAGACGCACACAACCTCGGAACACCAATACGCACCGAAATGAGCGCGCTCTGGCTGAGCGTGTTCACCCAGTACTTATTCCATAGCAGGCCCAGAAGCTCCGAATCCAGTGTGGATTTGAAGATCTGCACCTCGAGCGGGTAGTACTGGTTCGCGTGCACGCCGAAGTCCTCGATCTTGTTCAGAGGGATGCTTTGGTACTCGCTGCTGCCGGCGTCCGGGGGCGAGTACCCCTCCGGGTACGTGCGGAACGCGCCGATGTCAACCTTGCCCGCCGAGATCGTGCGGTTCGGGTCGATGACGACCGCGACGAACGGGTCTTGGAACTTCTGGTTCTGCATCTGCGTGTTCACGTCGATGCCCGAGAGCCAGCAGCCGTACCCCGGGTGGGAGTGATACCAGCCGATCGCGTTCTCGAGGCGTGATACCTGCGGCGGTGTCAGTGGTGGGCGAATTATATGTAGGAGAGTGGGGCCTACCCGTTCGCTGCCCTCGACATATTGGACCATGTACTCGTTCGCCTCGTTCGCTGCGTTGACGCGCGTTTCCGTGCCTTGTACGGGCAGCGCGAACGAGTCGATAATGACGAGTGCGTTCCCTTGCACCTTGCCCTGCATGATGCCCATGATCTCATATGGAACACCCGATCTTGCGTGAATGGCCTAGGGACCAAGCTGGGTGAGCATACGCGTTCGCAGCGCAGCAGGAGGGTGCGTACCATCTTGATGAGTGCCACAGCCGAAATCTTGCACACTTTGAAGTAGTGTGGGCTGTTAGGCAGATAGCTTCGTTCAGCACACACATTCTTCTCCCAGAAGGCCGACACTTGACCGAGGGCCCTTCGCTCTCAAGGAAGGCATGAGGTGCAGTACTCACTCGCGTGCCCAAGGCCTCTCGACGTTTATCCGCTTGTTCTCTACTTGATCGTATCTGAAGATATCGTCCTGCGCGCTGAGCTCCTTGATGTCATTTTCGAGCGAGAACGTCTTCAGAGGGATGCTGGATGAGGAGGACGCCATGGTCGCTGCCGCCACAGGACTGCAGGTACCGGTCCCAGCTGTATACGGGTACGCGTATATCAGCGGCGTGGGAGCCACCTTCCTCTCATGGCGAATAGGCGCCCAGCTGAAGTCATACCCTGCGAGCGTGAGCTCGGGGGTGAAGGCATCCACGACATGCTCAACGCCGTGAATGTCCCTGCTACGTCTATCGCGCCCTCTCGCTCGACAGCGGAGTCACGCACAAGATCTTCTACGATGCTCAGACACTCATAGCCCGCCAATACGATGTCTGGCGACCGCTGGACCGCTCAACGAACCGGAGGCCTCCCCGGCCAACGCTCCCACTGTCAACTCCCAGCAGCTCTCACAGCTGAAGCGGCCCTTTCGCGGAGGACAGGATCTGTCGAGGCGGCATGAACGTCTGGAGCGCTCATTGCGGGGCAAGACGCTGTATGGTCGCGAGATACAGGACCTGCAGGGACAGCGGGAGTCATCGCAGGAGGACGTGCCTTTCACTTCCGCGGAGAACACGCGCGAAGCCAGTACGCATGCGGGGCAGAAGACGCAGAGGATATTCAAGGGGTTCGTGATCCCTCAGCCTCCCAAACCTCCTGCGGAAGACGGTGCGCCAGATTTATTGAGTGTACGACTGAGCAGTACTGAAGGTATTGTTTATTGACAGAGTGCTGCATGTCCGGCTGTGCGGTTTGCGTGTACGACCTCTACGACGAAGCGCGACAAGACTACGTCCAAGCCCTCGGCAAGCTACACGCCAATCTCGACAAGATGGGCGTGCCGGAAGACCAGTGGCCTGCGGACATTCGGCGGACACCAGACTCTCCCCAGCCCGCTAAGCGAGCGGACGTGGTCCTCAGCGCCTTCGAGCAGTTTGAGAAAGCTCTCAAGGAGAAGAGTCTCCGGCCAGTTCAGGAGGAACCGACGGGAGGCGGTGGGGGCGGTGGAAACTCCGCGCGCAGCGAGGGTCAGTATACTACCATCTGAGACGGGAAGGGCCGGGTATCCTGATGTAGACGGCGCACGCAGCAGCTGCAGCCGCCGCAATCATACAGAGAAGACCTCCAAAGCGGAAACCGGGTCTTAACGAATTGTATGAGGGGATCCGCTGGGCATTGTTCAGTAATCGTTAATGAGGTGAGTGATTATCGTTGACACTGCCCTACCATCTCGGCTTACATTCGGGTTTTCAGACACATATTTGCGAGCTTCGTACTATACACTCCTACTACATCTAATCAGTCATTGCATAGAGGCGCGAAGGCATGAAAGGTGGAACCGACGTTTCGACCGTCTCCCGGACTAGCGGATCGATGTGCGCTGTGAACGAGAGAACCTATCGCACACCGTCGAGGCAGTTCTCTTGCATATGCCGCGTTTCATGGCCATCATTCAGCAAAAGTCTCAGTAGGTCGGTAGGAAGCGTGCATGACTTCCGGCTGCGACGCCTTTAGCTCTACTTGTACATCATAAGACTGCACCGCTGGACTCAATTTTCTAAGTTAGGCTCTTCCAGTTTACCTCTTGCTTGATACTCACAACTAGTGACGTCAATGAACCCCCATTCGTAACGCGTCGAGCAACGTTGTACCCATATTGCTGAGTACCTCGAACTTCGTCCCGTGAGAGTGCGGTACGAAGTCCTCCGAAGAAAGTCTTCTCTTTCCCAAGCAACTCGGTAAGTTGAGTCTATTTTATTACTCAATACGATCATTACTAGGACCAGGACGTCATGTGCAAGACCCAAGACCGCCTTCCTTACCCGAAGTTTTCCCGTCTACGTCGAGCATATAAAGGAACAGGGGCGTGGACAACGAGCTGAAGACGTGGGACGCCAGTGCTCGTAGACGTCTCAAGCACAGACGCGGGACCTCGAACTACAACGAATATGACGGCGAAGCTTCCGAGCGACTTTCTCTGGGGATATGCCACAGGTACGCCTCCGTTCGACCTGAAGACGGTGACCGTGATGCACAGGTACCCCACCAGCGAGCTACCAAATCGAAGGCTCTCCTGACGTTCAAGGCCGCTCGCCCTCCATCTGGGACACCTTCTCCCACACCCCGGGAAAGATCAAGGACAACTCCAACGGAGATGTAGCGACCGACTCGTATCGGCGCTGGGGCGAGGACATCGCCCTCCTCAAGCTCTCGGGAGCGAACTCGTACCGCTTCTCGATCTCGTGGAGTAGGATCATCCCGCAGGGTGGGCGCGGCGACCTGATCAACGCAGACGCCATCGAGCACTATGGCGTGTTTATCCAAACGTTGCGTAAGAACGGCATCAAGCCGATCGTAGTGAGCATGCGTCGGGCCACTCAAAGGTCGCGCGTCGACGTGGCTTAAACAAACTGTGCCGTTGTAGACGCTGTACCACTGGGACCTCCCACAGGCACTGCACGATCGCTACGGAGGATGGTTAAACAAGGAGGAGATCGTACAAGACTACGTCAACTATGCCAGGGTATGCCCTACTATTACGAGCTTCGTTACTAAAAGACTAGCCATCCGGCGTCGTAGACCTGCTTCAGATATTTCGGGGACCAAGTCAAGGACTGGTCAGCGCCCGCATAGGATTGTATTTTTCCTACACCATTTTGACCTAGAGTGCGTTTCTTCCTAGGATCACTCACAATGAGCCATGGTGCATCTCCGTCTTGGGCTACGCAACCGGGGCCTTCGCTCCAGGGCATAAAGGTGACACTGAACACTGGATGTACGTCTCTCGTGGCCTTCCTCTGTGCGTCGTGCATCGCTAACACATTTGCAATGTCTGTTAGTGTAGCGCACAATCTGCTCATCGCCCACGCGTATGCTGTGAAGGCGTACCGCGACGAATTTCAAGCCAGTCAGGGAGGCCAGATCGGGATCACTCTGGACTGCAGCTGGCAGATTCCCTATGACGATTCGCCGGAAAGTATGCGGTTTTGCGGGGTTCGTTGGTATCGTATGAATTGACATCGGTGCTCAGACGTGGCTGCTGCTCAGCGTGCGATCGCCTTCAAGCTTGGTGAGTTTACAGCCAAACATATTGACAAAGGCACTCAACGTCGTTTCTAGGCCGCTTTGCGGTAAGAACGAGACGGTCTGTAATATGTAGTGTCGCCTGAGCCGTTTACAGGACCCGATATACAAAGGCCACTATCCCAAAGTGGTGAAAGATATGATCGGCGACCGCCTCCCCGACTTCACGGAGGAAGAAATCTCTGTGGTCAAGGGATCCTCCGATTTCTTCGGTTTGAACACGTACACCACTCAACTCGCCAGTGAGCTATTTACCATCCTTTGAGGGTGTCATTTACTATTAACCATCTCAAACCACCAATAGTGGAGGGAGGCGACAGTGAGATCCAAGGGAACGTGAAAAATACCTTTACCAAGCCAGATGGGACTCAACTGGGCAAGGAATGTACGTGCACCAGTACTAGTCATCTGAGTCACTCTGTTGTGAATCTCACGGCTCTCTTTGCATAGCGCATGTATCTTGGCTGCAAACGTGTAAGTTATCTCAAGGGGACATGGTTCAAGAACATACCACTCAGCCCATCTTATAGATCCGCCTGGATTCCGCTCGGTGAGCCTGTCCGTTTCGTCCCAAATATAATCAAGTCCTGACGCATTAGTGCAGCTGCTGAACTACCTGTGGGAGGTACGCTCTGTAGAATGTCATCTCAAAAATATAAGATCGCTGACGTTAATGGCAGACGTACAAGAAACCCATCTAGTTCGTCTTGCACTGGGGTCCGTCTTCGACTTCCGATTCACTGAGTGCCGGAGCAGCGTGACCGAGAACGGTTTCCCCGTGAAAGGCGAAAACTCGCTTCCTGTCGAAAAGGTCGTCAACGACACAGCCCGCGTGGACTACTACGAAGGCTACACGGATGCCCTGCTTCGCGCAGCCAACGAGGACGGTGTGCCCGTCAAGGGTTATTTCGCGTGGAGTAAGCACCGCTCGTCCTCCGCTTGGTCAGCTACCCCTCACATTGCTTCTGCAGGCATTCTGGACAACTTCGAATGGTAAGAATGTTTTTTTAAGTGCTCAAGTGAGTAGCGACTGACTACTGACTTGCTAGGGCGGACGGGTACGACACCCGCTTCGGGGTTACATACGTCGACTTCGCCACCCAGCGGCGTACGCCCAAGGCGTCCTACGATTTCCTGAAGAAAGTAAGATTTCCTTTACGTGTGCCTTCCTACTCTGGTAGAGCGGTGGCTTATGATATATACTTGCTAGTGGTTTGCAGACCACATCGCCACATGAAATACACATTTATTGATGGGGCAGGGCGCATTGAACTACGATCGTACTGTCGTGCTGTATACATACGTTGCGCCGAGCTGCTGTCGAACTCCTCTATGCGCACAGAATATATACGCCCACGTTACAGCTGTCAAGCCAAGTTCGATCCCGGCGGTCCCGCTAGCGAATGCTTGACTCCACTGCCGGGACCGAGCTTAATGATATTCACTCGATAGCGGTGTTCATTGCTCTCCCACTACCCTCACGATCTGACCATCGTACGCAACTCCGAGACATTCCTCCATACTAATTTCAGTTACATCATGTAAGAGATGAACGACCGTCTAACTCATGTGGCACTCAAAGCCTTATCGTAACAGCACACCAACAATGTCTTCCACTCGTAAAGGAACTACGAAACGGCAACCAGCCAATCCTACAGCTGGAGAGGCAGGAAGCATCACCGCGCCCATAGTCGCGACGTCCCAAGTCTCGCGCTTCCACACCGAGACCCTCACTACGCTCTCCAACGACATCGACCTCAAAGACGTCAACCTCACCATCGGCCAGCGCACGCTCCTCGTGAGTGCGAACCTGCGCCTCTTCCGTGGCGTGCACTACGGGCTCGTTGGCCAGAACGGCGTCGGCAAGTCCACGCTGCTCCGGGTGCTCGGGCACAAGCTCCTCGCTGGGTTCCCGTCGAACGTGCGCGTACTATTCGTCGAGCAGCTCGAGGGCACGGACATGGCGCGCCCCGTCGTGCGCGTTGTTATGGACGCAGACCGCGCTGCCGCGCGCGCACGCAGGGAGCTGAAGCTCGTGCAGGGCGCGCTCGAGGGAGATGATCCGGCGGAGGTGGCGCGGGTGATGCGCAACGTGAAGATGGACCGGCTGAAGGACGAGCTGGAGGCCGCGGACAAGATCGCTACAGAGCGCAGTGGGGCCCGGGGGGCCGACGCGCGCAAGAAGCTCATCGAGCAGGAGAAGCGTGTCGAGGATGCGAAGTCGGCCAACGCGGAGCCCTTGTCGAAGGAGGAGATCACCCGTGCCTCCGCCGAGGCGCAGGAGTTGCTGACGGAGCTGTTCGCCGCGATGGACCTATACGGAGAGGAGGCGGCGGAGGCGAAGGCGAGGACAATCTTGAAGGGTCTGCGCTTTCCTCCAGCATGGCACGACCGCCCACTCGGGGAGCTGTCGGGAGGATGGCGCATCCGTGTCGCGTTGGCGTCCGCACTGCACATCGAGCCGGACATCTTGCTGCTTGATGAGCCTACGAACCACCTAGATCTGCCCGCTATCATCTGGCTCCAAGACTACCTCGGCCAACTAGCGGATACTACCATCGTTACGGTGTCCCACGATCGCGCATTCTTGAACGCTGTCGCCGATGAGATCGTCGTCTTCAAGAGCCAGACGCTGACGTACCATACCGGCAACTTCGACGAGTACCTCGAGCATACCGAGGAGAAACGCAAGTACATGGAGCGGATGGCGGAGGCGATCGACAAGAAGAAGGCGGCGGCAGAGAAAACCGTACAGGCAACCATGTCCCAAGCGCGCAAGACTGGAGACGACAAGAAGATGGCGCAGGCGGCGTCGAGGCAGCGTAAGCTGGAGAGGATCGGGATGGAGGTGAACGACAAAGGGCACCGGTTTAAGCTGAACCGCGACCGCGCCGGTTACCACTTGAGCACCCGCGGGGACGTGGAGACGGAAGTGGTCGAGCAAGCCCCGACATGGAGTATCCCCAACCCAATTCCCTTGCGCCAGGCGGGTGCCATCATCGAGGTGGAGGACGTGTCGGTGGGCTATGACAAGAAGCAGCCTCCGCTTGTGAGCGGCGTCACGCTCAACGTCGGCCAGACGGCACGCATCGCAATCGTCGGCGCGAACGGGAGCGGGAAGACGACGCTCGTCAAAGCTTTGGTCGGGGGCCTTCCCCCGCTGAAAGGCAAAATCGCCCGACATCTCTCAGCGAAGATCGGCTACTTCACGCAGCACCACGTCGACGAGCTGCACCAGTACCCCGTCGAGACGTCCGCGCTATCGCTCCTGATGGACAAAGACCCAGAGAACCGCGAACAGGACTGCTTCGCTCACCTGGGCAAATACGGCATCAAAGGGTCGATCGCGCTACAGCCTCTGCGCTCTCTCAGCGGAGGCCAAATGGTCCGCGCTGCGTTCGCCTTCAGCACTTTCGGAGCTTCGCCGCATCTTCTTATCCTCGACGAGCCGACGAACCACCTCGATTACTTGACGACCGAGGCCCTGATCATGGCTCTCCAAGAATTCACCGGCGCGGTTCTGATCGTCTCTCACGACCAGTTCTTCGTCTCCGAGGTTGCTGAGCAGGTATATGCGGTGCGGAAGAAAAGGCTGGAGCTCCTTGAGGGCGGTATGGAGGAGTACGTGAAAGTTTGCCGGAAGGGTAAAAAGAGATGAGCGTAGCGAGATTGGAGTCACAGCAGGACATTCGGAGTCGTTACGGTTACGGAGCATGTCAAGACAGCGCGATAGACAGACTTGGAGGTAGAGGATGTTGCCAAGTAGCGTGCCACCGCGGTCCGGTACACGCCAGTTATTCCGGTTGACCTCGGTACAGACAGCACTTCCTCAGGCCTCAGGCATCGCATGGTTGACAAGCATAATCACGGATGAAAGTCGCGCTGCTCCAAGTGATACAGCATATCGGATATGACGTTTCTTGTAGCTGAGCGATTATTCGATACGTCCAAACGGCGAACATAGGCCTGGCAAAGGGGTCGGATAGTCCATTGCACGAAGTCATCGTGGTCATCGAGGAGGCGTAGCGGCGAGCGCTAACCGCCGACACTCATGGGCGCTTCTACTTCATTTCAGTCTCCGCCAAAGTCAGCAAACTCTATTGCCACTGCGCCTGCGAGAATCGAGAGCATCGAGGCCGCCAACGACAACGCCAACGCCAACGCTCAAGGGTAAGCCGGTCTCTCTCTCAAAGTGAGTACTCGTCGCCCTCGTATGTCTCTGGGGTCCTCTATGCATCACGTCGACGCCGAAACTATGCAAAACTGGCTGGCTACGACGCTGGATGGACCTCTCGCGCTTCGGATGACGGACGGTTCGCTCATTCTCGGTGCTCGTCTCTAGATGCCTTTCCAAGAATACCAGGTCGTTGGCCGCCACCTGCCCTCCGAGGCGGAGCCCACCCCCAAGATCTACCGCATGCGGATCTTTGCGCCGAACGAAGTCGTTGCCAAGTCGCGGTTCTGGTACTTCCTGAGGTGCGTCCCAACACACAATTTGCTGAGCCCCGAAGGATGCCTTCGTATGCTCCCCTATCACGCGAATACTGATATCCTGAGCAGGCAATTGAAGAAGGTTAAGAAAGCCAGTGGCGAGATCATTGGCGTCAACGTTGTGTGTATTATCCCTTGCAGCCGTTCAAGTGGCAGGCGGAGTAGGGACTGACCGCCGTCCTCGGGATGTGCATCTATAGATTCAAGAGAGGAAGCCTCTGAAGATCAAGAACTTCGGCATCTGGCTCCGCTACGACTCCCGCTCTGGTACCCACAACATGTACAAGGAGTTCCGTGAGCTCAGCCGCGCGGACGCCGTCAAGTCCCTCTACCAGGACATGGCCGCTCGCCACCGCGCTCGCTTCCGGTCTATCCACGTACGTCCAAAGTCATATTGGCGACTAAACTGCCTGATTTGATGTTGTACAGATTCTCCGTGTGGTTGAGATCGAGAAGAGCGACGACATCCGCCGCCCCTACATCAAACAGCTTTTGATCCCCAAGCTGAAGTTCCCTCTTCCCCACCGCGTCACCAAGGTCCGCTCGACCTTCGTCGCGCACCGCCCGTCGACGTTCTGAGCAGCACCTGTTTGATCACGGTCGCTCGGGGGTTGGTACTTTACGAGGTCAAAATTATCGTCACATTGCCATCTTCACACTGTTCCACATTACATGCATATGACGATATGAGATGTATGCTGCGCCATGTACGCATTGCTTTCGCTTGCTCTGCAATGAAGTTCCCCAGAGAGCTACGCCCAGCAACATGTTTGATGTTTGAACGGTGTGGCAGATATACTCTCAAAGACTCTCAAGTAATCCGACTCCCATATGTACAACGTCATGCACGATGTTGTCGGTGGAATGGGACCCCGGCCTCTCGCCATCGTAGTGGAGCATCGAAGACAATCCTCTACGTGAAAGCCGGTTCCGCCGACACCTCTGACACGCCAGGATTCGACATTCTCTGCAACGCTAGAATTCATCTGGTTCAAAACGTCCAGCGGCCAACGAGATAATCGTGCAACTCACATAGAGATGGTGAGGCAGGTAGTTGCCACACTCTTCACACCCACCGCCCCCTCTCCTGTATTGCCACCGCTCATGTGTGCATTCGTGATGTTCGCGCAACTGTTGCATGAGGGCCTGAACAAGTCCGCCCGGGTTCCGGTCCCATGGCTCGCGTCGAAATACCAGACCGGGATGGCCATCTGCCCTGGCCTGGGCGGCGTGAAACAGCCGCTCCTCATCCCACTGGGGGCAAGCGCATGTCTTCCAAGGCGCCTGGCAGAGGTAGCAGAACTGGGCCTTGCACCGGCACGTCATGTGGTAGCACCCCTGGTTGAGCTCGATCAACGTCCTGCACCCGGGGCAACGTGCCCAGCCAGACGTCTCCGCGAGCTCGAGAACCGCCGCATCTGCATCGGTCGCCACGCATGAGTGAGAAGTCGATGATTTGACTTCGTTCTTGCAGCCAGAGCAGGTCTTAGTACTGCAGCCGACAGCGGGACATTTCAGAGCCGGGGCCGCTCGAGAGGGCGTAGCCTCGAACTGAGCACCGAGGAAGCGGCTGCAGGCCGGCCTGGCGCAGTACACCCGCTTCGGAGTGCCGAATTCCGCCGCCTTCTCCCGGTACGTCTTCAGCGCGCTCGCCGCCATAAAAGGCTGAACCATGGTCAGGGGTATGTTTTGACGGCAGCAGCGAGGAGGAAACAGCGACTCGTCTCGTGTGGCGGCGGCGAAGAGCTCGAGGACGCAGGGCACGTCGTAGTGGTGTCCGCACGGCGCGAGTACTTCTGCGCCACGGATGCGCTCCAGGCAGCTCACACAATCATGATGTTGCTTTCTAGATATAGAGCTTAGCATTTATTGGAATATATGAGTAGAAGATAACGCACCGGCTCTTGAGTACGGGGGCCGTCGGGAAAGCCGTTGCCTCAGGTGGCCGTTCGCGTTCTTGAGCTGTTTCGGTTTCAGAAATCACCGGGGATTGCTCGGGCGTGGCGCCCCTGTATCGGACGATGCTGCCAGTGACGGGTTGTGATATGGAGTAGTTCCACACAAGACGGACAGCGTTTGCGATCGCGCTCAACGCGCCCATAAGCGTGAGCGATGTAAGACTGTTTGCTTGTAGCGTCAACCGAATGTACTTAGTCAATACAGCAATGACGCTCAAACCCACCCTGAACGAAGTTGGCGGTCGGCTTCCTCATCATCTGCCTGACGCTGATGAGACGATGGCGGCTGGGGAGGTAATTCATACGCCCCAGGCATCCGTGGAGAATGGTCACCGTCTGCCGAAGCCATGGCAGGAGCTTGTTCGTCAAATTCCATGACCAGAGGCCCCGGGATTGGACGCGGCAAGGGAGCTAGCGTTTCATTCGGTGTGATGATTCGCCAAGGATAGGGCTCGGGAAATGGCACCCTGAGGGGCCGGGACTCTTCAATACTCCGAGTCGACGCTGTCGATGCGAGTCCCAAGAAACTCACCTATGATTACCTTCGCTCCGAGCCAACCGCACCGCTATGGCCCTGTCGGTTTCAAACGCCTCGAGTTGACGGGCCTCTTCTGCCGCTAAACGCAACGCCAGGTCGGCGTCGGCGTCGTGTACCGTCCGCACTGAAGACGAGCCAGAGGATCCCGCGCGTGCCGCACGGAGCGACTCTATGGAGCGAGCGCTCATACGGGAAACAGCGCGATAGAGGTCGGATGTGTCGCTAATGCTGGTGCGGTTGCGAGACGTCATGGCGGACCAGCGAGGAAAATGGGCCCTGGGTGGTGGGCGGGGCGAGAGCTTTTACATGCCTCCATCCCAGAGACACGCACAAGCTGCACGGCTGGTCGGAAGCCAACGGCGAGTCGCGAGGTTTGAGAGAAGCCTTAGGTTTTGGGAAACTCAAACTTTGCTGTACGCAGGCAAAGTCCGGCGGGTCTCAGAGGGGGTCTGCGGTGATATGATTGGTGACCAGGATCTGGATATAACAATAACCATGAGTAGAATAGATACAACAAAATATGTCTGCGACCAGCTGCGCATACTCGTTTCCGTTAGGTTACAGCCGAAAATAAAGAACGACAGCAAGGATGACGGGACGGCCCACCGGAGGCCACGAGGAGATGATCGACAGCTATCCCTCCATCCATAAAGATGCCCTCCGCAACGAGCCTACACGGGCCTGCTGAGCGGCTTCGCCCATTCGGCCCATGAACGAGTCTCCACCGGTAGCGACGGAGGATGCTGGGCTGACTGGCGCAGTCACTTCTTCATAATATAGTGCGTGACCGTCCGAACTTCCCCGCGGAGACCCTGCAATCGACGGCGGTAGGGAAACTGATATTTCGTTGATAAAGTCAAATCGCGAGGGCTCCTCCTCAATCGCAGGAGGGAGCGCCTCCGGTCGCATCTGCCACGGGTGCACGCCGGCGGCGTGGTAAAGAGGATGTGCTTCCATGTCTCGCTCGTCCGCCGTCCAAGCCACGACGGTAGTCCGCATGGGCGGCTGCTCATCGTAGTTGTAGTCCGTGGGGACAATCTCGTAGTCATCGATGAACGGTTCCGGAAGCGGCCTGCGTCGGCGAGGCCTGACGGGCTCCGGAATCCCCACAGGGTTCTCCGGGAAGACCGGGTCCGGGATGGCGTACACCGGGTAGAGCGTGCGGCGCTGGCCGCAGACGCAGTCGCCGTACCGCTTCCCGCACGCGTAGCAGAACTCGGTCCCGCAGCGGCACGTCATGTGCGGGCAGCCGCCGTTGCGCTCGACGAGTTGTTCGCACCCCGGGCAGCGCACCCAGCCGTGCCGCGTGCCGAGCTGCAGTATCGCGCGGTGGCCCGCGTCGTATGCGCACACGTGGGTCTCCGCGGTGTCGTCGTGCCCGACGGCGGCCTTGCAGCGTGCGCAGGTGCGGGTGTGACACGCGCTGTCGCCACAGGTGAGAATGTGGACCGGGGTGTGCTTGTCTCGTTCGCCGAGGAAGCGGCTGCATCGCGGGTTGGCGCAGTAGAGAGGGCGGTGCGTGGCTCGTTCGACCTGGAGCCGGGTGAATGCCTGCAGCTGGTCGACATCTAGGAGGTAGCGGAAGAGCATGGGGGGGATGGGTTGGCGGCAGCAGCGTGGCGGGAATTGCGACGGGGTGCGCATGGCGACCTCGACCAGCGTGAGCAGGCACGCCGAGTGATAGATGTGCCCACAAGGAACTCTGGTGGCTTCGTCGCGCACGAGAATCTCCACCTGACAGGCCGTGCACTCTTCGGTGCCCGTCGGCGACCTGATAGAAGACCGTCAGCTCGCGATAGAAGCACTCATATGAACCGATTCTTACCTCTGGGGACTCCTCAGGGGAGGAGCAGTATATGTTGCGGGGACATCGGTATTCCACTCGGGAATGGCGCGCCTGTCTAGGGAAGGGGATGTTCTCCGGGTGGCACGGACTAGGGGAATATGGACGATGGTAGGCAAATATCGCCGGATACTCCGCACGCCTGCTGAAAGCCTGTGGACGGTCAGCTGTCGCTTAAGGTCAAAGGCGTGGTTGATCACCCACCCCTGCGTGAATCGAAGCCGGGCATACCGTAAGGCAGGCGGCACGCTCGAAAGTCCGTGGGGGCTATGGGGACGAAGCCACCTGAATGCGGACAGAGCGCGGTGGCCAGGTGGTGGTACTGGGTCGGCCTCAGGTAACGAGTCCCAGGATGTAATGCTGCCGCCTTCTAGAGCACGATACCGCTCTTCCACGACGGTGTATCTTTCCCAGCCCTCAGCATCGACGCCACCGTCTACGGCGGGCGCAACCTCGTAGTGGTTTCGGTGGTCCCGGGGAAAGTCGTCTACGTCCGCGTAAACCCAGTCGTCGTCCATGGTGCGGGGCCTTCAGAGCGGAATGCAACGCCACAGAAAGCAGAAGAAGTGGGAGGGGGAAGGTGGCGAGTAGCGTGGATCGGAGCCAGGATGCATATAAGTATAAGACGCGAGGGTGGACCCACAAGAAACCGCAGCAGACATGCCCGAGACTTGCGGTACCAGAGCAGCGTTCGGAGTTGAACCAAGGGGGGAATTTCAACAGCCATGAATGCATGACGCCACACGCTGGTCGTTGCACGGTGGCCGGAGGCGGAGCGATGCTGTTCGATCGACGCACCGCTCGCAAGGGCAGGACGCAGTTTTGGTGGACATAGGGATCTTGCAGTATTACCTCTGCCAATACGGACGTCTCGACGATTCTAGAGCACAAAAAGACGCGTGAATAAGGCCATCATGATTTCGCTGCAATAGGCAACACCTGTCCAGTGCAAGAACAAAGGGCATATATAAGCACCACGTATAAAGGGCAGGACACAACGCACTTTTTACATATAGTAGCAACAGACGTGATGGAAGCGTTGATACGGCATCATACCCGGCGATCCGACAAGCCTACATGGTAGCCGCACGACGGGTTCCTCGCTCACGAACCGCCCGAGCTCGCTCGCCGCGTGCGAGTATACTCGAGTCTGGCCGGAACGGAAGACAAGACCCGACGAAGTCTTGCGACGGCTCCTGTTCGACTGTGAAGATGGACATCCGTACGGAGTCCGCTCTGCCAAGCGGGTGGAGACCGCGCTCTTCGTGGACGATCTCCAGGCTCCCGTCGTGATGCATCGTAAGGGTCCGCCGTTCTTGCGATCGTCTCCTCGGGTAAGCAGCGCCATCGTGCGGCGGCATAGGCACCGTCTGAGCTCTCCTCGGCGGCACAGGCCTCGGCGGAGCCCACAGCTCCAGCCGCCCGCTCAAGTCCTCGTCTTCTTGCAGTGGCGCGAAGAGATCCCGTTCGCGCTGACGCCTATTACCCTCTCCAGCGCCCGCGCCCGCACGCCACTCCACACAGCTGCACGTCTGCCATTTCGACCCGCAGCCGTAGCAGAAGTGCGCGCCGCACGCGCACGTCATATGCGAACACCCGCCGTCGCGCTCGACGAGCTGCTCGCACTCCGGGCAGCGCACCCACCCGAGCGTGTTCCCAAGGCGTAGCGCAGCGCGGTGCGCGGGCTCGTGTCCGCACGCGTGCACGGGAGCGCCTGGGGCGGGATCGACGGCGATGCGACAGCGGGCGCAGGTGAGCGTGCCGCAGGCGGGGGCTGGGCACGTGTAGACGTGGACAGGCGTGCGTTTGTCGCGCGCGCCGAGGAAGCGGCTGCAGCGCGGGTTCGCGCAGTAGATGCGGCGCGGGGTGGACTGCTCCACTTGGCGCATGGTGTAATCCTCGCGCTGGGTGGGGGTGAGGAGGTGCTCGAAGGAGAGCGGGTCGACGGGCTTTCTGCAGCAGCGCGGCGGGAACTGGGTGGGCGAGCTCATGGAGACTTGAACAAGCTGGAGGAGGCACTCGGAGTGGTAGAGGTGGCCGCACGACACCTGAATTGCTTGTTCCTCAGAGACGTCGATGTCGGTCATACAGGCCACACATTCGTACGTTTCCCTGGCATGCAGATGAGTAAAAAGTGAGGCTCGTGACCAGAAGATATTGACTTACGCCATGAGGCCGCTGAGTTTGGGTAGCATTCTGCTACGGGCTTGTTTTGGCGCACTACCAGAGCTCGGAGTAGCGAACACTAGCAGACACCGCTTAACAGCGTTCATCCCGGCAGCAACCCTGTGCGAATCGCACTTCAGAGCCCACTCATGAAGAATTGACGAGAGGGCTAACCTTTGCTGAAGTACGATAGAGACATCCTTCCGAACCGAGGACGCACTTTGGCCCGAACCGTGTCGACGGAATCCGGGAAGGAATCCCAGAGGAGCCAGAAAACACGATTTGCCTGTCGAATGTGCATGGCCGGCACGCGGATACTTGAGAGGACTTTCGCCCGGCGGGGAAGGGCGCCCGTCAAGCGAAGAAAGCGTATCCCACTCGTCCAAGTTCACAACGCTCACTCCTGCTTCTGGAGACGAGTTGCGCTGGCGGTGTGTGGCCATTGGGTAGAGTGGTGGTAGTGCGAGCCGTGAGGAGTTATTGCGAGAGGATCCTGGTCGAAGCAGAGCTTGGGCGGGCTATATGAATGCAAACTTGCCAAGGCGGCCCTGGCACCAGTGACAGTCAGGGGATCCGCGTGAGGACAGAGTAAGCCAACCTTGGAAACACCCCCAGTGAAGAGCAAGAGAGAGAGGCGAACGAAAGAAGCGTTGGGCGTTATGAAGGAAGGCGGGGTAGGCACGACGGTGCTATGAGGCAACATTGTCGACGCAATCCGCTGCCACAGTAAGTTTGGGTTTAGGCGATGCCAAACCTGTACAATCGGTGCGGATGGCGCCAGAGATAATTTGTGGCTGAAGATGTGAGGCTGATCAAGTACCAAGGACATCATCTGAACAGCTGCAGTGAGTGTCGCGCGAGGACGCCGGACGAGATGCCAACAAAATGCGTACTGTTCGAGCGTCCGTCGCGCTGCGGATTGGTGTTTTCTTTGAGCCGTCGTGCGTCTATGATCTGCGATATTGACGGCGCCGCATATCTCTGTTGTCATGAGCTACGCCGAGGAGAAACGCGGTCAGTACGTACCCTACATGTAGCGACCGGCGAAAGTTCGGCCGCAGAAGAGCGACTCGAATGGAGCGGCGTTACGGGGGTCTTTGTGAATGTGAGTGGCCTGCTGCTGCTGGCCCGCGGTAAAGACAACCGCGGAACTGTCTGCTATTGGAGGTGATGAGCGTCATGAAAAGAAGGCGGACCATGCCGCAAGGTGACCACGGCCACGATGCACCGAAAGCCCAGGATGGAGCGAAATGCGCAAAGGGAGAACCCGACGCTCCTTAACTAGGGTCCGCCGCTGGAAGGCGTTGCCGACGCTTATAGTCACTGGACTGTATATGCACGCCAAGGATCCTTGTCGATCCCATTTCGCCCTGAACAGAGTGAATATGCGAACCGCGGTAATCGCGTACTTGCGTGTAGTATGTTTTGTCCTGTTTGAATCTGCTATATGCGCGCGCTCGCCGCCGCAGTTTCGCTTGGCCGTAAGCGCAGAGCTTTAGGTTCACCGTGCACGTCATGCTGCGGACCCGCCACTTCCTGGAACTGTCGTGTATTTGCACTGTTGAAACGGCATAGGGAGCGGAGCCGTTCTCGCAGTGAGCCCACACATGTGGAAAGGAGGCGACGGGCACCCACCATGGACATGAGGCCGTCGGCAGATGTTCGGCTCATAAGAGCCGTTAAAGCGAAGGTGAGTCCCCTGTCAAACCGTCCAGTGTTGCTCCTAACTGGTGTCCTCCGTTCTGTGCAGGGTGCAAGTCTCCAGAGATGCTTGCATCGGCAAGGACGTCGTGGTTCAGGTAGAAGATGCTTCGGGCCGCCCGGCCGCCCTGGGAAGATGAGGTGATACGCCGTCCGTGCCGTCGACCGAGCAAGCCAAGCAGCTGTCGCGCCGCTTGCCAGTGCCCGGAATTAGCACGCGTTGTCGAGCATCAGCCGGGTTCGCTGCTTCTTGTCCTCCTCCCCCGTCATCCTCTGCCACGCCTCAGGTCCCTTCCTCCGCCCGTCCCTCTCGCCAGTCATGAAGTTCTCCACCGCCGCTCTTTCAGCCACCCTCGCCGCCCTCGTCGGCAGCACTGCCGCTCAGCTCGAGATCATCTCGCCCGGCGGTCCCAACCTGTGGTGGGGTGAGTAGCCTCGTTCCCATTTTTTTCAATTCGCAGGAGAGCCAAACTGACCGTGTTCGCTGCAACGTCGACTAGTTGCCCAGTCGGACAACGTCGTCTCCTGGACCTGCAAGACCTCCCCATTCACGAACTTCACTGTTCTGTGCGTCTCGCCACTTTTCTTCCATGCATGCACCCACCTGAGACCTCTCTAGGATCGCCAACTCGGACCCGAAGGTCCTCACCGCGCCCCAGGCGTTCATTGCCCAGCAAAACAACTTCGACTGCTCCAAGCTCATCACCAAGGACCAGATCAACCAGGCGCCTGGCACTGGCTACACCATCCAGCTCGCCAACATCTTCAACGAGACGGACGTAAGTCTCCCATTCCTCATTCCCGCCCCGAAGTCCTTCCCCGCACCCTTCCCATATGCCCGGAGAATTTTGAACTAAAAAAGCGACTGTAGATCTTCGCTGAATCCGAGCCGTTCGAGATCAAGGCCATCGGCTCCTCCTACCCCGCCTCGTCCGCGACGCCCACCATCGGTGGCTCCGCAACCGCCTCCGGCTCTGGCTCTAGCGCGACGGGCACCAACTCTGCCGCTTCCGGCTCCGCCTCTGCCACGAGCGGCAGCAACGGTGCAGGCAGCATCGGCACCCCCAGCGGCCTCGCCGCTCTCGTCATCGCCGCACTCGGCCTGACGTTCGCCTAAACCTATCCGTAGGAGTGGGCAGACGGCCGCGTCGCGCGTCAGAGTGGACTTATGCTAGCAATGGATATTCGACATTGTTCTTTAGGGTACAAATGGCCGTGTTTCTTTTTCCTCTTGGCGTCGCTCTGTACTGGAGCGGACATACCTCTCATGCTACTGTATACCTCACAATCATTTATCGAAGACACTCCTTGACTCTCCAAAATTCTCGTGCCAGCACTCGGTCGTGTGAACACTCGGAGGTACGTGGCGCGGACTTCTTGTGTTCTAGGTGCTGTTTGCACATGGTCGGCGAGCTTCGGTGACTATATTGAGGGCGGCATGGTGATACGTGAAGCGCGTCGTACGAAGTCTCGACTCGAGAAGCATGAAACACTGGAGCAAAAAGACCACGATTTTGTCCCTAGCCGGATTCGAGCCGGCGTCTTCACGGAATTGTGTGACCACAACGTGATGATCTAACCACTAATCGATAGGGACTTGCTACATTGCCTTTGTACCCTGAACATATGATGTTCATCTCGTCATTCGAGAAGCAGCGGGTATCATCATCCAGGCTTGATCCAGACCGTCGAGGTCTTTAGAAGAATGTCCGGGGAATCGAGGATACAATATACATGGTACAGATGGGTAGGCTGCTCTACACTAGTTCTAGTATGTCGGTCGTACAATTCAGGTCATTTTTGTATAGCGCGGACCGCCCCGGCGGGATCCAGGCTGGACTCGTAAGTTCAGCGTGTTGCAAGGTATCACTGTGCGTCGTTCAAGCTCCTGCCAAACCTTCGTCGGGATGTATCCGCAGCGCGCCATCCTCGCCGTCATGCATCCCCAGCTCGCGCAGCTCGTACATCTCGCCGATATACCCATACCCAGGGTGTGACTCCGCGCCGCGCACGTACGCCGAGTCGCGGCCCAGGCGCGAGCGCTCCGCGGGGAAGTCGCACTGCGTCTGCGTGTACGTCGCACCGCCGCCGCCCATGGGCATGGAGGAGATGCGCGAGGTGAAGAGCATGGAGGTCGAGTTGTCGGACGTCGTCGGGTACGCGGACGAGGAGGCGACGACGTCGCGGCCCGCCGCGGAGCCCTGCAGGTTGAGCATGAGGCGCGACATCATCGTGACGGAGACGCTGCTGGCGAACGTCGAGAGGCAGCCGCGGAGGAGCGGCTGTAGGGGAGAGGGAGAGAGGGTGGGGGTTAGACGGGCACGTGTCCGGGCTGGCCGGGGCGGTGGGAGCACGCACCTCGAGGAACTGGTCGGGTGGGCAGGGGGTCAGCGGGCGGCGGCGGGGAGAAGGAGGAGCTTGCAGGACGGCTTACGTAGAATGTGAGCGTGTTCGCAAAGTTCACGGAGGCCATAACTCTGTGTGCGGGGAGACGAGGAGAAGTCAGCGCGTGGGAGGCGGACGCAGGTGCAGGCTGCGGACATACGCGAAATACATGGATCCTGCCAGTTTGCCTGCGGTCAGCAGCGTGCATGTGGCGGACAGCGTGGACGCGCGGCGTACCGTCTCGGAGGATCAGCGAGATGATGTCGTGCCGCCCGGAGGTGACGCGGGTCCGGTAGCGTTCGCTCAGAGTCTTGCCCAGGGTTAGAGAGAAGACCATCAAGTCGAACACGAAGAGCGCCTCCCAGGACACAGCCAGCCCTGTCATGCTCGCGCAGTGAGCACTAGTGGGCTGCTAAATGTCGATCATGTCGGTACTCACTGATGGCGCTATATACCGAGGCATTTTGCGTCCAAATGTCAGAGGGCGGCGGGCGCAGTTGTATTCAATCACGTACGTCATACGGTCCGCCAAGAGATGGCAGCCACCACGCAGCTCAACGTCTTCGTGCTGGCCTACTACGGACCACTATGTTTCGGCGTAAGTACAACGTGGCTGGGAATCTTCAACCACCACGTACGCAGGATATTCCGAGCAGAGCCGCGCCGACGCCGAAGACCAACACCATGACGCGTTTGTCTCGGCCATAAAGTGCATACGTCCTCAAAAAGAGAACGACTGGTGTGGAGACAGAAGTCAGCAATCTGCACGCTATAATGATAGGTGAACACACGTACAACACACCACCACTTGATTTACGATCAAGAGCAGTTGACGGAAGAAGGCGTATTGACGACAACTGAATGGGATCGGCAGGTCTCAATAGGATAGGTGATCGCAACATGTTAAGTCAACATACGCCTGGCGCGGAACGTGCACGTCAATAGAGCGACTGAGTTGAGATATTGAGGACATACATGCTCGTTAGGAAATATGTAGAAGTTGCCTGTGTTCACTGCGATATCCTACCGGCAGAGCAGGTTCAGCCTCGAGCGTCTATTGGAGGTCCACAGAACATTTGTTGCACGTACACCGAGGATTGGTATGTATCGATTGAGGAAGAATAGCAAAGATGCTATCGCTCGTGGGTTCTTCCATACCCTGGCGTATTCTTCGCCGAATGTGAGGATGAAGTCATAATACAAGACGACTGCGTGCGGTCAGCCACTAGCAGGGTGTCCCGTTCGACCACGGGAGGACACACCGATGCCCGCAAGATGAAGGTAATTGTGAATATGTCTTCGGATGCCCCGCACGAGGTCAACATCTTACCCTAGGCAGCTGAGGGTAAGTGGGGTACTCACACTGACTCCGGCACAACGTTTCCCTCTGCGCTCATCCTGCGCACGTGCGGACGTCAGAAGCAACGTGAGTTACACGGATGCAGGCGGGCAGCAGCACAGACAGGTGGGGAACATGGGGCAGCGGTGCGCCAGGCAAGGCGAGGGAGGGAAGGAGCGTGTCCCCCCGCGGCCGGGGTCTTATGGAGAGGATGATGCATGATGGCCAGCCCCGCGAGGATGAAGGCGAAGCCTCCGGGCGCGTTCTTGGACCACGCACGCCATATGGGATGCCGACTCCCCGCGCTGCCACGAGCCTCCGCTGATCCCATCAGATCTCCTGCGCCGCCCCATCTCGCGCGTTTCCCGGGGCGCACGCAGGTCGGCCGCGGCCGCGGCTAAATCTACCTTCGCTGCGTCCACGGCCTGTCAGGTAGCGTCTGCGCTAGCTGCAACGGTGCGTTTGCATATGGGGTGCAGCGGCAGGCATGCACTCTGCAGGCCTCCGCGGACATGCGTCATGCACGCTAATACCTCCCTTCCAACATGCTAACGGACCTACGAATAGGATCGCCACTCGGCTCCACCGGTAGCCCGTCTGTGCCTTGCCTTGGGTCCGCGGCCGGCGCACCGCATACAACATCAATCTATGAGATTGATCTTTGCATCGACATCTTCGATGAGTCTGTTTAATGTAATGCGCAGGCAAGAAACCGGGTGCGCATCAACAGCTGAGGATCTTTGCACTTGTCGTGAGGGCGATCTTCAAGACTCGTAACTCCGCACGGATGTTGTAGATGATCCGGATCTCGTGAAAGCACACAAACTGTCAGTGTGATCTTGTGTCTTCAAGTCGCCGTACCGCAGGATGGCAGGATTGATACTGTCGAGCTTGTCCGATGATTTCCGTGGTCGCGAGGGTGTGCCACCAGTCGGGGCTGACAGGTAGCGTCATATCACATCACCCTTCATGTCTGACGACCAAATGGTGTATTGCATGAAGACTGGGATTCAAACAGTACCCGCATCTTCCACCGTATGCAACGTGGATATCAGCTACCTCGAGAGGATGACTAGAGACGATACTCACCGGATATCGCACGCCTAACACACGATGCATAAAAATTGTTCTTCGTATGTTTGTTAGACAGTGTGCAGCCGCCGTGGCATGTACTCGGTATTTGTTGCGGCATCGTGAGGACATACCCGGTACGTCCGAGCCTCGAGGGGAGAAATATCCAATGACGGAGCCCGCGTTCCTAGAAAAGTGTGACTATAACAAGGATCTCCCTTCGTAGCAAGGCACGAGGCCACGGTCCCCATTTATACTGGCCTATTGGCTCAAACGTTGGGCCGTACACGGATTTCACTTACCACCCGAATATGCCCTGCGTCTCAAACACAGGAACAGACCGGTCTGCTGCGGCTGAATCGTAAGCTGGATTACAATTCGTCGAGAAGAGCGTCGGTGAATGAACCGCACAACGGGCGACCTTCCACGTGTGGATTGGCCCTTACCAAATGTCATGAGCCTGGACGCTTAATATTATCAGGGAGGTTGCGCGGTGGTAGAGTTGCGGCTGAGTTGTCAGCTCGATGACGCTGCGCCAGGATGATCATTGGTGACGCACCTTGAGTAAACGGCACAACGAGCAGCCTTCACGTGTGGGGTAGCATCAAGCAAAATAAACGCTGCACGAGTCTGGACGTACAGGATCAATCAGGGATGCGAAAGTAGTGATTCAAATATCGCACCGGTGGAACCAAGAGCGAGTGCTTCGCGCGAAGCCGCAGGCAGTATTGACATACCGTCGGCGCGTCGACGGGGTCCAGGCCGCCGCGACCAGCCCATTACCACGGGCTGTCAAACCTTCTGGGGACAAAGACGGACAAAGGTGTCGATGAGGCGTCGTTGATCCGCCGGAGGAAAGGTGTATGCCGGCGGTGTAACTCGCGAAGCAGCGTGAAGGGGAAGTTTAAGGGCTGCATAGACAAGGTGCCGGCAGCAAAGTTGACTTCCCCGGGAGGAAGCACGACACGAGCCTAGAGAGCCAAGAGACTGCGCGCCGAGCTTAGACGATTGTCGATAGGTGCTTCCCCAGACTGAAGCCTATCGGGTCCCGAGGGTGATGAGGGAGCGCGAGTACCACAAGTGCTTGATAGCCCGGGCGTGAGTTTGATCTAGTCCCGGTAACCGCCACCGACACGTCTGCAAAGGCGACCAGAGGGGGTCACAGGATGATAGGTTCTGCGGTCGATGCTTGCGGCACTGCATGCGCGGCACGCTCAAGCAATATTGAATTTGGAGAAGAAGCACTGAAGTTTGATTCTTCGATTGCGGGGTTGGCACTAGCTCCCGACGACCGCGGATATTCTCCCCAAATTTGCGGGGGTGGCCGGGGAGAACAAACTGGAGTTGCACGCACCATGTTAGGCTTATGCGGACGTACTCCCAGCTGGCTGATGAAATGCGGGGGGGGATGAGTGTACATCCGGGGAGGGGTTTGTTGGACACCTGTCGCAAGGGGCTGTCCTCACAGCAAGAAGAGCTATCATGCGAAATGGAAGCGTATGCAACCACATGCGGTGAGCGATGCTCAGCACTCGTGCCTTGCGGTGTGTGGGCAGCCGCAGACCGGCGGCCACAGAGAGCAGATGGAACTAGCGAAGCAGGCCCGCTGTGCATTGTCTCCGAGAGAACGAACTCTGCATGCCGACCGACGGTTCTGGATTCGCATTCAAGCCGAGGTATGCCATCTGCACGCTGACCGTGATCCGCGAGTACGCTGAGAGGAGTATCGCTGGAAGTGTGTGCGCATCGCCAGGGCGCGAGCGCTGGATTGGGCGGAGAAGTGATGCACGTTCCGGGGCCTCGCCATGTCTGTACTCATGGACTGGAAGCGCAATTCTAGCGCTGCACAGGATCTATCAGCGCGGCTCCAATCAGAGAGGGACGTCCCACCCGGATCATGGTAGCGGCCCTCGCCCGGGGGTGAGCACGATTGCGTTCTCGAAATGGCTGAGAATGCGGCGGAACGGGCGGGCGGTGGCAGAGGTGGCGTGCGTGCGGTCTGGGGACGAGACCGTTGCATTAGCCGCGCCGCCAATGCAAAGAACACCGGCTATCCGAAGCCCTAGCGTCGAAGGCACAGCGAGATGACGACGCCGGCTGTGCAGGAGCATTCGATGGACAACCCGGCTCGCCGCCTCGGAGGACAGCAGGGCGGCGTGACGCGAGGAACAGCATGCATTGGGCGGGTCACCGATGGTGACCGATTGTCACGGCGCTGAGATTATCACATCGGGATGATTTTGGTGCTGATGACCTGTGATCGGCAACTTCCTGCGCCACCCATAAAGAGAGCTGCCCGTCGTTGGCTCGACCTCCATCCCATCCTCTCTTTCCTTCCTTTCTCCACCTTCGTCGCCATGTCCAACCCCTACGTAAGTCCTTTTCCGTGTCCCCGCCCCCAAATGCTCGCTTTTTCCCCGTTCTCGAACGCGTCGTTGACCTTGATTGCTCTCCCGCAACACACAGTTCGATATCACGATCAACGACCAGCCCGCGGGTCGTATCGTCTTCAAGCTCTACGACGACGTCGTCCCCAAGACGGCCCGTAACTTCCGTGAGCTTGCCACCGGCCAGAACGGGTTCGGATACCAGGGATCTGGTTTCCACCGTATCATTCCCAACTTCATGCTCCAGGGTGGTGACTTCACCCGGGTACGTCGCGATTATGTAGTTCCGCACATGGGCGACGTCTGACGATTTTTGCAGGGCAACGGCACTGGCGGAAAGTCCATCTACGGCGAGAAGTTCGAGGGTACGTCGCTATATGCGCGCCTGCGCCGATTGCGATGACCTCATCTGATCTGGGGCACAGATGAGAACTTCCAGTTGAAGCACACGAAGCCTGGTATCCTTTCCATGGCCAACGCCGGCAAGAACACCAACGGCTCCCAGTTCTTCATCACCACCGTTGTCACTTCGTGGCTCGATGGTGCCCACGTCGTGTTCGGTACGTCATCGATTGGTAGCGCTGTTGGGTTTATGCTGACGACCCCGCAGGTGAGGTCACTGAGGGCTTGGACCTTGTCAAGAAGATCGAGTCGCTCGGCTCGGCGTCTGGTACCCCCAAGGCCAAGATCGTCATCTCGCAATCTGGCGTCGTTTAAACAGCCCCTTCTCAGGAAGTGCGGCACGGATGACCCGGTTTGTTCCTCGGCGTAGGGTGTAGAAGTAAAGAAGCAGAAGAAAACCATCTTGTATTTTCACCAGACGCAATGCACGTGTGTCTCCGTCCCTGTAGCACCCCATCGATGGTCTGTGGCGGCGAGCTAAGGGCACCGATTGTGGCTCGGGCGGTGCGTTTCAGCGGTCCGCATGCCATCCTCTCAGTGCAGGCTGTATGCAACTGCCGGTTGCATGACCCCTACGTCAGTGCTCTTCCATGCGACCGGCGTCCTACCCCGCCCTCATCTGACCCTCGTCCTGTCATGCAACCATCGCGGGAGATCACTCAAGAGCTTCTATCCTACAGTCGTGGATACGTACGATTGTGCCGCAGGACTGCGTGCGATCATCTGGCTAGCCCGTTTGTCCGCTGGAACCTGCAGAACGAACGGACGTGTCGTGCAACGCCCACGCGCGCGCACGGCCGCTGCCGGACCGTGTCCGACGCCATCGTTGCGTGAGATTGCACCTGCCTTCGCCTCAGCGGCTACGTTCACAAGCTGCGATCCAAAAGGCCTGGGACCGACTAGGATGGCTACTTCCATATGCACCGCGGGCGCGCCGTGCCGTAATGCGCAGATAAGCAGGTCCACCTCTTCCGTCCGGCCTCCATCTATCTGCGCAAGCACCACTCGTCCGCTGACCAGCGCTCAGGACACACCGGTAGGAGCAACCGGACATGAGTGCAGTGGCGGGGTCCTCGGGCTTGCCTGCGTCGGAGCAGGAGCCTCTGCTTAGGCACAGGGTAGATAACGATGCTGGATCGGACGCGTCTAAGGACTATGCTTCTGTGGATGTGCGTGCTGTGCCGCTGTTGAACCAGGAAGATGCAGATCTTAGTTGTGAGTATTCGTCTGCCTACTTGGCAGGATTCGTTACTAACCAAAGGTGTTCATGAATAGTGGAAGACGTTCCGGACCACAAGCGGCAGCTAGGTTCGACCTCCACGCTTGTGGCACGCACTAGTATACAGGATACTCACGCTGAGTTCTCGCATAGGGCTTCTGAGCACCGCGTCTCTCATCTTCAATCGCGTCATAGGCACTGGGTATGCTTCCCCGTCCTTTCGGGCTGCAAGACGCTACATCTGACTATTGTTGTAACTTCCCTTAGTATTTTTGCTACGCCGAGCGTGATTCTGCGCTCTTCGGGCAGCGTCGGGCTATCGCTCGTTATGTGGTTGCTGGGTGCGACCGTGGCCCTGTGTGGCACGGCCGTGTACATTGAACTTGGAACTGTGAGGATACCCACTCTGTCTTAGGACCTGTGTTGATTGTCTTCTGTAGGGGCTTCCGCGGAATGGCGGAGAGAAGAATTACTTGGAGTTCATATACCAGCATCCGAAGTTGCTGGTCACCTGCATATATGCCATGTACGCGGTGCTTACCGTAGGTCCCTAAACCCCCAAACCCCTGCTTTAGTCTGACATATCGCCTCCCTTGCGATAGGGATGGCAAGCAGCATCGTGTTCGGTTTTTGGCGAATGTACGATTGGTTGTAAAATTGGCTCAGCATACCACACTAATGCTGCTCTATAGATGCCTTGCACGCTCTGAATCCATCTCAACCACCGTCACCTACCACGGCTCGCCTTGCAGGCGTCCTCTGCATCACTGCGGCGCTTCTGCTGCACGGCACGATGCTGAAGACCGGGCTCCACATCCAGAATGCGCTGGGGCTGTTCAAGCTTTTCGTCCTCGTTGGAATTGCACTCAGCGGCCTCGCGTCTTTGCTTCAAGTGCCGGGCTTCAGGTTGGAAAACGTAAGCACTTTCATCGACACACCCTCCATAGACTCTGGCAGGGAACTCAATTACGCGCGTTCAGCCTCCGCTGAACTTCGAATGGGACACAATGTGGGAGGGTACGCTAGTGGGCGGTGTGAATGCGTTCGTAACGGGGCTCTTCAACGTAATCTGGTATGTGCTCTTCGTCCTCAGACGTATGGGGTTATATGTTAAGGAACCGACGCAGGTGCTTCATCGGATATTCGAACGCGAACTACGCGCTCGCCGAAGTGCGCGACCCAATCCGCACCATAAAGCGCGCAGCGCCGCTCGCCATGCTATCCGTCACGTTCGTGTACATGCTGGTCAACATCGCATACCTAGCAGTCGTGGACAAGGAAGAGATCGTCGGCAGTGGGAGGATTGTCGCTGCGCTGCACTTCGGGAAACTATGGGGTGTCGGTGCTGAACGGGTACGAATGCACCCTCCAAGTCACATCTGGACTCACTGAGCTGACGGTGAGAACAGGCGGTCAGCGTCATTGTCGCGTTCTCGACAGTGGGGAACATCCTCGCAGTGTTGTTCACCCATGGGCGAGGTTCGTGTCTCCGCGATCCAGTGCCACGTAGAGCTATTGGATTGACCATCAATCAGTCGTGCAAGAGTTGGGAAGAGAAGGGGTATTACCCTTCTCCTCCATCTTCGCAAGCAACAAGCCGTTCGGCGCCCCCTTCGCGGGGTTGTTCGAGCAGTGGCTCGTGACATCAAGCTTAGTGCTACTGGTCCCTCCCGGAGATGCGTACCTCTTCATGCTCAACCGTAAGCCTCACTATGCCTACTCAGTGTTTGTGGCGACTGATACGATGTCGATTCCAGTGTCCTCGTACCCTCTCGCACTCATCAACACGTTCGTATCTGGGGGCCTCGTCTTCATCCACCTACCAGATGCGGCACTGCCCAAGCGGTTCCGCGCGCTGCGCGCGTCATATGAGTGGCGGCCGCCCTTCCGAGCGTGGGCGCCCGTCGTCCTGTTCTTCTTCCTCTCCAATGTGTTTCTTGTCGCTGTGCCGCTCGTGCCGCCCGCACGAGGGTACCGCGTATACGAGCATCTGCCCTATTGGGTGCGTTTACCTCAACCTTCGTGTGACAAGTTACTGACGTGCGGATGGTAGCTCCATGTTCTCGTGGCGTGGCTGATCTCGTTTGGCGGGATCGCGTACTGGTATGTGTGGTGTGTATGGCTGCCGCGGCGGGGCGGTTACGTGCTGGTGCGCGACTGGGTGAGAGATGATGATGGTACGCCTAGACGGGTAGTCAGGAAAGTGAAGACGACGTAGAGGCTGCGCATGAACAAGCTGTTCAACTTTTTACACTATGCCGGCGCTATCAATGTCTCTCGTCCCTTCGCTGCGAGCGTCTCACGCGTGACTGCCGCAACATTCTAGATGTGTGTAGTAGCATCTACAAGCCGATCGAATGCCGTGGAACTCGGTCGGGTGTAAGTTAACCAGGGAGCACCTCCAGCCGCGCCTGCCTTGTATGGAGCAGCTATCCACTATGACGTCGCACGTGCACCTACACTCACGCACTCCATGATGCAAGGTGTTCCACCGTTCACCACCACAGCGCCGCCTCGAACTTTACGAGCGAATATAAAAGACAGGAAGAGGGTAGAGATGCCTCACAATCGCATTTTACCATCTGCTCGCATCTCTTCATCCACACCACCTAATCACCATCTTCTTCACGACCCCGAAACCCTACCAAAACATCATCATGTCTGGCTCTGACTCTCCCATTACTGCAGGCCGCCACAACGACTTCGTCGGCGGCGATGCCAGCAAAGGCAGAATCCCCGGTGCCGACAAGGCTACCACCGGTCACCACTTTGTTGCGGTGGACCCCATGGGAGGTGAGTTAGACACGGACCCAACTGGAGATGTTCATTGTCCTGACGATAGTTTTCCAGGCCAACGGCAACCGCAGAGGGCGCAAGAGCACCTGCCTCGCCCCACCGGTCGTGACGCACCTCCCGCAGGAGGCGTCGCACCCGGAACCCGTACTGGCGGTCCTGTACGGAGTACGTCACCGACCCCCCTCATCCCAAACCACGCGCACTAACCCAACCTCGTCAGACCTCGAATCCGACATCCTAAATGCACACACCTCGAGCGGCCGACGCTCGCCCTCCCCGCCGCGCCGCATCCACGGCTTCGACCAGCCCCTCGCGCCCGCGCCCGACTCGCGCACGGTCGTCGACCGCGATCCGTGGGCGGCCCCGACCACTGCCGGGGACACGCTCACGGGCGCGACGTCGCAGGACGTGCACGGGGGCCTGGGCCACCCTGGGGCGGGCATGAGCAGCGCGGAGATGCACCATGATGGGAGCGCGCACCGGAAGCGGCAGATGCGCGGGACGGAGCAGTTTGGGGCGGGGGAGATCCCGAGGGAGGAGCTCTGAGGAGCATGCGGGAGATGGGATGTTAGACGTGAAGTTTCTGTAAATCAATTGTATCAGTAGTGCATAGCAGAACACATCAGACTGTTTGAACGTACCTGCATGCACGACCGGTGGGCGCGAGATTGTTAGTCAATTACATCTGTGCTCCGAAAAATACGGAGTCCGAAGGCTCGCATCGACGCTTCTCACATAGACGTCCCGTCATTAGTCAACAGCGCGACGATAGCCTTCCGGTCTTCTTGAAAGTGTCGAAGAAGAGCAAGTGTTGCTTCCGAGGAGAGACAGGCGCGAGGGCGATGAAGCACTTCAAATTGGATTCGTGATATTGATACAAATAGGTGATAATGATACACAGCAAGGATAATGATAACGAAGGAGGGATTTGATCCGGGTCCAGAGGGGGCGCTGCCCCAGAGAGTAGCGTCGGAGGGATGTAACCATAGTCAGGGGAGGAGCGGGATTTCATGGGTCCGAGGAAGAGGGATGCCGATTGTTAGGTGAGGCAGGTTTAGTGGGCCCAGAGGGGAGGGGGGACAATGGATGGCGGGACGCTCGCATTGTGTTTGCATGAGTGGTCGAGGGCGCGCATGTGCGCGAGTCGGTCATGTACGCATGACGAGGACGGCGGTGAGCGCGATGGCGGCGCCGATGAGGGTCGAGACGAGGAGCGCAATGAGACACCGTTTAGCCCACTTCACCTCCGCACGCCGCATAGACTCGATGATCTCCTGGCGCTCGTACTCCGGCTTTGTCGTCTCCCAGTCCGACGGCGCCTGGAGCGGCGAGAGCAAGATGAAGGCTCCTGCTACCCAGAAGAGGGGGAAGACTGCGAGGACGATGGTCAGAACGAAGTTTACTTTACTGGCGAAAGGAGTGACTTACGAAAGCCGTACTTGAAGAGGTACATGGCGAGAGTCGGCTGGTCTGACACCGTCGTGTAGGCGGGAGGCTCGATGGAGCACTCGTATGGAGGTGGTGCGACAGCCTCGACCTCGATGGGGGTCGCAGCGTGTGCGTCGTCGTGACGGCTGTCGCGCGTACCGGTCAAGCTCAGAGTGCGACGCGAGCTCGAAGGGCGCGAAGCTCCGAAGAAGTCGTCGATGGGGTCGGATGTCGTTTCGTCGACAGACGCACTGGTGCGTGCTGAGTGTGTGTGTGCCGGTGTTGGCTGGGGTAACTGAGCCTCGAGGTCGAGTTCAGGTGTGGCCGGGCGGGTGAAGAGACCGAAGACGGTCGGGCGGGAGGTGGATGCAGTGGAGACAGACATAGTCGACTGGGTAGGACTTGCTAGGTGATGTGAGGGCTGGGCGATAGCTGGAGAGCAGATGATGAAGGCATAGCTGCGAGCACCCTGGCTTTAAGTCCCTCTCCGGGACGCAATTGAGAGACTCAGAGCAATCGAGCGACGCTTGGATCGCAATTGAGCAACGCACAGGCGCCGATACCTCGCCAAGGCGCGAGAGCCGGACCACTTGCCTTCTGGGGCATATTTGGGCCAAATAATTGCAAGCAATATCTCGCTTCGCCCTGCAACTTCGCTTCGCTCATAATTGCCATAACGGGAGGCGATTGCGGCAGTCTCGCTTGTACGCTAAGCGGCTCTGGGGTCGAGAAAACGAGGCTACTGAACATCATGTCGGCAGCCCGGGAGCCGTCCTGCATATGCAACAAGACCAAAAAGTACACCAGATGGTAGCCCACCGCGAGGGTCGAACTCGCAGCCTTGTGATATCGTAGGGGCTTTTGACCGCCTTAAAAGTCACACGCTCTATCCGATTGAGCTAGGCGGGCGATGGGGTGTAACCCTTGACAGACATCCACAAAGTTACCCTTGACCCTGACGCTCACCGAGTGTTCCAATCGACCCGAAGGTGGGCGCTCTCGACAATGCAACAGCAGCGATGAGCAGATTCGCTTCAAGGGCGGAACCGATAGACAAAGGCATGGAAGCACACAATGAAGATCCGAATGTTCGAACCTTGGCTGGAAGGAGCCCTATGGCGACGCAGAACGGACACAGCAACATCTATGTTCGAAGTCCACGATCGGGCACACTTTCACATCGTGTGGCGCAACCGAGCACACAGCGACATCGGGAATCGGGATAAGTGCACTGATAATTACACATGGTTGCTCTGACCCCGCGGAGCAACGATGCATGCATCAACCCCGCTCGAGCTCGAGGCAACCGGTGGCAGCTTGGTGGGAAAGGCGACGGGCGCTCAAGTGCCGCGCACTCGGAGAGATGCCAAATTGGGACACGAAGGAAGGAGGTTTGATTTGTCGCCGGACGTGAAGAGGACTCCGATCTCCCGTCATACTCGTGTCGGAAGCGTCGTTGGAAGGCCGAGCTGCTTTCTCGCCTTGCGCTCTGTCACATTTCACGCGTCAAGGCGCATGTGGTGGCCCGGCGGAACGGTGTACGGCGAAGGAATGGGCCGGATAAGGTGCGTGGATGCACTGCCAGCGGTGGGGGATCCTCCGCTCGCCCGCCCGCAGGCGTCTGCTCCTTCCTGAAGCGGTGCAATATGCTATTCTTCTTCCCGATCCGGACGGGCGAGTGGCATGGACGCAGCTGCTGCTGTCGAAGAGAAGGCGGCGTGATGGACGGCCTGTCCTCCGCTCCCAGGTATATATACCGTCCTTTCCCCGCCCCCCGCCCTCTTCCCCCGTCTGCACCCACATCTTCCGACCGCACCAACCCTAATCGAACAAGTACAAGCTTACCGAATACCCCCGTAAATATTGCCCTCCCCACGCCCCACAGCCGACATACTGTATCCAAATACAGCTACCCTCTGCATCCTACTTGCCCTCACTCGTCGTCCCAGTCTTTATATCTCGCTACGCTTCCTCCGCAATTCTCTGGTCTTCCCCGTCTGCATACGCAATGTCTAGCTCTCCCGCTCTCGCACAGCTCTCCCCCGACCCTTCTCCCTCGTTTTCTTCAGCTTTACTCAGCTCTCCCCCTCGCCCGACGCCGTCTACGCCTACGTTCGCATCTGCCTCCATTCCCCATGTCCCTCCTACCCCTCCCGATTCCACTGCCCGCTCGGCGCCCAACACCGCATCATCTCCGTCCCTCAGCTCAAGCTCGACCGCTCAGTCTGTTGTCTCTCGTTCTTCCCCGCTCTCTGCCGCCGCTCCTCAATTTCAATCGCGTTTGCTGGACACCCCCATCGACATTCATGAACTAGCTCCAGAACTCGGTAGTCCTTCGCCATCCGTAGATTCCGCGCCCTCTGTTTCTGATCGCGATAACGGCGCGTTGTACAAGACGCACGAACAGGGAAGTCCCAGTGAGTCGATGTCCTTGTTAGCTACCTTCTCCTTTCGCTCGAATCTGAACTGTTCGCGTAGAGCCGACTCAGGAAGGAGCTCCACGTAAAGGCTTGGTCGATGCCCTCCCTCCGCCGTTTGTTCCTGCTGCCGCCCGTGTGCAGTACGACCCAGAGCAAGACGACCCGAAAGGAGCGCCCCCGGCGTCTCCGGGCTCGGGTCCACACCCGCCAAACGTGTACATCAACGGTCTCCCGCCCAACTTCCCCGAAGAGGATCTGCTCGCGATGACAAGCCCGTTCGGTAGCGTCTTGAGCGTTCGCACCTTCACGCGACACGTGAGCGATAAACCTTCGTGAGTCTTCCTACCGACTTCGTCTTTCGCGTGTGTCTCGGATACTCTTCTATCCGCGTTCTCGGTGGTCGCGGTAATTGGCCGTACTCTGTTTGTCATTCAATTCTCAGTCAATTATGTGTTCCGTACCGTGTTGAGGGCTTCTGCCTCTCGGTCGCTCCTGCGCAATCACGGGTTGCTGACGCTTCTCTTCTCATCTTGCAGGGGGTACGGGTTTGTACTGTGAGTGCCTTACAACGTCCTCCTTGTTGAAGGAAACAACTCATTGTTATGCTAATATTTCAGGTTTGAGAGCCTCGATGCGGCAGAGAAGTGTATCGAGTCTCTTCGGAAGTATCGCAATTTGCACCCGTCCTTCTCCAAGGTAAGTTACATCCCCCTACGCATCGCGCCAACATACTAACAATCCTATAGCAAGTGCACAAGATTCCTGGTACTACATACGCCTCCGCACCTTCGGCTTGCACCACTGGCCCTCCCGACTCTTTCAAGGTCAAGATGGAACAGCTCCGCGACACGGGATCTACCAACCTCTACATGGAGGGTCTTCCTCTGAGCATCACTGAAGAGACCCTGCGCGCATTGGTCAATCCGTATCGCATCATGAGCTCGCGTTTCTTCCACACGCGCTTGAGTAGCCCTCCAAGGATCATTGCATTTGTTCGGTAAAGTCCAACCACACCTCGGCTTCAAATCCTCAGTTAACCTCGTTGTTCCTGTAGGCTGGAGAGTCGAGATGCTGCGGAAGATATCATCGAGCGACTTCACGGCCGGCTGGTGCGAGGATGGAACGATGCTGGCTGTAGGATCTCTGTCAGGTTCGCCGATACAGCGGACCAACGTGAACTTAGAGTACGTGCATACGCAGATACGAGGGGCTCATCAAAACTGACGCTGGTTTCCTCAGCGCACTGAACGTCACGGCCGGGAAGACGAACAGTCTCCGGCTCGCTTGACTATGGCGCGTGCGGCTTTGCTAAACCTGAAGGGCACCCAATGTCAACCCGATGATCTGTCCCCTACTCTCGGGAACATGGACGTGGTGGATCTCCAGACTAGCCCCAACCTCGGTCTCGCCTTGAACAACCTTGGGCTGGGTCACCTTGGGGGATCGCTTTCCCCTTCAGCGGGTCTTTCACCGCTTCAGACTCAGGGACCGTTCGTGGGCGGTGTGGGTCGGCAACGCTTCAGCTCGTTCTCATCCAGCACCTCGGACCTCGACGCCTTCAATACCCCAGCTTCTCACGTTCCGACCCACGACCTACGCATCCCTCAGCAAGCCCTTCCGGGCAACGCAAGCGGTCTGCTCGATGAACAGAGTCAGCTGCAGCTTGCTCTCATGAGCATGCAGGGCCTTCGCACAGGCGGTACTCAGCACGGCTATACGCCGGTCGAGCAGCTCATTCTTCAGGCACACGCGAGGCAGAGGGGGGACGCGATCGGCGGGAGCGCAGACACCGGGCCAGGACACCTTCATGACGCGCGCAGCTCTGTCGGACTTCGTCTGGCGTCCGCACGAGATGCCAACCGCCGCCTACTCGGTTCTTTGCCTCAGATGTCAGAAGACGACTTCCACGCGGCCGCCAATCGCCTCCAGAGTCAGCAGAACATCGCACAGCGGTTCTCGCGGGATGCCAACGGACGGACTTTCGCCCATCCTGGGGCCGATGCGCAGTCTGCATCCCTCCTCTCCGATCTGGAACGTCGGTTGTCTGTATCTGACCAACAGACGCGGCAGCGGAACCATACGCTCGCCTCTCAAGTTCGTGGAAACGGCGACACCCAGGGCCTTCACACTCGCTCGTCCACATTGCCTTCACAGTATCTCGGCCTCCGCAACCCCACTCAAGCGCTCCCCCCCACTCACAATACCCTGTACGATTCCGGCACCAGTGCCAACAACGTCTCCTTCCAAACCCAACAGACTCGTTCTGGCGCTCACGCCCCTCGCACTACCAGTCACAAGCACGTCCCACAATCCCCCAGCATCAGCAACGCGCCGCGTCACACGAGTATCAGCAACCTTTCTACGAACCCCCAGACGAATACCCATGCGCTATTCACCAGCAAGAGCAACATCAACCTACCCAGCATCGGTCACCGCGCCGCCCAGCACGTCAACACCGGCGCCCACGTCACGTCGCCTTCGGCGGCCTCCGTCGCAGCCTTCTCTACACAGGCGAACCGGACGAAGAACGGCAGCCTGTCAGGCGCCTCTGCCATAGGACATTTGACGGACGCCCGAGAGGGCGCGATCGCACAAGATGCGGATGCGGATGACGGCGAATCCCCCATCGTCTCTCCCGCACTCACGTATTCGGCTCGAACGCCTGTTACCCTCAGCCCGGCGACGCCATACTCTGGATTTTTCTCCGACGGAGGTGACGCCTTCAAGGGAACCGCGCTCTGTGGAAAGTCTGCGACGGAAGGGCCTAACGCTCTGCGTCCGACCAACGTGAAAGATGTCGGAGAGACGGTGAACATCAAGGTCGCGACGGGCATGTTGGATCAGTAAGCTTCTATCGCCAGTCCCTATTTCTCCGCAGCCTCCGCACCTCTATACATCTTGAGACAATCCTAGCGAGTTACTGTATGATTGTTGTAGCACTAGTACTATAGGCGGCCGACTCCGTACGACGCACACGTTAGAGGACGACCTGTTTCGCGATTCTTACTACTTTGTTCAGATAGTAGGTTCGGCATGGGCGTTGTTGTATGAGTAGGATAGAGCAGTCAGTCGTACGTACCGCCGAAGTGTAAACAGAGAATACTACGCATCTTCGCATTCAAATGACGGACGGCGTAAGCAGTCTGAGTCGTAGGTTGATTAGCGCCAGACAAAAGCGTCCGGCTCAGGAGACGCTCACTTTGCCGGAAACTGCCATATAAGGCAGGAGACAATGTTTGGTGGTGCTTGGTCGAAAGGCAATCGGGGCTCGGGTGCCTCGCAACGGAAGCGGGATGGATTGCGTCCATTCGCTTGCGAAGACCTCCTCGATTGCTCTCTCGATTGCGTCTCGGAGAGGGTTATATACCCCAGCACTCGCAGCCATGCTCTCGTCATCAGCCCTCCAGCCCTCGCCCAACTCCTCCCGCACTCGCATCCCTTAGCCAGTCCTGCCAGCCATGTCTGCCTCCTCGTCCACCGCCTCCCCCTCCCGCCCCACCGTCCTCGGCCTCTTCACCCGCCCGGCCACACCCGAGCTCGATATCGAGGCCCAGCTCCCTCAGCCGGCCCCCGCACGCATCCACTCGACTCGCGCCAACGCGTCCATCGACGAGACCGCGTCCAACGCGGTCGACGACTTCTTCGGGGCTTCGAGCTCGCGCGGCACACGCGACAGCCGGCACGACGATGCGCGTGCCGCTACCCCCATCGACGTTGAGGCCCTCGCGCCTCCGCCGTACGAGTGCTCGATCGAGCCTCCTGCGTACACGACCGTGTCGGACCAGCCTACATTGGCTATGTACCTGTTCAAGTTTGGCTTCTGTAAGTCTCCTCTATCCATCGAGTCTTCGCGCTCCGTCCTTACGAGTTGTCTTCGCAGTGTTCCCCCTCTTTTGGGTCGTAGGCGCATTCATCCTCCTCTCGCCGCTGCAGGCACCCTCGGACTGGGAGACCTCGAAGCCGGAGTACGAGCGGCAGGAGATCATCGAGTCGATGCGCCGGACGGAGATCAAATGGGCGAAGCGGTGCCTCTACGCGCTCCTCGTCTCCATCCTCCTCTTCGCCGCCATCGCCGTCACCGCCTTCTTCGTCCTGCGCACGTGAGCCGCGCTCTCCGCTCCTGTTCCCCATCTTCGCGCCTCCGCGCCCCCTCCTTCAAGACTCAAGACAAGCCGCATATACGCGCACCCAATACTAAACCTCACACACCCACAACGGCATTAAAACTCGCCGCTACATTCAAACGCTAAACGAAACGACCTCCCCTTCGCACCCACTCGCCGCGACGACCGCGCGTCCGCACACTCCTTCTCCCCCCGTTACATCACTCGCCGGGGCAGCGCCCACATCGGATTTCGTTCACGACTCGAATCACCCTGCATTATATCGTTATTCTTTTTGTATCACTAGCTTATTCGTGTATCAATACGACCCATATCGCGAATGCATAGTCATCCGATCTCCATTATGTCTGGTGTGCCGTGCGATTGATTCGCCGTGAAGAATGGTGTCCCGGGTAAAGGTAACAAACAAAGCAAGGTTTGGGATAATGGACGCGCGCGCGCGATGCTTGCTATTGATAGATAAGAATGCTACACGATCGTGGTATGAGATATGCTATGGAGACAGTGCCAGGGCTAGCTGGATAATGGGGGAGTACGATGGTGTGCGGACAATGTAAATGGTACCCGTCTGGCGGGGTGGACCGAAAATGCGTATGTAATGGATAATCGAACGAATTAGTATACATAACAGTGCGAGATGCGGGAGAGGGAGAGGGAGACAGCCATTAACATTAAACATAGACTTGAGAGTAGAAGGCCGGCACAGAGGGCCGGCGGAAATTTGGAGTACGCGCGCCCTAGCATCGTCAAACCGAAAGTGCAGGCTCCCCGACAGCGGCCGCCTTCCGCGAGAACAACGCGGCAGTCATCCGGCGGAGACGCGCGACGCACCTGCCCATCCGGTGGTCCTTCCGCGGCCGGTCGTCCGGGACGCTGAAGATCCGCCACGCCCTCTTGTCGATGTAAAAGCGAAGCCCCGAAAGCACGCTCCCGATCTTCTCGGGGCCCACGCTGTCCTCCGCGAGCGTGCGCATGAGGTCCGTCTGCGCGGCGAGCCAGATGGCGGCGCTGAGCGTGCCGAAGTGTGGAGGGATGACTAGGCCGCGGCGCGCCCTGAAGTGGAAGACGTGCAGGGCGATCCCGCCCAAGAACAGCAAGAACATCACTAGTGAGAGCAGGCAGGCCGCCAAAGGCCTGGAGAAGGGGGCGTTAGCGCACGAAGGGGACGACGGAGTAGCGGGAGGCTTACACTAGGAAGAGGCGGCTGCAGATGGTGCCGACGCGCACGGAGACTTGCGCGTTTTCGTCGTCATCGACGAAGTACACGCTCTTGGCGACGAGGCTGAGATACGTGGTCTAGTGGGCGGATTGAGCGCGTCAGCGAGCGAACGAAGGTGCTGTCGCAAAAATGCTCACGTATATGTCACGCGTCAGCGCGGTAAAGCCATAGTTGATGAACGTCTGCATGAGGAAAGGATCCTTGTTGCGTGCCGCCTCAAAGATCGCCCCCGGGAGCTGCTGCTGGATCGCCTGGAGCCGTGCCAGCGCCGTCTCGTCCAGGGCAGACTCATCGAAGAAGATACCGTTGTAGGCGAAAGAGCCGATGTCCGCGACGCTGGTGTCGTCTGGAAAAGCGGGTAGAGGCACCACCTCCGTCGTCCGCGCCGTGACGTCTATCGCGACGGATACCTGTAGGCTGGTCGCGTGCGGGGTGCAAAGGACCATCGACGCTCTCGGCTGTTCCCCGTACTTGAAGAACCAGAATAGCACCGGGCGGTACTGCACTGGAACGCTCTCGAGATCTTGACCGCACCCCACGAAGTTCCCCGGTGCCAGTCCTGTAGTATCCCACGCGGTTTAGAAAAGCGAACGAGAGAGGGAACGAAGGACGTACCGTAGAGGTAAGTCGCATTGCTTTCGACGGTCCACTGATACTCGCATTGACCGAACAACGCCGTGTTGTGCCAGATCAGCGGCGCACTGATTACGTTGGTCTGAGCGATCTAGAGGGGCAACGTACTAGTTAGATCACGCTTCCGTAGACTATGGGAAGACTACTCACGCTGTCTGGTGCGACACATGACGCCTGGTTGAGGACTGCTGACCGATTGGTGTACACGGTGCCGTTGACGACATCGGGGAGCTGGAAATAAGCACTGGCATGAGCATCCGCACGGGATATGATAGCGAGGTGATCGCGCGCACCTCGAACTCGGCAACGGTGTAACCTCCGGACACGAATGGCGGCGAACTGATGTTGTACATGACGTCGGCCGAAGCGAAGCTCGATGCCGCTTGGAAAGCTGAATCCGGAGATACGTCAGAACATCTTCGCGGAAGATATAAATCACGCATACAAGTCATATCCAAGAAACTGGCAGCCTGGCTGAGTCCGACCCGCTTAATGCTGCTGACCGTGGTAGCTGTTGTGATTCCAGTGAGCGCGCGCTTCGTAACACGGCAAACTGCGAACACACCGGGTTGCACCCACCACACCTCCCGCACCGTGAACAGGGCGCCGCTCAATGGCTGTAGAGCCATACTGAGGATGGCGCACAAGGTCGACAAAGTGACCAGGACATCTCGGCCCCATTTGACCGTCATAAAGAACGCCACAAATACGCTAGACCGCAATTGTGAGTGACTGTAATTCACGTCACGGGGAGGGAGAGGTTCTATACGCACTTGCTGTAGTCCAGAGTCAACGACCGCTCTGCAATGACAGGTCGCGATGCGAGATTGAGGAGGGGCTAGCCATATATGCGATGAGCTGATGTACAGGACGTCATTCGGATACTGAGCTGGCACTTGCCTGAAGTCTTCTGACTTCAGCGTCCGTCCAACACCAGAGTGCGGAGATCAACATAGACAAGATGTTGGGAGGGATGGTCTTGAGTGGCGATTGACAGGTCAGTTATCATGATACATATTATGGAGGATCTGAGACTCACAAAAAGCAGATGGCTCCAGCCACTCGCTTGTGCGAACTTGATCAAGACAGGTGTGTCCCACCCTGCACGCACCAGAGAACAGATACAGCCTCCCTGGCGTATCGAAAAGAATACGGACACGTACCTGCCTTTCCCTTGCCGGTGAATGGCAACACTACCAATGTCACCGCACAGGCGAGCATGGCCAAGACGAGGGTTACGGAGAATCGCCGGCGCAGAGGCCAGGGTTTATTGGCTGCATGCAGTACTCGGCCTTTGCTGTGCGCCTCTACGTCATCGCTGCCCAAGACTTCCCGGGGTCGAGTGAGCGAATGCCAAAGCAGAACGGACAACAGCGCTCACCAGCCTTCCGAGTCTCTGATCCTGGCGACGCAACAGCTGTCGTGTCACTCTGGTTGCTGATGCTAGACTTAGGGGTCCGCCCGGCGATGGTAGCTGATTCTATGGCCGGAGGGGAGCGGGTGTCCGGGAATGAAATCGAGTACGGCGTGCTGGGAGCGGCCGTTGCGAACTGGGCCTGACATGCGAAGGATAATAAGCATAATGCGCCCTGCTGCATAGCACAGTAGGGTAGCACTGGTACTCACACGATTGAGGTCGATCAAGTCTCCCAAGGGGCTGGCAAGCTGGGAGAGCCGCTTTCCCTGTTCACGAACAGACATGCGCTGCCCCTGCGGCTGCCCGTCGACGGGGATGGCGGAATATTGTTGGGTTGTGGGTGCAGTCATGGACGCGAGGGGGAGGGATAGAAGACTAGAGATGATTAGGGAGAGAAATATGTGCAAGAAGACGAGTGGGGAGGAATATGTACAGATGTGGGGGGTCGGGAAGCCAGTGAATCCGAGGCGACCTGAGGGTCAAGGGTGAAGACCGCCGCCCTTTTATAGTGACAGCGTCCGCGCAGATGCACGCCCTCCCCATCACGATAACAGAGGCGGCGGCGTCGGCGGCGGCAAGCTTCTTTGTAGCGTCAGTCGGGCTGTGCACGCGAGGTGCACGCGAGGGCGGGAGACACAAAGGAGAAGTACGCCACATACCGTGAAGTCGGCGGAGTGCGAGCGCCCTCATCATTTCGATAATCTAGGCCCGACAACGCAAGGGTGGCGAAAAGCCCGAAGCGTAATGCGGGTCTCGTCTGCTTTATGTCTAGAGATGAGATTTGCACGAGGCGAAGCGTACCGGTCGGTGGGTACTAGCACGTCGACGGCGCATCCGCAAGCACTCTCAGGCGATGGCATCATGCACAGACTCTAACAAGGCCGAATATATCGGATGCGCTTTGCGGCATACAGATGTGCTGTTTTGCTTTACTCGAGGTGCCACCCGCGGCTTCAAGCGCGCACGATCGGGTTCCATCTTCTGTGAGTTTGATGATGTCAGTGTGCCTCCGAAGCAATCAAGCAGGGTTGCGTACCATGAATCCCATTTGTTTGTACAGGCTCTGAAAGTTCAGAGGGGAGTCTGTACGGGCCCGCATGAAGATGGCCCAAGTTACGAATCCGAACTCGTCAACATCGACAACGTTGATAGCTGGCCGCATTGGCGCGATGAGACTTGTAAGCCAGTCACAAATAATAGTAACCCCTACTCTTGGACTGCATTACTACAGATAGTACCACTGACCAACGCGCGCAGGTAGCATGAGAAAAGAAAGAGGACCGAGTGCTGAGATGATGGTGGTCGGAGGTTTGGCCGAGTACGCTCACCGCGCGCTTGTTGGGCTGAGTCTAAAGATCTAAAGTGTCGGTGACGTCACTCAAGCAGCGTGCTCGTTCACACCTGCAGCTACTTATCCTGATGTTAACGAGACTTTCCGGCCCACATTGACAGTCAGCTAAGAGTAGGTGACATGTGGCATTTTTCAGTATGATATTGAAGGGGTATGAAGTCCAAGAAATAGTCTAAAGGCTACGTAGTAAGACAGCGCTGCTAAGTAGTAGTACATAGGATGCAGAATAGTGCGGCTACGGTATATATGCCAGTGTTCGTAATCGTCGTAATCATAAATCGTCTCTGAGGCGAGTCCAGTTCGTTACAGGCGTAAATCATGACCCAAAGGTACGCATTCAGTTAGCGCCGCGGCGAGCTGCGTAGGAGCGACGCAAAGATCGCCGTGCCACCACAGCTCCATTGGCCGCGCTGCCTTTGTCCGCAAAGATGCTGCCAGGCCCGTAGTCCGGCGTACCACCCAGGGTCCCCCAGATGTCCCCGACGTAGTTCCTCGGCTTGATTCCCTTCTTGAAGCGCGAGTGCCACTGCGCCACGATGCCCTTTACGACGGGCACACCCGCGGCGGGCAGGTTCGCGATCGAGATGCCGAACCCGGGCGAGAACTCGAACAGGTTGGCCTCCGCGCTCTGCTCGGGATACGGCCGGTCGAAGTCGGACGCGGTTCGCATGATGATCACGCGCGAGAAGTCGACGAGTCGTGCGCGCGCCCCGCGCAGGAGAGCTTCGAGGATCCCATTGTCCTCCTGCTGCGTCGTGCAGTACGTCGCGCTCCCGTTCGTCCAGATGTGCGTCGCGTTCTCGAACGCGGCCGCGAGCAGGTTGCCTGACCAGAATACGTCCGACGTCGCGGTGTCGCACGCGACCACGGACGGGGCCGCGGCGCCCGCCGCGAACGATGACCCATTTGCGTAGCGCGCGCGGTACGCCTGCGACTGCGCATCATCCGCGAGCGTCCCAGTCTTCGCGAGCTTGATCGCGGCCTGGCGGAGGTCCTCGTTCAGCTCGAAGACCTCCGTGCCGTAGAGTGTTTGCGGGTAGATGTTAGGCGCGAGGGAGCCCTGCGGGACGTAGCCGGTGGGCCAGTCCGCGGGGATCTCGCGCGCGTCGAACTCGTACTGCAGTGCGACCTGGACGGCGAACCGGGCGAACGTGACAGTCCCGAGGGTGCCCACCTTCGGGCTAATGCCTGCTATGCCGGCGACGAGGAAGTAGGTTTGTCGGAGGTCAAAGAAGGGCGAGAGGACGAGGGCGGTGATCGTCGAGGCCGCGTTGATCTCTGCCTCTCCTGTGGTGAGCTGGCAGATAGAGCCGTCGCGTGTACAGTGGGCGTCGGGAAACAGCGGGGAGAAGCCTGGAACGGTGATATTGCGGGCCAGCACGTTGAAGTCCCGGATGCCGTACCACGAATCTCCTTCGGAATCGAACTGGAGATAGAGGGGTGAGTATATGCAATAGCAAGAGACAGGGAACCCGAAGTGGGCCGTGGCTCACAGCGTCGATAATGAACACCTTTGGCGCAATCTTGTTACGCCCTCCGCCGTACCAGGGGCCCACCACAGACGACGCAGAGGTGAGGGGTATGAAGCTGAGCCGCGGCAGGGTATAGAAAACGAATAACGCCAGAGCCAACATCGTCGATCTGAAGGCATCGCTGCGTGAGTCCATGACACATGAGAAGCATCCAAAGTGGCTCACCCAAACGCGAGGACCCTTGTGGTGGTTGGAGTCGAAGCGAAAGAAGCGCGAGTGCCCAGTGGCGGGTAGAAGGACACCCATCGGCGTCGACGGCGGTAGATATACGGTTACCGATGACAATATTCCGAAATAGCAGGCTGGGATGCCGCTAGGCTTGGCTTCGGTCATATACATTGCTAGCACCGGTCTTCGTGTTCCTGGCATTGAAAATCGTCGCCCGTATATGAGAATAAGCGAGATTCAACGCCAGATGGCGATGCGGGAGTGGTGGATCCTGGAGATAGCATGGCCTCGAGCCGGCCTCGAGGCAGTGGGATACGCTGCGGCCGCCTTTGGGTGACGTAGACGGGCCGACTGGGCCACTGGCACGATGCGCATTGGGGCAACTCGGCTCCCAGGATTTTATGAGAAATCATTGTGAGATCTCGTCTTGTGTTCTCAGGCGTGCAATGCAGCGCTGTCGACGACCAACAGGCATGCCCCCAGCGTCGAGCTCGCTGTCCTGACCGAGTATTGACGTCAAACACTCGATCTGTCCGTATCAGCGCAGGAATACGGCCTCCCAAAGGCGGATTCTTGTCCGGATTGTCATCAGGCATATACCCTTATTGTCGGGGATCCTAAGATGAGTGCGAGGACGAGCTAGGAAAACTTTTGGACCAGATGGCGATGAGACACTTTGTCTTTTGATGGATTCTTCCCGACGAGATCATCGTCGAGATGAGGCCGTCGCTAGCGGTCTGGGCGACTCATTAGCATATCAGGAACAGCGATATTGCCTTCCGCCTCGTACACATTGTACGGGTGCCGGTAAGGATAAGCGGGTTGAAGATTGAGCCAGCGGGCGTACGCACCCGCACAAATGACGGAATATACCGCCAATTGAGGCGCGACCGGCGTCGGTGGTGCCATAAGCGAGTCGCAAGGCTCGTGTTTCGGTGCTGAACATCGTGTCGTGGACTCGTGTTCAGCGTAGGGAGGGCTGTTCCGTGATGTCATAGCGCCTGAGCCCTCCGCCGTCATTCAAGCAGGTACCGGTAGGGATTGGGGCGCGTTATCACGGCGATGCACATGTCGAGTGATGAAGCTCCGAGAGAACGAGGAGGTGCATGTGAGCCTAAGGCCGTAGAAGGAGCCCTCGTGGTGGACGTGCAGCAAAGAGGAGCAACACGTTCGGAGCCGCGGAGCGTGGATGTGCCTTGGATGCACCATTGATTAGGTTCACAACTGCTGTGTGAACTTCGGGTAGTGCCGGGGCCGCGGACCCTTTCGAAGCACACGGGCGTCTGCCGCGACACAACGCTCTTGGTAACTTTACCTCCATCTTTAACTTGCCTGTGTGCACGGCAGCCCCCACCGAGTTCCTATCAGCTGGATTCCGCTGAAACCATACGGATGCTTATGTTCCGCGGAGCGCTCCTACGCGCGGGAGTCGCGCGGCTTGCAAATATATTGCAGCCCTCATGCCGCCGTACTTACACTGACAGTCTTCTCCTGGAGCTGCACCGTGATGGCATAACGTGTCCGCAAATCGCATTAGCGAAGACAAGCCGCGTCTAATCGTCGAAATAGTCGCTGAGCGACACTTACAGTACAACGCTCAGGCGTGACAGTAGTGTGTGCAGGCAAGTAATACTGCTGCCAGATTGTTATCATTTCTTCGCCTAATTCCCTCTTCTTTTCTATGTCTAGGTTATATCTCGTAGCGGACATGGTCGCTCCAGCCTAAAAGCGAAGAGCACTGGACACTTTGGCTACCCGACGATCGCCGGAGCTCAGCTGCGCCTTCTGAAGTTATCGCCGCATCTGAACGCTCGCATAGACAGGTTCTGCTACGCTTACGTGTCGCCGGGAAATCGTGAGCGCGAATGACGCTGTCAGGAGACATACCGCCAATTCTACAAGTCCACCACGCGCCCAGCGTCGTACACGTCCTCAAGGAAAAGTCCACCATGCGTTCAACGCCTGGTGCGGCGAGCTGAAGCACGTCCTCTCATCATGGGCATACTATTCAGTTGCCTCATTCCGGATGTTGTTGTGGCGCCAGAGGGGCTCACAGCGCGAGCCCGCGACCTCGACATACGGAGGAGAGATATTTTTACGGAAAGAGTCTTCCCGTGCTCGACCACGGCCGACAGTATAAGACTGCATGGGCACGGCCTCTGTCGACCCACACCTCTCTCATCTCTTCGTACCGCACTGGTAGTCTCTACATCGCTCACTTCTCTTCTCATCCTTCATGGTCGCCAAGAAGCTGTTTTTCAAGGGGTATGTGCCTCATTGTATGGAAATGTAAGACCGAGCTGACGAAGTTACTGTTACAAGGGTGAATTTGGGCAAGGCCGTCACCCTGAGCCTCTACCTCACCACTCGCTCCGGCGACCTCATCAATGAGGATAAATCTTACACCGTAGGCATGCCTCGCGCTCCATGGAAGTAAGTGGATACTCTCGATGTGTAACAGACCGAGTCTCACCCGGCGTCCTGTACAGCGTCGTCGACATGCCTGCGAATGGTCGGTCAAATTGTTGATATCTGGTGCTCGCTAGACCTCGAATGACGTTCGCGATCCATAGGACAATACGAACAGGAACTGACTTGGACGGGAAGGTCGGTAACGTTCCGTGACATTGCGCAGATTGTATCTTGCTAACCAAGTGCCGACATTGGCACCAATAGAATCGGATTCTTCGATCCCGAAGCCGATGTGAATTCACCTGTGAAGTATAAATATATACCCGACGTGAGTGCGGCGATTCATCCTGATCGAGAGAGTTCGGATGTCCTGACCGTCTTCGGCTTCCGACAGTCTGAGATTCAGCTGCTCAACAGCCTTACCCCTGTGCAATACCACCCTGCTGAGTTGCTTGCATACACGTTCGCTGTAAGCCCGTTCACCTCCCTACGAGAACCTCCCTCACATGGCTCCAGGAGCCCCACATTTCCCCGCTGCTGGTTCAGGCGGTCGACAACAACGGGAAGCCTTCGGACATTTCGCTGAGTAAATCCGGAAGTTGCGATCCTTATCACCTTGGAGCTCACGCGCTATCTGTAGAACTGATAGAATATTCCGGCACCCCGCAGGAGATCGCCCATCCCATTTTCACTTTCAAGAGTAACCGGTACGTTTACTGGCTCTTAACTGCGATTGGCGAATTAATAGTTGCCCCCGTAGGGACGGTCTCTCCGTCCACGGGAATCCTGATCGGCGCATGCTCAGCGTCCACATCTCGCCCAGCCAGCAAGATGCTGCGCTGGCCAAGCCGAACGGCGGCGGACCTATCGGCACGCCCATCGGGAAGTTCGACATGCTCAACCTCGACCCCAGCGCGAGCATCCTGATCCAATACAACGCGAGTACCGGCGCATTCACGGCCTCGATCGACCCCAGCATCGCGACCGTACAGCCGATTTCTGATAAGGCGCTCCCGACCCCAGACGACAAGCTGGACCCGAAGAATGGCAATCAGAAGGTACGTTGTGAATATATTGGCGGCATGAATGGATGGCTTACGATGTGCATTTCCTGACTAGTCTCAGCAAACTCTGGAGCGGACCGACGCACAGCAGGCGAAGGACAATGCCTGAAGCTTGAAGCTTGAGGACCGCGACCACGATCGGGGTGAATGAGCCACTCCGGCGGCAGCACCCCGCTCCTAGACTTACCCGCTCCAGTTCCATCAAATTCCAGGTTCTGATGAGGTGATCTGTTTCGTCGAAAGCCTATTTTCTTGTGTCCCGGAGCTCCATCACACACGCGACAGGATATCAGCGGGGAGTATGTACCTACCACCTAGCCTTAGGGCTGTTCGTGATTGAATATGATATCGATACGGAGCAACGCGAGCTTCTCTTTTGTATGCTGAGTCGCTTGTGCACTACGCATGTTCGGAGCGTCGTTTAACGTTCTAGCTGAGAGTGCTGGGCGACGACTCCGAGTCGGACTCTATGCCAGTGATATGCCTTGGTTTAAACTTGCTTGGCAGCAGCGGATGCACAACAACGGGCGTGCGAATTTCGGGTAGTTCCGGAGAGGTACGCCTTGGTCTAGCTTGGTCTGCTGCAATGCACATCCCGGAACGTTACCTCCACCTCCAGTACTTCATGCATATGCATCATGCGCAGTGCATGTGCGGCGGCCTCGCTGTGGCTGCTCATGCTATACGTGCATGCTCCGCTGAGCGCTCTTAAGCGTGGCAATCACGCTCTCTCTGGATATACTATGTGGCTCCCCAGTCGCTGTACCCGGCAGCGCAGCCTTCTCTTGGAGGATGGCACCGCGTGTCTGCGCATCACTTTGCGAAGACACCACCTATGCACAACACGTAGATATCATGCGGATAAGCGCGACAATGTGCGTACCGGTACTCTCTGACCAGGATTGCGTTCCTTGAGACTGACATTCCCAGCCAGTTGCCGTGTTCAGATGGTGTCTCGTTTGCAGGGCAACTCTACCCTCAAACAGAGACGCCGTAGCGTTTGCACGACACGGACCTCCCTAACGCTCGGATGCGCGTTCCGGGCTTGTCAACGCATCTTGATGGTTCAAGCGGCAGGACCTGCTACGCTTACGTGCCATTGGGCCATTGTGAGTGCGAATGACATCTTCAGCAGACGTGCCATCGTTCGTACGAGTCCACCACGGGCCTGACGTCGAATCTACACGAAGACATCAGTCCGCCATGCCTATGGGGTCCGGCACGGCGAGCTCTGGATTACTGTACTCGGGGCCCCCTATCCAGCAGCTCTAGGTGTCAGGTGTTTTTGTGGCGTCAATGGGGCACGAAGCTCTAACAGGAAGTCTCACTGAACGAAGAAGGTATTTTCTTCGAAGTAGTACGCGCTCTCCTCGCGATCTATGAAAGCGGTCAGAATAGAACCGAGCGTGCGTGGTCTTCCTTGCAAACCACACGCAATTTCTCTCTCTGTGTACCACGTTTGTTGACTCGACATCGCTCAATAATGAGTCAATACATTCCACTCCATCACAATATTCACCAAGAACCTTTTTTTTAGGGGGTACGTCCCTCTTGCCGCAATGTCTCGCATGACCCAAGTGACCCTCGTTCTTAGGTTCAATCTCGGCAAGGCCCTTACTCTCAGTCTCTACCTCACGATGCGTCCCGGCCCCACCGCAACGAACGTGTCGGCTTACACGGTGACCTCGACGGCTCCATGGAAGTCAGTCAATGTTGCCAATGTGTGACGTACTGATTCTCACTGCCTTTACTGCCGCATAGAGTCATCGCTATGCCCGCAACCGGTCTGTCAACAGGCGGTCGACCGTTGGTACACGCTGAACCTCAGCTGACGTTTTGATTTTCCATGTACAAGGCGCTACGAATCGGAACCTTCCTGGACGAGCAAGTCGGTAACTTCCTTGGCCCTATGCGGAACGTATTTGCTGACCTGGGGACGTCGGTACGATTAGACTTGGGACTCGAATACTCAATTCGACCAAACGAGCACGCAGGTGGCGTCTTCAGGACTGACCTATATTCCCATTGAAGTAAGTGTACCGGCGGTTCAGTATGCGATGCAATTTTGTTCTGATGCCATGCCTTTTCGATAGGTTGGGCAGGTCATCACGCTCACTCTCGCGCCAAACCAGCCACAATCTGGGCAGCTCACATACTTTTTCACCGTTAGCATTTGATGTGGACATCTGGACCTCTCACGCATGTATCTTTAGGAGCCTGTCGCTTCCCGCTCGGCGGCGCTCAAGTTCAAGAGATCAACAATATGGGGCGCCTTGTAACAATCTCGCTCGGTATGCACAGACCCTCTCTTCGCGGACTCCCCATGCTCGCAGCTCACACGCTGTCCACAGGGTTCATCTAGGATATCGACACCGAGCGCGAGCTCGTGCACCCCATCCTCACCTACGCTAATGTCGGGTACAACTTTCTCCCTACCACAGTGCGATCCCTGTACATGCAATATGGTAACCTCACTGGTCCCCCCGCTTTGCAAATACGTACTACTCCGCGGACTCGGAGCAACACCAGTAAACGCGCGGCGTACAAGGTTTCAAGAAGTCCACGACCTACCCTGCAGACAGTCATCTCTCACGTTCAAGTTAGGCGCAGCGACGTACGAACGAAGGAACTGCCGAGAACCCAAACATCACGAGGGCTGGGCTTCGTGCTCTGGCCCTACCAACGTGTGCAAACGGCCTCTGACGAGACGTAAGTCTACTCAGCGTGCTATTCTACGCAAATACGCCACGAACGGGTCGCGTCATCAGAAGGTGGACCGCCTTTCGTACAGGTCCACCCTGGTCCACCTTGCGTACAACTTCCGGCACGTCGTTCGGGACTGAATTTGCCCTCCATTCAGTTTTTGAGACAGCGTAAGCTGGACACCTAGACGCTGTCGGATTCTCTGCCAAGGGACAGGTATGCAGCACTCGAGGCCCGAAGATTCCAAATATATCCCTTTCGAACTGTGTCTGCGACTGGTATAAAACCAGCCGAGCGTAGCCCTCTGTCAGTAGTCAGCAACCCGCCCCCTCCACCGAAAACGCCCACTACCAGCTGCTATAGCTTGCCTGTAACGATCACGAGATAGCTGCCGCAATGTCGACCAAAGACTTGGCCTTCTATACGTACGTGACACCTCCCTTTAACACCTTCCAGCTTGCTCACTTCTATTCAGGGATGGCGACTATGAAGACGACATCGAGCTGCGGCTCTACGTTGTCCCCCTCAAATCGTACCCGACGCCAATGTTGGATCCATGGAGGTCAGAATATGCGGATTCATCAGTGGTACAGAGCCTCACTGCGCTTGGTCACGAACAGAACCAGCTTTATGACAGCCAAAAGTCGGTCAACAAAGCCTATCAACCACTCGCTCGCACTCGCTGATGTGATGTTCGGCATTCACAGAATCCTTCGTTGTGAACGTGAAGTGGAACGGCCAGTCAGTGTCTCTTATTTCCTCCAGATTGCGGCCCACTAGCTTACATATTTTGGACATGGGTAGGCTTGCCTTTTCGAGCCCTCAAGGCTCCGTTACCCCGTCCAGAGAGATACCCGGTGAAACCAGGGTAATCATTGAGGTTGGTGTTACGGTGCCTTGTATGCGCGAGTTTCTCTGAATCTAACTGCATTGTCTGAAAAGGCCGGACAAGAGACTACTCTCAGCAAGCAAGTCCCCGGTTCGCCTACGTGCTGCTTTACGGTGAGCTAATACCCGGATTTTGTAACAGGATTCTCCTAATACTGTCATAGTCACCTGTTTCTATCTCAGATCTCACCGTCGCTAGAGCAGTCAACGAGACAGGCCTCCCCGTACGCATATCGCTCGGTATGCCTACATATCACCGCTGTGGATACCAATCTCTAGTGACTCAAACGTCTTCGATAGGGTACATCACCGACTTCAATACTCCGGAAGAGATGGTTCATCCGAAGATTACAACGCCCACGCCGCTCGGGTACGTAGCATCTACTGCATGTGCTCCTATTGAGCCACTCATTAGCGTCCCATCGCAGACACGGCATGTATGCTTCTGGCAACCTCCAACCCGTCATTCGCGCCTACGTGGTGGTCAAGCCCGAGGGCCGCTCGTCCTACAGTATTGGAAGCGCTAAGCCGATCTGGGAGGCGGACATACTCAGCCTGGATGATAAGACGACCATCAATATCTCCCAGGACAAAATAACCAGGGGGTTTGTTGGCGAGAAGGGCGCCGGTAAAATCGCGATCGAGCCGTCTCTGGTTGACACGCCGAGCCCCCCCACCAACAAGTCGCACAAGAAGGTCGATCACAGGCAGGTGTGTTCTTTGTGATGCTACAGTCGACCGTATATCTAGAAAGCTCATGATCAGCGGTGGTAGGGCGAGGATCCTGCCCAAGCGGACCCTCCTCCGGGAATACCTGTACTGTCGACGGGACCTAAGGACTCCAAGGATGGCGCTCTGGGCTCCAACCCTAATGGTACTAACAAGGATGACTCGAAACCGGCTCCTGGCAAGAAGTAGGCGTCTTGAGTTCCTGCCTGGCAATGTATGCACCTGGCTTCACCTCTTATCTTGAGACTCGTATCCGGCGGTACCGTTGCAATAGGGTTCGCGATGGCCGCGGAAGTTGTACAGTAGTGGAGATTGTAACCGTCATGTATCTTCGTATTTCTCAGTATCGTCCACCTGAATGTCGAGACGCCTTCCAGCCGGCTAATTCCTAGGCCAGTACTCTGCGCGACGGCCTGTGAGTCACGAAATTGGATGCGGAGAAAGCTTCATTAGCAAATGAACAGCACAGCAAGTACGATAGCTACAAACAACGAGATCAAGCGAGCACGAACACGACAACATTCTAGAGCGTCGCCAGCACGCTCTGCACCCACGGATTGCTCTCAATCCTCGGGCGGAACTTCTCCACGCAGCGCCGCAGCTCCTCGAGCTGCGCCTCCTCGGACGCCTCCTCGTCGCCCATCACGACGTCTTCGCCATCGTGTCCGCCCTGTGTCGCCGCCCATGCGCGCAGCAGCTCCTCAACGATCTGCGTGCCCTCCTCGACGACTTCTGCAGGGAGCTCGGGCTCGCCCTTGTCTGTGTTGAAGTCCTCGAGCTCGTCGGCTTTCCGTCGTGCGAGCTAGTCAAGCGCATGTCAGTGCCTAGCAGCTGCGTACGTCCGTCAGTATGCACGCACCTTCACGACGCTTTCGGGGAAGTTCGCGAGCTCCGCGACATGGATACCGAAACTTTGGTCGCATACGCCTTCAAAAGGTTCAGAATGATAGTCTCTGATTGCAAGCGGGGGATACCTACCCGGTTCGACCTTGTACAGCAGCGTGATATCGCGATCGCGGCCCTCCGCGTCCGCGTCGGAAACGTGCGCGACAACGTGAAGGTTCTTAACATGTTTGATCTCTTGGTCGAGTGCGGTCAACTCGTGGAAGTGGGTCGCGAACATGCAGAATGCGTGTATTTGGGACGCGATGTGCCTGTATGCGCGACGTTGTTAGATGGGAGCAAGTTGGCGATCGAAAGAGAGCGTACTCAGAGATGGCCCATGCCAGGCCGAATCCGTCGTATGTCGACGTCCCTGTCCCCTTGTCAGTATGTGTAGTACGAAGACATCGCAAAGCAACGCACCTCTTCCGAGTTCGTCGATGATGATCAACGAGTCCTTGGACGCGGACTGCGTGCGTAACACTTTAGCACTCGACACAAACCAGTGAGTTCACCAGGACGTACTCGCAGAATGGTCGCAGTCTCCAGCATCTCCGCCATAAACGTCGAGATACCCTTCAGCTGGCTGTCCCCTGCACCAACACGGCACAAAATGGAGTCGAATATCGGCACGCGCGCCTCCGAGCAGGGGACAAAGCTGCCTGTTTGCGCCATGAGCGCGATGACGCCGACCTGGCGAATGTATGTGCTCTTTCCGCCCATGTTGGGACCAGCTGCAAGACATCATTAACTATGCGGAAATAAGTGATGTACGTGGACTCTCACTGATGATTTGGAACTCGCTATCATCTGAGGGCGTTATATCAGCTAGTTGCGCCGGGCAACGTTGCGAATTGTGATGAGCTCACCCTTGATCATCTCAACATCGTTTGGAATGAAGCTGATATCGTCCTGCACCTCGAGGCACGGGTGGCGGGCTTCCTTTAGGACGAGATTACCAGACCCTGTGTAGATAATTCAACGACGCTATGCGTGTCAGGATTTCACTCGGACTGACCCTTCTCTAGGATCTCAGGCTTGACATACGCCTCGGGAGCATTGACAGCAACGTGCGCAAGGCTGATAACGACGTCGAGATATGCGATGACGTTGTTCCAAGCCTCCAATATAGGCGTGTAGGTCGCTATTCCCTGTCAGCCACATGTGCACATCTTAAGAGTCCGCATACACTCACATGCAATGTTCACCACCTCCTTCACGAGCCCGCTCTGTGTGCGTGAGTACTGCTGCGTGAGCTCAGTATACTCCGTCGAGAGCTCCTTCAGAGTCGATGTTGTGAAGAAGATGCCGCTTTTTAGCGTTCCGAGCTCCTGCCACCTCCGCTTGTCGTCCGTCAACGCCTTCCCGTCCTGTGTATTCCCCACACTTTAGCCATGCTGCACGCAGCGCATGGAATCTAGCACATACCGCTTTCGTGACCCGGAAGCAATACCCGTACTGCGGCGAGTTCTCGAGGTGCAGCTTCTTGTCGAGCTCGAGCCCGAGCGCCTTCCCGGACTTGCGATGTTCCGCGTCCAGCCCGTCGCGCACCTCACCGAGCTTGTCCGCGAGCGTACGTAGACGATCGTCATAGTCGGGCTTGATCACGAAGTTGTGGTGTTCAAGCTCATCGAGGTCGAGTGTCTGCTGCACCATTTCCGAGTACTTGCTCAGTGCGGTGTCGTATTCCTACCGGACGAGTCAGTCAGTGAGAGGCGCGAGAAAAGGTGAACATAAAAACGGCGTACGCGGAACTTAGTGAGGTAGGCTTCCTCGAGGAGCGCCTTCTGGTCCTCGGAGCTTGTGTCCATTCCCTCGATCGTGCTGATGAGGCCCTCGAGCTGAATGGTGCATTAGCTGTGGATGTATGATGTAGCTCGAGGTGGCGACATACTTTCAGCACGGCTTGGTATACACGGACGACGTCCTCTAACGACGCGACGGATTTCTGGAATCGCTTGCAAATGCGGTGCATGTCTGGCATGAGCTTGAGGTAGTCATCCTAGACCGAAAATGTGCATTCAGCAAGGCTTTGAACGGCGTGAGCTAGCGCCGTAACTTACTTGGAGGATTCGACGGGAGTTGGCGTCATCAAAGAATGCTTCGACAAGACTCTGTCGCTTGACTGCACACGTAGGACATCAGATAGTGACCCAACCGCAAACAACACGACTTACGGATCTCATGGCGGTTCACAAGGGGTTGCTTGAGCCAACTTCCGAGAAGTCTGGACCCTTGTGCCGTCTTGCACTTGTTCAACAAGCCGAACAAAGTCGTATTCTTGTTGGACCCCTGCTCATCATTGTCAGCAAGCGTAAACGAGGTCCTTAAATGATTCGCGTACGATGTTCCCTGGGGCTTCGGTCAAGTTGAGTGCGCGCAGAGCGCTGGCATCTAGTCTCATGTACTGTGATAGGTCGTGTGTGCGTATGCTCCATGCACCGTGATTGGAGGTATCGGAAAGGAGGGAGAGGTAAGAGACTAGAGCAGACAGTGCTGCTGGGGCTGAGGGGAGCTGTAGTTGGGCTGCGCATTGAGTTAGTCCGTGTGAGATTGCGAACACAATCACAGATGTTCACGTACGGATTGTCGCAGTGGCATCGGAGCTAGAAGAGGATGGGGTGGAACTCGGATTTAACAACCGAAGGAGATCGTCGGCGATGCTTTTCGTCATGAAGTCACCTATAATGCAATAATGAGATCCAACGCTCCGTCGGTATCCATCATAGCCTTACTTGGCTTTCGCTCCGTTATCACTACACCACAGCGGTCCAGGACCTCCTTGAGTTTCTTCAGATCGAAGTCGCGCTCGGTCGTCCCAGAAGCTGTCCCAGTCGGTATGATGGCTTCTTTCACCGAGAGTTGAATGATGAGAGTCTATGTGTTGCGCGAGCCAAAGCAGAGCCACCTTAGCACTCAGAGAAGAGATCATCTGGGTATAACGCACCTCAGTGTTGGAGAATATATCGTTGTCTACGAAGTCGGCGACCCCGAGCTCGCGCGTACTGCTGTCCGCGTATGCAACCCCGACCGTTCTGGTTTTAGCTGCATTGCTCCCCGCGGTCACTGGGGCGCTAGCCATCTTGATAGCCATGACTATGGGCGCAGAAACAATATCTGTATTCACGAAGAGCAGGTCCTCGACCGCCGACAAGTTACCGGGAGAAGCCTACCACACGGTGAGAGTCCATAACGCAAACACATTACGGCAGGGGTACACACCTCCTTATCAAGCACGAACTTGGTAGCTTTCTTTCCCTGGCCGGCTTCGGGAACCCATATCTCCACTTTGAGCTGCTTGCTCGTTAAAGCGTCTCTCAAGAAAGTCTTCGCAAGACTCTCGCTCAGGGTGACACTAGGCAGGCCTGCACGACCGCCGAGGTACTTGATGACTGAGTTGGTGCGGAAGACATGGGTGGCTACGTAGAGTGCGTCGGGGCCGTGTACTGAGTAGTACTCGTTCCTGTAGAATAGACGGACGGTCCCAGAGTCGGGGCTTTTGGCTGGGAGTTTTGTAAAGAAGGAGCAGAAGCCAGGGTGCGAGGAGTTGTCTGTATATGCGCTTTGTTCTAGCGCTGCAGATATGCTCTAGAGCTGCAGAGACGTACCAATCTCGTATTCTGCATCCTTCTCCTTTCCGTACATAAGCGCCATGGTGGAGGTTCAGAGGAGAGTGTAGGAGAGGGCCACGGTGTACGGCGTGGGCGCGCAGTGGCTGGACGCGCCTGAGCGCTAGACGCGTCGACGCGTCTGGGCGGAGTGGCACGCTTTCGATCTCCGCCGGAGTATATAGTCCACGCGTCTTGCGCGCCTGAGATTTTTCATTCCAGCACCATTTGTGTACAGGCGCAGCGGCACTCTCGACCGCAGCCCCTGAAGTGGCTTCTTGGTGCAAGACCGACCTCCTTCCTATATTACTTCAATGCCTCTCTTCCAAGGTAAAGAGGTTTGTCACGGAAGGAACATCCCTCTCGTCTCGTCTCCTCCTGTACTCTTCATCTCCTTCAATGGCATCCCGGCTTACCTCGGAGGCTCTCACTCTGCGTGCTCCATCATTTGGTCGTTCTGCGACACCTTTACATCGTAAGTTTACCATATAGCTTCAGCACCATCATATACAGGTTCAGCGGCTTCATCCTACCGCAGTTTCTGAAGTTTCGGTGCGATAAAGATCCTCTTCTTCTCAACACTGCTATCTTCTGCACCTCTGTGCCCATGGAGCACAGTTTTCTGGAAGTCGTGGCACATCCTGTACGTAGTATCTTTTCTGTAACATCACTTCAATACAGTTCGTGCTTCCATTCCACAAAGACAAGTATCATACATCATGAGGGTCACCATTACTGCGGACGATGCCACAACACAGAAGAAACGGGGACCGCCGAAACCGCGCAAGGTGGTTGCTACCGCTTGGCCTCCGCTGGATGACGAGGAGGACCCAAAGACAAAGTGAGTCGCCTCACGGGTCGATGACCGTGGCTCACCGTGCGTGCTCCCGTTAGAGACATCATAGCGCAGATCGGGCCGGGATTAACCCTAACAAGGGGCGCAAAGACTACGATGAATGGATAGAATCACGCCGCAATATTGGCGTCAGCCAGCTAGGGCTTAGCCCGAGTCATGCGCTCGTTATCATGCTCATATATTCCACGCGTGGGTTTTTGGCGACGGTGCGCTAGCAGTGTACAAAGGGACAATGGTCTCCAAGAAGTACATTTAACCCCGGACGGTCCGTACGGAATTGGGGCGCCAGGAGTGGGACAATGAGGGCCACGGGTGAACTAGTGTCCCCCAGCCTTCATAGGCGCCCCGCCGTGGCTATATATCTAGGCTTGCCCTCCTCCCGTCCACCACCACCACCGCCGCCGCCGCTACTTGGTCTCTGTGCCATACTTCTTTCTCCTTGCCGTAAGTGCGCATCACTGTGTCCAGTTCTCTGCTAACGAAGACATGACAAGCAGCGCCCGGTCATCACAACTTGGCTCACTTTAGCCACTGCGGTATAGCCGATATGACACCCGTAGCGGTTCGATGTCCTACCGATGCCGCTCTAGCGCTGAACGAGGTCGAACGACGCGACTTCACCAGGGGGCTTCCCGCCGAATTGCTGGTCGAGATTTTCAGCATGGTAAAGGACGACAGCGAAGGCACGGAATGGCAGACCGTCACTTGGGTCGACCGACGTTGGAGGGCGATCGCTTTATGTGGCTCCAAACTCTGGAAGACAGTCTTCTTCGACCACAGGCTTGCTCCCGCGGACGCCCTGGAATTGGTCCAGCGCTCTGGATCGGCGAGGGGGTTGGACCTCACGTTCGATGCTCGTCTTGCGCCCTGCCACGCGCGGGAGATGCTCAAGTTGACCCAGAAACACGGTGCCTGCGCTAGGATGCGGAAGTTAGCGGTCTGGACGGCGAGCGGCGGCTTCTCGGTTCTCCGCGACTTTCTGATGTCTCTTCAGGCGCCCCATCTCGAGAGTTTGACTCTTGTCGACGAGACAAAGGAGAGATCTTGTCATGGCGTCATGGAGGTTCCATTTGAAGAGAATGACTCAGTCTTCATGGTGCTCGCGGATCTTCCGCAGCTGAAGGAGCTCCGCATGCGAGGCTTCCTGCTCCTCGTCCCGCCTACGACGCTCGCACGGCTGTCCATCCTGGAGACGTCCGACACCGATAAATACAACCTCGTCAACCTGGGGCCAGAGTCAATGGACGAATACCTTCAGTCCCTTCTCACTTCCTGTCCAAACTTGGAGCAGCTCGTGCTCCACGGTTTCCATGCGGGGTCCTACTTGGACTGGGAGAAAGTCACGTTGCCCGGGCTGCAGTACCTGGAGATTTTGCACGAGAGACCATATCAGGCCCCTCTCTACAACCACCTAAAGATTCCCAAAACCGCCGCTGTTCATCTCTACACGCCCCTCAAAGACGCCAAACAGAATGTACTGTTGTACCAAGATAATTCGCTCCCCCCTCTTTTCGAGAACACCGCATCGCTCGCCTTCAACGCAAACACCAACCAGCACGTGTGCGGCTGGCGCACCGCGCACCCCACCGGCTCGCCCGCCTGGTGCATCATGGGCGAGATGAGCCGCCTGGACGCCCGCACACGAAGCGAACTCCTTCTGCGGGCCCTCCGCGACCTCCCACGCACCGTCAACTTTCCCATGCCTATCGTGCACCTCGAATTGCACATCCACTTCACGATGCCCGACTACCTGTTCGCCGCGGTCTGGCGGGAGCTCCTGCTCTCCCTCCCTGCGTTGCGCGTGCTCCGCGGCGGGGGCGAGCGCGCCGCGCGCTCGTTCCTTTGCGTACTCGCGCCGCACGCGCGCTGTGGGCCCTCAGAGCGGGCGCAGCGGTGCAGCGTGCTCCTGCCGCGCCTGCGCGAGCTCGGGCTGTGTCTGGTCGCTCTGAGGGCCCCGATGTGCGTGTGCATCGCAGAGCGGGTGCGCTTCGTCTCTGTGCTGCGTATCTGGCTTTCGGCGGAGGCGCACGAGGACAAGGTCACGCGGAGGGAGACAAGGAGGAACAGACGCAGCTTGACGGCGGAGATGGAGCGCCGTTGGGGAACGAAGGTCCGTGCGGAGTATCGCGAGCGATGTGAGACGTGCCATCATGCGGCAGATCGTGCGGGGGTGTTTGGCCACAACGACGACTCGGGGTTCGATTTGGCGATCCCTAACCACAGGCTCGGGGATGGGGATGAGGACGGAGGATGGCAGCCGGCAGATGACCCGGACGAATGGAGCTCGACGAGCGGGGCCTACACCGAGGATTCTGAGCAAGTCGCGTCCTCAGCTGGAGAAGATTCCGACAATGACTGGTCAGACGGCTCGTCTGACGACCTGACGTCGAGCGTTTCTCACCGGGAGGTCAAGACCCCAGAGATGACAACTGCAGGAGAGGTCTACCAGTACGAATCTGAGTCGGATAGCGGGGATGAGTCGGACGACGAGCGTGAGGACTCGGAGGACTCGGAGGATGATACCGACGATGACTGGAGCTCAAAGTCATCATAGCAGGACTGTACCGCGTTGAAGGGTTCTGGATAGTGGATGGATGGATGTGAACCTACACTTCACCAGTATTGTGTATAGGTGGAACGCTCGCAGCTATGCTTCATGCAGTTGGCCGCGATACAGGATGTAGGAACAGAGGAAGGTCTATAATACCTGCCATGACTGCACGAGTTAGTAGGTCCAGGATAGCAGCCACGACGCACGTCGTACCTCTAAGTGCTGGCCAGGTCCTTCGACTTGAAGGAAGATGCCCCCATAGCTGGCGACGTGTGGGCGTGTATGCCCTGTGATCGTTCAACTTATGGTGACTCACCCCTGTCACCTTCTGCGCGGATCTGACAGTGCATGCTTATGAGACTAGGGCTCTCTCAGACATAATCCTTTTGAGGGATGAAAGGCATGCTGGACATATGCATAAGCTGGGGTGCGAGCAGTCACGGTCTGCATATGCGATACCAGTATGCCAGTGACTCCCGAGTTCGCACTTGCTAGTAGAACGGTAGAGACGTACCGATCTTGTACTGGATATGTTTCTGCTTTCAGTACATGAGTACTATGGTTTAGGCTCAGCAGTCCATGCGAGGGTCCAGCGAGAGGGGCCGCCGAACATCGTGGCACGGCGTCGGCGCGGACGGTGGTGGTTGTTAGCAGGACGCGCCAGAGCGCTTGACGCGTCGACTGGCACCACGCAGTTGTTTGGATACATACTTATACCGGATTAGATTATTGACAAGACACTACACTAGTGGTCGAGCATGATGCATGAGCTTCAAGCAATATAAAAAATGTCGGCACATACATCCACTACTTATATACCGTTCACTAAGTTGTCTTTGCACCGTTCGTCTCGTAGGAAGCAGTGGACTCTCCGCCGTCCTCGCCCTTGTAGAAAGCCCTGGCACAGTATTCACACTGCCCATGCTCCGCCGCCGCCGTCAAGGCGTCCGAAAACGCGCCGTCGGTCTCATCCACCTCAAAATACTCCCAGTCCCCACTCGACGCGTTCCAGTCGTCCGGGTCCTGTGGCATCCACCCATCGTCCTCCTCACCCTCGGGCACGCCCACGTCGACCTCCTGATCAGACTCAGGCTCGTCTTCCCCCTCCCACTCGACGGCATCCTCCTCCACCCACGCCGGATCCTCGGCACACTGGCAGGTCTCGCACCGCTCGCCATGGTCCACCCAAACCGTCGTCCCCCAACGCTCCTCCATCACCGCCGCGAAGCCGATTGCAAGCGCATGGGCCCGCACCCGCCGCCTGCCCTTCTCCCAACGCGCCTCCTCCGGCAGGCGAATCCGCAACACAGGCAAGACATGCCTGGGCAGCTGCAGCATGATGTTCTGGCACGTCACCTCATCCAGCCAGTCCAGACACAGCCCGAGCTCATGCAGGCGGCGCGGGAGCCTGTCGCGCCTCTGCGGGGCCGCCTCTTCCTCTTCCGCTCCCTCCTCGTCCGCGCTGCGCCGTCGCGGGGCGGCGAGCGCCGCGAGAAGCGAGTGCGCGGCGCCCACGCCCCCGACGTGCAGCACGCGCAGCGCGGGGAACGCGCGCAGGAGCCCGCGCCAGTCCGCGGCGCACAGGGCCGTGCCCATGGTGTAGTGGATGTGCACCTCGAGGTGCACGATGCGGCGCGGGGCCTCGACGGTGCGCGGGAGGTCGCGGAGCGCGTGCGGGAGGAGGGCGCGCCGCGTGCGCGCGTCCAGCTCGTCCATCGCGCCCGCATAGGACCAGGCGGGCGCGCCGGCGGGCCAGGGGGTCGGCCAGCCCTGGACGGACTGGTTGGCGATTGCGTGGAAGGCGAGCGTGATGGTGTGTTGGAGGAAGGGAGGGCGCCAGACGTCGCGGTCCACAACCTCTGCGAACGGCAGCATGTACTCTGGGGATGATGGTGGTGAACCTTCGGCGTGGAGGTATGTCCAGAGATGCACGGCCGCGGTGTCGGGTATTTCCAGATGATTGTAGAGAACGGCCGCCGCGGGGGACCCGTGGAAAGCCTCGAGGTGCTGCAGGGCGGGCAGCGCGATCCGCTCGGGGTCGTAAAGGAAGCCTGCGAGGAAGTCTGTGAGGAAGAGCCGCTCCAGATTTTGACACGGCGTGAGAAGACGCCGCATGTAGTCATCCACCATGCCCGGACGTATGGCTTCAAGCCACTGGAATCCACTGCTGCTGCTTGCCTCCAGGGTGGTAAGCTGCGCGAGCGTCTTCGGAGGTGCGAGGATCAACATCCCCCGAATGCGGAGCTCCCGCAGCTTCGGCAGCTCGGGAAGCATCCCGAAAATTTCGGGGTTCTCTTCAATGGGCTCCTGGGGCCTGTCGACGAGTTGCGGTTCGTTCTCGCTGCCGCGTTCCGTCTTGCTGCCGTCGTCGGCTTGCTCCTCGTCGCAGTATTCGAAAGTCAAACTCTCGAGATTGGGGCCCCGAAAGTCTCGTAAGAACATGTCGAAGGGCACGTTGTATGCGCCCTCAATGTAGATCGCCAGCTTGCGTATCCTTTCGCATGTACCTGGTTCTAGTGTTGACCAAAGCATCCACTCGGCGTCCTCGATGGAAAAGCGACTGGTTACATGGAGAGTCAGGTCCAGACCCATCGCGGATCCGGAACGCCCAAGCAACGCCATAATGTCCGCAGGGGTGTGCCGGTGGGTCAACGACAACCTCGTCCACAAGTTGGCATCGCCCAGAGCAATTTCTCTCCAACGACTGTCGACCCAAGCGATTGTTTGCCAGTCCGCATCGGCACTGTCGTCCCGGACGAGGTTGAAGATCTCTGCCAGTAATTCTACGGGTAGATATTTCGTGAAGTCGCACCGCTTGACCGGTTTCGATACTGGCGCGGCCGTAAAGGGGGTTTCGTCCGCCATATCAGCTCGCATGCGGGCCCTTTCGCGGCGATATCTAAGCATCGTATGTCGTTGTCCGGGTGCTGCTTGCCCCATGAGCGAAGAACTTCGCATACGAATGGAGCACATACCGCGGAGACAGAGGAAGGGGGGCTTGACGAAGGCCACAGGTGGGAGGCGGAGGTGGAGGTGGTGGGCAGCAGGAGAGGCTGGCCTGGATATATAGCCACGGCGAGGGCGCCTATGAAGGCCGCGGGGTTCAGCGGTTCCCCCATTGTCCCGCCCACCGTAACCCATTTTCGTGCAGCCAGCTCGTGGCTAAGTCGGATGCTTGGCAACCATTGTTCCTTTGGGCAGCGTAAAATTTGTCAGCGCTGTATCGAACGTCGAAGGAAATCTATCACTGGCACCTTCCGCATGAATCCGAATTGGTGACGATATCCGCACTCGCAGCACTCAAGACGCAAGGCACGCGCGACGTGATGTGCGTCTCCGCGAGCCCCCTGCGCCCCAGGTAGTTATGGAGCAGAGACGAGCGGGGCGCAATGACGCGGTGCCAGTGGGCATATCCGCGACGCAGGAGCGTCCGTACGATCACCTCGCCACAGCATGTACGAGCCTTAACAGCGGCGCGACTGCTGGCTAAGGGAGCGTATTAACCCACAGGGGACTTGCGCCTCCCTGAAGCTAGAGGTAGGCGTGCGCGGCTTGCTTGCACTGCCTTTTTCCGTTTCCCCTGCCCCCGTCGTGTCACCCCTGCTACGAATATGACGGGGAAATCTGTAGCGAGTGGGAGATTAGTCAGTCTCAATCCAATCATTCACAAAACATAATAAGATTCACTTACATCTCATTCATAATTCTTTCAAATAAATACTCACTTGCAACGCAACTCCCATGGACGTCCTTCTGAGAGGCACTTCTGCTTCTTGCACCGGCTTGCCAGACGTCACGGATGTTCGCTGCAAATGAATCACACCCTGCGTGAGATATCAGTCGTGCATATATGCACCGCGTTACGACCTAAGAGCAAAGCTACGCTGTCTTATATGCTGGTATCAGCAGAAGAGTCTGGCCGCATAAAATCCTATATATACGCACCACGATGTGCGCAGCCCTTGTTCACGCGCAAAACGAGGCTAAGGCAGAGACACGACGAAAAGATGAGACTAGGTATCCAATCAAATAGTTCTACAATTCATCGTGTACATGCAACGAGGAATAAGGGGCATTATGAACATCGTCCCTGGGGGTAACAAGATAGTTCGGAAGCCGTGGTAGTCGGTAGGCATTTAGTGGACGTAGTTGCCACCGGTGGCGCCGTAGTTAGGTTGGCCAGGGGGCACGATGCCCGGCTGGGCGTAGCCAGGGGCAGGCTGGTATTCACCGTTTCCGACGTCTGTCAAAGCTTGCATTAGAACCGCTAGAGAGCCGCTAGAGACGCTGGACTCACAGATGTAGCCGCCACGGCCGTAACGCTCCTCGGCTTGCATCTTCTTGTATATCAGATAGAAGGCATGCTGCAGACGGTCGGTCGGTGCGTGTACGTCATATGTGAGAGTGGGCTGGGACTTACGAGATGGCCTGGGAGGTATCCAAGACTGAGAACGCATTGTCAGTCATATTTTTCTCAAGCAACCAAGACAAGTCACTCACAGGGTGAGCAGGATGTTGATGAGAAGGTCACAGCTGCAGCCGGTGATGAATGCAGCGGCTGCGGGCGGGAAGAGGATAGCGACCTGTGCAATGCGGATGAGAGTCTTCTCTCATGCGTCTCTCGAGACAGGGGTTACGCACGACGATGAGGAGGATGTCAGAGCCTCGGACCATGATGAATATTGATTTGGGGGCGGTGGATGCGGAGCGGTAGAGAGGAGATGAGCGTCGAGAGCAAGCGGTCGTGGTCCGCTCGAGTGGAGTCCGAGTCCGAGTCGAGCGCAGCGGCACCGCCCGGCCCAGCCCAGGAACAGTGACGTAGGCCTTACGTGACGGTGACATACGCGCTACGTCACACGTTAAACGCGTCTGTGGCGCGCTCGAGCTCTGCGAGTGCTCTGCGGCGCAGCTCGCAGCGTGACAGTATATCAGTTTGTCGCCGTGCGTGGCCTGACGTGGAGACACGGTACTCTAGATCTGTTCTTGTACCCTCCACAACTACTAGTCTACTATACAAATCTTAGTTAAAGCTTCAAAACTTCAGGCCCCAAAACTGCAAGGCTCACTGCCAGGCTGGCGAGTATTATAAGCGAAATTCCGGATGATAGTCCGTGGCATAGGCAGGATGATGTGCTAGTCCGATAAAAAAGAAGAAGGGGCCTACAACGATACAGGCGGTTTACTAGTGATACACGTGCACCGAATATTGCGCACGATAAACCGATGGTCCACAGTGACTGCCGGATGCTTCATATCAGCTGTACCGCAGCGAGATGATTAACCAGGATGGTGTCCCGTACTGCAAGCAAGATAATCATCAGCTTGAACGACCACGTAAGGCGCAAGGTAACCCACTGCGCATCAATATAGGGGACGTGTTGTCGATGTCCTGCGCAAAAGCTACCGTCAGTCCGGTTGAACCTCGTGCAACATGAGTATAACTCACGATGGCACATGTACAATGCACATGCAGTTTCCGCTGCTGTGGCGAATGGTGCCGGTGGATAGCAGCAAGCTTTCGTTTCAGGTCTGCCCGCGGAATGTCAGTGGCGCACTGCGCTAGCGGTAAAGTGTAGCGAAAGACGCACAGTCAGTAACGTGCTCCGAATCGTTCTCGCCCTTGTAGCTCTCCACATAAGTGGAGAACTGCATGCCGGATTTGAGTCGAGCGTCCAAGAGATCGGTCTTGTTCAGTAGCAGGATGAACTGAACAGATGCGAGGAGCGGGCTTGAGCAAACCGTCTTCCAGGCGTTGAAGGAATCCATCTGAACGTCGTGAACCCGTAAGCATCAGCGTAGTCCTCAGATTATTGTGTACTCTGGGACAAACCAGGCGGTTGATGGCTCGGTCTTCAACCAGAACCTCATTGAATCCCGCGGTCGAGCAGAGGAAAATTATCGCGTTCACTAGGGATGTTACGTCGTTAGGCGTGCCACACTCAAGTTGGCGGTGTGTTGAGCGTACCGTGGTCGAAGAATGGAACCCACGACTCTGTCAAGCTGTTCAATCATGTCGTCAAAAATATCAACGCATAGCACGCACCTCTCTGCCCACGGGCTCCGCCTACATCGTAGAAAATCCAATGCTGACCGTTCTCCGCCCCTACAAATCCGAAACCGCCGTCAAAACACATCACATGAGCAAAAAAAACGAGATTACTCACCGGTCTCCATGATAAGATGATGCTCCTCTACACCCATCGTCTGCAGTCGTGCGCGCAGTATGTCATCTAGGAAGAACATCACGGCATATCCTCTACCGCGCAAGCAACCGGACGGCTATACCAAACGTGGGCTCGTAGCTGCTCTGCATCACCCGCTCCGCATGGTCCAAAAAGCTGCGGACGGGACCCCAATTAGCCTCGCCCCCGCCGCACGTCTCGGGTACACTCACAAATGCGCCTGGTCCTCCACGAGCACGCCTTCCTCCCGCAGCGCGCCTTGCACGGCCGTGCTTGTCCACATCGCGACGACGTCCTTCCGACATGCGTCCAGAATATACCGCGCGTTCTCCATGTCGTCCGCGAGCCCCTCCGAATACCTACTCCGCCCCTCCTCCGGCTCCTGCTTCTGCTGGAGCAGCGCTTTCCACGTATGTCCACCGCGAATAGTCACCTCCCCCGCCCGTCTCCGGTGCACCGCCGGGGCGTCCTTCTCACCCGGAACCGCCCCAGAGGCCTCATCCGCGGACAAGTGTCGCGCGAGGATCATCTCGACCTGCCGAAGGGGCGACAGCGCGAGCTTGAACCGCCGTAGGTCGCTGTTCGGCTGCGGGGTCATCGATATCCGATGCGAGAACGCGGTCACCGTGGGGCTCGCGTCGCCCGCCTGCATCAGCCCGGGCGCGGGCGCCGCGGACGGCTGCGTCAGCACGTCGAGCATGAAGTTCACCGCGCGCACGAGGTTGAGATGGACGACTGCGCGCCACGCCGCGCTCTCCGCGCGGAGCGCGGCGGGCGCGAACTGGATCTGGAAGTTCTTCAGGAGCGTCGACTTGCCCGACTCCGACTGGCCTGCGGCACCAGTCCCAGGCAATCACGGTGAGGAGCGCGCGGGGTGAGCGGTGATGCACGCGAGTGGGGTACGCACCTAGTAGCAGCAGCTTCATGTCTCCGCGGCGCGGGCGGCGCAGGGCCTGCCGCTCCGACTCGAGGGCGCGGTCGATCGCGTCGGACACGCGCTTCGCCTCCCGCTCCTCCTCCAGGCGAGCGGCCTTGTCGAGCTCGGACTCGTTCCTAGGCGGCCATGGGGGCCACACGTTCTCCTGCGGGTGCGCCGCCGCGGGGCCCCGCTTCCGCCCGCTTGTACTTGCCTCCGGCAGCGGCGTGCGCGTGCCCCCGTCGTCGTCCAGGTCCGTGCTGCTCCCCGGGCGATAGCAGTTCAGCGCCGAGAGTCCGCCGTTCATGTGTATGCCTGTGCCTGCGCGCGCGGGGGTGGGGGTGGGTGGTCAAGGTCAAGAGGGATGCGTAAAGGTCCGAGGCGCACTCCGCGCGGCGCAGGGGCTTTTCCATGCTAGCACCGCGCGAAGGCGGCGGACCCGGAAATTCGACGCGGGGGCGCGACGCAGCACGTTCCCTGGGGATCGCTGATACGGGATCTGATAGCCCGCCGGCTCGGGGCTGCCTGCGTGATCCCCTGGGGCGCACCGTTCCTGCGGGGGCGGCATCACCCAGCGACGCCCTCGACGGCGCGATGGATCACGAAACAGATCGTGCGACACACCGTGTCTTGGCACAGCGTCGCGCTCGTGCAGCTAGTGGCCGTCGTCGCCGGCGGGGGATAGGACGTGTCAGAACACGGTGGCGTGTTTCCGGCTCACGCGCCGGGGTCATTTGTCTTCGCTTTCGCGCTATGTTTCTGTGGCGGGTGCGTCAGCGTCGAATTTGAAAGATGATGGCCATCGAAGCTCGAACCTACACAAGTCGACGGCGCTTAGATTGATCTCGCTGCTGAACCAGAAGACTCATGATATGATGTCCCGAAGCCTTGCCATACACAATACGTACCTCGGACCGATCGTACACAGCGCACCGGACGTTACCGGACGCCGTCTATGTTTATGGTGTATCACGCGATACTAACCTACAGGCACAGGAGATTAACGGAAGGAGAGAGGAATATCGATCGCACTCACCTGTGCTGGTCATGACGGTGCTCAGTGTACTCGTGTAGCGACGTAGCTGCGCTGATGTGGCGGCCGGCTGACCGTGTGATTACAACAGGGGATTGATCGTACGGATATACAGGACGGTCAGCTCGAGGGGCACGAGATAGAGAGCAAGATACTTGTGTATTGCGAGATCAGAACACACCATGCAAGAAGACGCGGGATAGTAGGGTACTAGACATAACACGGAGAGACCAGAGACGGGGCAGCGGTGGGATGGCGGGACGAGGGATGAGTGAGATGAGAGATGCGGGTCAAGGCTGAGGCGGACCGCGTGAGCCCCAAGTGTACGAAGGAATATATGTACCGTTGGGGTAAGACTACAGAACCTGAAGAGGCCCAAAAGGAACACGAGACGGAGAAGACAGAATAAAGGGCGAATAGTCGGAGGCGCAATGTGGCAGTTGTTAGGGCACAAAGGTATAAACAGAAGGACGTGGAGGGAGAATGAGGAGGATGGACGTGGAGATGCGTGCGTGAGGGTGGTGGTAGCGTCCGAGAATACGATAGTAGGCGTTAGAGAACAGCAGAGCATAAGAGTGGTACGGATAGTGAGAACAATATGTACGGTCTGCCCGACCTGAGCGAGCATTCACTGACGTAGGAAGGGGCGGAGAGACGCCGTGACGAGCTGCACTAGTCCCTGGAGGAGGAATACGCGGAAGCCGTTGTGCTTGCCGGTCTACGAATGGGGATGGGGATGGGGCGGGCCGGACCCGGCGTGCCCACCAAACGGGGGAAGGGGGGGGGGATGGCCTCAAAGGACGAACTCAACATCCTCTTCTTCCTCTTCTTCAACATCGTGAGCCTCGTTCGTTACCGGATGCTCAACGGGAGCCTCGAGCTCGGCGCCCTCAGGTCCAGCGGGTGCAAGCAGCGCTTGATCGACTTGTGAGCCTTCGTAGTATTGATCCGGCTCCACCGAGCTCTTGTGCGCAGTAGGGAGGACGAACTTGTCCCACTGAGTCATCCGGACGTAGCCATCCCTGACCTCAACCAGCGACGACAGCGTCAAGGCGTCCGTGACGACTTGCAGGTCCGTCGTCAGCGTGCGCACGCGGTTGAACGACGCGATGAGCGGGATCGGGATCCACCCGTGCGAGTCCATCTGCACATCACACATTCAGCATGCACTACACGACTCGGGAAGGTCAACAACGCACCTGTTGACGGAGGAAGTAGTCAAGCGTCATGTTGTCCACGCTCAAGTAGTACTCCAGCTGGCCGAGCAGATAGTATCGCGTAGAGTCGATCGGGAAGTAGATCGGGGTCAGCGGAACAGGAAGAGGTGCCGAGCTCTGCAGCCCTGCCATCTGCGGTGGAGGCGCGGGTGGAGGGAACGGGGCGTACGGGTAGGGCTCATACGGCGACGGGAGATAGGTAGTAAGGGGAGTGATGGGCGGCGCATAGTAGTTGACCTCTGGCTGAGGAGGCGGCGGTGGTGGCGGTGGGGGGGCGTACGGTGGTTGTCTCTGGTGGGCCTGGTTCGCGTATCCCCCACGCCCGCCGGAGTAGACCCGATTTGAGTAGCCGCGTCCACCATACCCACCGCTGAGACCTCTGCCTCGTCGACCTCCAAACCCACCGCGATCAAACCCGCCCTGCTGACCGTACGAACCTCGCCGAGGTCTGCCAAAGGTGTCGGGCCCCTGAGGCTGAAAGTCGCGTCTTTCACGGAACGACCTGTCGTCGCGCGGAGGATATTCTGATGGTTGTCCCGCTCCCGGAGGTCCACCCCTACCAAAGCCAAAGCCGTAGTCGCGTACCGCCCACTCGTCAGCTTCCGTGGCAGAAGCAGGATGCCGAGGGGTGAAGACAGGCGAGGTTGCGCTAGGCATGCCGTTGACCGGTGCGCCGGGAATGATGACTGGTGGCACGAAAGGAGGAGCTCCATAGTGCGCACCCATGGGCACGAATGGCGCAGCAGATATCGACGGATGGTGAGAGAGGACATCGACTGTTTGTGCGTCGTTCGTCGTCGAGGGTGCAGCATCCTCGGTCCGGTCACCAGCAAGCTCTTCGACACTATTCGTGGTCCCGAACTCCCATTTTGTGGTGGGATCGGTCAGGTCGAGCGCTTTCGAAGCGACGTCTACAAGGACGGCAACAGCGTCCGCGATCGATGTCCCGCTTTGCTCACCCTCACCGCCCGCCGAGACAGTTGTAGCAGGACCTTTGGAATGTGTGCGAGAGCGCAAGCGAGCAGGCCCAGTCTCTCCGGGCGCAACGCCTATAGAGAAGACCGCGAAGGTCTTGCCATCCGCCTTGTCCTCACCGCTCTGCTCATCCGCTGGTACGCTCACCCGGTCAGCGCCTCCGGAGACAGACCCAGCGCCCGTGTTCGGTGATCCCGGTGCAGGACTAGGGCTCTGGGTGCCCTGCAAAGCGATGCTGCCAAAGTTGAGCTCGCGTATTCGCCTTCCCCGCTCGCTGCTCTGCCCTCCATTTTGTTGAGCCCGGTTCTCCTCTACAGCAGGCAGGGTTGCTGCAACATCGCGATATCCCGCTACAGCCTCCGACTCGTTCGGCGGCGGAGGCCTTGCCATCAGGGTAGGTGGAGGTATACCGAGGTCACCGGGGTGCACAGGGTTCATAGCGGGAGATCCAGAGGGCATACTTTGCGGTGGAGGTGGGGGCGGTGGACCATTAGGCGGAGGCCAGTACATGTACGGTTGAGGATAGCCGTAGGAGTAGGGAGGGTACATCGGGTACGGTGGTGTGCCATATCCGGGGGCGTGGACAGGCTGAGGGATGCCCGGCTGGCCAGCGTAGACCATGGGCGGTTGTGCGTAAGGATTGGGGGCTGGGGAGCCCGCAGGCTGCGGCGAGTGGTACGGCGACATGCCGAGCGGCGGGCCGGGCGGTGGGTAAAATGGGCCTGGAGGAGGCATGTCGGGCGCGCCAGAGTCAGGAATGGTGCTGAGTAACGAGGGGTCCCAACCGCCCTGCCCGCCGTTTGTGCTGATGAACGAGCGTACGCCCGGGATGAACTCCTGTGGGGGCAGCGGCTGTGGCTGCGCGAATGCTGCGGGAGAGTTTGGCCCCGACGAGCGCATACTCCTGCTCGCACCGAACGGAGGTGCGCCACCTTCATCGGGCAGCCGTCTGCCGCCTCCACGGATGCTGGCATGGCGCGGACTTGAGTGAACACTCCCAGTCCGGCTTTGCGCCTGGGAATGTGACACAGAACCGGTGTGCGAGGGAGGCGGACGCATGCCGGCAGAGGACTGTGCCCGACTTTGTTGCTGCGATCCTTGTCCTGAGGACGTGGACGGTGCACCTGAAGGCCCGCCTGGTGGGCGGGAGTTGCGGTCGGTTTGTGGAGGACGAGGCCTCTGATGCTGCGTGCGGTTTGGCCGCTCAAATTGCAGCTCCTCCGGTGGTACTGGAACCCACTTCGTCTTCTCACCTGTTCGAAGATGCACGGTACGCGCGAAGGCGGGGCACCAAACCAGAGTCTCATTAGTCGCCTGTGCGAAAGACCAAGACATGACTGAACAAGCACAGATGCGTGAACGAGAAAGGAGTAGAGAAAGTATAGCGAAGGACGAAGAAAAGAGAAAGCGGTGAGGACGACGTACTCTTTCTTGCGCCATGCCCCTGCGACGCCTCCCTCTCGTGTCCTCTGTCCTCCTCCCCTTCTTTGGTCTTCCCTTCCGGACCACTATTACTGGCATGCGGAGGGGTCGCTGCTGCCTGCCCTACTTCAGGCCAGCTCTCGGCGTCATCGATCGCGGGCGGTGAGAGAATAGGCGGTGAACGGCCTGGCCGCACGACGAAAGGGTCATCGTGGGCGCTAGGAGGTGCCAAGTGGCCGTTGCTTGCAGGAACCGCCAATGAAGGTTTCGAGGAACTTGAGGTACCGGAAGTGGAGGGCAGGAGCGTAGAGGGACTCGAACTAGACTGAGATGGCACCAGAAGACTAGCAGAGCTCTCGCTCGGCAACGGAAAGGCAGCGTTCGCAGGAGGTTGGCTGATTCCTCGAGCCGCCATTTGTTCCTTGCGCATGGCCCATACATTCACCGAAGGCGCCGGGGCCTGTTTTTGGACAGCAGCAGACGGTGCCGATATCGCAGAGTCAGCATTCTGGTTTACGTCACCATTAGACCTGGGTTCGACGGGGTGATCTGCAGCGGGAGGAGTGGCGGACTTAGATGATGATGAAGGAGGCGGATGAGAGGTCGTGGAGGATCGTGCGTCGTTCACTGGGTGGCTAGATGCAGGGGTTTTGGAGGCGGTGGAAGGAGGCGTGTGGGCAGAAGGACGAGCCGCCGCAGAGCTAGCCGCAGCGGTGGTTGTTGAGCCGGCAGTACTGGAGGACGCGTTCTGGGAGATGGAACGTTGTTGCGCTACCTGAGGAGAAGACCTGGCATTTTGGGCTTTCCTGGCGCGTTCGGCATAGGACTGGATAGGTGGGTTGGCAGAGGCCAACTGCGCAGACGGAACCATGTGTTGTGGGGAGGCAGAACTCGCCACGGAGATAGTAGTTCACTGATAGAGAGTACAGCAGAGATATAGCAGAGACCGGAAGGAGAGAAGGCGCAGGGAGCTGATCAGGACGAGATGGAGGAAAGAGGATTTCGGATGAGATCGGTGTGCTTGCGGTCCAGTGCCAGAGAGCGACGAGCCAGGATGTTCAGGACGAGAGCGAGGAGTGAGTGCGCACAGAGTGCGAGAGATGTGGAAAAATATGCGAGCCGGGTGCAAGCTGAGAACAACTCGCAGATGATGGCTGAAGACAAGGCCGGTCTGGCAGAGCCACGACGCGGCTCTCATTTTGCTGTGTGCCGCTCACGTAACCGCGCACTACCTGGGTGGCACAAATCTCCTATTTCTTTCCGATACACTCTGCTCACGAAATCGCCGGTTTTTATAGAGCTCTTTGTGAACCCTCCGGCCACCAATAATTCCATGTTTTGCAAGGCCATACAGCCTGCAGGAGGAGTAATCTTTTGACGTTTCTAGCCACGAACATACATCCGGAAGATGCCGAGACACTGCATTTTGCGACACAGAGGTGTGCTCCACATGCTGTCTCTTCCTCGATCCACGACCATCGTTCAAAGGCCAGTGTGATTTCCCACAGATCTCTCAAATGCTCTGCCATCGTTCTCTATCCGACATAATCGAAACTGCGCGTGGAGCTGAGTGCTGAGTCTTGAGTCTAAGCCTCCGGTAAGCGCTGCCAAACTTCAAAATATCCATAGTTCTTATGTTATCATATCATCCCCCAGTCATGGCTGCGCGCAGCAGGATGGATATCATACTTCAATTGGGAGTTGTACAGAACATGGTCAACTATTGACTCCTAACGGGCTGCGAAACATCTGCTTTCGAGACCTTGATACCCGCTCACCACGATGCTTTGCCTTGATACCTTGATAAATGCGTGAAGTTTAGTATTTCTCGCTCTATATGTGTCTTAGAGCACTTATGATTTTTATACAGCCTCTGCAGACACGTCGATTCGGGTGCGCTCGATTCTACGACATACGCGAAGCGCGACGCGTCTTGATCATGTGAGTGTCACGGTAACGCGCGAATACTCGCTCGGAGTCGATTAGCGCTGCCAGGCTCCGTCAACTTGAACGCCCCTCGCAGTTTGCGGCGTGCGCCGCGCCGCCCACGACGGTCAGTACGTGTGAACATACTCGGCCGCAGCCCGCCCGGGTCACCTTTTTCGGAGTCTCCGTCTGCGGGGTATTGTGTGCGAATCGGTGGTGCTGCGTGTGAACACGTTCGAGCAGAACCTGAGCCTGAGCCTCTTCACGTTCGAGCACTTGCCTCCAGTGCTCGCCATGGGTGGTTTATTCTCGAGCAGAGCGCCCAAATTTGACCCCGCCAAAGACCTCGCGGATCTTACTGGCAAGGTCGCGATCGTCACCGGTGGCAAGTGAGTTCAGCCTCACTCTCATCTGAAAAGCCCACTTACGAGCGAACTCGCCATGGAAACAGCAGCGGCATTGGCTACGCAACCGTGCAGCACCTCGCGCGCCAGGGCGCAAAGGTATACATCGGCGCGCGCAGTGAGGAGCGTGCTAAGGCCGCCATCGAGCGATTGCGCGCCGAGGGGCTACAGCCTAGGAACGGAGAGCTTGAATGGCTTGAGCTCGATCTGAGCGATCCACGCAAGGCGAAGGCAAGCGCGGAAGCGTTCCTTGCGAAGGAGAAGCAGCTGGACATCCTTGGTAAGCCGCTTACTGTGCCTTGCAGCTACGACTTCCATTGACGAATGCCGCTTCAGTTAACAATGCAGGCGTGTGAGTGGCATTTCAGCATTCCTTCGCCTTCGTTGCCGATATGTGCTTCGCAGCATGCGCATCCCGTACAAGATCGACAGCACGTATGGTAAGTTGCTATTCATACTCGCCTTCGACGACCATACTGAGCTTCCGAAGGCATCCAGCAGAATATGGTTGTCAAGTACGTGCTTCGCTGCAGCCTATTCGACGCAGAAGTTCATCTGTCTACGACAGCCACTTCAGCCCATTCGTTTTCACAAAGGCTCTGCTGCCACTCCTGACCGAGACGGCCAAGGAGCCAGGTAGTGACGTCCGCATAGTGATAGTGAGTACGCTTCTAAACGCATATCCTATGAAACCTTTCATCGATCCTCTGACAGGTCTCGTCGCAAACGATCGGGATGATGAAGGGACGAGATGTGCACTTCCGCGACATCAACGAGATCAACGAGAAGTTTGGAAACGGCATATTTTCCGACATGTATCGATATGGTGACTATCTCCTGTATTCCGACCAACATCCTGTCAATACTGAAGTCTACGTTGCAGCATACAGTAAACTCGCCAACGCACTCTACGCGAAGCAGCTCCAGAGGCGGGTTGATCTCGAAGGAATACCCATCACCGTCATGGCCCTTCATCCCGGCTCCGTCAATACAGGTTGGCACATTCCCAAAACTCTACTTGGCATGAGACTGACAGAGTTTCGGCGACATGCAGAGGGTCTCAGGCAAGACCCTAGCGCGTCAATTCCTATCCTCGGTCGACTCGTCAAGTTCGTAATGGAGCACTTCTTGACCGGAGCCTCCGAAGGCGCATATGCGTCTTCCTTCGCTGCCGCGTCCCCGATCGTCAAGGCAGAGAGGGACAAGTACAAGGGAGCGTATCTCGACCCGCCTGGTAAGATCGTCCCCCCTCCTGCTCCCGAGGCAGAGAGCACGGAGCTTGCGGAAGAGTTGTGGGCCACAACCGAGACTATTTTGCAGTCGTTTGATCTGTAACAACGGTTTCGTGTAGCATCGAGACCTTCGGTCTAATCTTGACCTTGACTCGTGCATTAAGTATGAGCATTTCGATAGCTTGTCTCTCTAGGCCAGTGAGGGAAAACAAGTAGTAACTTACCAAAGCAGAAGAACCCAAAGCTCCACATTTTCCTTCAGTCTGGCGATCCGCTATGTATCGATCATTCCCGCCCTATCCATTTTACGACTGGTCTACGCGACGCGTCTCGATCATGTGAGTGTGACTGCTACACGCGAGTACGCGATCCTTGCTAAGCGCCAAGCTTCTCTCAGTTCAGATTGTTCCGCGGCCGAATCGTCCGCGCGTACGCGCGGGCCACGGCAGGCCTAGGGGCTATTCATGATCAAAACAGGGGAGGACGTGCGAACGATATTCGCGCGGAGCTTGGGATGACGGGCATTCGCCTTATCAACGCTGGCCCTCCTAAAGGCTTGATATCCTGAACAGTCGTCATGGGTGGCTTATTTTCCAGCAGCACGCCAGCGTTCGACCCAACGAAGGACCTCGCGGACCTCACAGGCAAGGTCGCGATCGTCACCGGTGGCAAGTGAGTGAGATTCCGCAATTGTCTGGGAGACCTACTCACGAACGATGTCTCCGTGTAAACAGTAGCGGCATCGGCTATGCAACTGTGCAGAACCTCGCGCGGCACGGCGCGAAAGTCTATATCGGCGCGCGCAGTGAGGAGCGTGCCAAAGCCGCAATTGAGCGATTGCGCGCCGAGGGACTGCAGCCCGGGAACGGAGAGCTGGAATGGCTTGAGCTTGATCTGAGCGACCCACGCAAGGCGAAGGCAAGTGCGGAGACATTCCTTGCGAAGGAGAAACGACTGGATATTCTCGGTAGGTCCCCTCCTCTTCCTTGTATTTACCGCCTTCATTAACGCACGCCTCTACAGTAAACAATGCAGGCGTGTCAGTGGTAGCCCTGTATCGTTTTGCGTTTGATGCTAATAGGGGTTTATCACAGTATGCGCATTCCCTACAAGATTGACAGCACCTATGGTAGGTTGCTGTCCGTACTCGTTCTCAGTCAATGTACTAAGATTCCGAAGGCATCCAGCAGAATATGCTTGTGAAGTACGTGCATCATTACTGTCTTCTTACCAGAGACTCATACTGCAACGACAGCCACATCAGCCCGTTCGTTTTCACGAAGGCGCTGCTGCCACTCCTGAGCGAAACGGCCAAGAAGCCAGAGAGTGACGTCCGCATAGTCATAGTACGCACTTACCCCGATATCCTCCTGGGCAGCCGTTCACCGGTCTCAATCAGGTCGCGTCCCAATCGATCAGTGCGATGAAAGGCCGGGATGTACACTACCGGGACATCAACGACATCAACGAGAAGTTTGGAAACGGCATGCTTTCCGACTACTACAGATACTGTGAGTATTTCTCTACCTCTGCCGCATTATCCCGTAGTTCAAGACGACTGTGCAGCTTACAGCAAGCTTGCCAACGTGCTTTACGCGAAGCAGCTGCAAAGACGGCTCGACTTCGAAGGGATACCCATCACCGTCCTGTCCCTTCACCCCGGCGCGGTCAACACAGGTGGGGATGCCCCCAAATTACTTCTATGCTTTGACTCGGAGGCTGACAGTGCTTCCACGGCATGCAGAGGGTGTCAGGAAGGACCCCGGCGTGACCATGCCTATCATTGGGCCCATCCTCAAGCTCGTGATCGGGAAGCTGTTATTTGCAGCCTCGGAGGGCGCACACGCATCGTCCTTCGCTGCCGCGTCCCCGATCGTCAAGGCGGAAAGGGACAAGTATAAGGGAGCGTACCTTGACCCCCCTGGCAAGATTGTCCCACCGCCTGCTCCGCAGGCTGAGAGCAAGGAGCTCGCGGAGGAACTGTGGGCTACGACAGAGACCATCTTGCAGTCGTTCAATCTGTGATAGGGACCTTGTGGTTTACGTATCGTGTCTACTACTTTGTGGGTCATGATTCAATTCCGCTCTCAGACTGGGAGCATGTTTTAATGGAAGTAGTTTGCGTACATCGATACAAATTGCAATTCAAGTAGAGAGCCAGGAACTGGTATAACTTCCTTGAGTCGAATGAACTCGAAGAGGTATCGCGCCCTTGTTCCTCCGGCGTGTCCTATTCCAAGCCTGCCTCATGTCTGTGGCACCGTCGAGACCTAGGGAATCCTCCACATAGCGATTCCGCTTCTCTCCTTATCGACCTCCTTCTTAGCCTCCTTACTTTCGCCGCTTCGGATAGCAGCGGCGACGAGCACCTTGATTGCGCCCTTCAGCGCCTCCCGCTTCTCCTCCAAGTCCGCCACCGCCGTACCGTCCTGCACATCCTCTCCCTCGCCCGCCTGCTCCGTTGAGAGCACGACCCGCTCCCAGTCAGTGCACAGGTCGAGGAACTCGTACAGCACGGTCGTAATCCCCTCGAATTTGCCCTCCGCGCTCTTCGCATCTGAGGCATCGCCCTCCGGCAACGCGACCTTCCACAGCTGCTCCAGCGTGAGCGTGTCCCACGCCAGCAGCGGCGCCCCTATCTTCGCAGGCACGACGAGCGCGGGGCATCCGTTCAGCAGCTGATACTGCACGACGCTCTCGCTCGGGCGCGCGCTCGTTGTCCAGAACGTGCGGTGCGGCTTCAGCCCGACGACAAATACCGCGAGGCGCCGGGGCGTCGGCGGCGGCGGAAGCGGGGTGAGCGCCGGGTCGGGCGACGGGGTGCGCGAGCGCGAGAACACGTTCGAGAGGTTCGGGAGGTTGAGGTTGTGCGCGGAGTGCGGCTGGGGAGCGGCTGGCTCCTCCGAAGGAGGGGCGACGACCTTACTGAGCGAGATGACCGCCGCGGACTCGGCGAGGAGCGCCTCGCCCACCCTGTAGTCACCTATCAGCGTTTCGGGCGGTCAGCAGTTGGCAATGTCGCTGCGGCGATCGGGATGGCTGGCGTACCGGACAGGAATGGACCGTGACAAAAGATGACATCTGGCTTGACCGAGCGCGGGATGACGGGGCGGCGGCCGCTCGCGAACAGGTATGGCGAGAACCAGCCCTTCTCGACCGCGAGGTAGTCCATGACGCTCGCGAACAGCGAGTTGTCCCTATCGCAGGCGAACGAACACAGGTGGTCAGTGGGCGTCCCACTCATTGATTATACTGTCGGAGACCGTCTCCGGGCTCACTTGTGCAGTCCACTGCGGTAGAACCCAAGCGAGGCATCCTCAGGGACATGTTTGTACTTGAGCGTGATTGTCATCGTCTTCACACCGGTCGTCTCGAGCCTGCGCGAGTGAATAGGAAATGCTTTCTTGATCGCTCCGTCGAAGATGAGGTCGTTCGCAGCCTTGGTGGTGAGATCGAATCCGACGTGCATGCCCACCTCGACTAAGATGGTGTCCCCCAGCGTGGACACCACCACGTCCGAGACGGGGCCCATGACTGGTGCTGCGACCGCGGCCATGCCGCCCTACGCGCATTACGAGGCGTCCAGAAGGGCGGCGGCACGCCACGAGGCGGACAAAGCGGTAAAATCGACGTCAGCGGCAGATTCGACACGAGCAGGGCGCTGCTGGAGTTGACTTACGGTCGCAGCTATGATAGTGTGCACCGCAAGATCCCTGAACCGAATGCACGGTAGAAGGAGGGGAGACGAGTCGCCCCACTGTGCAGCAGCAACGATCGCGTGGCGCGGGCTCGAATCAGCGAGATCGTGTCGCAACCAGCCATTTGCACGGACGTACCGGTGACAAACAGACGACATTGGTGCCAGACGCCCTCAGGGTCTCCCATGAGGACCGCACAATGCGGCCTGTCATCGACTACATGGTGCGCCGCGGGCGCGCGCAAACGGTCGCAGTCAGCATGCGCAGAAGCCGCCCGCGCCGTCAGATGAGATGGCCGACGCACCCCCACGAGCTTCCGGACGATCCATGGCGCGGACTTCTCCGTCTCGGCCTCAGGAACTGAGGCTGGGTCAATCGGACCCAGCGGGGAGACGGCGCTGCTCATCGTAGGCGGCCTTCTCTTGGCGGTTCTTGGCTGGTGGGATTACTTGCGAAATCGAGGGCAGACCCGGAAGGGTCGCTAGGACCCCCAGATCTGGCCATGGGAATACCCAGATCTGCGGAATCATGGAGTCTATCATGATAGGAACCATCTATACGAGCGGAAGTATGCGGCACCCGTGCCTTCGACGGCGTATATGGACAACACGCCATCCCTCAAGTGCATGTAACTGCATGAAGAACGCGGAGAGCGTTGTGCACCGGTTGAAGGTGGGAGGATGGTAGCATCGAAACATGGAGCACAAGATTGTGGTGCACGCACTGCAGTGGCGGAGGGCGCCTACAATCACCAGGGTGAACGCAAGCGCGCCGAGGTGAGAGCATTGTGAGAGGCTAACTCACGAAATCGATGCACCGAGCCACAGATGGGCGGTTCACGACACTGCTACGTTGTTCGCAGGCTCGCAAAACAATGTTTCACAGACGATGCAACACATAACCATCCAATCATCCGCTCGTACGACATACATGAGAAGGGCGCGTTGAGGCCCATACGACGGCATCATCACCCCAGCCGTCTCGACACGGCAAACTCGGCGTCACCTCCTCGCCCGGCATCGAATGCCACCGGGCGGGACGTCCAGCCACCACCCTGCCTCCAACCTAACCTCGAGGGTCGTTGAGGATCCCATACGTATCGGATCTTTTCTGGAGTGGGCGCGTTGAGGCCGATGTTCGTCTACGCAGCGAAGCACGTCACGACGAGAGCATCTAGTAGCGGTAGTGCGACGGCTTGTACGGGCCGTTGGCGGGGATGTCGAGGTAGGTCGCCTGCTCGGGCGTGAGCGTCGTGAGCTTCACGTTGAGCTGGGCCAAGTGCGCGCGCGCGACTTCCTCGTCGAGCTCCTTGGGGAGCATGTGGACGCCGAGCTCGAACTTTCCGGGGTTAGTCCAGAGGGCAATCTGGGCGAGGACCTGGTTGGCGAACGAGCAGGACATCACGAACGAGGGGTGGCCAGTGGCGCATCTATGGATCAAAGATTAGTAGCTGCAAATGTTATGATATCATTCGACACGCACCCCAAGTTCACAAGGCGACCCTCAGCAAGGAGGATGATGTGACGGCCGCTGGCCATGGTGTAGCGGTCAACCTGGGGCTTGACGTTGACGGCCTGGACGGCATTCTTCTTCAACCACGCAACGTCAATCTCGACATCGAAGTGACCGATGCTAAGGCTCATGTTAGCGAAAGACGGCGGCGTTATGATAATGACCACGTACTTCGAAACGATCGCATCCTCAGGCATAACCTCGAAGTGCTTCGCGGTGATGATGTCCCGGTTACCAGTGGTGGTGACGAAGACGTTGGCACGGGGAGCAGCCTCCTCCATGGTGGTGACCTCGTAACCAGCCATCGCAGCCTGGAGGGCGTTGATGGGGTCGATCTCGGTGATGAGGACACGAGCTCCGTAAGAACGGAGAGACTCGGCGCACTGGAGAATTCGTTGAGAACTTGTTCAGATCAGAGAAGAGAAGAGAACCACTTACGCCCTTGCCGACGTCACCGAAGCCGGCGACAACAGCGACCTTCCCGGCGAGCATGACGTCCGTGGCACGCTTGATGCCGTCAACGAGGGACTCGCGGCAGCCGTAGTAGTTGTCGAACTTCGACTTGGTAACGGAGTCGTTGACGTTGATAGCGGGCACCTTGAGCTTCCCATCACGGAACATCTTGTAGAGGTGGTGGACGCCGGTGGTGGTCTCCTCGGACAAGCCACGGATGCCTACGCTTTGATATTAGCGTACATCTTGATGTTTGGAACGCCGAAACATACCAGCGAGATACTGGGGGTACTTGTCGTGAACGAGGGTGGTAAGATCACCACCGTCGTCGAGGATCATGTTCAAAGGCTGGTTGCCCGAGAACGCAGACAAAGTCTGGTCAATGCACCAGAGGTACTCCTCCTCGGTCTCGCCCTTCCAGGCGAACACGGGAACACCAGTGGCAGCGATGCTAGTAACCGATATAAATATTCTTTTCTTGGCTGAGTTATTGCAGGCCCACTTACGCAGCCGCAGCATGGTCCTGAGTCGAGAAGATGTTCTAACGAGCCGGGCTTGTCATTATGTCGTTCGAAATCGAGACGTGATAGATACTCACGCAGGACGACCAAGACACCTCGGCACCAAGAGCCGTCAAGGTCTCGATGAGAACAGCGGTCTGGATGGTCCTGATGACAAAAGATCGTCAATCGCCAGGATCAACGGCAACCAACGATATAACGCGTACATGTGAAGGCAGCCGGCGATACGGGAGCCCTTGAGCGGCTTGGAAGCGCCGTACTGTAGCATTTTGAATATCAGCGCTATAGCGGGGAAAGACAATCCGTGGATCCTCGCACCTTCTGCCTCATGTACATGAGTCCAGGCATCTCATGCTATATTGTCGTCGACATCGTCAGCGAAACATCCTGGACTGCATACAACCTGACCGCACCTCAGCGATCTCGATCTCCTTGCGACCGAACGCAGCGAGAGAGACATCTGCGACTATGGTCAATCCCCGACTCATCCACTTTTAGTGGATCCACGTACCAGCGACCTTGAAGACCATGGTGTTTGGAGATAGCGGTGAGGTGGAAGGTGAGAGTGAGGAGGGGGTGGGGAGGAAAGAGAGGTGGGTGGGGCGGCCGCGGTTTTATTTGCATGCAGAATCGGACGAGCATCTAATCCACGCGGGACGCACGTGGTCGAAATCCGGCGGCCTCAGCGTCTCAGCGCTTCAATCGTTCGGTGCTCTGGCCTCCTCCACGCGAAATCTCATCCTCCCAGACGCGCCGACTGTGCTCATCGCTACCGTGCAACGCCATGGCGTCGTCCACGGGCAAGGAAACACCTCCGAGCAAGAAGTGTCGCCTTGCTGAGATAGTGCAGTTCAAATGTGAGCCCGGACTGCAAGCGGACGGGCCGCCACAGTGGCACTGTTTACCAGTCATCCGTATATTCAGAATGTACCTTCATTCGCACCGTTGCCGTTCGGACACGTATGCTGACGCTTATCTGCGAAAGATGCCAGGATAGGCCGGCCGTGGAACTCACCAAGTTCGTTGACATGAACGTGGAGACGGGTGCCGTTCAGGTACCTCCCCAGTCAAGGTACGTCGAAGCTTGTATCGTTGCATCACAATGCTGATCATGATACAGTCAAGTGCTACCCAAAGCTAAGCTATGGAGGGACATCACTCGGTACGAAGACAAGGCAGCGAATGACCTCTAAGGTTATACCGCGCTTCCTACCCACGGCATCGCAGGCCTCCGCCGCGGCGTGGGACAGCTACTTGACGCCAGGTTCCCTTGAATCTCTCTATTGTATGCATGGGAAGAGTTGACGATCATGGTCGCTGCATGGAAGAAAACGCGCGCGATAGCTACACACCGACCGTGCACCAAAAAGTCATCAGTATTGTCGTCTGTGGATTGACGTGCCGATAGGTGAGTGTACCGGTGTCCAGTTGTCTGTCCGCGTTCCCACAGAGGCTTCTCTATGAGAGAATATCCTCGTCACTTTATGTCGAGTTGCACTTGGACATACTGTCCCGGAAACGATTGCACCCACTCCCAGCCAGACATATGTCAGTCGCTGTCCAGCGGTGCGTCCGGCAGTTCAAATTAAAGAGCCCGGGAAGGAGACATACTTGAACACCCGGACCCGCTGTGCAGATCCCCACTTCCCGCTTCATTTGGTTCACCGCCGGCTTATTGACAGTAGCCCTGTCAAGTGGCCAAGCACTCGTCTCCATCAGCGGCGCCCACATGATGCGGTATCCGATGTGGAATCTCTTTAATGCGGTGATGGCCTTGCAGATCAGCAGTGTCCGTTGCCTCTGCGGACGTTGCATTGATAACCTTCCTGGCGGCAACGGAGATGTGACTGCCGATCTGGGAGACTTGTTGCGTTGTTCGGAAGGGGCGTCACTCGTCCGTACGCGATTTCGGAATCCAAAATAGGCTCATTACTGAAGGTGTCAATATGTACGTGTGATCCTAACACGCCGGTACTGTTGCCGGACACACTATTTGCTTGACGTATTTCGGACATATGCTGACTACCGTCGTTGTAGGAATGACAACAATATCCACAAGTGTGAAGTCCCAGCGCTAAATACGCCGGGATGATAGGTCTCAATGCTGGCTCTCATCAATGATGCGTTGCTTCAAAGACGGCGTTGCCCCCCTACGGACAACTACGGAGATATTACTGAACGAACTTCGTCGGCACCCCCAAAATGGACAGCGAATACAGCGGTCGTCTGACCCATGGCATCGAAGCCTGACGTATGGCGGTACGCCTTGCGACCGTGCTTCCCCACCACCAAAAGTACGTGTGTCATCGCTGCGCTGGAACGGTACGCACTATGGAGCGACTTCTCGGCCGTGTGGACGAACAGCGCTCGCGAAGCCTGCATTGACGGGTTTCGGAACGGGCCCGCACGGACGTAAAATTCGTGCGTGTGGGTTCGCGTGGTCAACGTCCACAAGTTGTTCTTCGCATGGCATGCCGCAGGTATCCACGTAAAGTACGTGTCATACGTCTGGAACGTATCGGTCGGTTTGTCAACGGACTGTGCTAATGAGACATTTGGCTCATGCTAGGCAGGCGATCGCTTCCTCTGGCTGGACGTTTGGCCAACTGTTTACGAGGTCGGAGGGGGTGCGGCATGACATCCGTGCGTTCGATTCCGCAGATTCGCGCGCAGCAACGGTTGCAGGGGCGTCTAAACGTACTGATACGTTAATCATTCCGTTGAGATCTAGCTGTAAGTCTCTCGGCCACAATGATATGGGCGCGGCGGTGTGCTCGCACTAGACACTACCTCAACTGGTTTTCGTATAGCGGCCACGCAACACGGAAGTAAGGTACCCGTATTGCTTGGCCGTTTTCCACAATGCCGCAGGATCGCGCAGGACGCGTTATTTTCAGATTTAGTACTGCACTGCCCTCCTGGGCCTGGCAGGACAGGTTTGTCGAGATGCCCCTTCCAGGCAATAACACGTGATAGATGATAGATGATCAACACACCGACGCTATGCAGCGCTGCCTCGGACGGGCATACCGGATGTTGCCCTGTTCTCGGCCGGAGAAAAGCGTGAGTTGCAATGCTCGGACTGCCTGTTTGTGCTGGGCGATGCTGGTGACAGTGTTTACCATGAGAACGTGGGGAAGCCTCGGTGGCTTGCGTACGCAGAATCAGCTCGCTATCATGTGCGTGTCATCTTCTTCTGATCCAGATGGCTACGACGGAGGGTCCACTGTGGTCTCTATATCCCACATCAAATCGAGGCGGTCCCTGTCGGTTGGACCAGCACTCCGGTCTTCTCCACCCAGACCCGCATGCAGGATGCCCTTCAGTTTACAGGATCGCTGCCCCTCGCGACATTTGATCATCTCCGCTGCCGCTCCTCAACAACCCAGTATGTCCGAATGGAGCCACTGCGACAAGTGAGCTGTTAACATTTGCATGCGATGTCCAGGGAGGAGATGACACCGCCACTGTGTCGTGTTTCACCATTTATACTGCCCTCTTCACCGCTACTCCGCCACTCTCGCTTTAGAGTCCCGTCCCTCCCGAGCTCTCCACGTTGGCTACTTATCTTCCGTCGCCACCTCCCTCTCCCTCCCTAACCCTGTCGATCTCGACATCCCTCCTTAGTCCCTTCCGTGCACAACCAGTGCCCCGCAGTCCTTCTTCCTCGGCTCGAGCCGCCAGACTAGACAAAACACCCTATCCTAGACCTCACAACAGACTATCCAAAATGTCGCAAACCCCATATGCAACGTGGCCGACTGGCGTTAAACCCGAGCCGGAACAGTATCTTAATAACGCGCAATCATCCATCGCGTCAAGCCGCCGGAGCGGCGCAGCAGACCAGCAAGCCGCCTTCGGATATGCCGGCGGCTTCCCTCAGGTGCGGAGCTCGGGGCACTGTTCATACGCCTATGCTCACCTGAACTCTAGGCCGACGCGCAGCGCCGCATGCAGTCCCGCTCGGGGATGCGCCCTCATTCAAGTTCGACGTCGAGCCTGTCTGGCGCGATGGGCGACGCCCAGATCGGTGTCCAGCCCCGCACGTCCGTGACTCCTCCCTCCGGGCTGGCCTCGTGGACCCCTTCCCCCACCGCCACCTCGATGTCTGGCGCCTTCATGGGAGCTCCCGAGGACCCCAGCATGGCGTACCTCGGACAGGTCAACTCGGCCAGTCCCTCCGGTGCTTTCGCGTCGTTCTCCCAGTACACCGGCATGGGCATGTACGCCTCCCCGGAGACGTCCCCCGGGCTCGTCTCAGGCTTCTCGGACCAGTACGCGTACTCGCAGGACCGGGGCCAACAAAACTCCACCCCGCCCTCGGGTGCGGCGGCGATGATCATCTCGCCCTCTTCGACGCCCGCCCCGATGCAGTCCTCGCGCCGCAACACCCCCGAGAGGCTCGAGGAGGAGAACCGCCGCCTCCAGGTGCGCATCCGCCAGCTCGAGATTGTCAGCGAGTCGTCCCGCCGGCGGGTCCGGGAGCTCGAGACGGAGCTGTCGCGCGGCGCGTACGCGGGCGGGCTCCCGACCCCGATCTCCACGCCCCAGCCGCACTCGACGTTCAACGAGGAGTGGAATGCGCGCACCGAGGCGCGCATCCGGACGTACTGCTCGCTGAACCGCGCGGGCAACGCCCTGTGCGCGTGGCACGACTCGCGCCGCGAACGCCGTAAGTACCCGCCGCGCATGGCACCCCCGGGCTACCTCAACTGCGGGTGCACGTTCGAGCAGGCGCTGTTCGAGGAGAGCCTCTCGCGCCACGGCGTGGGCAGCTACCACCCCGGGGACAGCGTCCGCATGGACCCCGAGCTCAGGAACCCGCTGCTGCACCTCCTGCAGACGCGCTACGGGTACCGCGACGGCGACTTCGAGCGCGACCCGCGCACGGGCAACTGGCTCGAGGGCGAGGGTGCCGAAAAGTGGGAGCAGAAGGCCGCGTCCGGCGGGGCATACTCGAAACGCTCCCGCACCGAGGCCGGCAGCGCCAAGTAATGAATCTTGAATGTAAGTCGCACACCACACTGTATCGCCTAGTCCGCACACACTACACCCCCACTGTCTCTATAGTCTGCATTCTTGCTTTGCCCGCTTTCTTCTTCTACCTTCTAATTATTCGCGTACTTTGGCATTTTTTTCGTTCGCCACCTTCTGTTTGCTATATTGTATTGAACGGATACCAGTGAGCATCCGGGTTTTTCCTCTTTTTGTGTATCCATATATCCACATACCCGTGCAGTCTTGTTGACGCACGCCGGACTTGTTACCCCCAGCTTCGTTCTATCCCCCCTGTAGCTCTAGTCTCTGCGCGCTCGATAGATGACTCGATACCGATCTGTAGCATTACCACCACCCTTGTACCTTACTCATTTTCTCAGTAATGAATTTATCTCTTGTAGCATTCATTCGTCCTTTCGTGTCGGCATTGAAACTCGGCATGTCCCATCAAGTGATAGGTCGATCTCTTTGCACGACACACTCATCTGAGTGTTCCCATCGCGGTCTGCGACGCGTCGCATTGGTCTACTTTAGACATACGCGCATTACAAGTATCCAACGTAATCCAATACTTCCGAGTATAGAGAACATCATCGATTCGAGAATCTTCACGCAGTCGGCTTCGCATAAGCGTACTCTCCTCCTTTCTCCAGGCCCTGAGAAACGGTCAGCATTGACAACCACTGGTTCGGCCGGCCAAACTTACACGTTGGTAGGCAGGTCTGTTGGGAAACATTGGGTCAGCACAGAATAGCCGACGCGAAGGAAATTGTAGTCACCTCGCGTGGATTCTGGCAACGTAGGCCTTCGTCTTTTCACCAATCTCGCCGCGGGTGCCCCAGGCCTCGAGGCAGAATATCATCATGAAGTCCGCGGCCGTCGGCTCTTCGCCTCCCGCAAAGAACTGGCGGTCATCCTTGGCGAGATGTTTCTCAATCTGTGAAGTCTTAGTCACCGCGACTCAATGCCTGCAATACTTCAAACGCTCACCATCTCCGCGTGGATCTTGAGGCGCGGGTCGAGCATCTTGGCTGAAACCTGGTTGAAGACCGCCGACAGGATAGGGCGGATGAAGAAGGGAGACCTCTCCGGTATGATCTTAAAAATGAGCTTGTTCACCAGCATCGGCATCAGCGACGCCTCCGAGTAGTGGGTGACTGGAATGAGATTTGTCAAGACAGGCACGACGTCGAGCATTAAACATGGCACTGACAGTAGAGGTCATCTATCTTGCCGGACGCGGGAGGTTGAGCACGTCCATTGCCATACTTCTGTATAATGTACTCTATGGTGGCGTTAGCGTCCCATCTAAGTTGGATGCATGGAAACCCGAGAGCGGATGAGACACCGGTTTCGTGTCCGCTGTTGGCGGACCAAGCACAGCGAAACTCATGCTCTCCGTAAGCCGCAGAGCAACGTACCGACAATTGCGCCACTTTCCGCCAAGTTCAGACCGTCATCAGTAATGGCCGGTGCAGTTCCCAACGGGTTCACGGCTTTGAGCTCCGGAGGCGCCGTCATCTCCGCTGTGCGCTGATATTTCTTCAGCTCATAGGGCACCTCCAGCTCCTCCTGCATCATTCCGTGCGGAACGCGCGCCCGTCAGCCGTCGATGGAAACTGGTACAGCGATCCGGTAACAGCGAACGCACCAAGAGCCACAGAATGCGTTGCGAGCGCGAGTTGTTCAGATGGTGCACAACCAATTTGGGCGCCGTGGCGTCTGGGACGGTCGGTGCAGCGGGGGAAGCCATGATGGTGGTGGTAAGGAAACAGGTTCGACGTTGGGAACAGCTCGAGAGCGTGCAACCGTCGGGCGACCCGATGGGCGGGGCAATAGGGCCCTCATCGGCGGAGAACGTGCACCTCACGGTCGTCCGGCAATGGGGACCCCGCAGCGGCGCCACATGGGCGCCTGTGAACGTGCTCTCGCCCAGGCGCATACAGTCGCGCCCACCCTGTTCCCCATCTCCCATCCTCTGCGCACCACTCCCGCGACGTTTCGCAGAGCGCGCCCAAGGGCACAGCAACAGTGGCACCTTCTTCACACACCCATACACGATGCGCCCTTCAATGCCGTTGATGGCCTTCTTGCCCTTGACTAGCGCCTTCTCATGGGCGCATACATCCCTGTGGAAGTCGGCCAGTCCACAAGGGTTGGGCGAGATAGAAGGTACGTCGGGCGCGTGCAACGACGTCGGGGGCTCACCCGTCCATGCATAGATACTCCAATGCCCGACGAAGTCGCGTTGGTTTTGCAGGCTTCTGGTGAGTGCAGGCACCAGCGGTTGTGGCGGTCATCACCGACCATGCGCAGAGACCCTCGAGAGGTACTCGACAAGACCAGACTGCTTCAAACGCGCTGCTGGCAAAATCCGCTCAAGCTGCGCTGAACTGGAGTCACACGAAGACGCGCGCGTCAGAGGTTGCACACCTATCTGTGATCGCAAGGGCGTTGCTGATCAAGTCCATCTCTCCAGCTGCGCTATCCATGACGCTGTGCGAAATTGCTACTGCAGAACATCAGTCTCCACCCATGGAATGTATCCCTTTTCAGGTGGGCCACGACGGACAGCCTCCACGTTATGTTGGCGATTCGCCTGGGAAATGTGTAGAGTGAGTTGCACGAAGCCGACAGGAATACGTACATCGGCTGATGTTCTACAGAGCACTATCACGCAGCGCGCAGTACTGGTCAAGCTACTCGGGGTATCTCCGAGAAGTTCGTAAGTGTTACGTCTCAGCGGTTTGCCACCACCCTCACCCCACGCGCACTGGACAGCTCAACTATGTTTCGCTTTCCGGCGTTGGAACGATATAGGTAATGAGACTCCCGGCAGATGTCGTCTGCGATCTGACGAACTTTCTGACAGACTTGGCCAAAGACCTGCATCACAACTCGACGCTCCAGAGTCTTGCGGTTTTGCGTTATCTTGCTGACCGAGAGGCGACGTTCGAACGAACTCTAAACAGCTCCAACGAAGTGGTCGAAGTACGCATGTCGCTTCGAGCACTCGACGATATCATTAAGATGGATATTTTTGCAGAGCATGCACATGATATTGGACGAACTGCATGCATCCTCCGCCACCATCAATGTAGCGTCTAACGCTGTATCCGAGCAGTTGAGGCAAACTTTCAACGAGGTACAGTGTCGTCCCTTTGCTCAATGCGATGCGAGTTGCACCACACTGACGCGACCCGGTCGCAGGTTAGCCATGCCTTTCGGGAAGCCGTCGTGCACACGCGACGAGAAGTTGTCGAAGAGCATTCCGCTGATCTTGTCAAGGCGTGTTATGTTCCATCTTCCTTCGGTAGGAAGATCTCATCCAATAGCTGCAGATTGAGTCTACAATTTCCAACGTCCTGCAAAACGTGCGTGTTCATCTTTACAGGGCCTCAATCATGGCTGAAAAATCGCGAATACAGCTCGCTGTGGCAACCTCAAACATCGCGCCCGCCATAAATGAGATACTCACTCAAACCCTAGAACATGTATATTCTTCGATGGACATCAAGCTGCATAATATGGATATGTTGTCGGTGAGCTGGACACTTCGTCTAACTGCGAACTCATGCTGAAACCTGACAGGATCGTATCAGTCTCCAGTTCGTGGGCTTTGAGCGCGATCTCGAAATTGTCCGCCATGTATGTGCAATAAATCTCGGATGGCTTCCCGGGACCTGATCGCCTTCCTGAAACTACAACAGGGTGTTCGCCACCTGATAGGGGAGACGCAGCAGGCGGGCGAGGCGTTGGCAGACAGCGTACGGGAATCTGTCGTGGCTCACGAAAGACAGGTCGCAGTAGCTCAGGCAACGAACGACGTCGTCAACGCCCTCAACGGCCTTGTGGACAAAGCGCATATAGAGATGGAAAATATCAACGGCACCGCCAGTGCGATGAAGGAGTCACTCCTCAAGGACATCTCCGGTGGCTGGGGCGTCTTCACTTGGTCCTGGCTGGAGGCAGCGTCCGTCTACTCCGTGAAGTCCTTGTGGAACGGTGCGCAAGATGCCCGCGTGGGAGGCCCAGCTCACGTTGTTCTCCGCAGCCGATGTGACCCTGGATATGCCTGCCTTCCGCGCTCTCTTCGTGTTCTCTCGCATGCTCTGGTCGCTTCTTGGCCTTGCATCTTCCGGACTGATGGTCAGTGCGTTCTTTGATCACCACGTGGTTGCATGCTTCTTCTACCTTTCCAGAGCACACTCGTGCTGCTTGCCTCAAGAAGAACGCTGTTTTCCAGGCACCGTGGAGAAGACTACGCCGGCGAAGACCCTCTCCGTGTGCTCTCTAACGCTCACTCACCTCGAGTGAGATACTCTAGTCATCAGGCAACTGGTACATCTCTGGGTTCTGACCATGCTGTCCTTGGGCCTGCGGACTCCGACCAAGCTCTGGCACCCTCTACGGCAGCAGCATTCCGCCAACGTCGACCTCGCGTCTCCAGGATCCCCGATAGACTGTGCAAGCCACCCGCCATCTGAATGTTCGGGTTCTTCCCTGCCTTGGACTGGATCGTTCTTCGCCTTCGTTCTTTGTATCATTATCCAAGTCTCGGGGCTCTCGCATCTCTGCATTGTTGTTTCCATATACATACCCGCGCTTCGGAGCGATACATCTGTATGATTGTAATTCGTGTGGAAATCCCACGCTTGTTCACTGGATAGTGGCCGAAGGGCCCGCATCTCTTTGCCATCCCGACAAGAAGGCCTCGGGGAGCGGCGTCGGGGATCAGGCAAACAAATGCCGGCGTTAACCCCTTTACAAACAGGTTAACGCTCACTTAGTAACACGGTCACCAAATTGGGAAGCGAGAAGCTTACTGCGTTACAACGCCTATTACCGCGGCTGCAAGCTGTGCGCCCCGGAATAGCGTGGCTTCAGAGTTAGTGTTGGCGCTCGGGCCACCCTCCCACAAACACACCACCACCACCTACATGGTCGACGTACGCCGCCCGTACCACACCGAGCAGCTGGGCCCCCGCGGCGGGCCCACGCTGATGCACGCACCGGGGATGACTGAGCGGGGATGGACGAACGGCCCCGCCGGCTACCCGGGTATGACAAAGGAATACGCAGATGCTGCGGTACCGAGCCACCACAACAATAGCGGTCCCGCCAGGTCCCATTTACCTTACTTTGTCGACCGAGACACGATCTATGCGACCGCACCCGTGAGTGGCGGATTTTAGCCAGGTCTATGCGGCACTCGCTTATATTCCGCTCTCACACCTCACCTCTTCCTAGTACCACACACACGACACCACTCGCGGACCTCCTGGAAGCCCCATGAGTTTACCGCAGCAGCATACAGTCGCGCGAGACGCGCGAGGAAGACCGCCAGAAGGTCTGCCGCAGCGGCCCGAGCCGTATATGCGCCCACCCGGTGCAGCGAAGGTCTGCTTCCAACTGCGATGTACTTCCACCTACCCCTGCTGACCCTTCTCGTTTGCTTTCAGATGTCGCAGCCGGAAGTCTGTCGGCTGTTCATTGCGGGACGCTGTACGTGGGGAGACAAATGCCATCGTTCACACAATGCGGGTGGCGTGACGCCGCAAGACGTGGCTCCCGTGGCGTTAGCGAGCATTCGCCCTGAACGAACGGACGTACGCGGAATTCAGCCTCAACTCCCAGTATCGCCCGGCGTTCGGGTCGTTGACGGCACTTATACCGACCGGTTCCATCGGATTCATAGACTAGAAGACAATCAACCTGCCGGGGCCTTTGTGGCGACGGGGGCGGCTGTACCAGCTGCATCAGCCAACCCAAAACCTCGCAATGAACCCTCGGATCGGCGCCTTAGTGTGCTCATCGCCCAACCGCAACATCCCCCAATAACCACGGCTCCACCTCCAGAACAAGAACAGTACCCGGAGAACCTAGACGCGCAAAGATTGAGCAGAGCAGCGGAATTAGACCCGCGCCCCAGTAGGGTGAGTATATGTCTCAGGCGTTGTAAATGACCCGCTGGAATGTGACTTCCCATTGCACACAGAGAACCGACGAGGTCTGCCAGTTGTTTCAGAAGGGCCTATGCCCCCGCGGTGATAGATGTCACATGTCCCACATATTCCTGCTCCCCCAGTCGTGTATCACGCAGCTGTTGCCCCGAGCTCCGAAGCCAGTGGCTAAAAAGGTGAGTTCGCCATCACATTCCTGCTATAACACTTCGTCCAACAACTCGACTGTAGATTCCCGCGACCATCCGCGAAACCGTAAGCTCATAACGTACCGAACATAGTGTTGGGCTGACGTAGATTAACGAACTGTCGCAACAGGCTCCGGATGGATCAATTCGTGAGCGAGAGGTCTGCAAGATGGGGGCAATCGGTATGTGTCCTAGGGGAGATCGTTGCCGATATGCCCACATCACCGAATCCGAGCTCGAGAGCGAGGACAGCGATGACACAAGTGAGAGCAGCGCCACGGATGATCTGCGCCATGATCCAGAACTCAAGGACGTGTCCCAAGGTGGTTCTGTCGAAGCCTCTAATCAGACCAGTTCGAAGGTTCGGGTCCGACGTACCTCGTCTTCCGATCCCGCTCATTCTCTTTTCACAGAAGTCCAGGGAAATTTGCAGGCTCTACTTCACCAAAGGTCGCTGTTTCATGCGGCACTGTAAACATTCCCACAATATCTTGGATCTGGCTCGACTCCCACCTGACCACAAACTCGTTCTGAAGAATTCGGAAAAATTGTGTGAGGCTTTGGCGGCACAGGTGGCGGCTGAGTCCTCTACAGAGGCAACGACATCCTCCTCGGCTTCACACGAACCTCCTGCGATTGCTGACACCGCAAAAAAGCGTCAGAAGGGACCACGGAAGGTACGTAGAGTATGGCAAATTACGCATATGTTCTCACCGTCCCTTGGTATAGCCTGGAATTCCGACCTCGCCCGTTTCACTCCAGTCAGGTCAGCGAGAAGAGAGGCTGCACAGTGATTTTGAGTTGACCGGGTCCACAGATGGTGCTCCAAACCACAGAGACGTGCCCGCTACGTCTAAGGGAAAGGGTCGTGCTCACGACAAGCTCCCAGACATAGCCGACAGAAGTGCAGGCACGCGACCAAAGACTAGGCCTGCTTCGCCAAAGCTTCGTGACGATGCAGACGGCGATAGCACCGACGCGACGTTTTACTCTGCAGTGAGTATTTTCTGGCGTATTCTGTGGTACCTATGTGTAAACTCTCCACAGGATTCTCAGCTCGAAGGTCCTCGCCATTCGCCGGACACTTCGCTCGTTGCTTCACAGCCTATGGCGACGAGTACACGTGCGTGCTTGGACTACGTCAATGGGCGGTGTCATCGTGAAGTTTGTCGATACTCCCACAACGTCGACCGTGAGCAGATGCGTCTTCAGTACCAGGAGGTATGCATTTGTCTATCATGGATAGTGAACACACGCTCACATGATAGTGGTACAGCGCACAAGGGTGCTCCCACCGGATGGCATGGGCCACAACTCCTCTTTGCAAGCGCTGCCTGTTACCCATCCGTTGCCGTTGCGACCCATAACGGCTGCGCTTCCTCCCGGCCAGCAACAACTCCCTCATGTGCCTTCTCGAGGATCGGGCACCGGACGCCCCATTGCAAGCACCCGCCCTCCTCCTGGGCTCCCTAGCTCTCGAGCTCCGGTACTCCCGCCTGGCTTAGGCTTAGAGACGGTAAGCACAGCTTCGCCTCTCACGAAGAGAATCCGCATCTGATAGCAATAATCCAGCAGCTGACCAGGAATGCTTCGCAACCGCAAGCGTCCCCTGAATCGTTCACCATCACCGTCCTCGATTCCACCAAAGTGACGTTTGGACCTGGGTTCATCGTGACGCAGGTTGTCACCGGCTTCGAGTGTCGCCAGATTATCCTGGAGGGCGTCCCAGCTTCCGCTGTGCCTGCTTCCATCTCGGAGAAACTAGCGGTTTACGGGATGGTGACCACCATCGTCCCTACGGAGTCCGATCAGGGGGACAAGTACGCGGCCTACAAGGTGACCTTCGCAAGCGGCGATGCTGCTGCCCAAGCTGTCGCTGCCCTCAATGGGAAGAAATTCCTTGGTAGGACTGTCTCCGTTCGACTCGCGCCGAAGGCATCGTCGGTGCTTGGTGGGGGAACCTTCTGCGACACCGACGTCCTCTTCGAGTTGCCTGCGCCGTGGCAGAAAGGTTTCATCGGCTTCCCTACCGAGGAGCTGGCCCACAGGTCTATCGCCCTGGCCAAGACCGCGAACGTCGGTCTCTCTCAGGTCCACGCGGAGATGTTCCAGGGGATCCCGAACATAGGGATGTTCAATGTCCGCTTCTCGAACCTGCCCCCGAACTTCACCCCTGACGATCTCAAGAAGCACTTTGTTCACCCGCTGGACGAGAAGAAGAATGCTAAGCAAGGGGATAAGAAGAAGAACAGGAGAGGTGGTAAAGGAAAAGCAAAGCAGCATCCTACCGGTGATACCGAGGAGCCCGAGCCCGAGCCACCAACGGAGCTGTGCGAAGGAGTCATGATTCAGCGTGGCAAGTACACATCCCTGCAGGGTGCCTTCGCTGGTTTGAAGAGGATGCTGCAAGAGCACGACGAGGACGTCTCGATCAACGCTCTTCCTCCGCCGTACCACAAGTTCGTGCGCGTCTGGGCTCACTTCTCCAATCCGACAGCGGCCTCCAATGCGACCGCCGCTTTGGACAGGTTCTGCCCACGTTTCGTGGGCAAGGGGAGGATCTTCGCGCAGCACGTTAAGACCCTGCGGTACTCGCTACCCGCAAGCATCTTCGACGTTCTTTCCTATGACATCGATCTCCTGCGCTCCTACCTGCACGACGACGAGAATACAACCCTCTCCGTGATCGACAAGAGGGCGTCACTCGGGTCTGGCGCGGCTGTGATCGTCAAGCTGGTTTCCCAGAGCATGACGTCGCTCACGAAGGCGAAGGCCACGTTCGATCGCGTTCTTCGCGGCGAGAAGGTCACACACAACGGCCAGATCGTCTGGAACGACTTCTTCGCAAGCAAGGCTGGCGAGGAGTTCCTGCGGGAGCTGGAGGAGGAGAACCCACGGGTGAAGATCAACAGCGACCCGCGCAGGCGCACCCTAGCGCTTTTTGGCGTCCGCTACCAACGCGAGCGGGTCCGCGACCTCATCGTCCACAGAGTCCGGCTCCTCAAGTCGCAGAAGCTCCACCGGTACCCCGTCTTCGGGCACCTTGTCGGCGTCTTCGTGACCGAGGACCTCCCCAAGCTCCGGCGACACCTTGGCTACGAGAACGCGTGGTTCGACCTCACGAACCAGCAGCTGGTCGTCCAGGGCGACGAAGACGCGCAGAAGGTCGCGCAGCTCGCAGTGCTCCACGCTCAGCAGCGTCTCTCGCGCCGCCCCGCAGGCGACGATGACGGTTGCCCCGTCTGCTTCTCCGAGCCCTCGCACCCGGTCTCCCTCCCGTGCGGCCACACATGGTGCAAGGCGTGTCTGGTTGGCTACCTCCACGCCTCCATTGACAGCAAGTCGTTCCCGCTCACCTGCCTCGCGGACTCCGCACGCTGCGCCGAGCCGATCGCGCTCTCAACTGCGCAGCGCCTGCTGTCGACTGACGAGTTCGACGCAGTGGTAAACGCTGCGTTCGTCGCGCACGTGCAACAGCATCCCTCCGAGTTCCATTACTGCCCGACGCCGGACTGCCCGCAGGTGTACCGCACGGCGACGGCGGCCGCCGCGGCGAGCGCACGCACGCGCGCGTCTGCGGCGGTGTTGCAGTGCCCGTCGTGCCTCGCGCGCATCTGCGCACACTGCAACACGGAGGCGCACGAGGGTGGGTCGTGCCAGGACCGCAACCCGGAGGACGAGCTGCTGTTCGAGCAGTGGAAGATGGGCCACGACGTGAAGAGCTGCCCCGGGTGCAAAGTGCCCATCGAGCGCGCGGCGGGCTGCAACCACATGACGTGCGCGAGCTGCAAGATCCACATCTGCTGGGTCTGCCTGGCGACGTTTGCGCAAAGCGCGGAGGTGTACGAACATATGCGGGGTCTCCACGGTGGCATCGGACTGTAGCGACTCTCATCCTTCCGGGCGTACGCCCCCTGCTTATTATTTTTCGCTAAATAGCAAGCAGAGGGTGCAGGCCCACATCTGCTTTATCATACCCCAACATTTGTCTATCGATTCTTTCTCATGGACTTCCGCTGTCTCTTACCTTTCCTCTGACTGGTTCTCTTTTTCCTAACGTCTTCACACTCTCAGTATATTTGTACCATCATCCCTCTTCCTCACTGTACGCGCCTTGTATGAATGATGTATTGCAGAAGCGATGTAACACCGATGAGAGAATACATATGCATGGATCGAGAAAATACAGTGGTGGGTGTGGTGTATGCAAAAAGCGTTGTGACGCGACTCGTACATTGGTGGCAGACTGAGGCAAGGGATCCGAGGGAGCGTAGCGGCGGCCGCTGAGCTGAGAGAGAGAGACGGAGAGAAAGAGAGAGAGAGAGAGAGAGAGAGCAAGTAAGTAAATATAACTTCTGCGTCCGTCCGCTCCACAAGGAACAGCAACCCGAGCTGGAAGAATACATCGCACAGTTCAGTTCCTTCAGACCGAGACATATTGCACAAACTGTATGCAACCCAGACAAAGTATTAGTACAGTGAACTGCCTTCCTCAGCGAGATGACTTACGTGTTGGTACGGACGCGCAGGCGGCTCCCCGTGCAGCGGCAGCGAGTCTTGCAGCTCCGGCACGTTTGGATCGTACCTGATATGGTTCCCGTGGTGGTCGCGCCAACCCTCCGTCGGTGACGGGTAGTACTTCAGGTCCTCCGGGTTGGCGAGGTGCCGCGGCGCGTACACAATCCGCCGCTCGCCATTCTCGTTCACGTGCAAATGGTCTCCGCGCCGGTTCCAGTACCCCAGGCGTACCTGACGACGCGGCGTGCTCTGCTGCTGCGCGGCCACCGCTGCCGCTGCCGCGGATGCTGACGACGACACACCCCCACGCGCGAGCTGCTCTACGTAAGGGGACTGCTGAGGGGGACGGGGGAGCGGGTTGTGGCGGAGCGGCGACGAGGTGTTTGCGATCGAAGTGGTCGGTGGGTTAGGCGACGTACGGTTGGCGCCGTAGGGGGAAGAGGAGGAATATGACTGCGACGGGCCGTGAGAGGGCGAGTACCGTGGCGACCGGCCGGGCGACCGGGATCGCTGGGGGGTTATTGGCGGCGGTGGGATGACGGCGGGATACGTGTGGCTCCGTGAGATCGGCGTCGCGGTGGACCTGTGCTCTGGGGACGGACGGGGGTAGTGCGAGAGGGGGGGCGTGTGCGCAGGAGGCGTCCGTGCGCCAGGCTGTGGGGTCGCGTCCACGTCCCTCGACCGACTATAATCGCGCCGCCGCTCACGGTCGCGTTCTCGGTCACGGTCGCGTTCGCGGTCGCTAGGCTCGCGGGATATCGAGCGCGGGAATTCGCGCGGAGTCTTGCGGTATACCGGGCGCTCGCGTTCCTCCGGGACGTAGTCAAACGCAACCGATGGATACGTCTGACTGCGACCGACCTCGTTGCGAGGGCTGGGACGAGTCGAGTCAGGGGGCGTGCTGGGGACGATGAGAGGACTCAGGAGAGAACCGGGCTCATCAGTGAGGTGCATGAGCTCAAGTCCAAGGCTTGAGTCCGGGGTCGGACCAGAACTTGGGTGTGGTGTCGACTGGCGTCCATTGTTGAGGCTGTTGGACCGCGTAGGGGCCGTGGCAGGCGCATATATCGGGCCATGGGTGGGGTTGGATGAGCTGTGGCGAGGCGTGCGCTCTAGATCTTCGTGTTTGGCGAGTCGGCCCGACGACGTGTAGTAGTGATCAGGAGTGCGAACAATCTTGGGAGAGAATGTGGGATGGAGCTCCTGCCTCACGCTATAGGACTCGCCACGCCTTGGCTCGCGTTCGCTTGATGCTGCGCCCGACGAGTCGGTGTAATCTGCGCTCGCCTGCCTATACGCCGCAGCCGCGGCAGCAGCTGCAGAAGCAGACGACGTAGCTCCCGCGGACGTTGGAGCGTTGCGGTAGTCTCGCGAAGAAGAGTACGGCTGCGAGTCAAAAGACTCCCGTGGGGAGACATTACGACTGTGCTGCCGTTGGTGCTGACCTGCTTCTGTCTGCTGCGACGTAGCAGTATACCCCTGCGGTGGCTGCTGTTGCTGTTGCCGCTGTTGTTGCTGTTGCTGGTGATAAGCAGAGTATGTCGAGATAGTAGCGGGGGCAGAAGCGGGGGCCCTGTCCTGGGGCGTAGACGCTGAGCGGGCGGCATCATGGTAGGGGCGGCCATGCGAAGACGACTCATGCGCGGTGGGAGGAGATGCGTACGCGTTCCGCGATAAGCTGTTAGACCTAGTATGGTCATACATATGCTCTCGACGCTGGGGCTGAGGAGCCTGGGGGAGGTCCTTCTGGCTCTGCTCGTGTTGCCTCTGCCCGTTCTGCCCGTCGCGAGAACCTGACGCACCGGCGCTATCTGCAGGCTTGCTTGCATCGCTGCTGAGCTCCTTTGGGACCCACACCCATGGCGTATGAGGGACCCCGTTCGATGAGTCCTTGCGGTGCCGCTCTTCGGCCGGTGTATCATCCCTATCAGTCGTCATCACGTTTCAGCGTGCGAGAAGCACTCACTTCACCGAACAACATACCTGATGTGCATATTCTCTAGCTTGAGAGGGTTGTCAGAGAGTTCCGTGGCCCAATAGGACGCGTCGCCCGGGTTCGGGACTCTCTTGTAGGGGTTCCAGTTCTGACTGGCCGCGACGTTGTTGCCCCAGCCAGGATGCGGCGCCCACATCTGGAACCCGGTGTTGGGCTGGGTCATGTTCGGAGGTGGTCGAAAGTAGGGATTAGGCTTCCATTGCCCACTCGCCCAAGTCTGTGGGTTGATTCCGGCGGGCGCAGGGGGAGGAGCAGAGTTGAAGGGGGCATTGGCGTACCAGGTGTTCGCGTGGACCCAGCCATGAGTAGTGGTCGGAATGTACGTGTTGTCTGCGTAGGGCCCGGGAAGTCTTCCTACGACAGGCTTCATGACGTGCGCCATGCTATGGAAAACGTCCTGTGGTGGCGAGAGACGAAGGGTATACGCGGTGGGCGGTAGGGGAAGGTTTGCTGATGATTACGGCTCTGGATATGCACTGGCATAGATATATAGATAGAGATTACTTGAAAACGAGCGTCATTTAGCTATTGAAACAGTCAAAGGGTATGAATGATACGCACTGTTATCAGGCCAGTATTACTGGCACGGGCGGCGGTACACGAAAGATCGTTCTGCAGCCTGCGCAGGAGGGGAGTGGAGAACGATAGCCCAGGATTGCGGCGGGTGAAAGCAGGGAAGAGAGCGCGTGCTGCGGAGCGGCAGTGCAGTATATATGCGGCAGATCACGGGCGAAGTGGAGAAGGCCTAGGGCGAAGCAAGAGAGAGGGGAAGGCAGATGGGACGCGGCGGTTCCTGCGCTACTCTCTTGGTCAGAGCTGATCTGATTTAGAACAAACGTGAACTTACGAGACTGACCGGGGTCGCTGGCGTCCGGTGCTATAGGACAAAACCGAGAGATGCTGTGCAAATCGAGTGGATCGACGCCGCAGGGGGCGCGGACAGCGAGAGAGAGCCGGCGAGCGATGGCAGCGAGTGTCAAGCTGGATGAGAGAGACGGCGGAGGCCAGGACCGCCCCTGGGCGAGGCGCATTGCTTGCTCCTATTTGTCCCCGGTGGCACCACTGACATACGAGCTCATCTCATCGCTCCGGAGGGTCGCGCCGTTGTGCCAGTGCTCCGCCAGCGTGAACGACACAGGCTTCCGCAGCTTCGGTCCTCCTCCCCGTCCGTTTTCCCGCCCGTGTTGTCCGATGAACAGCCGGGAACGCATCCGGCGCAGGCGCGTCCGGGGTACAGGCGCCCACCCCGCCCCGATCGCGACGCGTCGTGTGAGCGCGCACGTGACAGTGACAGTGTTCGCCGGTTTCTGTTTCTTGGCCCGCAGAACGCTGGTGGAGGGGGATGGTCGGGAGGGGATGGGCTGTCTTGTGGGTCGAGGGCTGGGACATGACGGTAGGGAGTGAGGGACTTTAGTGACTTTGGACGTGGGGGTGCCGTCTTATATACTGCGAAGTAGCTTCGAATGTTTCCTTCTAAATAGTTTCACGTCGTGTAGCGGCGTGCGGGGAACCCAGGGCGTAGGTTCGCAGCGGCTCCGACAGCGTGCGGGGGGAGGGGGACGATCGAGATTCGACAACACGATAATATAGGTGTTGGGAACCTCACCAGGTGACGAGGCAATGTGAGCTCTAGGTGAAACTTAGGTAGTCAATACTGATATCGCACGTAAAGCTCGCCATGTATTAAGGCTTTACGAGAAGTGCGTACACTGTCCTAGCGAGAGCGAGGCAAAACGAGATTCCGAATAGGGACGGGAGGTGCATAGGCAACAGACGCCGGCGCAGCCTAAATCGGGAGGAATTGATCGCAAATAGCGCTTCTGTGACGCGCTGAATTTCGGACGTGAAGAGTTGGCGGGGCGCACTGACTTGCTCCTCGAACCAGCTCGAACTTCGACAACTTGGCCATGGCTCCACCTGCATTGCTCGTTCGGTTTCGTGTGGCTGGGACCTCCTTCTGCGCTTCGCAATGTCATCGAGTCGCAGCTCAGCGGGTCATGGCTGCTCACCAGTGGCAGCAGATGCGTGGCTACGCCAAGCCGGTGAAGAAACTCAAGGGCAAGAACAAGGAGGTAGAGGAGGAAAGCCAGAGAGACATGACTTCCAAGCGGTCTAAGGGCGTCGCGACCAACGACCTCATCCCCGCGTCGCAGCGGATCGTGGCGAGCGAGGAGTACAAGAAGGCAGAGGGCAAGATGCAGACCGCACTCGAGTGGTTTAGGAAAGAGGTCGCCGGCTTGGAAACGCGCGCGACGGGACGCGTCACCCCTGCCCTGCTCTCGCCCGTACGCGTGAAGGTGCCAGGTGCTCCAGACGCACGCGGCGTACGCCTCGAGGAGGTCGCCACCGTCGGCGTGAAAGAGGGCACAACACTCCTTGTCACGGTCTTCGAAGAGCATGTGAGTGGCCGCGGTAGTGTGAAAGGAGATGGCGACCGGTTTGGCTGACCGTCTGCCGCTTGCCGCACCAGTAGACGTTGAAATACGTCGAGCAAGGCATCTATGACGCGAAGATCCCTAGCGTCACGCCCCAGAAGGTTGACAACCGCACGATCAAAATTCCCGTACCGAAGTGCGTAGCGTTGCCGGTTCCCCCGCGTGTGCGCACATTCTGATCACCACTCTTCCAGACCCACCGTAGAAACGCGCAACGCGTTATACACGGGCGCGGCGCGTACAGCGGAGGACGCACGCGTTCAGCTGCGAAAGCATCACCAGGTGCTGCTCAAGAAGGAAAACATCGCGAAGCATTCACCTGACTTCTCCACCGTGAGTGTTACGCCGCGCTCGTGCCCTTCCTATTGATTCCTGATTCGGGACCGCAGTATCAAGCCCTCCTGGACAAGTCACTTGCGGAACTGGACAAGATCCTGGCCCACCTGAAGAAGACGACTGGCTGACCAACCTCGGCCATTCACCAGCTTTGACGCTCAGCATAGCATTCACTGTATCATATCTACTGCTAATCGCAACATACTACCGCTCATTCGCCGAGTACAAGGAGACGGAACAGAAGACCGTTGATGTCTGCCTCTACTTGGGCTGCGAGAACTTCTTGAAAGCCTCCGCCTGGATATCGAGGAACTTGCGGACGACGGGCCTGGTGACGAGCTTCTGATGCCACCTGATAACCGCCATCGTTAGCATCTCTATCCAGCCGCTGAACTGACCGAGCCTGCTCACTTGTAGACGTTAGGGAACTCCTTCTCCACGTTGCCGCCCTCGACGCCCTGGAGCCCGAAACCGATCGCCATCTCGTTCCAGCTGTGCGCAAGGTGAGCCTCGGGAAATGAAACACAAGAGGGGGACGTACGTGATGAACGAAATGTCGGCGACGGTGAGCTTGCCGCCAACGAGCCACTCCTCCTTCGAGAGGACGCTCTCGAGCACGCCGAGCACGCGGAGGATCTCCTTCTGGTAGCGCTCGATCGCGCTCGGGAGCTTCTCCTGGTGGTACTTCATGAACCACACCGCCTGGCCGAAGTATGGTCTGCATACCCCGATCGCTATCAACATCGCGCCAGAAGGACGGAGGAAAAGACGCACCCCTGGCCGGAGGCCTGGAAGAAGAGCCACTGGATGAGCTTGAACTTCTCGTTGACGTCCGCGACGCTCAGCTTGTGCTCCTTGTCGTAGTTCTCAACGAGGTACAGCAGGATCGCGTCCGACTCCCTGCAATGCACATGTCCCCGTCATTTCGCTGAACATACACACAGAACACGAGGAAGGGAGGAGAACGTACCAAATGGTGAAGTCGCCGTTGCTGTGATCGACGAGGGCGGGAACGCGCCCGTTGGGGTTCAGCTTGAGGTACTCCGGGTTCTTCTGCTCGCCGACCTGGATGTTGATGTTGACGACGTCGTACTCCAGCCCGAGCTCCTCGAGGACAACAGCGACCTTCCTGCACGCATCAAGCCATCCGCCGGTCAGCTTGGGACATAGCAGGCAGCAGGAGGAAACTCGCTCACAGGGGGTTGGGCCCGATGACACCGCCGTGGAGAGTGAACTGCTTGCCAGAAGACATTGCGGGAAATTTGTGTTGTTTGAGCGGTAGGTTGTAGAGGAAGTTGGGTGGTTGTTTGATACTGAACACCGTCCTTCAGCCCAACCTTTATAGCTCGTCCGCCGTCGCTCCCACATCCACTCCGCTTCCCATCCGCAGGCGAATTAATCAGCGTCTTCTCTGCTGTCAGCTGGACACGCAGACCACTGCGCCTCGCCCACACGACTCCCGAGTCCCAAAAACCCGCGCGAAGGACAGCCCACCGGTGTATGTGGGCGTCTAAAATCCCTTAAATCCGGCCGACCGGGGATAGGGACCGGGAGTTGCTGGGCCAGCGATGTTCAGGACGGCAAATCTGTCAATCTGCGGCGGCACAAGATGGGGGTGTACACGTACGTCGTCAGGGTAAGTCGGCTTCTATCGATGTCAGCAGGGGGAGGTGATCAATTCTGGATTTCTACAGTGCAGCTGGTGAGGGCGGGGATGGCAGGATGTGAGTACGTCACGGCAGTATCTGACTTTCTGTGGCTGACTGGGGCGACAGCGTGCAACAGAACTGGCTCATCGATGCGGCTTTGAATGCCGCCGTGGCTCGAGTCTCTCGCCGAGAACAAGCGGACGCCGATACGATCATGCACTACATTCAAGACGCGCTCGTTCTTGTACGGTAGGACTACGTATATATCAGGTTTGAAACATTATGCTCACATTGTTCGCAGTTCTCATACATCTTGGTGGTCTGTATCACAAACACCCTGCGCTACAAGCCCAGTATACCACGAATGCTTATCGCCTTTACCGACGGCATCGCTCACCAGATTCAACGTACGTACCCCTTATCTGCGGGATTGGAGGTGCATATCGCCACCACGTGGACGAAATCCATACTCAGCACCTTATGCGCATCACTCTGCAGGGTAGCGGGCATGCTAGTGCAGAGTAAAGGGCGTAAGTCCAGGCATGGTGCAGTGGATTACCAGGACATCGTGCGAGGCGATTCTCGCATATGATGCGTTCCATGACGTTCGCAAGGACGATATTAAGCTCTTCTGGCTAAGAACGACATTAAGCTCTTCTGGCTATCACACCTTTGAGCTACAGGGAGCACATCAGCGAGGGTCCCTGCTATTGGGCTCGCAGTCACTGTACCTCCTAATCACCGCTTGCCACAGGCGCCCACTGCTGCACACTCCCAAGCCGAGTTCAAAACACCATGTACGCAGGATGCCCATCGTAAAAAGAATTACACCATATCCGTCACCTTGTTCACGCAGCAGCGAGTGCCGGCGTATCTAGCAGAGCACATAGCGACGTCCTGCCGCAGTGTTGGGTGAGGCAATCCCGAGCCCCTTCGGACCCAAGGTTATCCGCGTACTGACATAACTTTCTTAGCCTTCCTATCACCTCATGAACCTTGGCCATTTCCCGGAAGCAATGTAGCATTCGCTACAGCGAGACCGAGACCGGCGCAAGTTCGATCGTTATGCGAGCCTGTCGATCCTGCATGGACTTGCTGGTAGTAGCTTGGTGCGTGCTACATCTCGAAGGTGACGACAGTGACTGCAAGCTTAAGGTCTTGGCCAATCACATAAAACACCCGGAAGACGCGGAAGGCTACGTCAGGTAATCATCTGCGCAAGGATCCTGAGGCTTCGGCCGACCGACAAATTGGCGTTCAACAGGCTGGTGCCCAGACGTGTGGCAGGGGTGTTCCGCTCGCCTGCGCCGCCGTTCTCGTCGTCCTATATGAACCAACAAGGACCTGTGACCGCAGCCCCCGCCCACCCCCGTCCATCGCTCATAGCCCCATCTTCAGGCAACGACACTGCTATGTCTGTCTGGCTCGTCTTGCTATCGGCTGTGTTTATCGCATGCCTCCTGCACTATTGGAAGTCGCATAGAAGCCGTTTGCCGTTGCCGCCGGGCCCGCGCCGACTACCATTTGTCGGGAATGTGTTCGACATGCCGAAACAGTACTCCGGCGCAGACTTCCGTGCACTCACCGATAAGTACGGTACGTTACCATGTCTCTAGTTTTGTTCCCTCGTCCATTGACTAACCATCATTGCTTTCCAGGGGACATGGTGTACTTGGAAGTGTTCGGCAAACCCATGCTCATTCTCAGCACCCACGATGTTGCCCTCGACCTCCTCGAGAAACGCTCGGCGCTATACTCGGACAGGGTCCAGTCCATCATGATAGACTTGTACGTCGTCATCTCCCCTGACGTTGATATAAATTTGACAATCTGACACTGCGCTACTCGCAGAGGCGGCTTCGACTGGGTCCTGACGGTGATGTCGTACGGTCCTTGGTGGAGACGCAACCGAAGGGCCTTCCACCAGTTCTTCAACCCCCGCGCCGTCATAGAGCTCCGATCGATGCAACGCACCCAAGTCAACCACTTCTTACACCGCCTTCTTGATGAACCCGACGACTTCTCAGAGCATATTCGGCAGTACGTCTCATGTTTCTCTGTGCGTTATGTCTCTGAAGTAAGCCCACCTACTCCTCCGCCAGTATGTTCGCTGCAACGATCATGCGCGTCGCGTATGGTATCAAGATCTCGGAGAAGAATGACGAGTATGTGAAGATGGCAGAGGAGGGGATTGCCGAGTTCAGCGACTTACTCGAGCCCGGTAAGTATCTCGTCGAGCAGCTTCCCATCCTGCGCTTCCTGCCGAAGTGGATGCCTGGTGCGCAGTTCCGGCGAGACGCGGCGAATGCGACGATCTTGGTTCGCAAAGTGCGCGACGTCGCGTGGTCGCGTACCCTTGAGGCGATGGTGCGTCAGTTTGTATGCTCGGAATGTTTGGCATGTCGAGGAAAACCGGTCATGCAGCGCGAAGGAACAGCCGTTCCCTCTATGACTACAGCGATGATGGAGCGTATCTCTAAGCTCGAGGGTCCTGACAATGACGAGGAAGAAAAGATAGCTCGGAACACCGCGGCAACGGCGTACGGCGGTCAGTGGCATCTTCCTCTGGGTTAAACTACAGCTCAACTCTCATGTACCCTTCACTAGGTGGCGCGGACACGGTGAGCAACGCCGTCACCACATGCTATAAATAAGCTCTGACCGCTTAGGTAGACGCTCTCGCTCATCCAGGCATTCTTCCTCGTGCTGGCATCGTTCCCCGAGGTGCAAGAAAAAGCTCGGACCGAGCTGGACGCAGTCGTCGGCCCGCACCGCCTGCCCGACTTCGACGACCGCGACGCGCTGCCATATGTCTGCGCGGTCATCAAGGAGTGTACTCGCTGGCACGCTATCGCCCCCCTTGGCATCCCGCATCGCCTCATTCAGGACGACGAGTATCGCGGGTACTTAATCCCGAAGGGCACGCTAGTCCTCCCAAACCTATGGTGCGTCACCTTACCAGTGCCAGCGTATAGCGTCAGCGTATTTACCGTTTTTCGCACCTAAGGGCGTTCTCTCGCGACGAGCGGCGGTATCCAGACCCCGAGGCGTTCATTCCAGAGCGTTTTCTGAAGGACGGGAAGTTGAACCCTGACATCAGCGACCCCTCTGAGTTCGCATTTGGTTACGGGAGGAGGTGCGCACTGCGCTAATCGCCCTCATGGTGGACGCGCTGACACTCCGGTATTGGAATACAGGATCTGTCCCGGCCGCCATTTCGCGGAGGCCTCGCTGTTTTTGACCGTCTCTTCCGTACTGCACACACTCTCGGTCACACCGCCTCTCGATGTTGCCGGAAAGCCTCAACGGCCAAAGATCAAGATGACCGCGGGTCTCGTATCGTGCGTGTTCTGTTGTGCACCCTTATTTATTCGTATTAGCTGACAGACATCACAGATACCCAGAGCCTTTCAAATGTGTTATCAAGCCTCGCGCGCCCTGGGCTGAGGCACTGATTCGTGCGAACGACCAATTGGCGGCGTAGCTTGAATGTGTATTGCATGTCCAAGATGAAGTATTGCGATATGACACTCCGGTGTGGATACTGAGGCCTGTGGACTCAGGATCGGGACATGAAGAGCTTGAAGGATTGAATAACATTCGAAAAGCAGCGGCGGCGACAGAAGCAGTTACATCCGATTTTGGTCAATAAAAATGACAAGCTCTTAAGCCAGATCTGACTCAACATCTCAACGTTGGGACGGCAGCAAAAGAGAGTGATGATATTGACAGACCCCGTCGGATAATTATGAGGCCTCGTCCCCAATTGTATTCGGTATTTCCCCCCTTTTACGACCGCCAAGAATGACACCGCGAGGCCGACCTTCACCGTAACCGCCGCGCCGAACGCCGCCAGCCCCGCCTCCTCTATATTAGTGGCTGTGACGCACTGGGGGCGTCAGCAGGATGGCATCCTCCTCCCACGACGACTCACATAGTCCCAGCCGCACTCACCCTGCCCCCAATGTTGCAAGGGCTGTGGTATACGAACGCTACGATTTGACGCACGTCCCCAAACATCCTGGAATCGGCTGGACACGCTTCGTCTGCATATCAGACAACCACTCGCGAAAGTTCCATGTCCCTCCAGGCGATGTGCTTCTCCACGCTGGTGACCTTTGTAGACGCGGGACCCTAAAGGATCTTGAGATCACCCTAGACTGGTTGAAACAACTCCCTCATCCCGCCAAATAGTTTGTCTTTTTTTCGAGATAACCTGTAGTGATGCTGATGTCATGGAAAGTTTTATGGCAGGCAACCATGACGTATGATCCTCACATGCACACCTACTTAGTGCCCACCTCTGAACTGGTATTTGCAGCTTTGCTTAGACGAGCAGTACGCAGATGGGGGTGAACTGCGCCCATACAAACCTTACAATTTGAACTTGCAGACGAACGTCAGAGTACCTCCACTCATATAGCGGAACGCGTCCCACTAAACAAACTGCGTTCTAGGATATTGTGGCTGCGCGCAACCTGGTTCGCAGTCCTTCCGTCCGTCAGGCGGGCATGCACTATCTTGAATACGATACTGCCACCTATACCGCAAAGAGCGGCAGGACATACACCATCTACGGCTCGCCGGTGTGTGATTGTTTTGCAGATTCGTATACGCATCAAAGCCTGTACTCATCGCATTCCGTGCAGGCCGCTCCGAGGTTTCATTCCATCGGTGCCTTCCAGTATACCCATGAGGAGGCCGAGGACGTTTACGCCCGCATTCCCCCATCTATCGACATTCTCATGACACACGCACCGCCTCTCGGTGCGTGCGACATGAGCAAGAGAGGACAACGTGCCGGCTGCCCCACACTCGCGCAGCGCCTCGAGAGCGACGAGCTGCAGAGCTGCAGGCTGCATGTCTGCGGACACATACACGAAGCCCGCGGGGTCGCAGTCGTGGGCCAGAGCGAGCAGAACCCTGACGGAAGGGTCTGCGTCAACGCGGCGTTACCGTCTGCACAGCTGCCTATCATTGTAGATCTTATGGACTGAGTTGTATTCACGTAGAAGGTGGTACTCCTTTGCGGCTTTGAGTCTTCATAGAGATTATGTCAATGTGTAGCACCTGTTCTTGCTTTCGCGCACCTAGAGCTTGATCCCGAGATTATGTTCTTGAGTTCGGTCTCAACACGTCCAGTTTAGATATGAATCCCTCAATAGCAAAGGACGTCTACGGGGATATATACAACATCTACACTTTCCTGTCAACAGGGCGTTCAAGACATGATACTCGCAGGTGAAGCGAAGGGACATACCACATGCAGTCCTCTAGTTCTAGTTCCTCTCCTGCCCCCGTCACTCATCCAAACCTCTTACTCAGCCCGTCATATATCAAGAAGATCAACGCGCTACTCGGAATCGCTCGCGCAACCGTGATCCCACAACCTGCATACAGGCCCTTCACGCCCTGCGCCCTCCACATGTCGCGGAACACGCCCGCGAACGTCGGGCGCGCGCCCCCCGCCCGCGGCCCGCGCAGCTCCATCTCCGTCTGCATCGCGCTCTTCACCGTGTCCGCGGGGAACAGCGCGACGTTGTACGCGACACCCGCACACGCACCCGCGACCGCGCTCTCCCACGCGCGCAGCTCGCGCTTGTCCGTCAAGCCTCGTCGTGCGAGCAGGAGGGACGCGACACCCTCCTTCGATGCAAACCAGGCCGCGCCGCCGCCGGTCTCGCGAATGAGCGTTCCGGTGTGTCCGAGCCAGAGCCCACGGAGGCCCGTTTCGCGCACGACGGAGGTGAGGACGGCTATTGGGCCCGGTAGTTTTTGTGGTACACCCGAGGGAGATATTGGAGGGGGCCTGAGCATCTGGACCTGCATCTTGCACTTGACCAATTCGATGGGCGTTCTTCGCGCGTAGAGTTAGTCGCAACCCCGAACATATGTATTGGGACCCGACTCACAGGACGAAACTGGTGAGGGTACCCGCGCCCGCGCCCGCAAGCGCGAGCTGGCCAAGCGACAGCGACTGGCTGAGGGGCATGCCCGTCCACCATCGCATCGCGTGTTGCAGCTCAGTATATGCCCAGAAAAGCGACGCGTTCTCCGCCATCGCGCCCACGATCGGTGCCGGGAGGCCCTGTGTGCGCCCTCTCAGCGCCCTGCTCCTCCTCCCTATGCATGTAAAAGTTGCGACGCACCCTGTAAAGCCCGCGCACGCCCTCCTTGCGCCATGTCTGCACGAGACAGTCGATGGGGCCGCTGAACCGTGCTTGCGCGTCGAGCACCTGCGATTGCAGGCGCACCTTCGTGAGGTCGAACGGGTGCTCGAAGAACTTCGCCGCGACACCTGCCGCGCTCCCGAACGAGATATCTTTCAGCGCGCGCACAGTGATCGAGTCTGTCGTTTGCAGCTCTTCTGGGGAAACCTCCATGGCGCGGTACTCCGTTCAATATTCGAGGTGTGGAGGATTCGAGTGTGGGGTAGAGACAGGTACGCTCGGGTGTGTCGCCCGAAAGAAACGTCCGAAGAGGTATACGCTTGACGGTTTACGAGGAAAAGCAGATCGATCCTAGCCTCGAGGTGGACGTGGTGGGCGAAGCCAAGGGGTACTTAGCCGCGGCTCGGTGCATGGCGCGGTGACTGGAGTCGACGTCGGCGCCCCGGACGCGGACGGCGTCGACCACCTCCTCGGTTGGGCGCAGCAGACGCCGGCGACGCGCCCGCGTGAAATTTGGAAACTGCGCAGATCGTACCGACTCCCGACAGCACGCGCCAGGAACGAAGCTCGAGTCGCGAAAAAGACTCCAATAAACCAAGAATTCGCGTTGTAGATTGACGTATCGTGCAGGGGTACAACAACAAGACCACACTCAAAGTCCCAAGAAGTACAGCAGAGCAATATAAAGCGGTAAGTAGAGGGGAAGTCCGTCGTCAGAATACCATGGCGCGAGGCCGGGGAATCGTTATGTACGTAGCAGGTATCGTAAGTGAGGTCCGGCCATACAATCGTCATCGCGAGGTGAGCGCTGAGTAGCGAGCATACTTGCCAGGCTGCGGGCAGCTGAGTGCGCGGTCTAGAGAGATCACCACGTCGCGAGCAAGACTCCAGCGAACATGGAAAACAGCATCGCCATAAGGCCCATGCTGGTAGCGTGCGGCAGGCTATTCACAGCGCCGTTGCTCCCGGTGCGGTCCGTGCCCGTCGTAGTGGCCCCAGGGCTGCCCGTACCCGTTACGGTTGCGATCACGGTCGCGGTCGAGGTCGACGCAACGGAGGAGGTGGGGGCAGGACCGCCCGTCGTGAACGCGCGCACGTAGTTGATTTCGAACCATGCGTTGTCGTATGCGGGGCTTCCCGGGCCTGTAACGTTGCAGGTGCCCGGGCAGCTCGCCTTGTAGATGCTCTCTACACCAGCCCTGTGTACGCAACGCTGCGTCAGAAAAGCTGATGGATGTATGAGAAGATAGAAGCGTACCAGTCACCACACAGCGCGATATCGAGCACGAGTTGCTGAGGCGTGAAGAATTGAGTTACGTTGCATGTGGGTGTGACTGGGAAAGCCGCCGACGGCGTGCCCCACTGCGAGATGTCGATGGTGGTCGCGTTGTTCGTCAATTCCGCAGGGACGTCCGCTCGCTGTCGCGCACGTCAGCTTTATGTTGCCAGACACGCGCAGCTCAAGTAGGTACTCACAGGCCAGTACCAGATGAACACACCGGCAACATCGTACTGCGTCGCCCAGACGCCCCCGCCATTCTCGCCAAAGTTCGCGCCAAAGCTGTTCGGCTTCGTCTCGTGCACGGTGCAGCCAGAGCCTTGGGAGCAGTCCGTGAAGCCGATGGTACCCGACTGCACGATACTGTTGTCCGTCTTGCATCCCTGCGTGGTGTGCACCGCCATCTGGTTGGATGTCATCAGGTTGATGCCCTCGACGATATCTACGCGCTAGTGTCAGGGAAACGCGTAAACGGTGACGTTTGGCCGTGTGCGCACCGATTTCGCCGTCGAACGGCCAGTTGGGGCCCTTCGTCCAGAATGCGGGCCAGACAGAGCAGCCGTAAGGCAAGTGGGTCGCATCGAAGACCCAGAGACTACCGTAATCGTACAGGTCTTTGGTCGTAAGTCGAATCTGAAGTAGACTTGGCAATTAGTTCCAGATGGACGGAACCTTTCGGGACACAGATACGCACCGTGTCTCTGTTGGGCATGTCTGGAGGCAAATTCGTGGTGTTGTCCACTCGAATGATCGCCCTGCCGGCATCGTTCACATACGCGAGGTGCTCTGAAGTGGCACGGGTCTCGTTCACCCACCAAACTTGACCTGTGTACAATTCAGTACCTGCCGGGAACGACAAGTAGGCGCAAACTTACTGAGCGTCAAGTTGTCCCAGAATCCGTAGAAGTCCCAACCATCGAAGAAATGTTGTCCGGAATAATCCCGGACGAGGTCGTAGCCCATGGAGGAGCCCACCATTCCCAGAGAGGTGGCGAGCACAAGCGATCGTCGGAAGAGCATCGTTAGAGTTGCAGTTGCGCCTTTCAGGCGGACAGGGTGAAGGGGAGGTCGGGTGCGGCGCGGCGCGTCCGCGTCCAATTAATAAGAGCACGAGCGTCCCAGGCGGAAACGGGCTCGATCAATCGAGACGCTGTCGGAGAGAACTACAGCGGCCGCAGGTCAGGGGGCTCCGCGGAGCCTTCTAGGACCGGGGGAAGGTGCGGGTCGGAGGCAAGAGGCAGAGCGGCGACACGATGGAGACGCAGCATTTTTAGAGGGAGTTCGGAAGCGGGAAGACGAGGCCGATAGGATCGTCTTGAGTCTCGAGGCCGGGAGGCCATGCGATGGGCAAGGGCTCGATCCGAGGGCAGCAGAGGACGAATGGAGAGGGGAGGCTGCCTCCTCCCATCAGATCGGGATCTAGCCCATGCTAGCACAGCCCCCACACTTGCGCCTCGTGCACCCCTGTCCCGGCGCCTCGCCCATTATCCCTGCCCACGCGTTCAGAAAGAAGTTCAACGCCCTCGAGCTTCTCCCACTCGCCGTGCTGCTCACCTTCAGATGACAGGACCCGGTGACCACCCACCACATGCGTATCCAAGTGCTGTGGTTACCGTCCCTGCAAGGCGCCGCGATAGACTCCAAACTCACTTCGGACGAGGAATGCCTCGAGGCGCCACAACGCGCTACGGCCATGGGACGGCCCGCGCGGGATGCCACCGTCGGAGGCCAAGATGAGACGCGCAGTCCTCGGTGTGCCCTGAATTTTCGGCCTCAATGTCGGCAATAGGTCGCCGGTGTGTAGCCAAGCCGTGAAGAACAGCCCAAGGTAAGCACGGCGAGCTTGGGGTGTGCGCATGCGCTGCACACTGGCAGTACCCAGGGAGCAGTATTCCACCAAGCGCGTGGGGCGCGCGTTGCAGGCAGAGGAGCGAATAGACAGCACCTTCTGTGCTATGGCACCATGGGGGATTAATAGAGTTAAGCTCATAGCATGCGTCACAGCGAATAGTCAAGTACGTACCCGCATACGCATCTCCGCTCTCGGAACTCGAGCTCCTCGAGTCTCCCACCCGGTGGGCCATGGTGCATAATGGTCCAGATTGTCATTCCTGGAGGCGCAGTCTATATGTGAAGCAACAGCATAAACGACAGCGTGAAGAACGAAGGTACTGTAGAATGTCCGAGAACACATCGCAGGGCAGCGCATCAAACAGTCGTCACTAGGCAGTAAATGTTGAAGGTATAGTATTAGTCGGGATTTTAAAACGAGAAGAGGAGAAGGTCCGAGTCTTGTTGAAGTTCAGCACAACACAGAAACCACAGAAACACACCGTCCGTCCATTTGTCCGCTCCCTCTTTACGACACCGCAAGTAGCATGCCCGCGATCATCGACAGCACGACCGCGACCGCCCCCGCGCTCGCACCACGGCGCCCGCTGCCGACCGTGCCGGACGAGCTACTGCCGCCCTGCGAGCCGCTCTGGGAGCTGCCGGTGCCCTGCGCGGGCGACGTGACGGTCGCGCTCGCGACGACGCTGGACGCGCTGGGCGTCGGGGTCGGGACGACGCCCGTCGTGTACGCGCGCACGTACTGGATCTCGAACCACGCCTGGTCGAACTTCGGGCTGCCGACGCCGCTCACGTCGCACACGCCCGGGCACGTCTGCTGGTAGTTGCCAGTCGGGCCCGCCCTGTGCGCGTCGATATATGTGAGTACGCGTCTGAGAGAAACAAGGTGAGAGCAGAGACGCACCAAACACCACAGAGGGCGATGTCGATGACGAGCTGCTGGGGCGTGAAGAACTTCGTGACGTCGCAGAGCGGGGTAACCGGGAACGCGGCAGAGGGGGTGCCCCACTTCGAGATGTCGACGACCTTGTCCGCACCCGTGAGCTCTGCGGGCACGTCCGCGCGCTATATGCCAGCATCGTACGATCAGTATAAGATTTTTATGGAGTAGCTGTAAAGGCTAGATACTTACGCTCCAGAACCAGATGGCGATGCCGTCAATGTCGAACTTGGTCGCCCACACGCCGCCGTTGGCTGCGTTGAAATCGGCGCCGTAGCTGGCCGGCTTCTTCTCCTCGACGGTGCAGCCCGAGTTGCTCGCGCAGTCCGCCGCGCCCATCTCGCCCGTCTGCTGGATCGCGTTGGAGGTCATGCACCCGTCCGTCGTGTGGATCGCCATCTGGTTGTGGTCCATCAGGTTCACGGCCTCCAGGATGTCTGCGTGCGGGTGTCAGCATCCAGGGCAAGGGAAAGGCGAGGTGCGCGCGTACCGATTTCACCGTTGTCGGGCCAGACGGGGCCCTTCGTCCAGAACGCGGGCCAGACAGTGCATCCGAAGGGGACGTGCGTCGCGTCGAACACCCACAGACTGCCAAGGTCGTAGAAGTCCTTCGTCGTGATACGGACCTGCGTACAAGGCGTTAGCGATGGTGAATCGGGAGCAGCAGCAAGGGACATACAGTGTTCCTACGGGTGTCCGGGCCCTTGTCGGGCACGTTTGTCACGTTGTCGACACGGAGGATCGCGTTACCGGCCGGGTTGATGTATGCGAGGTTGTCCGCCAAGGCCGTGGGCTGGTCGACCCACTCTACATTACCTGAGAAGCCGCGCGTTAGTCTATGAATGTGGTGATTAATCAATTAAAAGATGGCGTACTGAGCGTGAGGTTGTCCCATGAGCCGTAAAAGTCCCAGCCGTTGAAGAAGTTTTGTCCCGAGAAATCCTGGGAGAGGTTGTACGTGACATTCGCGACGACAGCGGGGGGAGCAACAACAGCCATGGCGATGGACAAGGGTTGAAGGAAAGGGGGTTAGGACTGGGAGAAGGCGGAACGAAGGAGATAGAGAGACAGAGGGCGTCGGTATCTGCGGGGCGGCCACATCGCTGGAGCAACGCTTTTGAGCAGCTGTGAGTGCCGGGAAGAGTGCGAGTCCAGGATGGCGAGCGAGGGCGGAGGAGAGGGGCGGACTGGAAGATGTGAGGGAGAAGGGCAATGGGTAAGAAGTGCTGTTCTCTGCAGGTGCCCGAAAGGACAAGCCTGAAGCTTGAAGGCCCATAGCCATGCGTGTATAGCTGACGTACCGAAACTGGGGGTGGGCTTGTCGGGACAAGCTGCCAGCGTAGCTTCGGGCCGCTTCTTGTCTGGGATGGGAAGCAGTGTGCGCCCTTTACTGCGTGGTGGGGATAGCTCGCCCGAGCTGCCTGCCTGTTATTCGATGCACGGGCTCGCCACTGTGTCTACGATGCGGAAGCGAGTATGTTGCATAGGGGATAGTCGGAAGACTCGGAGGGACATCACAACAAGTTCCGGCAGTCGCTGATGCTGGTCTCAACGCCTTGCTTAGCGCGACAAAGTACTTGAGCCGCAGTGTGGTGGCATAGTGAGAACTTCCGTCGACTGACAGCGTCTAGTGGTAACTCCGCCCCGACTCATCAAGTTCGAGGAGGACGCGCGGCAGACCTCTTCGCAACGCAGGTGCACGCCCACGAGCCTGCGGGAAGTTGAAAGTCAGCGGCAAGGGGAATTTGCCTACTCGCCAGCGCACTTACAAGGAAGCCGGCTACGGCGGCAGCGCAGCAGTGAGCGATGCACTGTTGGATGCATTGATGGGACCCTTTGGAGTAGGTGCATAGCTCGAAACGACGAAGAGGGCGAGAGAGCGGAGGTCCGGGTGGACTTTCTCTTCCGACAACTCCGGCTGCTCGGACGTTGTGGGCGTTGGGCGCGTTGGCAGACAACCCCCAAACCCCACCAGACTGGGTTTTGACTTTCTGCGCTGATCTCAGTCAGCTTCCCGCAGTGGATGCTGGGAGATAGATAGAGCGAGTCTGCGAGAGCGCAGCAAATTAGCGTTGTCGCAGTACAAGTACAGGAACGTCCAGTGGTATAGTAGGAGGCAAACGCAGGCGCCAAATTAAGCGACTATATCGAACGCCTCGGCAAACTTCGGCAAACGCCGCAGGCGCACGCTTGCAAGTCGCTCAGAAATCTAGAGAACATGTTCCTTCACCCCCTCCCCCCTGCCCGAACCTGAGTCGCAGAATGGTTCGACCTTTGCATGACATACTTTCTTATACACCAGATATCTCGGCCCTCTCCACCCTAATCATATCGTCTACTTAAAGACATCCTAAAAGAAGTGACCGACTTGTCGATCCAGAGGTGGACACAGTGTGTTCGTCGCGCTCGACCAACGCACCCCTCAATTCCCGCGCCCCACGGTGACGGTCCCTGGGCAGACCTTTGCATATCCGGTGAGGCAACACTGACGACAGACAGCTGCAACAGTGCATCAATACTAAGCCCGTCCAGGTGCACACACAATCGTACCAGTAAGTAGCCGCCATCTCTACCGCACGACATGATATCGATGGCAACAGGCTTACAGGTTTGAATTGAACGCTTTTGATCAGAGAAATCTCCCGGACCTGAGGCTCCTCCCCATCCCTGTTCCCTCAAAGACTCCATTTTGGAAGGCGCGATCAGTTCTTGCGACCGGATTGGTTGGAGGGTCTACTCCTAGGCCACAGTGCAGCGTATAATGCTGCGAGCCCGGATACGACCAGTGTGAGAGCATGCTGCTATCGCTGCCATCTTTCCGAACCGGAGTACTGACCGCGGTGTACAACAAGCGTCAGACGTCAATGCATTGGAGCTGAGCGTTTTTGCGGCCGCTGTCTTTTCCGCAATGCGGTGTCTGGCGCAACAGCACTTGCACAGAGCCCATCCCGCAAATAGCATCGCGCAAACTCTCGTCTACCGCTTGGTAGGCTGATACGTGGAGCGCATACGATGAACGCCACCACATCCGGCACGACTCTACACTGCAGTGGTCAGTCCATCCGGTCAGCAAGGTTCTGGCGGTAGTGGCGGACCCTGCGTAAATCCCGCACATTGGCAACGACCCTCGCTACCGTGTGCCCAAACCCGCCGCATCGGTACGCGGCGGTGTTCCGCATATAGGCGTCGCGCTCGCTAATGTGCGCGCCCCGCGATGCCCACCGTACCACTTTCGGCTGGCGCCGCGGGCGGGCCCCAGGGACAGTACGACACTCCTCCCGGGTCGTAGGCGCAGCGGATCCGCCCTCGCGCACTGCGAATGATGGTATAGGATGGGTGATACGTTGCGGCAAGCCAGCGTTAACCCTGACACGCATCGGATGATTTGGCTCCTGTCAAACCACAGCGGACGTTGCGTATAAGAGAGCGGGAAGCTGCAGGCGAAGACCCCAGACAAGCTAGATCTCGCGTTCGCCAGGCCGACCACACAACCGAGCGCGACCATGACAGCCTCGTCCACACCTACCGAGCACTTCCCCACTATCCGTGGGGTCAAGTGGCCCAACATGATTTCCATCGTCGTGACCCACATCCTCGCCATCTACGGGGGCCTCTATGTTACACCAAAGCCCAGCACGGCTGTCCTCGCCATTGTACTTTATTTCGTCTCTACTCTCGGTAAGCTTCTATTCGCTTCTCCGTTGCGAGCTGTGTTCTGATGCCCTCCCAGGAATTACAGCAGGTAGGCACCATCTTTTCGCTTCTTATTCCAACCGGTCTATTCACAAGCCTTCTCATAGGTTCCCACCGTCTCTGGTCGCATCGCTCCTTCAAAGCTTCAGCTCCGCTCCGGCTCTTCCTCGTCCTCGCGGGCGGGAGCGCCGTGCAGGGCTCCGCGTACTGGTGGGCGAAGGTGCATCGCTCGCACCACCGTTACATCGACACGGACAAAGACCCGTACAGTGCGCAGCGCGGCTTCCTCTTCACGCACGTCGGCTGGATCGTCTTCTATACCGACGTCGCTCCCGGGGGAGGCGTCGACCTCTCTGACCTCCACAAGGACAAAATTTTGATGTGGCAGCACAACAACCGTGCGCTCGTATGGCTGCTCTGCGGGTACATCCTGCCCACTGTCATCCCGGGCTACTTCTGGGGCGACTGGGCGGGCGGCCTGTTCTACTCGACTGCGCTGCGCCTCACCGCCTGCTACCACGTACGTCCGCCTTTCGCGTTTAACAACTGTGCCGCGCAGTAGCTGAAACACACATGTCTCCACAGAGCGTCTGGTGCATCAACTCGCTCGCACACATGCTCGGACACGCGCCGTTCGACGACAAGCACACGCCGCGCGACCACCTGTTCACCGCGCTCGTGACGATGGGCGAGGGCTACCACAACTTCCACCACCAGTTCCCGATGGACTACCGCAACGCGTTCCGGTGGTACCAGTACGACCCGACGAAGTGGTTTATTGCGGCGTGCGGCGCGCTCGGGCTCGCGAGCAACCTGCGCACGTTCCCGAGCAACGAGGTGCACAAGGGCATGTTCACGATGCGTGCGAAGGAGCTCCGCGCGACGCAGGAGAGCCTCACGTGGCCGACCCCGGTAGAGAAGCTGCCTGTTGTCACTTGGGAGAACTGTGAGTACCTGCCTTCCTTTGCGAGCTAGAGATGAAAATGTGCTGACGCTGGGTGTGCAGTCCAAGAAGAGTCCAAGAAGCGCACACTGCTCCTCGTCTCGGGCTTCATCCACGATGTAACAAGTTTCCTCGAAGAGCACCCTGGTGGGGACAGGCTGCTCACCGCGAACACGGGCAAGGACGTCACCGCGAAGTTCTTCGGCGGCGTGTACGACCACTCGCACGCTGCACACAACGTACGTTTCCCCTCAAATCGTACGTTGTCATCTGCTAACCTCAGGGACCTATAGTTGCTGTCAATGATGCGTGTCGGCATCTTGCAGGGCGGAGTCGAGACCCTAGGGGAGCACGCTGTCCCGCCAGCGCAGAAATACTATGTTAGCGTGCACGAGGAGGCTGATTGAATCTGGAAGAAGTGATATTTACACCGTAGAGCTATATATGTGGTAGATTACATAGGATCCGTTAGTGCACAGACAGCAGCAGGCTAGATAATACTGTTAACATATCAAAGCTTCGCGGGCGGAGCGCGCGTCCCATAAACCAGCTTCAAGTTGAGCTTTGCCCTGCCCTGCGGATCGCCCTGCACACTCGCGATGTCCGCCTCCGTCTTCGTCAGATCTCCCTCGAGCACCCATCGACGAAATGCCTCTATATCCTCCTCGGCAGTGGGTTCACCTGTGGCGTAAGCCCATGTCGCGTGTTCGAGGAGGTACAGCCCGCAAGAAATGGCAGCAAAGTAGGCGAGGACGAGCCGTGGCAGGATTGGGTTTACGGCGCTCTCCTTGAGGAGGCCGGGGAGCTTGCTAACGGCCGCTGAGAGCGTGTCGAGGGCCTTCCAGACCTGTGCTCTGAGCAGAGGCGGTACGGCTGCGATCACATCGTGCGCCCACTAGGAATAGGACATGAGGAAGAGCCGCCATACCCATGGTTGACAGGAGGACGTACCTCAGTAAAGCTGGCGACCGCACCGGGGTCTTTCGTTGTCGCCCGGGTCAAGTCCAAGGCACATACGTTTATGGTGCCTTCCCAGATCTTTTCGACCATCGCATCGCGTATGAGGCTGAACGCATGGATGAGCCACATTCTCGTGCATAGGGATGACACCATGACTACTCACCGACCGATACCAGTTTCCTCCATATACCCCAAGCCGCCCATCGCACCCATCGCCTCCTCCATTCCGCCCGACGCCTTTTGCGCCGCGTACGCCTTGATCGTTGGCGTCAACAGCCTCAGCCGCGCCTCCTCCCCGCTGCTCGCCGTCCCGCACTCGCTCTTCCCGAGTAGCGCAACCGCTCCAAAAACGACATGCACAAGCCCGCGGTATGTCAGCGCGATATCCGCGAGCCCCGCAACGTGCAGCGGTACATCCTTCAATAACGCCTTCCCGCCCTGCACGGCGCGCACGCCCGCATACGCACGGGCGAGCGCGAGACAGCGCTGCAGGCTTCCGACGGAGTGCACTGCGGAGTGCACGCGCGTGACGTTCAGCATCGACGCGATCGTCTTCACCCCAGCGCCTTCAGGCCCGATGAGCCACGCACGCGTGCCGCGCAGCTCGAGCTCCGCGGTGGGCACCCCATGCGTGCCGACCTTGTTCTTGAGGCGGTGGATGAGGACCCCATTGCTAAGTGGGGAGGTGTATGGGGCGATGCGCAGGGGCACGAGGAAGAGTGAGAGGCGGCGGGTGCCGGAGGAGGGGTCGCCGGTGCGCGCGAGCGCGACGGCCATGTGCCCCTCGGCTGCGCTGGAGAACCACTTGAAGCCGTCAAGAATGTACGGCGGGCCGAGGTCGGAGGGGATGCGCCCTGTGGGTGTGGCGTACGTCTCGGTGCGCGAGAGGTCCGACCCGCCAGGGCGCTCCGTCATCCACTGCCCGGACAGGTAGGCCGTGGTGGGGTCGCGGCTCAGGAGCCTTGGAAGCACATCGGACTTCATCGACTCCGTTCCGTAAAGTTCCATCACTGTGTTCGTGCGGGCACGTATGAGTAGAGAATTGCACCGGATACAGCGCGGAACCTTACATCTGGTGGCACCATCCGTCATCCCCATGGGGCACATTATCTGTATATTCTGAGCGAGCGTCATTGTGGTAGCCTTTTTGAGGAACTCACAACATGACCATCGCCGGTTATGATCAATGTCCGCGCGAATTGGAAGGTGCGACTGTGCTCCCCATATTCGCGCTCGTAAGCCACTGCGTTATAGCCTTCCTTGATCGCAAATTCTTCTATCTTTCGCCAACCTTCAGAAGTATGGAGTTGGTCAACGCGCTGTCCGAGCTCATCATACTGGGTAAGGGTGGCGGGTTGCACGAGTGGTGCAAGGGGGCGAATATCTGTGATGCAGGGCGTGAAGATGAGCCTTGCAGCATACGAGAAAGGGCATACCTTCTGTCAACACATCTCCGAGGCGTATGAGATCCGTTTCGAGCGTGTTGCGAACACTTTGTCGGCCGTAAGTCAAATTCATGTGAGGGGGGCGCCACACACTCACGTTTCAGGTAAGAGGCGTTTCAAAAGACCCGGTAAGATTGGGTCCGCTGTGTACGGGTGCTCGGTGGGATACGGAGGCTACGCGGCGTGAGTTAGTAAGATGAATGCGAGATCCTACAAGTGAGCGACAGACCTGCTGAAAGCCTTCGTCTATGCGCATGTTACTGTTTTTCTGTGCAAACTAGTACGAAGAAGGCAAAATGTAAGGTCTTGAGAGCGCGGGGCACCATGTCAACTGCTGCGGTTTATATCCTGCCGGGCACGGACGGGTTTGGCATGAATCACCGCCCGTAGGACCCTGCAAGGAAACCCTGGATGATAACTCTCATGCGCACACAGTTCGCGGGCGGTGGGCGGTAACCCGCATATTCCGGCTCCGGAACGACCTGGATGCGCCATAATGGTGGCACGATGATATATTGAGGCGTCGGCGCGTATTAATGACAATGTAGAGGTACTTCTGGGGAGACTACATAACTAGAGGGCTGTGATGCGCGAGGGTAAGCAGAGAGGTCGATATCGGAAGATGTGGAGGAGAACGAGGAGGAGGTCGGGGACAAGCGCCGGGAAGAGTGCGGCGGGAATTCCCGGCGGTGCACTTTTGGGCGTGCTCACGTCTCCGCCAGCGGCCACGACCATCTCATCCTCGCCATGTCTTAGTACGCGCTTTCCTCGCTCCTGCTGTCTGGATAGACCTGAACGAAGTGCATTTGACAGCGTTATCCTCGGCCGTGCCATCAAAAACGAGTACCTTGCCCTCGGCACCATCTTTGGCACGGTAGGGGCGACCCTGCTCGCCACCGGTGGCAAGAAGGAGCCCGCCCCCGCTGCGAAGCCTACGCTTCAGCAGATCAAGGAGACTGTGAAGGTCAACGCGAGCTCGAGGTACGTCTTGTTGAAGTTCATGGTGTCGTGCAGCATGCTGACCCGCGTGTCATGTGTGCAGCGAGGAGGAGGACTTGTACGTGCCCACACAATTTCCAAGCAACTTGAACGGACTGTCGACAACTAACCAGGATGAGCAGCATCAAGAACTTCATTGCAGAGGCGGAGAAGGAGTCCAAGCACTGAGCCTGTCGTTTCTGTCGCGCTGTAGAGGAATAGATACTTTGCCTCCGCACCCGCTGCATATTCATCGTCTGATCCCAAGCTCTGCGTGCAATGTCATACGCTCTGCGTTGTCCCAAACATATCGAGGCGGACACGTCCGACGCTGACCGAGTGAGCCGTTGCTGCGCGCGGCGCGTAAAGAGATGATGAAGTTCGTTGCGAGAGCTCGGCTAGGGCCGTAGCCGCTGCTGTTTCCACCGGGCCAGGCTTGTCCGTTCCTCAACACTCTCTTCCTCCTTCGCCGCTCTACGCTACAGCCTACTCAGTATTCCGACTTGCACGCTCACGACGCCGACGCCGTTACCCTCTTTACAAACGCCTAATGTCCCGATGAGTCCTGCTGCGCCCGACAGTCCTTCCGTCTCCGCCGGTCCCCGTCCGCTCCAGCTCGTCGACGGGAACGTGCAATCTTCTACGCTTCCTTCGTGTCCTTCGCCTACCACCTCTGGGCTGTCTACTCCGCCGCCCAGCGCGCGCAAATTTCACCCGCGCAGACAGTCGTCCATTACATATTACCCTAGTGATCACACTCCTTCATGGGACCTGCGGTCACCAACCACCCCGTCAGGCTCGTTCCTCAAGCGTAGCTCTTCCTTCAACCAAGGGTCTTCCGACAAGCTTGCGCTCAAGCGGAATAGGCGGAGCTTACCTGCGTCGGACGTCTTGGCGGGTGCACAAGCAGAGCGTCCATTGACCCTCACCGAGAAGTACGTGCCAATCGTCCGTGTCGCCACCAACGTACGACCCGTGGCGTATTCCCGTCAACTAACGCGTCTTATCTCTCGCTACTAGACATGCAGACCTCTTGCAGTTCATTGCACAGAAGGAGTCCAAGTGCCTCGAATTGCGCTCTCAGCTCGCCGTCCACGAAGCGGAACTCGCGCAGCTGAAGCGCAAATGGGAACGCATAGTCAGCCGGGGGATGGATCGCGCATACTCCCAGCCTTCCCAGTCGGGCTCGGCCTCAAGCTCGCTACTCTCCGGGGCGATGAAGGAGGGCGTACAGGGTGTCGGCCGACTGCTGGCGTCCGGCCTCAGCGAGCCTGCGCCCAAGGCTGAATCTTCGAACCCAGTCCCTGCCCCGCGCCCGCCTACGCTCGCCCTCCGCACGAGCCGCATACAAGGCCATGTGAACACGCAGAGCATATCCTCCGTCGCGACGTCCGCCACGTCGCTCACCAGCTCGAGCGTGCGCCTTTCGCAGTCCTCCGCCTCCTCGCTCGCGTTCGACGAGGACGAGGAGCCCGACGCTCTAGTGAACCTGAAGCGCACCTCGATCAGCGTCGACGGCGGCACGGGCATCGAGAGCCCCGTTGAAATCTCGCCCTCGAGCGCGATCAAGGCCGCGAAGCTGCATCGGCGCAAGAGCCGCGAGGCGCCGCCTCCGCCGCCGTACACGTCCGCCGCGCTGTCCCCGCAGGAGGACTACAAGAAGACGATCAAGCGGTCGAGCCTACACATCTCATCTACGTCGGGCGTGCCTCCCGCCGCGTCCATACCCGGTCTGGGCCCGCTCGCGTCGCCGCGTGCGTCCGCGTGGATGGGCAGCGTGGGGACGAGCGTCGGGAAGAAGTGGGAGGAGCTGCAGAAGGGCGAGACGTGAGTGTTATTTTCTGGTCTTCTGCCTTCTTCTTTAATACGCGCGAGGGCGTTTCTCGCACGCGCACTCCCTCCTCTTCTCCGCCGCTATTCCCGTGCGGCTGCATTTACCGCATATCGACCACCGAGGTGCCCGTGCTGATTCTTGCACGCGCATAGGTTCTCGAAAGGCCAGAAGCGCGCCTCTCTCCTCATCTCGGACGTGTCCAGCTCGATCTTCGCTGCCCTCGCCTCCCCGTCCGCGACCTCGACCTCGCACCCCGTCCCCTCCTCCTTCTCGATCACCTCAAACCCCTTCGCGGCGACGCTCTCCCCGCTCTCCACCTCCCCGCAGCCGTCCTCCCCGAGCGCACCGTCGCTGCTCGACGACGACGACGCGGGCGACGGCCTCGGCAGCGTGCTCGTCCCCGACACCAAGGGCCCCGTGCGCACCCCCGCGGGCGCCCCCGCCCCGGTGCCCGCGCCCGCGCCGAAGCAGAACCGGAGTCTGTTGGACGACGACGACGAGTGGAACTGGTAGCATTTCAACTGCACCCTGCCGCGGGGCCAGGCGTTCCTGTAGCGCATGCGGGCGTGCGGCGGCCTGTGTTGTGTACATACATATGTGTACCCGCACGTCGCGCAGGGTGCAGGGGCGTGGGGACAGTGCGGCTCGTACTATAGCTACGTAGTTTAGTCTGGATAGGAGTACTTGTGGATGTCTGTTTTCGTGTCTGCGGTACCGGTGGAATACATGCTATCACTAATGGCTGCCTTGCGTTCGTGGATGGTATCCGCAAGCAGCTTGCAATAGTTGGAGACTTCATATGGATCGTCACGCGAGTTTATGCAGCTGAGGGTATGTATTGTCTTGGGACCATACTACCACCGAGTGCCAAATTATCTACATAAAACCCGAGAGCAAAGAAAATCGTAGCTATGCTGGAAGGTATCATGAAGTGTGACAAAGAAAATGGACGTAGCTGTATCGTACTGGGAGAGACTATCAAAAGCGGGTATCGTAAGAAGCCGTAGGTTGTGTTTCCCAGCGCAGACAAATCCGCACTGAGGTTTACTGATCTCCAGCTGGGAGTATTCGTGAGACAAGAGGTAGGATATATGCGTGTTCAAAGAAACCAGAGAAGACCAGCCCGGACAAAGCTAAGGCTGGAGTGCTGTTCCGCCTCCGTGTTAGGGAGGCGAAGACCGGACGGCGCCGCGGCGCCCGGTATCGACAACTTGCCTGGAGGGCTCCCAGAGGAGGTTCCACCAGAGCAGTCGTCGGATCGTTGAATAGTCGCTGGCAGTGGCGGAGCTGCCAGGGGAGTCGACCACTTGGAAGGGAGGGTATGGCGGGAGTGATGGAGGACGGAGTATCGCAAGTTTGGGTTGGTTGGTCATCGAGAGTGTTGACGTGCGTGGAGACCAAGAAGAGCGAAGAGTAGAAAGAGGAGACGAGAAGAGCGAGGGCCAAGGAGAGATAGTAGAGAGAGCCGAGTGCGCTATAGCCAAGATGGAGGGGAGCCTGGATCCCGGAGCCGGAGGAACGAAGACGAGAACGTAGAAAGCAAGCCCGATGTAGAGGAGAGCGAAGAGCATACCCGCAGCGGCTGGAAGGGTGCCCGGAACCCGATGCCTAGAGGGCCCCGTATCCCCCCTGAGTGCCAGAGGGGCGGCGAGAACGGCACGACAGATCGTGACTGTGAATCAGACAGCATAGACGACGACAGCGTGGCGCTCGTGTACGGCGACCTCGTTGTTGATGGACTCGTCGGCATCGGCACCGTCGAGGTAGTCGTCGAAGTAGTCGTAGCGGTAGTCGTCCATGATGTCGCAGAGCTTGCCGTGCGCGCTGTCACTCTCGAGGCTCGCGAGGGAAACGGACGAGTCGAATGCGTCGATGAGGTGTGCAAGGCGTTCAGGCCGCCCCTTGTCGTGGTCATCGCCGTCAGAGGGTGCGCTGGCGGCGATAGCGACGTAGGCATCGGCGTAGGGGTCGTCGTCCGGGCTAGCAGGGGCAGTAGGGAGAGCCACGTCGGCGGCGAGAGAGGCCTCGAGAACGCTGGACATGCTCGAGTAGCCTGCGAAGCCGAGCGACCCAAGGGGCCCGTGAGTCGCGTCATCGCCAGAGGAACCAGAGGTAGCGGAGGTGTTGTGAAAGTCTTGAAAGTCCAACTGAGGTCGAAGTTGCAAACCCAAGCCGACCCCAACCACGCCAGTCCCAGTGACTTGAGCGGTGCCCACGGTGCCAGACGTACCCCGAAGAACCCTAGGACCAGTCCCGCACCCGTGCACAACCTGATAGCCCACGGCGGTCGCTTGAGTAGCGGAAGACGGATTCTGCTGGCCTTCGATGACATTGTTAACAACCTGTGCTTGAACCATCATGCGTCGCTCCCTGAGCTTGCTGAACCGCCCCGTGGGTGCCGCCAGAGCGAAGGTCTTCCCCGAGAAGTTCGATACGTTCCTCATCACCGGCTTCGCCTCCTCACGCGGCGCATGGAATGAGGGAGACGGCACCTGCAGATACGCGCGGACCGAGAACGACGGGCTCGCCGGGAAGAAAAAGCTGACCGGGGAGGACAGGGTCGGCGTCATGGGCGGGGGCGTGTCGAGCTCGGATACCGTAGAGTCATCTGAGTAGGTGCTGGAGGGGGTGTCGGGGACGACCTCGTCGCAGGAAATGACGATCTGCGGAACGACGATGGGGGCTGAGGGCGTGTAGAGCGTCCATTCGCGCTTGGACTGCTCGTTGATCTGGGCAAGGTGAGGGCGGATCCATTCCGGGACGTACTGCGGGGAGTTGTTGTCGGCGGCAGCCTCGACGTCGACGATGCGCCTCGACTTCCTGTTCCCAGACTGCGGGCGGGGAAGGGGTTTACAAACGCAAGCAATGAAAGAAAGATAGAGGCTAACCTTGTCGTTATCCACAGCGGGCCAGGTGAGCTGGCCGAGAACCTTGCAAAGGACAGAATCCCGGAGACGCGACGAAGGAGCAACAGCCAGCGCAGGAGGAGGGAGCTCCAGAGATTGCTTGCCCAGAGTAGGGGACCCAGAGGCTGACCAGGAGCGAGCCAACACAGCAAGCGGCGGGAACGTCAGGAAGCGCGGGCTGTTCTTGCCGCCATCGGTGCCGTCGGGGGTGCAAGCCTGTCGCTCGAGGTCGACCATGACCGGGGTGGAAGTCCGAGACTGAGTGCGGCGAGCGTAAGGCTTGACCTGAGTGCGACGACGGTAGCAGCCAACGAGAGCGGCGGTTCCAGAGCAGAAGAGCACGAAGACGAGAGCGATGCAGATGACGATAACGGCCTCCAGGTTGGAGGGTTGCGGAGAGTGCTCGTTGGCTGCGACATAGCTAGAGTAAGAAGCCGGGGCCATGGTGCTTGACTGAGGCTTGGCGGCTTAAGGGATGGTCTTGGATGGTTTTCTGCTGGAGGTGGTGGTGCGAGGAAGAGCGGGGCAAGAGGCTGGAAGATCGAGCTGGAGGGCTTAAAGAGAAATTCAGATCCTGTCCGGGAGGACTGCATCTCGCTGCAGAGGCCAGTCAGCCTCCGTCAGCCTTGGTGAGGTGGGTCAACCTTGCAGCGTACTTGGGGCGATGGTCGTATACTTGAACAAAGCAAAACATCAGCTGAATGGAGTTTGCACGCGTGCGTGAGCGCATCCGTGTGTTTCCCCCGCGATTGTGCAGCTGGCAGCCTTCTGCCGCAGTGGCAAGAATATCCATCACTGGGGAGTAAACATCGATGACATTCTGATCCGGCCTATCTTCAGGCGACACTGACCATGCGGGAGCACCTTGGCGAGAGCGACACGATAGGTCGTATATAGCCGCATTTTGAAAGTAGGGGTATGCTATGCAGAGGGCGTCGTATATTGCCGTATGTCGCCGTGATCGTCCAGTTGTCTCCAGTAGAGATGCTACGGCTCCACCCCGAGAGGTTCGGAGATGGCGTGCCTTGCGCCCTGAGGCGTTGTCCAGGTCGCAACAAATATGCGTAGATATTGCGAGGGACAAAACTGCGTTACTCGATTGTGACGAACATTGTGTACTGACCATGTCTGGCGGACTCTTCTCCGCTCGCCCATTTCGGTACTCCACAGTAGTTGGCTGCAAGCATACTAACCTGTGGTAGCGGTCAAAGCCTTTGCAATTGACCGTCGGGAAGCTAGAAAAAGAGCGAACTCGTCAGCGATACTGGCATTTTTAACGGGTGTAAAGACGTAGCACAATGCATGTGCGCAGCTCAGCTTTCCGTTCTTTGCCTGACGCCCTGAGCGGTTCCGTGCCCCCGCCTGAGAGCGAGGAGGAACCTGAACAGAACGCCAGACAAGGGTCTCACAGAGGCGTGCCCCTCAAGAGGTTTCTTGTTGACATCACATAGACGTAAAATGAAGGCTGTGCAGAGCTCACCATCGCCGTTGAGCCAGGGCTGCAGATAGATGATCACCTCCGCGAAGTCCATAGAACGCAGTGGCGGCGACCGCGGACGAGCTATAAAGGATGGTATCGCAGAGCGCGTAGAAGAGCATCTCAAATGAAGCGACTATCTGCTGGATGTGACATTTGCTGTTCCAAGAAGACAATGTTGCTAGGGAGGGCGTTGGCAGATAGGTGAAAGAAAGCGAGAAGTTCATATCCGCTGACGGCGTGCGAGCACTTCTCTGCGTCACAGCTTGATTATGGGCATGCCGGCGATAGATAGGCTCCAGGTGTCGACATAGTGAGCTCCTCGACGGTCGTGCAAGCAGCGAATATGCGTATTTTGCGGACTGTGGACGAGGTGGTGGTGGATGGACGAGAGTTGCTGTCGAGATGATGGCGCGTCGGGAAACGAATGAGCGGGCATTTCGCGGGAGGATTGATGGGGTCACGCTGTGACACACCGACACCGGCGTCACGCGGTTCAGGAATCGCAGCCGTCGGACACCGCGTCTCTTGATCGCGCACGAGCGGTTCGCTCTGATCTCGAAGTTCATTCGACTGCCTCCCGCTCAGGGCAAGGGAACAGCGCCTTCAGCCTGTTGCCGTCATGCAACCACTCGTACGTATAAAGCGTGGGGTCCTGTGCCCCCCGCACCGTCGGTTGGTCCAGACTCACTTCCTTCCCCGCTTCTCCGAGCGAGTCGCTCCTCCCCTTCTTCGGGGCTTCTGCCTCGGCCTCTGCAGGCCTTCATTAGCACCCCTACATCTGCGCAGGCCGCATAGCCGTTCCTTTACTCATGGCTGTGAATTTTACGACTTCTGCTCAGCTTGAAGCCGGCCCCAAACTGGAGACAGGTCACTATGGACCCAGTGAAGTCGCTGGTGTTGCGGTATGAATCCATATATTATTTGGCTGGTGCGATGAGACATATGCTAAAATTACGACAGGCTCTAGTCGTCGCGGGCGCGATCTCCCTCTTGGCCGTGGCTCCAGCTTTGGTGGTAAGTGTCATTATGAAATGCGTCGAGAGCCCGGTTGACCCCCGACCCCGTAGATGATGGGATGGCACCGCCGTACCCTCAATCTGCGCAACACGCGGATCCTCCCCTTCTTCGTGTCACTCCTCATTGCCAATATTTTGCAAGCGATTGGGACTCTCATCAACGGCAAGTGGGCGGTAGACGGCATCGTCGTCGATGGCCCGCTCTGCCACGCCCAGGGCGGCATCAAGCAGGCTGGAAACGTTGGCATGGCTCTCTGGTGCGCTCAACTTGACTATATGCTATCTGCTGATTATCCAACGTTACTGACCGTGCCTTGTTCACCCGCAGGTCTTTTACGCTTTCACTACACGTCTTTATGTTGCTGTTCTTCCGCGTCGCTTTGACGAAGACACTCTCGTGGATGCTGCTCTTCACTGGCTGGTATCTGGTCGCTTTCATCGTTATCATTGGTCCCTCTGCAGTCGAAAGGCCCGAACGAGGACCATATTTTGGACCGACCGGCTACTGGTCAGTTCATACACTTGTCCCTCGCTTCTATCGGTCTCAATGCTCATCTGTTTTACACGATCAGGTGCTGGATTACATCGGGATACCCGCACCAGCAGTTCTACTTCGAGTATTTCTTGGTATGATATTTTTTCGGAGCTCCAGCGGAGCGCGCGGCTCACCGCTGTTTAGGAGTTCTTGTCCGCAGGACTATCGTTCTTCCTTTATGCCGCAGTCCTGCTTCGCGTACGTGGAAATCTTGTGAAGACTAGCGGCCGCTGGTGTCTGCGCTTCGTCCCTCACGGCGAGCGGTGGGTGCTCGCAATCAGGCGGGACGCCGTCGACGGCTACATGATGCACGTCGTTGCGCGCATGGTCTGGTGAGTTCAAGGCCACCTGCACTTTGCATTCTCTTGATAATATATGCTGATGTACCTGTTTAGGTACCCCGTGGCGTATACCATTCTTCTCCTACCAGTGACAATCGCCCGCTTCGTAATGTTCAGCGGGCGTAACGTGCCCTTCGGAGCGACTATATTCGCAGACTTCGTCTTCAACCTCCAGGGCGTCGCAAACGTGATCCTTTTGCTCGCGACGCGCCGGCTTCTACCAGACACTGAGACACTCCCGATTTTCTCCCCACGCAAGCGTGTGAGTGTATCCTCGCCCGAAGCGTTCGGCATCACGCCGTTCGTGCTCCCACCGCCGGAGGTGGCGATATCGGCGAACGTGGCTAGGGCGCCCGCGGGCGCAGAGCTTGGCTGGAAGCCCGAGGACGACGAGATGGCGACGAGGCCGATGTCGATGTCTACTATCGGGAGCATTAACTCACGGACCCTATTATTCCACGATCGGCGTTGAACTCTACTTCTGCCGCGCCTGTACGCTTCCTGTTCTAGGTGAGAGAACCAGTGCCGTAATCTTCAAGAAGTGATTGCTAAAATGTTGGCCCGGCTTTCCAGATATATATTCCTGTATCCTACTTGTATTCACGGGACACTGGTGGACTCGTGCCTCTTCCTCTTTGGTTCTTGATGACGACAATTGACTGATGTTGTATTATACGCTAGACGAAACATACCCGGACTCTGTTATTTTAGATTCATGTGCTTTCAGATCTTCCATTTTGAAATCCGCTGCTTTACGTGTCGCGCGCGGGAGTCGTGTACGCCGCCTTCGGTGCTCTCGGCACAGCCCGGGGCGTGGTTTCAGCTGGCTACTTCGTGGCTACTGCACCTCGTGCATCTGCCTTCTCCGTAGGCGAACACGCCCACCGTGATACAAGCCTATGCGGTAGGGAGACGTAGCGGACAGCGAAGACGCGTAGCCGGCAGGCGACGACGAGGACGCCGACGCCAGTGCGATAGGTACGCGATCACGTGCGCGCGTCGAGCTCGATGCGCCGTCCGCGAACGCGTTACGCTCGGGATCGATGCTCGGAGCCGTGACGCCACGCTTCACACCCACCTTCACGGTTCCCTGTCGCCGAAATCTCGCTGTCCTTCCTTCACGAACCTTCCGGCCCCCATCACAGTCTCCTATCCTGTCTCGTTCTGACGCTCTTCCGATTCCCTATCCGATCGAAGTACTTCACGTTTCTTCGGCTCCATTTCGTTCTGCTCGATTCTACCACTACCATAGCTCCCCTCTCGCATCCGGGCTCATGACTCCGATTTGTTCAGTTTACTAATAGGTTATATAGTCTTCCCAGTCGTGAGGTTAGCTGGCGACGGAGAGACGCAGCGCGATCACCCGCGCTGGCCCGGGGGCAGCGAGCACACGTCAATAGGTGACGCGTCGGACAGTCCCCGTCCCGATCGAGCAAACCTTCACGATTGACTTGTGGCGCTGACGGAAAGGAGATTGGTTCGGTTCCAGTCTCAAAACCGCGACCATTTCCATGTCGAAAAGGTACGTCGGTTTTGGTGCTCGAACATGTATAAAACGGCGACGTCCTGCCTTCGAACGGACAAGTCCCCCCCTCCCCCCTGAACTTCAGCGCGCGCACTAGCATCGTCCGTCTCCTCCGCAGCAGTCATCAGCTATCGCCTTGAGTTCCCCCCATTTCTGGCTCATCGACTCTACCCGAACCGCTCCGATTAGGCTCCGCCAACTGAGTATGCTTCCCCGCCCGTCTGTTTCTGATACTTTGTCCCCGCCGCGCTCTAACAGTAACCCTCGGCCGAGGCAACATCACAACAACCAATGGCATCTCTCGACTTTCCACCGTGACCTCAACTCATTTTACTCCACCACACCTGGACCATGAGACCTGCATCCGGGCATCCGATATCATTGGCGCGCGTTCTCTTTGCACAGACGCGTGACAAAAATCATGTGCGGTGACTGATCGCGTTTTCTCTTCCTCTGAGCGGAGCCAGAACGTCGCCGCCCATCGTCTCCCAACGCCTTCCCGCATCGAAGCTGCGCTCCAAGTGCGCTGATAGAACCTCGCACTCAATTGAGCATGCCCACCGCACCACGCCGGTGGGATCCGCACATTTACCTGGGCGCAAGCGAACCTTCGCAACACCCCCAGGGCGAACTCTGTCGTATCCCCGGGCACATCCCCACGAAGATGCGTTTCCTACTCGGCGGTACCCAGCTGCCGCGCGCAATGCCATGATGTCCAGGTGCGATCGCCCATCTTCCGCGGGCAAAGTTCCGCTGACGTCGCTTGCGCCCTTTGCATGCGTGCCTGTGAGAACGCGTCGGTAATCCTCCTGCTCGCCCGGAGGCTGGCAGCTGGATGCAACCGTGGCCCAGACACGCGCAGGGGGCTGGCAGGTCTGCGCTAATCACGTCGGTCGGGCCACCCATTGAGCGGGATCAGAGAGAGCCGCTCCCATGTTGCTGGGTTCGTCGGCGGCTGCTTATCTACAATGGCAAGTTATCATCGACCTCCCCACGATCCATTCAACCGCGTCGAAATGCGCAATGAATGCCCCAGCCCGGTCGGTCGCGTACGTACAGCACCCAACTTTCGTACGCTGCGAAGACGGGCCGTGTATCTGCCCCTGGAGACGACGAGACGTCTCGCTTGCCTTGGGAACAGGCCGACCCAAGGAGGCAGTCGCATTGAATGAACCCGATTTGCCCTGGGGAAGACGCCCCCAGCTCCCGCCGCCCACGTCAGAACGCTTCTCGCGGAACCCTGTCCGGACGCACGTCGGATTTTGAAGGTGTTCTCCCAGGCGCCCCTGCCGCCCCGTGTGCGCTACGCCGACCTAGTCCCAGCTCGCAGCGCGTTGAACCAGCCAAGGAAGGCCCATCGTTCGCCAGGTATTACTTCGGCACTCTTATGTGACGGGCCCGGGGCAGGTCGACGGATGCCGGCCGGGAAGAAGTGCGCTGCGGGGCAGGCGCCGCCGCCGAGGCCTCCCATTGCGGACGTGCTTCCTCCAATCTAGCCGCAGCGGGCGACCTGCTTCTGCAAAAATTTGGTTAGCCACAGGCCCCGGCCGGTACGCGGTACGTCTTACGGCACAGGCCGTCTTCCAGGCGTCGTTCTGGTGGTGTCCGCCCTCCTTGCCCCTTTGCGTAATGTGTCTTCTGGCCCGGGGCTGCTGGCGGGGGCCCAGGGCGCCTGCGCTGCCGGCGCCGGGCTGTGCCAGCAAAATGAAAAATAGTGTTCCGCGTCGAGGGCCGCGTCCTGGTCCATCTGCTGGATGCGCGCGGGGAGCATCTCCGCCGATCGCGCTGCATCAGAGGGAGGGAGAGAGGTGCTGCCGAACCGCCGCCGGGAAGAAAAGCTGGAGAAGAACCGGACGCCCGGCGCCGCGGAGGCATATGTCGTCCGGGGAATTCGCCGGCGTCCATCGAAAGGAGTGGTGTCTTTCCCCCGAGCAACAAGCACTGGCCCCGCGCGGGAAGGCCTCTGGACCACATAGCGTCCGGAGTCTACCATCACGCTGGCGGGGCGGGCTAAGCGAGCGCGGGTGATTAATTTGCGCATCGGAGGGCGTTTGCATGGCAAGATGTGATGTCGATGCAATATTCAATATTTCCTCGAATCGCTTGCCAAGTTGCACGGGGGCGTGCATGACCTGCGGTCCCCATGCACGCGCTCCGCTCAGCCGTCCGAGTCTGCCTTGTTCTTTAAAAGTGCGCCCCGCTGCCGACTGCCCTGCTTCTCTTCCTCCCTCTCCCGTCCCCGCCTCCCCATCCCCTCTCCCCGCCTGTCCCAGGGACGCCGGAGCGTGCACAGCGAAGATGCCAGCGAAGAGCAAGATCGTGACGGAGGGCGACCCCCTCGCGTGGGTGATGGCGCCCCCGCCAAACGAGAGCGAGGAGCAGCGCGCGGGGCGGCTCGCGGCGGAGGCGGAGGCGAAGAGGATCTCGGACGCGATCGACGACGAGCTGCAGCGACAGGCAAAGCAGGAAAAGCGCGGTCCGAAGCCCGTCAAGATCCTCCTCCTTGGTGCGTGCAGCTGTCTGAGTGTGCGCCACGGGCGCGGTGATGCGCGCGGACGCTGATTTCCAGTGATTGCAGGTCAGAGTGAATCAGGTATGCGTCCATTGCAGGCTGCGGTCACCGTGCATAGGTGCTGACGTGCGCGCGCAAGGCAAATCGACCACGCTGAAGAGTGAGTGATGTTCACTGACAGTGTGGCGAGCATTGTTGACTGTGCTACAGACTTCCAGCTCATGAACACACCCAAGGTAGATGGATCCTGAGTATACATCAATGCGCCCGCGCTGACCCGCGCGCCTCCAGGCGTTCCGCGCCGAACGCGCATCGTGGCGCGCAGTCGTGCAGCTCAACGTTGTACGCTCCATCCGCGTCATCCTCGATGCGATGGCCGAAGCGCAGGCGTACCACGCCACGACGTACAGCGGCCCAAACACGCCCATACGCACGCACGCCCCCGACCTCTTCCAGTCGCCCTCGAGCTCGTACGCCTCACTGGGCCGCCCGCCGCCACCACTTACCGCCGAGCACCTGAAGCTCAAGCTGCGCCTCGCGCCGCTCGTGCAGGTCGAGGAGACGCTCGTGCGCAAGCTCACGCAGGCGGGCTCGGGCGAGATGGAGGCGACGCAGCTGCAGATGCTCGGGGGGAATGCGTCGCATGCGGACCGCGCCCGCGCGCTTGATCGCGAGGTCGCGGTGAACAGTCAGTTTGCGTGGAAGGGCGTGTTCCACAAAATGATCGGGCGCAGCAGCATGGATAGCGAGGCGGACTTCAACGACCCGGACGTGAGTGCGCGAGCAGTAGGAGAGGTGCGGCGATGCTCACGCTGGTATTGGGTATGTTGCAGGACCCGGGTCGCATCCTGTGCGCATGCGCGGAAGACATGGTTACGCTGTGGAACGACCCCCTCATCAAGTCCCTGTTGCGCTCGCAGGGCACCCGCCTCGAGGACATGCCAGGATTGTGCGTTGCCCGCTGCGGTTGCCATAAGATTGGTCTGATGTCCGTTTGGCCGTCGCAGCTTCCTGGACTCCCTGGAGCGGGTCACGCACCCGAAGTATGTTCCCTCAGATGGTAAGCATTCGGTGGTTACGAAATGATGCATTGAGAGCGAGCTGCTCACGCGCTCCCCAGAGGACATACTTCGCGCACGGCTCAAGACGCTCGGAGTGTCGGAGCACCGATTTACGATCCGGGAAGGTCAGCTCCTGCTCGCCGTTCACTCCGCTCTCCCGGTGCCCGCGACTCATCTGCATAGGACTCACAGGCGGCATTTCACGCGACCTCCGAATATATGACGTGGGAGGGCACCGATCACTAGTGCGTCTTCTCGCCGCTATTGCGCGCTACAGCTGATTTACCGGCTTCTGGCCCTCCTGCAGAGAGGTGCGTTAATTAATGAGCGTGGCAGGCGCACAATGTCATAGTGAACATCGCACCTTCTAGCCGCATGGGCGCCGTTCTTTGACGACATGAAGTGAGCGAGAAGGGTTCTCCATTATGAAGGCCGACGCTCACCGACATCCGTCCCTGCGCAGCTCCATCCTCTTCCTTGCCCCGCTAAGCGGTTTCGACCAGGTGCTTGCGGAGGACGAGAGCGTGAACCGCCTGGTATGTCCCATCGACCCTCCTCCGCTATCCGCCATTCACACGCGCACGTCACTCCGCCCCGCAGGAAGACTCGGTGCTGCTGTGGAAGTCGATCTGCTCGAACCCGCTGCTGGGCAAGACAAACCTGATCCTCTTCCTGAACAAGATCGACATCTTCCGCGCGAAGCTGCGCGCGGGCATCCAGTTCGGCCAGTACATCATCTCGTACGGCAACCGCCCGAACGACTACGAGAACACGTCCGCATGTGAGTCCAGAGCCGCCTGGTTGCTGCACCGCCCGCCTGTCGTCTGCACCCGGACCCGCTACGTATCCCCAGAGGGCGACTTGTTGGGGGAGTGGGCCCTGCGCTGGGGGCGCGGGCGCGGGCGTGCTAGGGGTGCGGCGGAGAAAGGAGCGTGGGCTGACCGGGCGTGTGTTGTCAGATATGCGCCGAAAGTTCGGCCAGATCCACCGAGAGTACTCGCCGCAGGCACGGACGTTCTACTGCCACTTCACGTCGGTCACGGTGCGTTGCATCACAGCACTCAGATAGGCTTATTTGCGGGCGGAGCTGACGCGGCTGCCGCCACAGGATACGAAGTCGACGTCGACAGTCCTAGTGAACAGTGAGTGCATGTCAGCTTGCAGCATACCGAAAGGGGCTCACCTCCGTGCGCAGTCCAAGAGTCCATTCTCAGTGCCAACCTGAAGAGCATCAGTCTGACCGGGGACTGAACGCCCTCTGCGCCCTAAGACCCAAGATACCTTATCCCGACAAAATCGTGCATATATGCTCGCTTGACGTTATGCTCTGCGGCGGCACGTCGGGCTGGCACGCCGGGTCGTTCGCTAATGGACTTTGCTGTTAACATGTTTCGCTGCGTGCATCCGGTCCCGCTGCTCCATACTGTTGTACTATACCATCATTCCACATACCACTGTGGATATGCTTTGCAATGCTACGCCGTACGCTTAATTTTCTGCGATCCTGGCTATTTCGTGTGTCAAGTTTGGAAGGTGCGTACTCTTGCATTCTTATGTTGGGCAAGAACGATGTTTCAACGCGATATATATAGTAGAAACACCTGCGGGATGTAAGCATACTGTCAAGTCGACCTCGGGTTGGACGTACCACTGTAGTAGGAGAGCTGTCAAAAGTAACAATGGCGTGCTCTAAGTGTCACCGTGAATGTAGCGAGGGGCCCCGCTAGAAGTCGTAGGAGTGAGGGCGTCAACGTGAGTACTCGGGTCCATTAAGCATTGCAGCCGCCTCCTCGTCCTCTTCCTTACTCCGAGGCGTCCACTCTGTTTGATTTTCGCTCAATGACAGGGTAGCGGGCTTGCGCGGCCTTACGACGGATGCACAGTACTCCGAGCCGAGCTGCTGGAAGCCAGTATGGTGAGTGCGCATACACGATGCGCTCTAGTGCGGACTGCGTAGGAGCTGCGTGAGTTTGAGCGAAACCCAAGACGACGCTAGGCGCCCGTATGATTGGCGCGGCAGGTGCCGATGACATCAGACATGCATGATGGCCACGCGGAGTGTCCGAGGGTCGCCCCAACGATATTGACAGAAAGCGAGACCAGCCCGGACCGAGCATTGCAAAAGCCTACTGTGGTCCAGGGGCCGCCGCCGTGCAGGAGGCGCGATGGTACGAGCATATCGCTGCGGCTGGAGCGGACCACGATCGTGGTGCTGCACAGCTCGGTCCGCGGCAGCTGCGCATCGTGAGCGTCGCGGCCCGTGCGCCAGCGTCGACAGCGGCGGACGCGACGTACTCCCGCTGACTTCCATCCCCAACGATTTGCCTGCATCACGTGCACGGACGCGCGCACCTCCGAGGGAGCGGCGGAAGGTATCACAGTGGTGGTTGACGACGCCAAGACGGGTCCGGATGCATTCGAGGGCGGTGGGGGCCAAAGTGCGTTCACTGCGGAGCAATGCGCGCACAGATTGGTGCAATGGGATGGGGAGCCTGTGGGCGCCTGTGGACTTGTTTGCGCGGGGACCCGGGAACCCCGGCGGGATCTCTGCGCGAATTTGACGCGATGTATGCGCGCTCGCTCTGCGCACAAGTGGGGGAAATATTCCGCTGGAGAGGCCCAGACGAGGCGAGAAAATAACGAGTGCGATGGAGGTCGCACGGGCGGGTGAGGGGCGTGGAGGTGGGGGTGGGGAGAGCCGGGGTCCTGGGCGACGGCAAGTTGGTGAGAGCGATCCGCCCCAAAGAAACGAGTTGGGCTATAAATCTTTGGCGATGGCAGACGGACTTCCCCGCCCCCCTCCTTCCTCCTCCACCGCCATGTCCTCCGTCGTCGACTCCCGCACGACGCCCACCAAAGAGGCTGCCACCCTCACCCCGCCCATGACTCCCCCCCTCCAGTCAAAGGCACTCAAGTCCGATATCGTCCCCAGCGACATCGACATTCCCGACAACTACGTCTCCTGGACGTTGAAACACCAGAAGGAGCGTCCCCCAATCGGCTGGCACAACTGGTGGCAGGAGCTCGAGTGGATCTCCGTCCTCGTCCTCACCATCACCCCCTCCGTTGCCATCTGGGGCGCGTTCAACGTCCAGCTCAAGTGGCAGACCGCTGTCTTCAGCGTCCTCTACTATTTCTTCACGGGTCTCGGTACGTCTGCTGGCGTTTCTGATCCGGTAACCCCGTTGCTTATTAGGCGCAGGCATTACCGCTGGTTACCACCGGCTATGGGCGCACCGCGCTTACAATGCGTCGAAGCCGCTGGAGTACTTCCTCGCCTTCGCAGGCGCTGGTGCCGTTGAAGGCTCCATCAAGTGGTGGTGCCGTGGTCACCGCGCGCACCACCGTTATACGGATACGGCGCTCGACCCCTACAACGCAAATGAGGGCTTCTTCTGGTCCCACATCGGCTGGATGCTCGTTAAGCCCCGCCGTAAGCTCGGTGTTGCCGACGTCAGCGACTTGAGCAAGAACGAGATTGTCCGGTGGCAGCACCGCTGGTACCGCAGCCTCATCCTCCTTGTCGGTTTCATTCTCCCGACTCTCATCTGCTACTTCGGCTGGAACGATGCGATGGGTGGCTACGTCTTCGCTGGCGCGGCCCGTCTCTGCTTCGTTCATCACGTACGTTTCATTTCCTGTTGGCCGTATATTGAACTCCGACTAATTTCTATACAGTCGACCTTCTGCGTAAACTCCCTTGCGCACTGGCTCGGCGACACTCCCTTCGACGACAAGCACACTCCCCGCGACCACATGGTTACCGCTCTCGTCACCATCGGTGAGGGGTACCACAACTTCCATCACCAGTTCCCCATGGACTACCGTAACGCTATCAAGTGGTACCAGTATGATCCCACCAAGTGGTTCATCTGGGCCGCCGCGAAGCTCGGTCTTGCCAGCCACCTCAAGACTTTCCCCGATAACGAGGTCGCCAAGGGTCAGCTCACTATGCAGCTCAAGCGGCTGCGCGAGAAGCAAGAGGGCTTGGCGTGGGCTCCGGACAGCAACGACTTGCCGGTCGTCAGCTGGGACACTTGTACGTCTTTTTTCGTGCTTCATGCTTTTATCAGGATCATTCCTGACGTATCTGTTCAGTCCAACAACAGGCCATGAAGCGCCCTCTGGTCATCATTGCTGGCTTCATTCACGACGTTTCTTCGTTCATGGATGAGCACCCTGGTGGCCGTCACCTGATCGCGAAGATGATTGGCAAGGATGGTACGACGGCGTTCTTCGGTGGTGTCTACGACCACTCCAACGCTGCACACAACGTGAGTTTCATTCGGGTTCTTGGTGTGACACCTGTGCTGACACGCCACGTATAGCTACTTTCCATGATGCGCGTCGGTGTCCTCCACGGTGGCATGCAACACGGTCTCGACGACAAGCGCGTTCCCCCAGCGCAACGTCTCCGCGTCGCCCGGTACACCGAGCTCGCGTCTCCGTACGCGTCCTCGACAGCGTGCTCGGACAACGAGGGCATTCTCGGCTGAGCGTCCTCTGCGTCTCCGTCACGTTTCTATCCGGTGTCCGTCGTCAAACGTTGTGTATGTTCTGCTTGCATCTGTACATTCTGCTCCCCCACTCTTGCATCACACGGTGTTCGTCGCATATGGTCTAGACTATTACTCTTCCTCCTAGATTGTGAAGAGCCTTGGGCTCGCCGTGTCTGCGGCAGCCGGAGCGGGGTCTCGAGAGAGCTTGGGGGTGCTGCTGTCGCTAAGTCCTCGAAGATGGATGATACTTGGGGCTCGAAGAAGTGGGAGAGGTGGCCACCTTCACGTTAACGTTCATGACTTGCAACTGTAATAAGTAACACTTGCATGATGATGACTTTACAAACTACGCTGCGCGGGTGCAGTATTGGTCGCTTGCAAAGCTCGATGTTGGACGGTGAGTGTTGTTGAACATACTGTGTGAGAACTGATTGGTCTCGAGCAGGCCAGGAGGTACGTTGCCATATTTCATACGGGGACCGATCCAACGGCATTGTGGACATAGCTGGCTCGAATAGCTTCTATGTCTACGGCTATGGTCAGCCTCAAGCCCGAGAACGCCGTCGCGTTCGAAGCAACGCTCCGCTGGGCTGACGGCGGCTGACAATCCTCCCTACGCCGTTGAATATATGGAAAGTATCTCAAGTGAGCGGTAGTACCCTTCGGACGCTCTCCTGTCGCCTCTCCGTCGTCGTCGCCGCCAGTCTCACTCCTCGTTCTCCAGCTCTCCGGTCTCTCGTCAACACTCTCTTAGCCTACACTCGCTTCAATTCCGCACGCAATGCCTACCACCACAGAGAACGCGCGCGCCCTGGCCCCGACGACACCCAAGCGCGTCCTCGCCGCCATCCACAACCTCCCGCGCCGCATGCGCAGCGGCACCCTCCGCAACAACGTCGCCCAGGCACCGCCGCCACCGCTCCCCCCGCTTCCTGCGCAGCACACCCAGGCCCGCGCCTCCGCCTCCGCCAAGGGAAAGGAGAACACCCCGCCGAGTATGCACGAGGCGGCGCCCAACCCGCCGCGCCGCCGCCGCCCTGCGCCGCTGCTGCCCAAGTCGTCCAAGCACGTGTTTGGGCTCGGGATGATGGGCCTGGCGTCCCCGCGCGACCTCGACGCGCCCTCCCCGCCTGCCTCCTCCGCGCGCTTCCCCCTCCCCACATACACCCCCAACGCGTACACCCCGAGCGCGAACACGGTGCACGAACCGTGGGCGGTGCGCGAGGGGCGGATGGTGGTCAAAGTGTGGGTGCCGACGACGGACGACATCTGGAAGGTGCGCGTGCCGGCGGACGCGGGGCTGGGCGCGTTCGGGGCGGCGGTCGCGGCGAAGGTCGGGTTTGAGGTGTCGTTCTCGGCGGTCGTGGAGGGGCGGCTGCGCGCGATCGGCGACGAGGAGGCGTGGCGGCGGTGGGTCGCGGGACGGGTGCGTGAGGGGCGCAATACGCTGCTGACGGCGCACCGGCTTGAGCTGCTGTGATTAGTCTCGGTCCGAGGAGGAGGCGTCTTGGTTCTGGCTCCGGTCGTCTGGCTTGGACTTGGAGAACACTGTCTGCGTTATCTTGGATCGCGAATATTCTGGTCTGGCTGGTTTGTGGTTTTCGCCTTGCATCGCTTCATCTGTGTCTTGGCTCGCTCTCTTATCAATAGTGCTTCGTCTATTCGTCAAATCTGTTTATGTCCTTGCTCGCATGGGTTCGGCCAATATTACCACTCTTTTCATTGCACAAACGTGGGAGAGCTCGCTAAGCTATGTCGACTAAAATCCAATGGCTCTTCAAATCCTGATCCTAGGTCCTGCTTGTTCATACCAACCTCTTATCGCGATGCTGCGTCTTGGATACTTCAAGTTACGCCGTCAACTGGTCGTTCGCACGAATGAGGGCCTCGGCCCAGGGCGCGCGAGGCTTGATGACGCATTTGAAAGGCTCTGGGTACCTGTAATGTCCGTTAGTGCCAATAACACTCCCCAGGCCACACGAGCAAGACACGTACGATACGAAGCCCGCTGTCATCTGGACCTTTGGCCGTTGGGGCTTTCCGGTGGCATCGAGCGGCGCGGTAACCGAGAGTGTGTGCAATACCGAAGAGACAGTCAGGAAGAGCGAGGACTCTGCGAAGTGGCGGCCGGGGCAGATCCTAGTACGTTTCAACGTCGTGGTGTCAGATCGACTGTTGACGGAACGCGAAGGAAACCGCTACAATGCGCACCTTCTGCCGAAGCCGAACGCGAACTCGGATGGGTCGGTGATATCGGTGTTCAACTTTCCGTCCTTCAGGAAGCGCTCCGGGACGAAGGATTCGGGGTTTGGATACCGTCGCTCGTCGCGCGAGAACGCCCTAAGGTCCGATAAACGGTCAACACGCTAACACTAGTAAAATCGGGCTCGGGAACGCCGACATACCATATATTTGGGATGACCAGCGTGCCCTTCGGGATCAAGTAACCGCGATACTCGTCGTCCTGGACTAGGCGGTGCGGGATGCCGAGCGGTGCGATGGCGTGCCAACGCATGCATTCCTTGATGACCGCGCAGACGTACGGCAGCGCGTCGCGGTCGTTGAAGTCGGGCAGGCGGTGCGGACCGACGACTGCGTCCAGCTCGGTCCGAGCCTTCTCTTGCACCTCGGGGAATGACGCGAGGACGAGGAAAAATGCTTGGATGAGGGAAAACGTCTGCCAGCCAACGAAAGTCAGCACTTTTTCACAACCTCGTACCATGGTTCACGCCTACCGTGTCTGCGCCGCCTGGTGAAACCACAAGTGTGAGATAGACGGAAGTGCGACTAAGAGCCCGAAAGTACTACTGACCCCCGTACGCCGTCGCCGTAATGTTTCGAGCTACGATTTCTTCCTCCTCAGCGTCTCGGCCGTCAAGCGTAGAGATGTGTTCCATCATCTTAGTAGTCATGGACGCAACAGCAGTCCCCTCACGCTGCACGAGAACTCGCATCAACATGCCAAACGCTCAGAGTAAGCATACGGAGATAGACGCACCATCGCCTCAACCGTGTGCGACCACGGCACATCGCGTACCCCATGGACCACGATTGTTGCATCCGCCGCGTCGCGTCGGAATTGCGCGCCGGGCATCCACTTCGGCAAGAAGCGCAGGACAGGAAACTGCTCGACGAGGTACTTGCCGGGGACGAGCAGGTTGCTGAACGCTTCAATCCCGTCCTCCGCCATCTTCACGTACTTGTCGTCCTTCTCCGCAATTTGAATTCCATACGTGGCGCGCATAATCATTGCTGCAAAAACACTGGCGAAGAGATTCGTTAGATAAGTTCTTTATAGAGATATCACGCGAAGACAGATGAGCGTACTGCCTGATATGCTCGGAGAAGTCGTTGGGCGCGTTGAGGAGGCGATGGAGAAAATGATTGACCTGGGTGCGCTGCATCGACCGGAGCTCCACAACGGCGTTGAGGTTGAAAAACTGGTGGAAGCTCCGTCTGTGGCGCCTCCACCAGGGACCGTAGGACATCGTCGAGAAGATCCAGTCAAAGCCACCTCTGCAAGAGGCACAGCGTCAGATTTGAATGAAGTCCCTGGAAAGCCGACAACGTACAGATGTGCCATAGTGGATTGGCTTCTGTCCGAATACAGCGCCGAACGTTTCTCGAGGAGATCGAGTGCAATGTCATGCGAGCCGAGGATGAGCATAGGCTGGCCGAGCACGTTCATGTACACCATATCACCTAGCAAGCATCGAGAATTAGCATACTGACGAGGGCGGGTAGTATACGGGAGGTGACATACCGTACTTGTTGGTGAGCGCACCGAAGTCTGTGCCGGCGTACCGTTTCGGCATGTCGAGCACATTCCCGATGAACGGTAGTGGGCGCGGGCCTGGGGGTAGGCGGCTCCTAGGCGACTTCCAATAATGCACGGCACATATCACGAGCACAGCTGACAGCAAAACCACCCATAGAGACATAGCAGCGAACAGGGGTAGGCCAGAGCTGAGGTTGTCAGAAATTTCGCTTCTTTATACGATGAGCAGGGCGCCGATGAAGACGGGCGGTGCGGGCGTTCCTGCCCTCACTCGGATGCTATAGGGTCCGGAGATGCTTGTGTGTTCTTCTGCAGCTGATGATTCTCACCATCTTTCGCGTCTTAAGTTCCGCTTGCTTGGAACGATCGGCCAAGTCCTTGCACTCATACTCATCTTCGTTTTCCTCGTGCTATATATCATGCTCCACATTACCGGCAGATCTGTAGGAGATTGACAGACTCGTTGGTCGAACTTGAGGTGATCGATGACAAGTACCTGCTATTATTGTAGTGAGTGCTACCGAAGACGGCACAGGTACATCGGATGATAGGAAGACATAGAAAGTGAATTCGTTGAACCTTAAGCCGTCGAGACCGAGGGCCCTCGGTGTTGCACCGCCGAAGTGGAAGGATTCATGATTCGGTTCAAGAACGCTATGATTCGATAAAAGTGACTTCATCCCGCAAGCTGGTCGTTGGCGTGAATGAGTGCCTCTGCCCAGGACGCACGAGGTCTCATGACGCATTTGAAACGCTCCGGGTAGCTGTGATACTCGTCAGTAAGCGAAGACGAGTGATTCCGAGGCTATGCAAGGAAGACACGTACGATATAACACCCGTGGTCATCTTGATCTTCGGCCGCTGAGGCTTCCCTGCCGCATCGAGCGGTGGGGTGACAGAGAGCGTGTGCAGCACCGAGGAGAGGGTTAGGAAGAGCGAAGATTCTGCGAAATGGAGACCGGGACAAATCCTGTGTTTAAGTTCAAATGTCCGGGGTGTCAGCACGTTCAATGTAAGGGTGGCCGGCACTACGCGCACCTCCTCCCGTAACCGAATGCAAATTCCGAGGGATCAGTAATATCAGTGTTCAGTTTCCCGTCTTTCAGGAAGCGCTCCGGGAGGAAGGCTTCGGGGTCTGGGTACTGCCGCTCGTCGCGAGAGAACGCCCTGAGGTTCAGAAGACGGTGAGCACTCGGACGCCCAACTGGGCGAAATGGGCGCACCATAGGTTCGCGATAACCAGTGTACCCTTCGGGATCAGGTACCCGCGATACTCGTCGTCCCGGATCAAGCGGTGCGGTACGCCGAGCGGCGCGATAGCATGCCAGCGCATGCACTCCTTGATGACTGCGCAGACATATGGCAGCGCGTCGCGGTCGTCAAAGTCAGGCAGGCGGTGCGGGCCGACGACTGCATCCAGCTCGACTCGAGCTTTCTCTTGCACTTCAGGGAATGACGCGAGGACGAGGAAGAATGCCTGGATCAGCGAGAGAGTCTGCACAAGGTCCCGTCAACGCTTTGCTGTGGCCTGCAGTGGGGTCCGCACTCACCGTATCCGCACCACCTGACGTGAGGCTAAACTGTGAGTTACACGGGGATTGGAATTGGACTGGGAGGAGATGCGACTAACCGGCATACGCCGCCGCGGTAGTATTCCGGGCTACGAGCTCTTCGTTCTCAGCTTCGGAGCCCTCCAGCGTACGCATACGCTCCATCATTTCAGTGGTCATAGATGGGACTGCAGTGCCCTGGTGCTGCACGGCAAAGTGGCATCAACATCTCAAGCCCCTCGACTACTCGGGGTACGAAAACCACGAACCATTGCCTCGAGACTGCGCGACCAGGGGATATTGCGCATCTTGTGCGTGGCCACCTGTGCATCGGCCGCATCGCGCCGGAACTGCGCGCCCGGCATCCACTTTGGAAGGAAGCGCAAGATGGGGAGCTGCTCGACGAGGTACTTGCCGGGGCTGAGCAGGCGGCTGACCGCCGCAACCCCTTCCTCCGCTATTCTCATGTATTCGGAGTCGCTCTTCTCCGAGATCCGTATTCCGTACGCCACACGCATGATCGTCGCGGAAAATAGACTGTGGGGGACGTGTGTGAGATAATGAGAGTATAGGAATAGGAATAAGAGTAAACGTACTGCCTGATATGCTCATAGAAGTCGTCCGGTGTGTTGATGAGGCGGTTCAGAAAGTGACCCACCTGGGTACGCTGTATCGATCGGAGCTCCACAATGGCGGTGGGGTTGAAGAACTGGTGGAAGGCCCGTCTGTGGCGTCTCCACCAGGGACCGTAGGGCATCGTCGCCAAGAGCCAGTCAAAGCCAGCTCTGGGGGGAGCCCAGCACGGTTAGAGTGTGACGCAGTGTCTGTAAAGTCGATGACATACAGGTCTACCATGGCAGATCGGACTCTGTCAGAATACAGTGCCGAACGTTTCTCGAGAAGGTCGAGGGCAATGTCATGCGAGCCAAGGATGAGCATAGGTTGGCCGAGGATGTCCATGTACACCATGTCACCTGAAAACCAACGGCGATGAGCGAACGAGAGGGAGGTAATGGGGCGGCATGTCATACCGTACTTGTCGGAGAGTGCATTGAAGTCTGCGCCGGCGTATCGTTTTGGCATGTCGAACACATTCCCAATAATCGGTAGTCGGTGTGGGCCTGGGGGTAACGGCAAACGGCTGCTGGATGACTTCCGATAACGTGAGAGACATGCGAGGAACATAGCCAAGAGCAAGGCCGCCCAGACAGACATGGAAATACGCTGCTTGGTTAACGGAGTTAGGTTCAATGAATGCAGGGAATAGGGGCGGTTGGAAGTGGCGATCTAAAGAAATCCGTCTCTTTTAACGGCGGGCAGGGCGGAGGCGGAGGCGAACCGGCCACCAATTAAGACGATGCTAGTACCGTGTCAGAAGATGCTTCAGCGCTCCTCTGCGGCCTTCCGCCTCTTCAAGTTCCGCCTGTTTCGAAAGATTAGCCGTGTCCCCACAGTTGAACTCGTCCTTTTCCTCCTCCTCCTCATCGTTGTGCTGCCATGCAGCGTGCACCAAATTGCCACCGAGTCTATAAAGCATTGACAGGCTCGCGAGTCAAACTTCAGGCCCCCGCGGCGTCCATTTTGCGGTTGTTGTAGTGAGTACATCATTATACTAACGGAGTTGGAGAAAGTGCGGGAGATGTTGGGAGTGCAAAGAAAGTGAGGTTCGGAGAACCTTGAGTTGCCGAGACCTCGGAGTCCCGGTCCGAAGGCCTCAGAGGTCGAATTGCCTCACCCAAGCCTACGGCAGTATGTAGCAGTCGCTAGTACGCTAATAATCCCTGGTGCGAGAATGAGATGGTGAATCATTTGAATCGTACTCATCTTCGTCTTCGTTGTGCTCTATATCATGCTTTGCATTACCGGCAGCTCCATGAAAGATGATTGACAGGGTCGTTGGTCGAACTGGAGGTGGTCGCTACTAAGTACCTGTTATTATTGTAGTGAGTGCAACAAGATACTACCGAAGATGGCACAGGTACACCGGGTGATGAGAAGTTATATAAAGTGAATTCATCGAATCTTGAGCCGCCGACCCCGAGAGGCCCTCGGTGGTGAACTTGCACCGCCGAAGGGAGGGTTTCACGTCACTCGGCTTAAAAACGCTATAGCAGCGATTCGATGAATGAGGCTTCATTCCGCGAGCTGGTCGTTGGCGCGAATGAGTGCCTCAGCCCAGGACGCACGAGGCATGATGACACATTTGAAAGGCTCTGGGTAGCTGTGATATTCGTCAGTGAGTGGAAACAAGTGATGTTGAGGCTGTGCGAGGAAGACGCGTACGATATAACGCCCGCGGTCGTCTTGATCTTCGGACGCCGAGGCTTCCCCGCCGCATCGAGCGGCGGGGTGACGGAGAGCGTGTGTAGCACCGAGGAGACGGTCAGGAAAATCGAAGACTCCGCGAAGTGGAGACCCGGACAAATCCTTTATTCCAATGTTGCCAGGGTGTTAGCTCGTCCAATGTGAGAGCTGTCGGCACAACGCGCACCTTCTGCCGTAACCGAACGCGAACTCCGAGGGGTCAGTGATATCAGCGTTCAATTTCCCGTCCTTAAGGAAGCGCTCCGGGATGAAGACCTCCGGATCTGGATAGCGCCGTTCGTCACGAGAGAATGCCCTGAGGTCCGAAGGATGGTCGACATTCTGACGCCCATCGCCGAGTCGAAGAACATGGCGCACCATAGATTCGCGATGACCAGCGTGCCCTTGGGAATCAAGTAACCACGATACTCGTCGTCCTGGATCAGGCGGTGCGCTCCGCCGAGTGGCGCGACGGCGTGCCAACGCATGCACTCCTTGATGACCGCGCAGACGTACGGCAGCGAGTCGCGGTCGTTGAACTCGGGCAGGCGGTGCGGGCCGACAATGGTATCAAGCTCGGCCTGAGCTTTCTCTTGCACTTCGGGGAATAACGCGAGGACGAGGAAGAACGCTTGGATCAGCGCGAGTGTCTGCTCAACCGGTCAATAATGTTCTATGGTCTTTGGTGGCGTCCGCACTCACGGTATCCGCACCACCTGGCGTAGGGCATGGCTGTAAGATACACAGGGTTTTGATTCATACCGGGGGAAGATGTGACTGACCAGCGTACGCCGTCGCGGCAGTATTCCGGGCTATGAGCTGTTCCTCCTCAGCTTCGGAGCTCTCGAGGGTACGCATACGCTCCATCAACGCTGTACTCATAGATGCTGAAGCAGTCCCCTGGCGCTGCACGGCAAATGTGCGTCAGCGTCTTGATCCCGTCGACGAGGATACAAAAACTACGAACCATCGCTTCGAGGCTGCGCGACCAGGGGGTGTCACGCATCTCGTACGCAACGACCTTTGCGTCGGCCGCATCGCGCCGAAACTGCGCGCCCGGCATCCACTTCGGGAGGAAGCGCAAGATGGGGAGCTGCTCGACGAGATACTTGCCAGGGCTGAGCAGGAGGTTGATCGCCGTAAGCCCGTCCTCTACCATCTTCATGTATTCGTCGTCCCTCTCTGAGATCTGTATTCCGTATGCCACACGCATGATCGTTGCGGCGAATAGACTGATGGGGACGCATGTGAGGTATATGAGAAGGAGTATAGGTGTACGTGTTGGAGTAGACGTACTGCCTCATATGCTCGTAGAAGTCGTCCGGCGCATCAAGGAGGCGGTTCAGAAAGTGACTGACTTGGTTGCGCTGTATGGACCGAAGCCCCACGACGGCGTTGGGATTGAAGTATTGGTGGAAGGCCCGTCTGTGGCGTCTCCACCAGGCACCGTAGGGCATCGCCGCCAAAAGCCAGTCAAAACCGGATCTGGGGGGAGCACGGCGTCTGAGCGTGACACAATATCTAGAAAAGTGATGACGCACAGGTCTACCATGGCGGACTGGACTCTGTCCGAATACAGTGCTGAACGTTTCTCGAGCAGGTCGAAGGCAACATCATGCGTGCCCAGGATGAGCATGGGTTGGCCAAGGACATCCATGTATACCATGTCACCTTGAGCGGTTATAAGCGTATGAACGAGTGCGAGTAATACACGGGGCATATCGTACCGTACTTATCGTTGAGTTCACGAAAGTCTGCCCCAGCGTATCGTTTCGGCATGTCGAACACATTGCCGATAATAGGTAGTCGGCGTGGGCCCGGGGGTAACGGCAAACGGCTGCCAGTCCTAGGTGACTTCCAAAGACGCAAGAGACATGCGAGGAATACAGCCGAGAGCAAGGCCACCCAGATAGACATGATGATGTTGCTTGATAACCGAGTTATGTGCAAGGACTGCGGGTAATAGGAGCGGTGGTGAGTAGCGATTGTAGGGAATTTCGTTTCTTTTAACGGCGAACTGGACGCCGGCTGGTCACCACTTAGGACGATGCTGCAACGTCAGCAGATGCTTCAACATTCCTCTGCAGTTGATAGTCCTCATCGCCTTCCGCATCTTGAAGTTCCGTATGTTTCGCAACATTGAATCAGTCCCTGCTGTTGCACTCGTCGTTGTCCCCATACTGCATGTCATGCACCAAATCACTGGCAGGGAGTCCATAAAGGACTGACATGCTCGACGCTCGTTGGTCAGACTTGGGGCCTGGGAGTCCACTTTGCATTGGTCGTAGTGAGTCCGACATTCTACTGTCGGAAGTGGACAAAGTGCGTGAGGTGATAGGAGTACGAAGAAAGTGAAATTCGGGGTACCTTGAGTTGCCGAGTACGCGGGGCCCTGCCAGGGCTTCAGGCCTCAGGGGTCGAATTGCATCACTCAAACCTGTGGCGGTATGTAGCAGTCACTGGATGTTGCCACGCGCTCTTTCAAGTGCGCCGGTATGCGCTACGGCGTGCATCAGGTGGCGGATATGTAGTGAATGTTCTCCAAAGGGTTTTATACGTACATGGTGGTCTGAATTTGGCGGCCTGGAGGATGCGGCGGCGACCATGATATTCAGTACTGTGTCGTCTCCAGTCAGCCTAAGGGGACCATAGACTGTCACACCGTACGCACATCCTGCCTTCACTGCTCTCCGAGTCGCCGACTGTGCTGCTGAAGAAACCTGTAATTGATCACTTGCTCCTGCTAGCATCCATAGAAGCCCGACTTACCCTGATAACGTACGTGTAAACCCGCATCTTATATCGGCCTCAATTGGCAGATTTTCCGCCCTGAACTTCGTTGGCCCAACAACTCCCGAATCCTATCCCCGGTCGAGCGGATTTAAGGGAATTTAGACGCCCGCATACACCGATGCTCTCTCATTCCGCGTAGGCGTTGGGACCAGGGAGTGGTGTGGGCGAGGCCCAGTTGCATGTGTAAGGCTGACGGATCGCTGATTAAGTGGCCTGCGGAGGGGGAGCGTTGTCGGGGCGCCGCTCCCACCTGGTCGAGGTATAAAGGGTGGGCTGGAAGACGGCGTTCAGTATCCAACTGACCAACCAACTCTTTCAACTACTCACCGCTTAAACATTCCAATATTCTCGCAATGTCTTCTGGCAAGCAGTTCACTCTCTACGGCGGGGTCATCGGGCCCAACCCTCTGTGAGCGATTTTTGTACCGTGCTGCTCTTTGATGTCCTGAGCTGACTGGCGGATGACTTGATGTGTTCCGCAGGAAGGTCGCTGTTGCACTCGAGGAGCTCGGGCTGCAGTACAACGTCGGTGAGGTCAACATCTGGGCCGGCGAGCAGAAGAAACCGGAGTACCTCAAGCTGAACCCCAACGGGCGCGTTCCCACCCTCGTCGACCACAGCAACGGAGACTTCACCATCTGGTGCGCATCCGCCGCCCCCTGATCGCCGGCGCATGTATTGACGAGAGTGAGCGCGTCGCAGGGAATCGGACGCGATCCTGCTGTATCTCGTCGAGAACTACGACAAGGAGCACAAGCTCAGCGTCGCGGACGTCAACGAGAAGTTCAAGCTCATCCAGTGGCTCTTCTTCCAGTCCTCCGGCCAGGGGTGCGTCCTCCGTCCTCTCCGCCGTCGTGCTTCTCGCTAACAACGGCTGTGGGAATACAGACCATACTTCGGCCAGGCGGTGTGGTTCATGAAGTACCACCAGGAGAAGATCCCGAGCGCGGTCGAGCGCTACCAGAAGGAGATCCTCCGCGTGTTCGGCGTGCTCGAGAGCGTCCTCTCCAAGCAGGAGTGGCTTGTCGGCGGGCACATCACTGTCGCTGACCTTTCGTTCATCACGTACGTCCTTCATTCACTTCTGGCCAGAGGGCGAGCATAGGACTCACCAGAATGTTGTTTTCGCACAGCTGGACCGAGATTGCAATCGGCTTCGTGCTCGAAGGCGTCGAGGGCGGCAACGTTGAGAAGGAATTCCCTAGCGTCTACAAGTGAGCAGGCTTGGTCAGTGCAGCGGCTACTTGGAAATGCTGACGGTGGCGATGATTAGGTGGCACCAGAAGCTCGTCACCAGGCCCGTCGTCCGCAAGTTCCTTGATCTCCAGGCGGAGTCCCTCAAGAACATCGCGGAGCGCAAGTAGAGGGCGGCATCGATGGCCTTCCGTTCTGTGCCCTTATAGATAGCGCACGAACGGTATTATATCCGATTAGGAGGAATAGACTAGATACGGTGAATGCTATGCTGAGCGTCAAAGCTAGTCGTGCGTGAATGTCCGAGGTTGGTCAGCCAGTCGTCTTCTTGACTTGGGCCAGGTTCTTGTCTAAAAGGGCTTGATACTACGAGAAGGACACATTAAATGAGTGAATTGACACAGCTGCGGTATAACACGCACGGCACAGAAGTCCAGCGAATGCCTGGCGATGTTCTCCTCCTTGAGCTTATGTAATGCCTTGTGACGTTTTCGCACCTGGACTCGGACACAAACATCCTCCCTGATACCAGCCGTGCTTGTGCATCGTGTGTTATGCGTTTCAACGGTAGACCTGGAAGGGTGATAATTACTGATTAGTGAGTGCAGTTGGATACGTGTATCACGGTAAAAATCGGCGCTTCCCCGGGTAGCGCGGTGTCACAGTTTACCGCGGCGCCCGGGTCGACGACGACGTACCGGTCTATCATTGTGAGCTGAGCTCTGTTTGAGTATAGCGCTGAGCGTTTCTCGAATAGGCCGAGGGCAACGTCGTGAGTGGTTCGCCGACTCGGAGGACATGATACTCAAGTCCACCACTGGCAGTCACTAGACATCTCCCCCGGATACGCTAGTATCCGCTGCGGCGGGAATGTGGTGGTGGTTATGTTATGCATTGTTCGTGATAAGCATCAGATGTACACATTGAGTGAGAGTCGACGTCGTAGTAGGCTGAGTGTGTGGCGGTGGGCGCCTGTGTTGGCTTTTCTTTCAGACTTCCGGCGCCAACTTCTACCGCAGTCTTCACTCGAACTCCCATAAATCGTCACGCTCCCTCATAGGGCCTCATAGACCCTGCGCCTCGATCTGTAGACGTCTATCAACGCCTATGAACCAGCGCCCAACCTTTGACTCTCAACATGTCGAGTCGGTCTCTCAAGATTTCGATATCGCAGCGCACTGGGCACAAAATACGTTTACTAGTAGTCAGTGGTCGGCGTCTTACAAAGTGACGATCTGTGTTCGTGAAGGTGCGTCCTATATGGGTGTCCTGAGGCATACGCACGGGCCCCTCACTTCAGGCTTAAGCGGGAAGTTCAGCACGCGCGGTGGCCGCCATCTACGACAATACTATGCATGAGGATAGTCAGCGACGCGCAAATGTAGAAGATATGCTACTCACTCGCTCCCCGTACAAAACGAGCTTGCGTCGCTTGCAAGCCACACCACTGTGCCACGTATCTCGTGCGGCTCGCCAATGCGCCCCATCGGGTTCCTCTCCGCTATAATCGCCCCCAAGTCCGGCTTTTCTTTGTGTATGCCATCAACCATCCTGCGATGAGGGACCTTAGCCACGCACACAGTATGAAAGGCGGACGAGTACGGACGGTGTCTTGAACAATCCCGGGCTAAAAGTGTTCACACGGATGCCCTCCGGAGCGAGCTCGCACGCCAAGCTACGTGCGAGCTGATGTACGCCGCTCTTTGCCACCTCGTAGCAGGCGTACCCGGAGTTCTATATAAAGATTTATGTCATTTCGCGTCAGATACTCATGGATATCACAGACACGGGAACGAGCGTAGCACTCACGACGGACACACTGCCCAGGATACTGGACACCAAGATGATGCTCCCCCCGTTGCCGAACCGCGCCATCTGCTGGCCAGCAGCCTGCGCTGTGAAGAGCATGCCCTTTAGATTCGCATTTAGAACCTACGACTCGCGAGTATCAGCGACTTCGCTGGGTTGGCTCGCGGGCGAAGCGCGACGGACTGACCTTCTGCAGCTGTTCCTCCGGGATGTACAAGGCCTTCGATGACTCGCCCGTTATTCCAGCCGCCGTGAAGCACACATCCATACGTCCCTCCCTGTCGCCGATTCGCTTCCCGACATCCCACATCTGTTCCTGCACTCACATAGTGATCAGCCATCGTCCATCGAGGACTACCCATCAAAACAAACCTGGTTGCTGACGTCTCCACAGATGTACTCCAAGCGGCGCTCTCCGCCGTCCGGTGTTCGCATGCGGGAGACGTACCGTTGCACCGCAGACCATTCCGCGCCGGGCGTGTCGTGGATGTCGACGCAGTACACCGCCCTCGCCCCGGCTTCCGCGAGAGCGAGTGCACCCTCGAGACCAAGGCCACCATGCGCCCCAGAGACGACAGCCACTCTATCGGTGAGTGCTAGTTCGTCCTCGAGGAGGGTCGGCGAGACTGTTGTTGCGTTGAATTAGCACCAAGGCGTCCTATGACACACAGTACGCACCCGTGTGGGACCCGTGATCCTGCAGGGCTTTCTTGACCCCGTAGAGCGTAGGCTTGCCTGTCTCGAGGTTTGCAGGCGCAGTGGTGAACATCGCCATCGCCTGTCGAGTTGGACCGAGTCGCGGCCTCGGACGGGCCATGCAAGAGAAGCGGGCCCGTTTAATGACTCGAGATAACATGTTCGTTGTTATTTTTGCCTCTTGATTTGTACTGAAAACTTGTCAAACCTGCAGGGGGGAAGGTTTGCGATCTGCACTTCTCGCGGTACGCTCACTGGTATATAAATACTCTGGGTTATCGTCCATTTCCCGAAAATGACCAGGAAACTTCCTCAGTCTATGTTCGTCAGTGCCACAATTCGCAAGAGAGCCTCGCAGTGTACGATCAAGACGGCCGCTCACGTCGCACGATTCACGCGCACTCATAGCGCCACTGCCTCGAAATGTCAATTATCAATCTTATTCACACAGAAGGCAACGAGACTCCTTCAGCACTTCGCATAGTAAGGATATACACACACCTACAAGAGATATGAATCATTGTATATGACATGGCGGCGTGAGGCGAGGGCCGCGAGGCTCTCAGGATTTGGGGCGCCGTGCCCCGTATTGTTTGCCTATCCGACACTGAGCCCGCCGCCGCTTTCATTTGTTTGTGCACTTCGGGCGCCAACCCTGGGCGAGGAATTGTGGAATTCATTTGAAGAAACGTCAGCTGCGCTCCGCTGTGGCAGTAGGTGAATGGTGCCGGAGGCTGAGGTAGTACTACCGCTTCCGGATTCGCTGCAGGTTGATACTACAAAGCATCGATAGTTCACATCATGCTTTCTGTATTGAGGATAACACGGAGATGCGTGTGCTCAACGGTGCCTACATATCGTCCATAACGTCTTCAGCATGCGGAATGGCCGCCGTCCACGACGATGCTATAGATAGTCCAGTCAGTTACATGCAGACGGAGTGGAGCCTGGAGAAGATACGGGCACGCACTTGCTACCAGTCACGAACGAGCTCGCATCACTCGCAAGCCACGCCACAGCGCCCCCAATTTCGTGCGGGGAGCAGATGCGCTTCATTGCGTTCCTGTTCTTCAACATCTCGGCCAGATCTGGTCTTCCTGCGAATGCATTCTCTACCATCCTGGAGTCGTCAAGCTTAGCCGTGAGCTAGACGACCTGAGTATGGTACAGACACTCACCGAGTCCTGGTAATCGTCGGGCTGATGGTATTCACACGGATGCGCTTCGGGGCGATCTCGCACGCGAGACTCCGTCCAAGCTGAATCACGCCGCCCTTGGATATCTCGTAGCCCGTCAATCCAAGGTTCTAACATTGGTGAGTTTCGTGGTGATCGTGAGAATGCGAAAAGACGTGGAACTTACGACAGTGATCATGCCTCCAACGCTTGCCATCATGATGATGCTCCCCCCGTTGTCAAACCGTTCCATCTGTTGTCCAGCAGCCTGGGCGGTGAAGAGCACGCCCTTCAAGTTCACGTCCAAAACCTATGACACGTATGTATCACTAACTTGATTAGTGGAAATGAGTGGAAAGTAGCTGACCTCTTGCAGCCGTTCCTCAGGGAGGCGCAAGCTTTGCACCGCTTCGCCTATAATCCCGGCCGCAGCGAAGCAGATATCCATGCGGCCCTCCCGGTCTCCGATCATCTTACCAATTTGCCACATCCCCTCCTGAGAGATACGCAATAAATCATATATCAGCGAAGAGCCACGCTTGTTGAGACTACTAGCAGAAAACCAACCTGGTCGCGGGTGTCTCCGCAGATGTACTCCAAGCGCCTCGGCTCTCCGTCCAGACCCCCCAAGCGGGAGACGTACTCCTTCACCCTTGACCATTCAGCGCCGGGAGCGTCGGAGATATCGATGCAGTAAACCGCCCGTGCACCTGCTTCGGCGAGAGCGAGCGCACCTTCGAGACCGATCCCCCGATGACCGCCAGTGACCAGTGCCACTTTGTCGGCAAGCGAGAATTCGCTCGGCATCGGGCACGCTGTCGCCCTGAAGTCAGCGTATTACACATTGCAATGATCTGTGATATACGTACGTGCACCATCTCCATCCTGAAGGATTCTTTTGACACCCCGGAGAGCGGAGGCGCTTTCTTCGGTTTGAATGGTTGCTGTAGTGACGAGTGTGGCACGTCGAGGAGCGCATAGCCTTGAGTAGGCTGCTCCTGCAAAACGAGCGTTTTTGATGATCATGGAAGCCATTTGGCGAGGCGGCGGTAGTACTGCAGAAAACAATCAGCTATGCATGCCAGGAGCTTACGTATGCGGAGAAGTAGACCAACGGCAGAAACTGGAAGTGTCAAACGACGGGAATGTACCTTTGGTGAATAGAGCATGCCTTCCGTCCCCCAGCTAGGGCGTGCATTTAAGTACCCTGTGGGGGCGCCTACCGGGGCTTCCGAAACTCACTTAGATATCTTCCCGCTCCCGATGCAGTAATCTACGACGCTGAGGAGGGTTCAAAGGCATGCGTCCGAAGCACTGCTGTCGTGGAACCAACGTCACCCTTACGTTCCTGGTAGCACAGAGCGCAGAATGCAGGTAGATGACTGTAGCGAAACCCGTGAGCGGATAGGTTCTCTGGCAGTAACGTAATGCTTGGAACTGGGTGGACTATACTCCCCGTGGTTCTGAACGCATTCGGACGTACACCGTGTCCTTTTTAACTGCGTTCGTCTTCCCTGCACGGAACTAAGCTTCAGAGGCACGCACCGGGGGGTGAAAGGGGCTAACTCTACGACGAGCTTCTCCGGAGGCGGCACGCGGAGCTCTTCCTAGAAGCATATGTATCTTCAGCCGTTCCCATCCTGAGACGCTACAACGCGTAAAGATGATGTGAATTCCGGTACCGCTGTGCCCCGTGTGCATCTTGGCACGTCATGCTAAACTTGGATTGAGCTTGCCGAGCGAATTGCGTCCATATAGGCAACAGTTTAGCAGTCCGATCCGCTATAGTGTGTGGAAACTACAAGGCAGCATGTCTTCAGCGTACGGTGTTAATCAGTCAAGAACCAATACGAGTACTCACTTGCTCGGTTCCCATGCAGCAGGAACTGCATTGCCGTTGTGCGCCTCATACTCAACCACCTTCCGATGTCTGTGAGAGCTCCGAAGCACGCGTGAGAGCTACTTGGAGTGGAGCTCCGTACACGTCGGGCCCGTCTTGCTATTTTTCGAATCATGATGTACACTGTGCGTCGATCCCACCATTACCATGCAGTGTGGCCACCGCTTACTAAAATGCTGGATGCCGTCTAGTGTCAGCATGCACGCATTCCGAAAAGACCTCGCCGCACGTACTCGCTGCCAGTACAGAACGAGCTTGCGTCGCTCGCAAGCCACGCAACCACTCCTCGGAGCTCATGTCCTTCTCCAACGCGCTTCATAGGATTTCCGCTGATCAGTACATGGCCCCATTCGGGTCGTTCCTTAAACAGCTGGTCGAGCATGCTGTGCACACCCAAGTCAAAGATGCTGTGATACTAACATAGGGAAGGGATACGTACGGGGACTGGAAGTACCCCGGGCTGATTGTGTTTGCCCGGGTGCCCTTCCGGGCGAGCTCGCATGCGAGGCTCCGTGCGATCTGGAGTACACCGCTTTTTGCGATTTCGTAGGTAGTGATGCCGAGGTTCTGTGGGTGTTGTAATGCAATATGAAGCGCAGCTGTCAAGTCCACAGTGACTCGGATACCAACGCAAGACTCACGACGGAGACGTGTCCCGCGATGCTAGCCACGAGAATAAGGCTCCCACCATTCCCAAAACGTTCCATCTGCTGTCCCGCGGCCTGTGCTGTGTAGAAGACTCCCTTTAGATTGACATTCAGGACCTGTATAGGGGAAAGTGGTACTCCTTATGAAAATGCTTCGCACTAGCAGAGTACAGACAAAACCGTTTGAGAACACGCGCCTTTTGCAACTGCTCCTCCGGCATGCGGAGACTCTCTTGAGGGTCGCTCACAATCCCCGCGGCGGCCAAACAAACATCCACCCTACCCTCCCGGTCTCCAATCTCCTTCCCAACCTTCTAGATCTGCTCCTATGAGACAATGAAGGTCAGAAACGGCGGGGCTGTTGGGTCGCCGTGCACTCACCTGGTCGGAAACATCCCCGCGAATATATTCAAGGCGACTTTCTCCACGCTTCCCCCGCATACGCGAGACGTATTCCTGCACCCGCAACCAATCTGAGCTGGGCGCGTCTGCGATATCGACGCAGTATACTGCACGAGCTCCTGCTTCGGCGAGGGCGAGAGCACCCTCGAGGCCCAGTCCACGGTTCGCTCCAGTGACTATAGCGACCTTGTCTGCAAGCGGGAACTCGTTTTCGAGAAGCGTCGGCGAAGCTGTAGTGGGGCCAAAGTCAATACGGCATATGTGTCAACACCACAACACACGTACGCGTTTGGGAGCCGTCCTGCAAGGCTCTGACGACTCCATGGGGCATACGCTTGGGTTCTCCAGCTCTAAGGGTTGCAGAGGTGAGGAACGTCGCCCTCTGGGCGACGCTTAGATTCAGGCGGAGGGAGGAACTTCGGAGAACGTGTTTGACACAGGATAGCATAACCATAATCACAGTGTAGGGACGGCGAAGGTAGGGAGAGAGGTTTGGGAATTGTTTGCCTTGCGCTAAGGTTTATAAAACAACATTCAGCGTTCCGGGGCATCATTGGGGAACCGCTGTCGATATCATCACAGGTTCATCCATCACGCTCTCAGGGCGGACAAGGAAGACAACTCACGTGAAGTCGAGCCGACACCATGCCGTAGTCGCTAAGCTCACCAACAGCGTCATAAGACATAGAAGCCAGTGGAGTGCATGTAGTGTTGCGAGCAGAAGAGACTTGACGTAACGCGGAGAAGCGAACTTGGACTTCGTGGACACGGTGCTGGCGCCGCGCTACTGGGTGCCGTTAGTTCAGTATAGCTATAGTACATAGTCAGGAACTCACCGCGCTATATACCTGCCGTCCATTACGATACCCCACGGGCCGGCAACTCCCACCCCCACCCCCAGTCTGTTGAACTGGGTAGTGGGTGAATACTGCAGGCACACTTACTCAATGAAATCCATATGGAACGCGTCGGGCTCGCTTGCGAACTATACAACTGCGCCCGCGTTCTAGCGTGAGTCCGCGTGCGGAACAAGTTTAGCCTCCCACCCACCCTATCCACGTACTCTGGCTGTTCGTCTATGGAGGGCTTGATGCAACTACGCGCAGTTGCGTCAGTTGGACCTGTCGCAGACATATACAGAAAGACCGGCTTACATGGTGGACCTGAGCTTGCACTGATTGAATTGGCTCTGATAGCTTCCGACGCGAGCTTGTGCGCGAGGCCGCACGACCTCGCTTCTCAGGCAGATTGAGGAGTCGCGTTACTTATCCGCTCGTGTATGCTTCGTAAGGGAGCCATCTTCTCATGTTCTTGTGTGACTTGGGTGCTAGTTGTAGGAGGCCTTCATACACCGGGAGCATTCAAGTTTTCGGGTCGACTTCGTGGCTCGGATGCCGGATCGTAGTATACACTGTCATTTGCGATTACCATTACCACGCGGTGTATCCACCGCTTACCACAATGCTGAACGATGTACGATGTTAGCCTACGCGAAGTGAGAGAGAACGGAACCCACGTACTCGCTGCCAGTACAGAACGAACTTGCATCACTCGCAAGCCACGCGACCGCCCCGCGAAGTTCGCGTCCCTCTCCGATGCGCTTCATGGGGTTAGCATTCTTCAGAAATTCGCCCAATTCAGGTTTCTCCTCGATTAACTGATCTAGCATACTGCGAATATCCAAGTTAGCGATAGCTGACTCGAAAAGGCCCCGGGGAGACATGCGTACGGGGAGTGGAAGTAACCAGGGCTGATAGAGTTGGCCCGGATGCCCTTCGGAGCAAGTTCGCATGCAAGGCTCCGCGCCATTTGGTGCACCCCGCTCTTTGCAATCTCATAGGGCGTAACACCGAGATTCTGTGGGCAAATGGAGTAAGACGTGGCTGACGAGAGTGTGGTGATAGGAACGCTAGGCTCACGACAGAGACATGTCCCCCGATGCTGGCGACAAGAATGATACTTCCGCCGTTCCCGAACCTTTCCATTTGCTGTCCCGCGGCCTGGGCAGTGAAGAGCACGCCCTTTAAATTGACGTCCAGCACCTAACGTGTAGTATGTCTTATGAGTCTATTTTTGCACCGGGACATAGAAAGGATGGAGGAAACACACCTTCTGCAGGGTCTTCTCCGACATATGCAAAGTGTCGTTAGGATCGCACATGATCCCCGCAGCAGCCAGACAGGTATCCATTCTGCCCTCGCGGTCTCCGATCATCTTCCCAATCTTCCACATTTGCTCCTACAAAACACGATAAAACTCAATGTCGGTCCAGTGATCGATACAAGTACACCCTTACCTGGTTCGCTACGTCCCCGCGAACATACTCGAAACGACCCTCTCCGCGCTTTCCCCGCATACGCGACACAAATTCCTGCACCCGCGACCAATCCGAGCTCGGCGCGTCTACGATGTCAATGCAGTATACCGCACGAGCTCCTGCTTCAGCGAGAGCCAAAGCACCCTCGAGGCCGAGTCCGCGGTTGGCCCCGGTGACTATCGCTACCCTATCTGATAGCGAGAATTCTTTCTCGAGAAGCGTCGGTGAAGCTAGAGTCGCGTCACGGTCAATGTTTGATAGATATCAGAGATAATGCATAGCACATACGCGTTTGAGAGCCATCTTGTAGGGCTCTGACAACTCCATGGAGAGTACGCTTGTGCGCATCCGCCCTCAGGGACGCAGAAGTACTGAATGCAGTCCTTCGGGCACTGCGCATCCCAAAGCGGGACGCATGTTTAGCACATACAGGTATCAAAGCCATGGTCGTGATGTCAGGAAGCAGATGTCTCGGCACTACACGACCTGCAGCTCAGCATATAAAGTGCTGTCCGGCGCCCGATGCATGTTTGGCGATCCACTAGAAGTTGTCGAAGTCTCCACTGCGGCGAGAGAAGGCGACTCACGTGCAGCGCAAGCGCTATCATGCGCTATTCGCCAAGCTTGTCAACGATATTGTGGACTGTAGAAGTCGAGGGTGTGCCTTGGGCGATGCATGGGAGTAGAAGAGGCTTGTCGTCATATGGAGAATAAACAAGCATGATCTATCCGGTCGGGTCGGCGCGCTGGTGGTTGAGATCAGTCACAAGTAAAGAAGTGAGGAGCTCTCCAATATTACAACTCCAGCCCGAATGATCGCATGAAATAGCGTCTATCGCAGCCGGCAACTTCAGCGACGCACATAGCCGGCTCAGCACAGAACGCGTCATGAGTTCTGCATCACCACGCGGTGTGCCCACCGTCCACAACGATACTGCCACAAGCCAGACGTCAGCATTCCGCATTAAATTCCGAACAACGCAGCCAAAACCCAGGAGCACTCACTCGCTACCCGTACAGAACGAACTTGCGTCACTCGCGAGCCACACGACCGCGCCTCTCAGGTCGTGCCCCGTTCCTAACCGGCCAAGCGGGTTCAGCCGCCCCCATTCCTCCGCGTACTGGGGCCGTGCGTCCAGATAGGGCTTAATGAAGCTGTGTGCAGACACGTCGGCGAGGGCCGCGGAAGCAGCATACAGGCCTAGGCTCGAAGACTTACTTCGTGTGCATGAATCCCGGGCTGATCGAGTTCACTCGGATGGATTCCGACGCAAGCTCGCATGCGAGGCTGCGAGTCATTTGGAGCACGGCCGCTTTCGACGTGTGGTAGTGCGCTATGGGGTGGCCCTATGCGCAATCAGCGTATGAAGTTAGCTTGCACGATATGAGGCACAGCGCGGACGATCGCGCTCACTTGGAAGGCTTCACGTCCAGCGATGCTCGCGATGAGGATGATACTTCCCCCAAGCCCGAAACGCCGCATCTGCCGGCCTGCAGCTTGGGCGGTGAACAGCGCCCCGCTCACGTTCGTGGCCATGACCTGCAGAGATTGTCAGCTATCCGAGGGAGCGTAGGGGCGATGGACGAAGTCGGTACCGCTTGAAATTCCTCGCCCCGTATATCGAGACAATGCGCGGGATCCGGTAGGATCCCCGCCGCAGCGATGCCAATGTCCAGACGGCCCTCCCTGCCCCCAATCATCTCGCCCAGCTTGAGCATCCCTTCCTATGGGCAGGGGGGTCTCAGCCCTGAACCGTGTCGTGTAACATGCAACGCACCTGGTCCCGCACGTCGGCACTCACATACTCCAAGCGCGCCTCTCCGCCAGTGCCCTCCATCCGGGAGGCGTAATCGCGCACCTTGGTCCACCGAGCATCGGGCTCGCTAGGAAGGTCGGCGCAATATACCGCTCGCGCACCTGCTTCGACCAACGCGAGGGCAGCGTCTAGTCCTAGCCCCCCATGTCCCCCCGAAATAAGCGCGACGCGATCTGCGAGGGAGAACTCATGGGTCCACAGTGTTGGGGTTGGCGCTGTTTCATTCAACCTTCAGCGTATGTTGTAAGTTCAATAGTGAGAGTAGCTCACCGGTGGGCGAGTCTTGGAGCGCTCTTGCAACGCCGACCGATCGCGGGGGCCGCGATGCGTACCCCTCAGAAGAGTGGGGTTGACGCCTAAAACGGTGAGAGCAGCCCGAGGTCTTCCGATATGTCGCCGAAAGTAGGGTCCGAGAGTGTCGGTTCATCGTAGACATTCTGGTCGAGGTGGAGGACTTGTTTTCGGCGGATAGAGAACTATTTGAAGGCTACCTCGTTTTATTCCTGCATGCGGCCATCAGCCTCCACGAGGGACGGCCATCTATAATGCGGGGCGCGTGGATACCCATCGAGGACGACTGAGGTGTGCACTGACTGGAACCACGAGTGAGCGGCGATCGATAGCGGGCCGAGCTACACTCACCTTCTTGCATTGTTGAGTTCGGGCAGCAGGTTGAAATCTTCACGAGGCACATCATGCAGCACGGGGATGTATCTGCCTCGGCGCTGATGAGCATGAGGAGTAGACCGCCATGAATCAGGCGGACGGAGAGAACGCAGGACACGAGGACCGCCTCGCGAAGTCGATGCGCTGGCTGCACAAGGATCGAGGTGCGAGAGAGAGGACAGTGACCGAGTGGGCGGAGATTGGGTGCGCTAGAAGACATCGGAGAAGGCTTCGTATAAAGAGACTTCAATTAAGCCAGCCTGGATGGGTCTCTGGGCGCGGAGGAGGCACTGCCGGAAGACATCCACAGAGCGCATGCTATCCGCTATTCCAAGAGTCGTCAACATGGAATGATAACACCGCCCAAACAACGGCTTACCTGATTCTTCTGCCCATGCATGTCCCATTCGAAAAGCTCTGCGATGTCGATAAGATGGACTAAGTCACGATATGCAACTGTTCAACGACAGGTTTTTCAGTATCTATCAAGCTCGTCGCTGTACTCGTTACTTCGAGGAAGTGCTCAAGACAGCCGCTTCCCTGTCCGCCGAGCAAAACCTCATTATTTAAAGCGTATGTGGGCCATTACGATGGCTTGTGAAGGAACGGAGATGACACCCTTCCACGAGAACGCTAGAAGCTTGACCAGCCTGTTTTTAATTTGGGTAGAATGCACGAACACACGTGGAGGCCAGCCGCTGGGCAGTGGACGCCAGACAGACTCGCCAGCATCGGGTGAGAGCAGGAGGTGAGCTGGGAGACGTCCCGGTTGTCCCCGACCAGCAGTGCGACACGCCGTGACTGTCCACGTGGAATGTGATCCCGCGCGTCATCTGTCACCCGACGCGTCCGCGCAAACTCTATCGCTCTCCCTCACACGTACTGGAGACTGGAGACGGACACGACGCTGTTTATACTTTAGATACACACTAGCTATACTCGTATAGCCGACTAGTCTGAATGCGAGGGCGCGATGCGCAAATAATACAAATCGAGTTCTGCCATGCTATACTTCTCCATCCGAGACGCGAGCACCATACCATATCCAAGCCACCGCGCGCGCGGTCATAGTGGCCGCCACCCGTCCCCTACGGCCGTGGGCCACTTCAAGTCGTCCCGCTGCAGCACCATCCGCCGCCCGTCATCCACGACCGCGACATCCACCCCGCCCTCCCGCCACCGCCGCGCCCGCTCTTCCACGCGCTCCTTCTCCACCTCGCTATCCTCCCCAGGGTCATGATCCAAGCTACTATCGTCCTCCCGAATCTCCTCCCCCCACGTCCCCGGCTCCTCGCGCCCCTGCCCCGCCCCACGCAGCTTCGCCCCATTCGCACGCGCGCCTGCATCCCCAACGCCTGCCTCGGTGTCCGCGTCCGCGTCATCGTCGACGTCGTCCATGAGCCGCGCCTCGCCCTCCCCGCGCATCCAGCGCGGCCCGTGCGCGCCGTGCTGCACGAACCCGCGCCGCGAGAACGCGCCCTCGGCCTTGTAGCGCGCCGCGTCGAACGCCGGCTGCGCGCGCAGCTGCAGGCTCGTCAGCGTGCGCTGCAGGTTCCCGATCGCGCCGCCGTCCGTGCGCGCGGACTCGCGCGAGCGCTCGCGGCCCTCGAAGTCCCGCCCGCGCTCCTTTTCGCGTTGCCGTTCTCGCTCCCGGGTCGTCGAGAGCGACATGTGGCGCGAGAGCATGAGGTTGGACGGGGTCGATGCTGATGAAGTGGGGATAGACGGGTTCCCGAAGGGAGATTCGCCGGGCTGCGAGGTTGGGGTGAGCTGCACGCTCTCTGGGCGTTTCCTGCGTGGGGGTGGCGGCACGGGCGGCGGAGACGGCTGATGCATTGACTTCGACCTGACCACCCGCGGCGTCGAATTTGACAGTGGGCGCTCCGGATCGGTGAGGGAGCCCGTGGCCTTGCGGTCCGGGTGCATCGGAGGAGGTTCGGGAGGCAGGTCCGCGAGTGGCCGCGGCGGCGTGCGCGAAGGCGAGTTGCTCTGCGAAGCAAAGCGTCGTGCGGGCGGAACCGGAGGCGGAGGATCTGGAGGGAATACGCCCCGCTTGAATGGCGAGAGCGATGCGGTTGCGACCTGCTCGAACGAGCGCGCCGTGCCTGTGGTCGACGCCGGTGGGCTGAGATTGCGCCGCGGAGGAAGCGATGGTACTCGTCTATGTAGCGACATTGGCCGCTCCGCCGAGCTGGCTGCCGACGCGACAGACTGAGAGGAGGTCGAAGCGCTGCCAGGGCCCGGCCCGTAGCTCTCTTTGACGGGGCTCCTGCTGCGAACACGCCGCGTGGTGGTGTTAACGGCGCCAGACGAGCTACTCTTGAGCACCTCCATCACACGTTCCTGCTCGAGCCGCTGCTCCGCCTTCTTGAGGCTCTGCGCAATACGTGTTGCTTGCAGTGACTGTTGAATCAGGACATTCGGGTTGCTTGTTGAGACGGTCCGCGCCGGTAGCGCCGGGACGGGTGGTGGGACCTCGCGAGAAGGCTGGGCATGCATGACGCCGAGGGACGCGTGACGTGGTGGAGGAAGTACCGGTGGTTTACGGGGCGGAAGTGGTGGGATTTTGCCGTCCTGTGAAGCAGACACAGGTGGGCGAGATCCAGGAAATACGGGTGTGCTTGCAGGGGCAGACTGTGGTGGGACATCTTGGGATCCTCGGCGATTCAGGAATGGGTTGTTCGGTTTGGGCGGTATGGATGGTGGTGCCGGACGTGTAATTGCAGGGGCGGATGCAGGCGAGACAGCTGGTGGCGCAGGGTGGTGGTTAGGCGGATTGGAAGTGAAGAATGGGTTGTAGTCAGGAGAGGGAGGGTCGGGCGTGGGCTGTGGGTGAGACGGCGGCGATAGTCTGGACCGCTTTCCCAAGGGAGAGGGTGCTCGAGATCCCAGCTCGTCTGGGTGCGCTACAGGGAAGCATGTCAGTAATATGTCGCGGATACGATTCAAGGACCCGAAGAGGTGCACGGCGATCTTGACGTCAGTGCATAGAGCCTGCACGTTAGACATTCTACCATGCGACATTAATGTGCCAAACATATCAGCCCGATGTCTGTGACATGGTTTCATACCGCTAAAGCTCCCGGATCCCACGAGTGGGTCAGGCAGCCATAGAGGTCGTTCCAGTGCCCGATATACGGCAGCGCGGTAGCTTATACTGTACATTCGCATGGGTATGTGTCCTGGGAAGTGTGTACACGCGAAGAGCAGACGAACCAGCCGCAAATGCGTGTGGAGAGGCGACGATCGACGTCTGCGGAATGTATAACACACCTTGCAGGAAGACGAAGCCGGGATCCACCTCCTTCCCTCCTAGCACATGCGAGACCAGCCTCATAGCAGCAAAGAACTGGCCTCCGGTGATGACATCTGCTGGCCCGAGGTCGGGGCTGAAGAGGCGGAGGATCTAGAGGCACGATAAGACAACGCTCGCGCAGACGGCATGCGTACGCACCGTGTCCATTGTGTTTGGTGCGATGGTGGGGTACCGACCTCTCAACCACGCCCTGGCCTCGCGCACGCCGACGGTGAGCCTGTCATAGTCCGGCGCTGCGGAAGCCTGCTTCGGGTCGTAGTCGATGATGTCGTGAAGGGAGGAAGTGTAGGTCGTGAACTCGGCATCATTGAGTGCAGAAACGTGGAGGGTGAGTGGTCGTGACATTTGGCATGCCACCGTCGTCGTGGTCGTCGCCAGCAGAGGCGTAGGGTGGAGGAGGGCGGGCAGCGCAGCGAGCAGACGGCCGTCCGCGGCAGAGGAGACGCGAGGCGAAGGCGCGCCGAGCGCGGCACAGCTTGGCGCGGTCGCGTCCCCCGCCAGGCGCCCATCCTTGTCTTCCGCTATGACCCATCGCGGCCACGCTCGGGGCGGCGACAGCTCCTGTGTACATCTTGACTTCGCTGTTCAACGGGGTTCGGTGCATACCGCGGGCGCAAGGACACTTCGCCGGACGCACCACTCTGCGTGAAAGAATGAGACCGAGACCTAGGGCGACATTGACCGCGCTCTCCTGCTCGAGGATGACGAAGACAACTAGTGCTCTGAGTCGGGGTAGGTTCTGCACACTCGTCTGATGCCAGTCTGATCCCGAGAGATAATTGCTAACTAATTCAGCAGTGATCAGGTCCTCGATACTGTCTTACCGCTGTAGCGTACTGGCCCAGGCCCCGACCTACGTATCGCCGGTGCACATGCGGTACTGACATACGTGTCTCTGCTAGCCGGCGTGCCTCTGCGGTCAGAACTGGACACAACGGACCATGAACCACATTACCGGCACGCATATGCCTTTTGGCCTTACTAAAGAGAGAATAGTTATTCCTAGGCCCTGTGTGAAGAGTGGTAGTGCCTGAGACGACGGCATTTGAACTTACCACCTCCGAACCCCATAGCTTCGGAAGGTACGTCTTGTCTTCTGCGACATGTGGGATCTCGAGAGCTCAAGCGGACGCCTGAATTTGACCTCGCCTTACAGCCCCACACCGCTAGCCCGAGCTTCACCCCGCCGGGGCAATAACCATGCTAGATAGAGTCTGATGGCCGTTCACACTTCACAATCTCCATTTTCGACCTGCTTCGCTCACCTCTTCCGATGCCCTCAAGGACACTTACTTCTTCGAAGCAGGTCTAAGCCTTTTACATCGAGGTGTTTGTGTGACTATGCAATCTCATCAGATTTCCAGGCCCAAAACACCGCGAAGGTCAATTTTTACCATCACCGCCGGCTTGAGAAGCTGCACAGAACTTTCAACTATGCGGCCTCCTGAGCACATCCATAGACTCGGGCACCTCACGAAGCTTCCAAGATCCATCCGACGGAGCTCCGCTGAGGACAGGCCGACTCAGATATCGGAGCCTGCGGTGCACGCATCAGCGTGGCAGACAAGTCTTCCAAAGAATCTAAACCACAGTATGATGCGCCCTCACCGCTCGGGTCTCCCGTGGCTTCCCCAGCGCGACGACGAGCGGCCATCGAGATTTGCGCCACGCCGTGATGACCGTCTTCACCCTCCGGACGCACCGGATGTACGTACGCACCTCCGCTTCGTGGTAATCATTCTTGTGCACTCCTACGCCCACCGCCGCGGAAACCCAAGTTGCGCCCGCGGCGGCCGCAAGATCTTCTTGCGTGGCGTCGAGCGCATGGCCGGCGAACAAGAACACCCACCGCCCTGCATCAGCTTGCATCAGCCGGACGAGTTTCGCGGGCAGCCCACGGGACTTCAAGGAGGCTTCTTGCATACCCACGCGTACACACAAACGCTGCGCTCGCGGTGCAATACAAGGCCGACGTCTCAGCTAATGGACCCGCTAGCGTATGGCGTCGGTGTGCTGAGTCACTGCGTTCGGGCAGACAAGCCCTCGCGCGCCGTCGGCGGGATCACGTCGTTCGTGCCTCGCTGCCCCGATCCTTCTGCGGGTGCGAAGCGCGCGATCGCAAGGGCTGGCGTTCAGTATACACACCCCTTGCTATACCATACCGGGCCTGCTGGGGGCTTGGCTGCCGAACGCTGTGCACCTCCCGGCGGCCTCAGCTCCCGCGCGTCCATGCGCGCGCTGGAAGCGAGCGCGGCACCGCGTAGCTGTGGGCACTTCTAGGCTCTGCCTCCCCTCGACGCCTCAAACTATTGCAATTGATTGGTGTGGGGGTGAGCGGTTGAGACGACTCGAGTTGACCCACTCCGCACGCCGGCTGGCCGGGGCTGGGACGGACGCGCGTTGCGAGGACTCTGGCAAGTTCGGTAGACTGATGATCCTGCTGGTGGTCAGAAGGTCCTGGGCGAAGAGGCTAATCGAAAACGCAACCCCGGTACTATGTTGGGACTAGTCTGGGAGGTTTGTACCATCGCAGCCTCGAGTTTCTCTCCAAAACCCTACAGCATGAACTGTCAGGATGATTAGACGTTAAACGTGGACCTCCCGCGTTAGTGGTCGAGGAACCAGGGACCCTAGGATACTCCAGGGATTTGTTTGATATCGCTTGCATTCAACGGGTCCAAGTAGACACACCCGATGAGACTCGATATCGTCTCATCGCATGGGCCGAGCTCCATCGTAAGCGCAATCACTAAATCTGGGGCAGGGTCGAAGCACACTCCGGAGACTCCGCGACGCCACAACACAGTCAGCGGCACTCAGCTAGGGTGGAAGCCCTGCAACGCTCTGCAACGGGGAAGTTCCACATCAGCGAGCAGCATTCCAATCACCTTCCAGACAGGGTGGACAGGCCGCCTCGGAGCGCCAGAAGCCCTTAGCAGGGACACACAGCGCTATGATGGAACATGAACATTTCTGCGTTGACGACAGAGAACGCTGCGCACCACCGACGGACCGCCGATGCGAACGAGGACGTCATGTCACCCCATTTCTCCGTAGTGTGGCCGATGCACGCGTACGCGCCACTGATCAACCATCTACATCCGTACGGATTGACGTTGACGTTGAAGGGGTAATGCTGCTGTCGCCAAGGACATGCATGGTTTACCAATACTGGGCTGCGCCACATATGATACGTGGTCAGCGCATTTATTCAGTTTGCGGTGCGGCGAACAGGCCGCTATGCCCCAGCGCAGGCGTGCTACACCCATATGGCATTCGAGAAAACCGTCCAGCAAATATAGAAACATAGCATATGGCTATCGGAACGTCAGTAGCACGTCAGAATGCAGGAAGAAGCCGCGTACTTACCGAGCGACGACGGGATAATATTACAGCCCAATACACTGGGTATCGCGCACACCAATGGTGCTCCGTCTGGAAACCGATCACCAGACGCTCTGCGTGGGGCCCGGGCTAGAGGGAATGCTTTGAGGCATCGCGGTCGGCCGAGGTGCTTCGCGGACGGGTTCGGGCTCCTTCCTGTACTCGATCTTCTCAACTCGGACTTCGCCCTCTATGAGCTGGTAGACGTATGTGACGACTACGGGACCCTGGATATCCATGAGAGCAAAAGAGGGTGTGGGGTCACTGAGATGTTCTCCGGTTAGCAAGCGAACGCGCAGTCCACACTTCGGAATGACGTACCCGTTGTAGGTGCCTATCCACGCCCCTGTGGCAGATCCAGGGTTGACGAAGAAGCGTCCGTCATACTCCACCGCTTGGAATCTGAGGGTAATGTTCACGGGTGCCTTCCTGCCGAGCGAAACGTTACTCACGTGTGTGTATGCCCAGACACAAGCACATCAACATCCATCTGCCTCGCAATGGCGTTGAGCGAGTCAAGGTCTCCTGTTGGTATGCTTTGGTGCCCATGGATCACGCCAATCCGGATTGGAGTGTGCGCGACCGTCGCGGACAGAGGGAACGAACTCTAGCGGTTGCACTGTTCGGTAATTCGGCAAGTAGCAGCTCTGAAATGCACCTTACCTCGTCATAGTCTCCCCTCACAACATGCACGTCTGGTGACACCGTTCTCAGGTACTCATAGGTCTCGCGGTCACAGACGTTGCCAGTGCACAGTATTTGCTGGATTTTGCCGGGAACGAGGAGTTTCTTGAACTTCGCAGGTAGGTCGTGGATCCTGTGAGGAATGTGAAGGTCGCCAATAACGAGTACCAAGACCATTGCAGCAGCGAGCGTGGAGGACGAAGGACAGAGCCTGGCTGCGACGCAGCGGGGCGCAGCGAACCGGGACGCGCTGAGCGGCCTGCCTAATCGGGCTGGCCACGTGGCCTCTATGTCATGGGCGCTTGTGTGACTTGGATGCCGGAAGCGGTGGTCCTTCACTTGTTTGTCCTCGTTCACTCTCCCCGAGCGTCCACATCGCACAACTCTTTCTCTCTCTCCTTCTCTGGGGCCTCGGGTTGTCTTGACATGTCTCAAAGTCTCAACAATGAGTGCACACCGCTCAAGCGCGAGTACGACGCTTGCTTCAACGCCTGGTTCGAGGGCTATCTGGAGCCAGCACTCTCTTCAGCTGCGAATGCGGAGCAGCGGACCAAATTCGCACAGCAGAAGGCCGCTGAGTTCGAGAGCTCATGTGGGAAAGTCTGGCTGGAGTACCGCAAGTGCGTGCAGGTGTGTGGCTTCAGCAGCGTGTCCGGACTCTCGTCGCGATTCCTTCTTCAATCCCGTAGAAAGCGGTGACGGACAAAGGCTTGGATGCGCTGCTCGATCAGGCACGGTCAGAAAACCCTTTGAAGGAACCTCCACCTCCTGCCCCTTCCAATGAATCCCGCTGATGGCACGCATGAATGTCATGCTACAAGGCCTACCTTTCTGCCACGCCGTCATGAAACTCCTGGTGCGAATAAACTGCCCTTGGTTCCCTTGCTTTAGCCTGATGCTGAGTTGTGCTAGGTAGGCTCTGTTCTGGGAGACCTGCCATGTTTCCCCCAGGCCTCACGGCTTCCAAAGAACTCTGTGATGCCTCAGTCCCACCACTCAAGTAATACATTCTGCCATCATTGTTTCCATATTGCACTCGTTCACGTGTTCAGCGTTCCGCGTGTGTTATGCACCCGTAGTTTGTCTCCAATCACACCCTATGGAACGGTTACCTGGGTTCCTCTTATCGAATGTGCAGTCCTCAACCGCTACCGGACAATTCGAACAAGCCACGGTTCCGCCGTCCAGGTTAACCGCAATGTTCAACCATGACGGGATGGACCGGAGTCGATCTTCAAATCACGCCAGACTATCGCACGGTTCCCGCCGCCTAGGACTGGGGTGAATGTATTGTTATTCACGCGCCCGGACGTAAAAATCGCGCGCAACTTCTCCCACCTGATGCGGTCCAAAATAAGGCGGACGGCAGCGAAGATAGCGATTGACAACGCGTTTTCCGTACGTATCCAGATCATCTTCTTATTCCCAAGTCATAGCCTATGGCCGCTGTCTGTCATGGGCTGGCTTGTCAGCATCCTGCGGGGCGGCCGTGCAATTACTTGTGTGGCGCACGGTGTGCCTCTCATCCTATGCTGCATGAGACCGCGATAACCGATTCATTTTGGGGGAGCTCTGGAGCGGTGGGAGGAGGCGTCGACGTGCATCTTTCTCCTGCGCGACCGGAGAAGTCCCCCGGTCGTCGAGCGCCTGGATTATTCGCAACCGCGCGCGAACCGCGGGCCCCAGGCAGGAGGATTGTGGGTCCACGCTCCCGCTATGGCTTAGCTCTCCTCGTCGGCGAGTCGGTTCGGTGCGCGTGGACGTCCCGCCCCTCCATGTGCCGGGCTCGCTTCGTTATCCATCTTTTTCTTTCGGAATCCGCGTCGCCTCCGTGCATGCTCGCTGTCAACGCCCAGAAGCCCGCCGCCCGCCCCCGCCGTGTCTCTGGGGCGCATGTCCTGCATGGGTCACACGGCGGGAGCCGTGATGGCGGGCTGCAAGCCGTCCGTCGCGCCCGAGCGGTGGCATCGCCGGGGATCCCGCTGTCGTCCGCCGGGCCGCTGCTGCTCTTTTGGGGCGACAATGGAAGGGTGCGCTCGACGACGTGCGCGCTCCCGAGTCGCGAGCCCGTCTCGCCCTAGCTGTGTCGGCAAGCAACGCCGCAATCACAGTTGCTGGATCCCGACCTGCTACTAGTAATGACGGAGCTTCCGAGCAGCGAGCAGCGTGCTGGCGGTGCTCAGCGTTCTAGGCATGTTTGAAGGCAACCGTGGATCATGGGATGTGCACTCTGAGCCTGCGGAAGCCGTGCGCGCGGCATTCTCGGGCGCTCGAGATGGGCACGCCCACAGTGACGCTGCGGAGTGGGTCCCTGGCGCTGCTGAGGCCTGAGACTAGTGCTCATGCCGGTGCCGTTGTCGTCAATCTGCGTATCGCGGCGAACTCAAATTCTGCGCACGCCCGTCGGAATATCCGGTACCCACTGCAGGCCGCCGCTGCCATCTGGGCACGCGTCAAATTGAACGCAATCACGAACTTGAATGGAGCCAGCCTGCGCACCACGAACTCGTGCACACCCTGACATGTAGACCAGGGTCCAGCTGGGGGTCTTCGCCCAAGCGCGGCCGGCTGAGAACCGCGACAGCGGCCACGCGTACGAGGACGAAACCACTACGTACTCGCCCCTCCCGTTGCGACTCCAACTCTATACCATCACAGAAGCCGCAAACAAGCTCGAGAAGCGCACGCCGATGCAGCGTGCGTTACGGCGTCCCCTTGCTGCGATCCCGCCGCCAGAAGATCCATCGCGCCGCTCGGGTCCCGCCGCGCGAGATCGCCCGCCTAGGGTCGCCGGTGCGCAGGAACGCGCGTCGCGGGCGCGCGTGGCAGGGGGCAGGGGCGCGCTGCACGGCCGCGGCCGACGCGGCGGGCCAGCCTGTGCCACGCGACGGGTGCGCCCTGATGCGGGCCTGCAGGGGGAGGGCAGCTGAAACGTTCGCGTGCGCGTACGCGTACCCCGAGGGGCCCCCGCTTCCGGGGACCCGCGAGCACTGCTCGCCGATGCGGTCGTCATGCATCGTGCTCCGCGCCCGAAGGCCTGAGCCCGACTGCACCGGGATGGACGTGAAGGCATCCCAGGAACGGGACCTGTGAACGGGCGGGGGAGTGATGTGATGACTGGAAGAGCGCATACGCATTATGTTTAGACGTTGTTACAGACAACAATCCCGAGAGTATGTACACGTAGATGACTATCAGGATATAATCCGTATCGGCGGGAGGAGAGAGAGGAGAGAGCAGCGTGCGAAAGCGAAGCGAGTGCGGACAATAAGGATACATGTAACACTAGTGGTTTGACAGTCGAACACCGCACGAGGCCAGGGGCTGGTATCGTGCGTACGTGCGAAGCGGGGAGGAGTCCGAGAAGACCAGATAAAACAGAGACACGACCGCCGGCGCCACATCCTAATCAATGGAGGGAAGAAGTCCTAGCCGGCGCGATGGTGTGTGCGGATGCGAAGAAGGCTCCGTTTGTCAGGCGAGCCCGGGAAACGAGCGGCGTCTTCGCGAATGGGGGTATGCAGGACCCGGCGGGCAACGGCGTGACGCCATCTACGACGCCATGCCCGTAGGGACTTGAACCATGGTATACAACATCGTCGGCTCGAGGTGTTCCTGCGGCGCGGGCATGTACGCAGGCACCGCGTACTGGTACTGCAGGAACGGGTATTGGGGCATCGGCGCCGGGTAGTAATACATCTCTTGCGGGTGGGCGTATCTGCGCGAACCGTCAGCTCGACTGCGCGCCATTATACGGCGGAGGGCCGCGACTCACCCGACAGCGCCGCCGTGTACGGCAGCGAGCTCTGCGGACTGCATTGATGGAAGCTGGGGGATGGCGATCTGCGACGAGGGCTCGGCGGCGGGCGACATGTTGATCAGCATGTCCGAGTCATGCGCGAACATGGGAGCTTCGCACGAAGAAGCTAGCGTCGCATGCTGCGCCTGGGGCGAGAGGAACGATGGCGACCCTGTGCAGCGCACAGGCCGGGGAGCGTGCACCGCGGCGGCCGCGTGCTGGGAGGAGCCCTGGGCGAAGTACGCGGGCTGCGCGTGGTACGGGGCCATGTCGGCGTCGGCGACGTACACCGGCGACTCGAAGTATTCCCCGACGCGGGGCTCGCCGAAGGACTCAGCGGGGCTGTTGTACACGTACGGGGCCTCGGCGTGGTAGGTGGCGTCCTCCCACGGCGAGCAGTATTCCGCGGACGAGGAAGCCGTGTCGGACGTGTCGGCGCTGTCCTGGTACATGAGGTCGGGTGTGGCGTAGTCGGGTTCCTCGAGTTTGAGGGGCCTCGGCGCGAAGAGTTGTGGCGCGCAGGGAGAGGGTGAGTCACCCTCAGCGGAGGAGTACTCTGCATCGTCTGACAGCTCCTCAGACGGATCGCGCCGCTCGCGGGCCTGGCGGGTACCGGAACGACCCACGTTGTGGGCGGGGCGCTTTTCTTCCTCTACATACTCGCAGATGTAGCCGCGAGCAGCGCAGCGGCTGCAGGTGGGGCGAGTGCCGGTGCACTGTGGCGCGAGGGCATGTCAGATCGATACAAGGGTCAGGAAGCTGGTGAACACACCTTGGCCTTGCGCTGGCGGCATTTGTTGCACGCCTTCTGGGTGCGCCGGTTCTTGAGGGGGGTGGGGGAGCGAAGGAAGAGGCACGCGCCTGCAGGTCCCGGAAGGGTACCCGTCCGGTAGCGGTAGTACTCCGGGCCCCATGGCACATCGTAGGGGATGAGGTTCCAGCTGTCCTCGGAGGCATCCTCGAGTGGGTAGCTCGAGAGCTGGTCGGTGGGGGTATGTGGCGCAGACGATTGGGATGGCGACGACCTGCCCGAAGACGCGTCCGAATAATGCGACCGCGCGGTGCAGTGCTCGAACATTATTGTGAGGCTGTCATCGGACACGTCGCTGCGGAGGTGGGCAGCCATGTAGAGTTATCTGTGGCGTAAGAGCGGTGAGTCGGGGAAGGCACGCAGGTCAGGAACGGACCGACCGGCACGGGGTGGGCGGTGGCGAGGCTCGGTGCGGTGAGTTGGGCGTATGTAGCGGGTGGGGAGGGGAGGGAAGGGCAGGGGATGTGCGCGCGACGCGTCGAGAAATAACGGAGGTCGGGGTGGGCCATTGGCGAAGGAGCTTTGGTACTTATTGGGAAACGGGCCTGGTTGGTTCGCGAGCGCGACGAGGAGGCTGATGTCGCGGGCGCCTGTGGATCTGTGGGGATCTGCTGCGAGCGTCGATGGGCGAATCAGGACCGGGATCGGGCAGGAGAATGTTCTCCCTCGCATCGTCACCTCGCGATCAACAGAAACTATCACCAGTCTCCTTCCGTGGCGTCCGTCCTCCATCTAGATCCGCCTGCCCATGCCCCGTCCTTTATTCTCCCGCCCCGCCAGCGCACGCCCAGCCGGCCCAAGGGCCCAACCGGGCCCACAATGCCCATCCACCACGCTGCTCGCCGACAAACATCCTAGCTGCTCGCCAACCACCCGACGCTCTTCGCGCACCACCCTCTCCATCGCACGCGTCGCCGCGTCCGACGGACCCACACACCCGGGCGGCGATGCCGCTCTCTGGAAAACTAGGCCCACCAGAACAGAAACTAACGGCAAAAATTAGCTACTCGACCCTAATCCCGGCGTCTGCATCTTCCTTCCATTAGAACATCGTGGGCGCCCGCGCAGTTGTTCCCACCGCTCGGTGGCATATCCAGCAGGGCAGCCCAAGCTCCTTGACCCGCTGGCTGGCGGCGCGAGCGGAGGGGCGGGGGACGGGGCGCGCCCCAGGCCTCTCGGCTGCCGGGTGAGGCACGCCGCCGCGACAGACAGCTGACACTGACAGTCTGCCACGGCTCGGTGAATGAACTGAACGCAACGATAGCCCGCGCCCGACCCCCCGCACGCACGCTAGGATCCCGACGTCGCCCATGCCGATCGCCGTGTCGGGCGCGCCATAATGCATAATGACTGCCCGTTGGCTGCTCTCGACAGCCATATGCCGATCGTCCGTGCCCGACGCTCTGTTTATCCCGGCGCACGTGCTGCAATATACGCCACTAAGTGGGCAGCAGCAGCGCGGTGCGGGGGACCTGGGGCCCGCCGCGCCAGCGACGTCCTCCCGCGGACGGTTGTGGAGGCCAGAGCGGTTAGATTGAGGGCCTCTCCCGCGCGCCGCGCGCGTGGCCGCCACCGCCAGCCACAGGCAGTAGCTCGTCGGCCCGCCTCGGCGACGATCAGCTTAATTCCCTCTCGCAGCGCACCACTGGCAACGGCATCCTTTGCCCATCGCCCGGCCGTCACCGACACGTCCAGTGCTCAGGGCCCATTCGCCATCGGCATCGGGGTGGGTGGCATATGTCACTGTGGTCCTCGGGTGGCGAATCGACCGGTCGATGCGCCTCGGTCGACCGACGACGCCTTCGATGCCCCGCGCGCGCGTCTGCCGCCTCTGCGATCTGCGGGAACCCCACTGGATGTGTGGTACGTACGCCAGCCGTGGCGCGATAGTGCCAAGAAGGCGGCCGGCAGGTACGGAATTCGAATCATCGATACGTTCCGTCTGACGCGCGAGCCCGGTCTGTCCGAGGGCAAGAAGCGAGGCGTAACACGCCCTTTCTTTCCGGAAGGCGAGCTCTACCAAACGCAACTGTGATTCTGCAAAAAGAGAGGGATGAGGCGTCGCGACCGCAGATGAATAATTTAGACGGTATCCAATGCTACAGGGTGGTGCTGCGGGGCCAAGATACTGAAACAGGCATTGACAGCGACGAAGGGCGATGGTGGCGAAAAGAGAGGCGTCCAGACTCGAAGATCTGCACGGCGGTAGCATCAGAATGACTTCACGTCGCTCCGGGATCGTGCAACACGGCAAGCAGATAGCGTTCGTCTGGCGAGGGACAATGAAGCGCAGTTAGCGACGGAGCACCGACACCGTTCCTGACAAATGGCACACCAGGTGAGATCATTATTTCGTGGCGCTTTGTTCTTATCCTCATGAACCGTATGTCATCCTTGAGCTGCGCGTAAACACACAAACGGACGGAGATGCGGGGGGCCGAACTTACGCCTTCGTTATGCCCGCCGCTCACGTCCTCCAGCCCCGTCTGCACGCTCTGCACTATCCTCGCTATCGCGCTCGCGTACTTCTTGCCCTGCTCGCCCTCGAACACCACTCCAGAATGCCGGATGATCGTCACGGGCTGTCCTCTAGAGAGCAGCATGTAGCCGAGCACAGAGCGGTGCGAGGTGAGAAGGGTGAGGGTCTGCTCGAGCTCTGGAGGCGTAACGTGAGCCAGCGGCGCCGAGGTCGATGGCGCGTGTGGATCTGACATTGCTTGCGTCGCCAGCATCGAGGACGGTGGCAGAGAGCACGAACACGACGAACGCGTCCCTCTCGCCGGCGCCTACGCGGTGCGCACGCTTACATAATCTTATCCATTTCGGACCGAGCGCAGGCGCGCGCGAGTAGTTCCCGCATCCTCGGTAGATCTTCGAGCTTCCACCTCCGCCGACGCTGGGAAGGCCAAACATTTCAATATGCTGCGCATCTACGAGTCGCATGCTGCAATAACCACCTCTCTGGTTAGCGGAAACTCTGCACACATGTAGTCGTGCAGGACAGGGTCGTGCGTCAGTCAGTCGCCGCGTTTCTCACCACTCGTTCTGAAAGCCTCTAGCTGCATATGGCCCCTAGCTACTCGCCGCCGCGGTGTGTGCGACACGAGCGAACGCACGGAGCGTCGAAACGCACCCGTGCTGACGCACACTGACGTCGCATACGTCGGAGTCCGCCTGTCCAACCTACCGCGCCCATCGCTTCAAGTTCTGGTGCCCGAGATTAACCTATCGTGGCAGGGAGCATCTCAACCTTCAAGCGACCCGACCCTTGCCTGCGCGTCCATTGCAACTGCCACCGACGCAGAGATCGGTCCAACGCGACACGCGACCACTTGCTTCCAGCTCCCTGGTCCGCCGCCCAGGCACTGGCCACGCGCGCCGACATCCTCAGGGCGTGGTGCGCGACCCTGAGACGAACCACGTCTTCCGTCCCGATCGTCCCCCGCACTGGCCATACACACCGCACCCTGCAGCCCGGTCCCACTGCGGAGCGCGGACCGCCGCTGAGGCTCGGACGCAGCTAGTAGGTCCGCGCCCTGCGAATGCAGATCCGCATACTCTGGTCGGCGCGCCGGCGGACCTCCGCAACCCTGCTGTGCGCCAGCTTGGCGCGCCAGAAGGCGACAGCGCGCCCGAGGAGAACACGTCCATTCTCCGCGCCCTTCGCGGTGCGACGTCAGCGATCTATGCGACGGCAGTGCATCATGCATGGCGTGTATGGGAGGGCGTCGGCACGCGAGCATCGCGTCCGATTAAGCAGTTTACATACTAGAGCGTGTACAGTAAGATATCTGTGTCCGTGAACGAGCCTGTCGGTCATCCATGTCCTGCCCCTTCACCTCGGCTTCCAAAACGGCCCCCCGCCCTCCTCGTAGTCGTCCAGGTCTAGTCTCCGCGGGACGTTCGTCCGCTTGGTCACAGCCTGCATACTGCGCCGGCCCTGCCGCGCGTCTTTGGGCGGAGGCGGTGTGGGCGCGGACGGTAATCGTCGGTGCGTGGGGACGTACGGCTCCCCCTCGTCGATGCGGCCCAGCAGAGACCCTTGTGCCTCCACGAGCGCGCCCTCCGCGGCGCCGTCCTGCTCCACCACAAAGTCCAGCTCGAGGATATAGTGGCCCTCCTTCCAACGCTCCGAGCCGTCGTGGGCTCGCACGAACTTCCAGCCGAGGTATGTTTCGCAGGACTTGCAGATGAATTCTTGAATGGTATACGCGCCGGAATCCATGAGGAGGATGGACGGCGGATCTAGCATGATGTTCTTGCTGGAGGGGTACAAACACGGACCGATAAGCCACGCGCGTCAGCAGAGCAAGGGGGAGAGCGGGACGCACGCGGTCGTAAACAAGGCGGCTCTGCCCGCGTGCCCTCGGTATGCCTGCAGACGACGGTCGTCAGCCCCTTGCTCTCGCAGCACGGGCCCTGGCCAGGGCAAGGGGGGACTCACCCTCGAAACTAGGTGGCCGGTGTGCGCGATGCGGACGCTGCACTCGCCGCAGAGGAGGAAGCGCGGGGGGCCGCTGGGGCGTGCGGGGTCGATCGTGGGCATGGAGGACTCTGGCGTGGCCGGCGGGTCAGGGTCTTGCATGGGCAGCTTTAGAGGAAAACGGTGGAGGGAGAACGAGAACAGAGGACTGGCGCCGTGCGCGTACCATGGGCGAGGGCGAGCATGCTTTTCCGACGTCGTTGTTTTCTCACCGGGCGGAGGCTAGGCCCAGCCCAGCGGTACGCATCATTTTCCCATGTTTTGTGCACTGCAGCTTATAGATTGAACCTAGTCGGCCATTCAGGCAGCTCTCCCCAGCCGGCGAACGCTGCTGCTCTTGTTCCGGGGGGCTGTAAGCTCGCAGGTTGCCTGTTGAACATGTCGAACGGGGAAGAGGGGGGACTGAACACAGATGCACCGCTTGGGGTGATGTGCCTCCCGCCGTCGGCCCCACCTAAATGCTGTGCTACCGGGCCTTTTATGGGCATGTCCGGCAGAAATAAACCCACAATATGGAAGTACAATGATCTGCCAGAGACTCGGTCTCTTCCACATTTACCTCGTCGATCTCACACTTGCGCCAGCACACCCGCTGCGCATGCGCTGGCGGAGAGGTTGGAGCAGAGCAGCGGCTTCCGCGTCCGCCCCATATGCCACGCCTCGAGACGGGGTGCGAACGCGAACCACGTCGCCTGCCTGAACCGGTATACGGGGCCGGGGCGATCGAGATACCGCCGCGGATAACGCCTCCAACCTATCTCCTCCCCCTCATCTTCCCAGGACCTCCGTGCCAGTACCTTGCGCGATACAAGCTCGACACCCACGTCAGCCCAATATGACTCGCATGCGCGCCTTCGTGGGCGAAAACGTCGTGCTCAGCGACGGGCTGCCACGCCCTGCCACCGTGATAGCAGATGTGGACACCGGAAAGATCGTTGATATCATAGAAGAAATCACCCCGCGCCGCAGCTTCCACGATATCATCGAGGACGCTGATTACATCGATGCGGGGGACAAGTATATCCTCCCGGGTCTCGTCGAGTGAGTCCGTTTTTTGAGTTTCGGTGTGATTTCCATTATATCCCTTGAGTATCGCGCGCGATGCATTATTGCGGCGTAATGACACATCGCGCAATGGTACGGATCTGTGAAAGAGTCTCGGAACCCTTTCTCACAAATTTTGTTGACGTCGCCCGCTCGGTGGACTCTGCAACAGGCGTGATCAACATGTTAGCAGCACACTGCGGCGGTGTTTATCTGTTGACCCCTTGAAGGCAAGACCGTTGGGAAAGGGTGTCCCAATAGCCTGTCAGCCTGGGAGAGACCTCTCGGACGACTCGGACCAGCTCGATGCTAGCGACGCCGCCGCCGCCCTCAGCACACAGCCCTCACGGTGCGCGTACGAATCACAATTTTACGCCGACTCCGGGAACACTATCATCCCATGTCTTGTTGAGGCCCCCGCACACATTAATAACGCTAGCCCTTTGAAATACGACCGTGATCTTGTTATTCACGGCGTAGTGCATGTCAGCATTTTCGTACGAAACAAGAATCCCGTGACACGGCGTACACACACTTGCTGGCTTCGTCCCATCCTTGGTACGCTTCATCTAAAGTCCATCCAGACCTGACCCTGGATGCAATTGGGTTTCTAAATTAGCAGAGGGGCTATACACCATACCCAAAGTTTTCTTCACATAGGACTACCGTCTTGGTGCCTCGGCTGGTATATCAGTACTCAAGCTGACATCCACACCAGCGCGCACGTGCATCTTAACGAGCCTGGTCGGACAGACTGGGAGGGCTTTTGGACGGGCACCCGTGCGGCAGCGTCCGGTGGCGTCACCGCCCTCGTCGACATGCCACTCAACTCTATCCCGCCAACCACGACCGTCGACAACCTCGCGGCGAAGCGCGAGGCGGCGCACGGGCAGTGCTGGACTGACGTTGCGTTTTGGGGTGGCGTCATTCCGGGGAACCAAGTACGTCCGTGCACTCCCAGGCCCGCGCTCCCGAGGTCATGCATGTGCTTACCGTGCGTGTGCACAGGCCCACCTAAAACCGCTGGTTGACGCCGGCGTAAAGGGCTTCAAGTGCTTCCTGATCGAGAGCGGCGTCGACGTATGTATGCCGCGCTCGCTCCCAGGGGCACCCGCTCAAAATACCCGCAGGAGTTCCCATGCGTCGCCGAATCCGACCTCCGTGGCGCGATGGACGAATTGAAGGCTAGTTGGCTATCTCTTCTATCTCGCGGCCCCTCGGTAGCTTAATACACTCGCCGTTCCCAGGACTCCCCCACCGTGCTCTGCTTCCACGCCGAGTTGGAGCAGAACCCCGCGCCCGTTCCCGCGGCACACCCGGCGGACCCGACGCTGTACTCGACCTTCCTCGCCTCGCGCCCGCAGCAGCTCGAAATCGACGCGATCGCCCTGATCACGCGCCTGCACGCGGAGTACCCCGCGCTGCGGCTGCACATCGTGCACCTCTCGGCCGCCGATGCGCTCCCGCTCATCCGTGCGGCGAAGGCGGCGGGCCTGCCGCTCACGGTCGAGACGTGCTTCCACTACCTCACGCTGTCGGCGCAGCACATCCCGCACGGGCGGCCTGAGTTCAAGTGCTGCCCGCCCGTGCGTGAAGACGGCAACCGGGAGGCGCTGTGGGCGGCGCTGCTGGATGGCACGATCGACTGCGTGGTGAGCGACCACAGCCCGTGCGTCGCGTCGCTGAAGAAGATGGACGAGGGCGACATTATGAGCGCATGGGGCGGGATCAGCACTCTGGGGCTCGGGCTGAGCCTCCTGTGGACGGAGGCGCGAAAGCGGGGCGTAGGCATCGACAAAATCGTGGACTGGCTGTGTGTGAAAACAGCCAAGCACGCCGGGCTGGCCGACACCAAGGGACAGCTGAAAGTAGGGTACGACGCGGATCTGGTGATATGGGACCCAGAAGGGCAGATAGCGGTGAGTCGGCGCGCTCAGGCTGCGTCATGCCCCGCGCTCCACAAACACGACGGCTGCTAAATCGGGGCTGCGCACAGGTAACCAAGGAGCTGCTGAACTTCAAGAACAAGCTCACGCCGTACGAGGGGCTCACGCTCGCCGGAAAGGTCGAGAAGACGTTCCTGCGCGGCCGGCTCGTCTACGACGGCGTGGAGGGCGGCTTCAGCGGGCTCGAGCCCACGGGGCACCTTCTGTAGTCTATCTTACCGTGGAATCTGGCAATGACGGAGCCAAATGCTATGCCGCGGTGGGGCTGGGGTCTGCTAAACCCTGCCGTGGGTGCGCCGTCGTCAAGCGACGCCGTATGACAGCTTTGGGGAGTGCTGCACTTATCTCGGGCGGAAGCGTGCGCCCGAAGGCCGCCGTGAACCACTCTCGCGACATGGGAAGGTAGTTCAACTGTGCACATGGTAAGCTCGGAGAGTGCATATAATGCCGCCTAAGACCCTTTCGTCGTGCCCAGCACAACCCTACTTCTATTTCAAGCTGCTCACGGTTATCGCAGTCCGCTGCTGTGGCCGCTATGACCTCGATTCTCTAGGGCCCCTCTGACATGCCCGGAAGCGTTAGGCAAACTTCTAGGGCGGTGCAGCGGGTCGACTCCGCGGAACTCCGAGCGGGAGGGTGGCACATAAGTATGTCCTCAACGCCTGAACACGCACGTTTATCCTCAAACTCCAGGCTGCCATGGCAACTCCGTTCGTCTGCAATCGCTTGCATCTTGAGCACAACTCCAACTTGTTTGGCTAGTCTGATCATGATAAGTATTTTGGGTTTTGGAGTGACATGGCCCGGGATGCGGCCCACTAGAATCGCAAACCACTCGATCGATCGGGACAGCCACTGGCAGCCTCAGCCACAAGTGGAGCTCGGCTTGCAGCAGCACTGCAAATTGGATGGATGAGTGTGCTTGGACGGTGCTACGGCTCCGCTGCTGCGCACCTCGATCCACAACGTCTACGGGACTCCGGTCCTGCATCCTGTCATCTGATCAAAGGAACCAGGGTGACATAGAGGCCACAGATGTATTTTCAGAAGACGGTTGTTCCGCGGAGCTTCTCGTGTTCTCCCCGGGGAGCCTCAGACTGAGCTTCACGGCGTGCAATCAACAATTGAGTCTGTAGACGACTGGCATCTGGGTGGACTGGAATGTGGCGGATATCAGAATCAAGCCTGTACAATACAACATGGGAGCACGCGACAAAACTAAGCGATCAGGATACAATATAGCAATGGGCGACACACCGCCGCCGCCGCCGCCGTCGGGGAGCCTACGGCACAATCAGAGAATGTCCTCAACCTCATCCGCCTCCTCGTCCTCGGACGAGTCCATGATGCTGTCCTTCGTGACGTCCCCTTCCAGCAACTCGTCGATGTCCGCGTCGATCTGCGCCGCCTGCTTTGCGCGAGACTGGGGCTTCGCCGCTGGCGCTCTGTTTTTGTCGCAGAAAATCACGGTACGTCAGCACTTCGACCGCACACACGACAACGCGAGCACCCCACCGTCTCCCCGCGGCAGTCTTCGCCTTCGGCATAGGGGTCGCCTCCACATCATCCTCTTCCACATCATCGTCCTCGTCTTCGTCCTCGTCGTCGGAGCTGATGACGATCGGCTGGAACGCCTTGCTGACCGCCTTCTTGGACTTCTCGGCCCTGCGTACAAACACGATCAATACCTGCCCGACGACCGCTGTCACTACACGGCCACTCACGCAGACCGCTTCGGCACAGCACGCGTAGGCGCGGGTGCCGGGGACGCTCTCGACGTCTCCGTGCGCGCATCGTCGTCAGAGTCATCATCAGAGTGCGATACGCGTCGGCGTCTGCTTGGAAAGTGATCAGCCCTATACGCTCACATTGCTAGAGCGACGAATGGAAACCGCAGACGCACTTTGCTTTGCTCTTCCCAGGCCGAGGAGACGGCGGCGGGCTGCGGTCGCCCGACGTTGCCGCACTGGTGGTCGTCTCCGTCGCGACGCTCATCGATCGTCTGCGCATTCAAACCGCCAGGCATGCATTGTCAGCAATAACAAGAGTGCGGGCCACGGAGATACGCACCGTTTCCGACCCTTCTTGGGCGGCTCGTCATCCTCGTCAAAGTCGGGAATGATATCGTCCAGGAAGTCGAACAACTCGCGGAGCTCTTCGAGCTTACGGAATTCGTCCTCGCTGAAGTTCTCTAGCTGCCGCTCGTACTTCTTCGAGAGCGCAGCATCGAACTTTACCAACGCATTCTTCGCAGCAGTATCCCGTGGTGGGCGTCGCTGTATAATCCATTAGCATGACAAATGATGAATGGTCTTCTCTGAGATGACAACGCACCGAACGGAGGTTGGTCAGTAGAAGCTTGAGGACACGGACTTTGTCGTCGTCCACCTCGTCGGGCAGGTAGAGCTTCCCGAGCATCTGACAGAGCGCCTTCTTGTCCTCCTCTACATCCAGACACGTCTAGTCAGCAAACTGCGGCTACTTTGCGATACGAGGAAAGATTTGGAGCTTACTGTCGTAATCGACGCTGAACAGCGCCTTGATGACATCCGTCGCGAGGTCGAGGTGGATCGGGTCCTTCTCGCTGTCCTTCCGCAGCCCCTTCGCCGCATCCCTGTAATACAAACATGATCAGCGGGCAAGCAGGACCGCAATTACGATGGACAACACACGCAGCACGAATAGGGTCCGTCCAGTCGACGAACATCAGCGCAACCTGAGCGGGAGTTACCATGTCCTCGTCGCCGTCCCAGTCGTGGAAGGCCTTGGTAAGACGCTCGTACAGCGGGACAAAAATCTGTCCATGAATGTGAGAATGGCCCAATGAAGAATGGACAAGTGGAAATGACAGACCTTACGCATGCGCTGCTGGTTCGTGGGCGAAGAGTACGAATAGACAGGGAAGAAGTAGGAAAGGCATTGACGCAGTTCCTGGTTCGACGCCGTCTCGGGCGAGATGAACACGAGCACCAACGTCTGCAAGACCTATAAAGATCCTGTTAGTACCCCATGACATTACATTCTGTTGGCTCGACTTACCCGCTCATCCGTGACCATACCCGACAGCATCAGCTTGGCGATACCGACAACAAGCAACGCCTGCACGCGCTCCGCCTCCTCAGCCTCCAGCAGCTGCAGCAGAAACTCAACGATCTTCTCTCCATTGGGGCTCCCCGGGCCGAGGAACGCGCCCTCATGCACCATGAGGATGTCGAAGATGATCTGCAGCACGCGGACCTTGAGGACCTCTGGGGCGGACTGTACCTGGCTCAGGAAGAGCTGGAACGAGCTCAGCGCCATGCGCTGTGAGAGAGGCCGGCTTGAGAGCGGTATTCCGGGAGGTTGAAGAGACGGGGGACGTACCCGTGCGATGAGGCAGCAGAGGCCCAAGCTGATGAGGCCTTTCTCGCGGAGCGCCATCTCGCGCCGCTTGACCGCGGGGATGATCAGCTCGCCGAGGATACCTTCCAGTGTCGAGTTCTCCTCGAAGGTCTGCGACAGACTCTATCAGTAAAAAATCAGACAAAAAAGTAGAAGTAATTATACTCCATTGACGCGTTCCAGCATCCCAATACAGAGCGCCAAACACCTGAGGTCCACCGCATCCGTGCGTGCCTTCTCCTCGGGTGACATTTCAGCCACTGGCTTGGGTAGGTGGGCAACCCTCTGTGGCCTGCGTGGTGAACCCATTTCGGTCTCTGTGTCATCGATATCGTCCTTCACGGTGGTCTCGCCTTCGGGCTCGCTCGGATCGCGCAGCTCGTGCACAACCTCAACCACGACACGGATAAGGTCACGCTCGCTTGGGGAGAGTATCCGCAGCACGTCGAGACAACGTGCGAGGAGTGCCTCCGGTAGGACATCCTGGGACAGCATCCCCTGCACGAGCTGGAACATCTTCCGCCGCCCGATTTCGTCGCCGTAGTCGAGGTTGACTGCGAGCCGGAGCAGCTCGCCGATCGCGAACTCCTGGTCCAAACGCGACTCTTCGCGCCGCGACCGTTCGTCCTCGTCGGCGTCGTCGAGTCCGCTCTCGGCACGCACGACGTCTTCCTCGACGTGTTGCACAAGGGCGTTGTACGCGTCCTGAATCCGGAAGGCCATTGCGGTTACGACGGGAAGCGTTGTGTCCATCTTGTGCGCGTCCGTCTTTGCGATACATTTGTCGATAAAGACCCGTGCGAGGAATGCACGCTCAGGAGTGATAGTGTTCCAGTAACCCTCTGTATGCGGTTAGTTATCACGTAGGGTACTGTGCCAGAACTCTCATACCAAGGAATTCGATGTGCTCGTAGATATCCATGCGCACGTCCAGCACGTTCGACAGCGCATCCTCTGCAATCGTGTCCTCCGTAAGGTCAAACAGCTTCAGGAACGCGACCATGTCTTCGATGATAGCATCCGACTTGTCGGTGTCTTCTTTCTTTGCCCCGTCTGAACGCACAACATCAACCCAGGCCCCTAGCAAATTCCGCGCGGCGGCCTTAACCGACTCCTCGCGGTCGCCGAGACCGTTGCGAACGATCATCTCGCGCTGAGCGATTGTAAGTGCGCGTGGGTGAGTGAAGCCAACGGTGGACGCGGGTCCACGGTCGGTCGGGAGACAGTACTTCTCAAGCACGTTGGTGTAGACCAGTTTGCGGATGGAGGGTTCGACGTCACGAGAACGTCCGAGGAGGGCGGTTAGCGTTTGAGGGTTCGGGGGAAGGTTTACCAGGGCTGCGCGGCGGACGTCCCTGTATAGACATCAGCCGCCCGTGTGACCAAAACATGGATAAGTAACGTACGACGACGTATCGTAAGCCATGGCATCGAGAATAGTCTCGAGGATGCTCGGCTCGCCCTCATCCAGCTCGGAGGGGTCCTCGGAGTAGGAGAGCTTCGTGAGAGCAATCACGGCCTGCATCCGGACAGTGGGCTCCTTGTCTCGGAGACGGTCAAGGAGAGTGGCTCGGAGGTTAGTATAGAGGTCCTCGCTGTGCTACAAGTCAGTGGGGTTCCAAGGGAGGTAAGACTTGACTTACTCAATCTCACCCAGGTGAGAGATAGTGTCGGCTATGCACTGTATGACGCGATACCGAACGACCTTGTCCTTGGCGGTGCAGCCCTTGAGGAGGAAGTGGACGAGATGTGATAGGAAGCGCTCCGGGATGGTATCCTCGTCCTCGTCGAGATTATTCTTCTTCCGTTCCTCTGCGTCTGTAGGAGCATGAGATTAGCAGGGTGGCCAAGGTTATACGTGTTTTTGTACGCGTGAAGCCATCAGCTTTCGCACCAGACCCGCGACCGGGCAAGAGGTTTGCCAGTCCTTCAGGATTGATGACCCAACACCCAGGGTATCTATGACCCCACAGATACTGTGTCCAAACATCCATATATACCGGGGTGAAACTGACGATCCGCCCAGATGTCTTACACCAAACGTACCGCAAGGGAATGTTCCGGACGCGCGACGCCTTACGCCCACTCGGACCACCAGCTAGTTTAGGACCAAGTTTCGCGTCGAAATAAGAGAATTACCCGATTCTAGATGGGCCTCACAAAGCGCATGTATGCCTTGCACACGATCCAGCACAGAACACGACATGTCGTAGGCCGCTATGCAAGACATCTTAGAGTACTGCCGGGGGTCCTAGGTTGAAGGGACTATGTTCCAGATAGCCACGACGGTGGGCAATGTATGACTCTCGCAGGCAGGACGGCGAAAGCAGGCAGGCCAATTTCCACAACCCCATGATACAACACAGACCACACCTTCAAGAGGAGATTCCGGAGGCGGCCCAGAGGAGGCTACGGGATGAAAGACGTACTCTTCTCGGTAATGAACTTGGTGTAGCCTGCGATGAACTTCACGGTCCTGTCCGCGACGCTGGTGCCCTTCTTGAGGGGTAGGACACGCATAATCATGTCGTGGAAGACATCTTCAAAGGTGCGCTCTCCTGTGAGCTTCAGGCTCTTGTTGTTCTGGACGGCCTCGGTGATGGCGGCGGCATCAGAGTGTAGTTTGTAAAGTGCAACGAAGTTCTTCTGGTGGTTGGCGGCGGTAGTCTGGGCCTGGTCGAATATCTTTGGTAGAGCCTCCTTTAGCGAGTCAAGGTTAAACGGAGCAGGTGTGCGTGCGGGCATGGTGCCCTAGAGTGAGCGGGAGAAGGAGAAGGAGCGCAGAGAGGTGAACCGAACTGAACGGACAAAGTCCGGGTCGCGTCGCGCGGCTTGCGTGACAGAAGGCGCACGTGAGCGCGACAGGCGTGACGGCCTCGTGTCTACCGAACCACCTCAGATCGGGCCATGCATTCGCTTCGAAACTGACAGGAAGCTTCTGGCCGATGTCTGGCCATATCATCTTCACAAAAAGTGGGACAATCGGTCACAGAACCAACTTGAATCGCGATCAGCGACAGCGCCCTTTTCGAAGCCCTGGACCTCCTCCCCACCTCGTCCTCGCCGCTCGCCGCCAGTACACTAGGTGTAAAGAGTCTATGTCTATATTTACATACCGATGAGTATGAAATATTACTATATCTTTGCACAGTAACGTCGAGCGGCATCGCAAAACCCAGACTCGTCCGCTATATGTCACACGGAGTTGGTGCCCGATCGGCTACACAAGTACTGGCGATCGTTTCCCTACGCCCGGTTCCGGGACGTCGACTGACAGCGGACAAACCTGCCTCCGAGCACGCCGATACATGACGTGAAGGCATCTAGAAGGTATAAAGAAGCTGGTCAGCAAGGTATATAAAGCTACCCCCCGGACATCCAAACTCACCCAATTTCCGACTCCCTAGCATAACGCTAGCTGCCCCGCCCCACCTGCCCCCACGCACAACTATGTCTCAGTCCTCCTCGTCGCCCAAGGCATCTGAGTCCATCCCATGGGCTCGCCCTCCCTTACCGGTGTTCCCGCGCCCAAGAAACAGAATGCCTCGACCACTGGCTACACAGTCAAGGCCCTGGGTAGGAGCAACTTCAAGAATGGCGCTAGGCTCGGGGAAACGTCGCGCAGTGAGTGTGACACCCAGGGCACGTGAGCGCGACGGGCGTGATGCCTCGTGACTGCCGCGAGTCCACCGCGTTTTGGAGGGTGCGAGGACGGCGGCTGCGAGGAACCATGGAGTCGATCTCTGTCTGGCCTCTGCACTCTCTCGTCACGACCCCGACATGGCCACTTCACAGCATGTCCACGACCCTCGTCGCCCCCAGAGACTCGCTCAGCAGCCTCTGCTCGACGAGCCCGTCCAAGTCGCCCCCTATCTCACCCATGTCGTCGCACACCATGGGCAGCTCACCCTCGTCCCGCCTCAGAACGCAGGGAGGATCAGGAAGACGAAGTCCGCGAAGAAGAAGAGGCAGCCTTCGACCAGAGACAGGCGACTTGACGACGAAGAGCCTCGTTTTACGACCGCTGTCCCCGCTTCGTCCTCGCGCAAACTCCATCCCGCCCCCGCTCACATTCGTACGAGGAAGCATGCCATATCAGCGCCTTCTCCGACAACCCCGACTACCCCGGGAAGACACGATCCTATCCCGGATGGTGTGTATTATCCCGCTTCGCCGAACGCTCACGCTCACGAGTAGTTGCAGACCAGTCCATACCGGACTACCCCCCTCCCTCGTTTGAGGACGCCATAGCATCTCCACACGTGCCGCCTCATCTTTCGTCTATAGCGTCATCGCACAGCCCTAGTACGCTGTCTAATCCGGCTACCACCTCTCCACCACCTTCTCAGCATCCATACGCATCCCATGTACCATCGACATCTTCTGCCACTCTCTTGTCCTCGGCAACCGCATACCATGACTCCCCTGCTGCCTCACAGCTATCTCTTGCGAGACCTACCAATACATATCCCGCTCTTGATCCTCAGTACCCGCTCCTTCGCCCGGCCGCTGCCTCGAGCGCAACACTACTGTCCCCGACGGTCACTACCTCGGATTCGACTGCTCTCTCCGACATGCCTCTCTTGCGCCCTCCGCGGGCGCGACCAGTGTCTTCGCCTTTGGTACCGTCGACTGTACGACCAGTCCCTTCGAGCCCTATTCGCTTAACGTCGCCATCCACAACTACCCTCATATCTTCCGCTACTGCCGTTCGGGACTCTCCTGCTCCGCCGCAAGTAACGCTCTCAAGTCCGCAGCATTCGATCGACTCCGAATCTGACTTGGAGCCCGAGAGTCCTCTAGTGGAACCTCTTAGTCCGCTGTCCTCACCATCATCACCACACCCACATTATCGCGGGTCGATCTCGACGGTTTCCGACGTAGTCGAGGAGCTCACGTTTGAGCCTTACCAGCGCTGGTCAGCCGACCGCCGCCTCGGGTTTTCTCTCGAGCAGCGTGTGCAACGCGAGTTCGACCGTCGGAAGACCAGCGAGGCCAGACAAGCATCCGGACTCCCCGCACGCGCCGCGGATCCCGAGGCCCATATTGCGAGCGCCTCCGCCACACCCAACAGCTCGATGCCCTCTACACCGCCCGGTAGCCCTGGTCCGTTTACGCGCCGCCGTTGCTCCCATTGCGGGTCGGTGAAGCGTCGCTGCGGCGATACGCAGACAATAAACGAGCACAGCGGGGAAGACTCTGACAACGAGGACCTTGATGAGGACGACGATGACACGCACTTCTCTGCCGCGGGTCACACCAGCTCGCTCCCGCTGCCACGCGGCCGCGGCCAGTCCCCGTACCTCCATCCAGGCCCGGGGAATGCCCGCACGCGTACTCGCCTAGGTTCGCATTCGCCAGAGCCAGGGAGCCCGCTTTCGCCGAGCGTGTCGTTCTTCAAGATGCCGAGCGCGTGGGCCAGCAGCGTTACGCTCTCGCTGGCGACCGTCCTCGGGCCACACAAGTCTCCTCCCTCGACTTCGAGCACGTCGACAGCCGCGTCTAGTCCGCCACCTATGTCCACGACGAATTTGTTGCTAGGCGCAAACCTGAAGCGCAAGGAGAGTTTTGGGGTGAAGCGTCTCTTTGGCTCATTGAAGGGGAAGGAGCGCGAACGGGAACGGCAACGCGAGCAAGAGTACGCCCAGCTCCCGCTCCGACCGTCCTCCACTTCGATTTCATCTTCTGAGTCTACAACGGAGTCCGTTGATGGCTGGGAGGTCGTCGGCAGCGACAGCCCAAGTCCAAGCCCGAGCCCGCAATCATCTAGGACCAGCCCCGCGCCGACTTCGCCGACGTCTGCCTCTCCAGTATCGCCCGCGCGCTTATCACCAGAGGCGTCTTCGCCCACCTCAGAAAGCGCCCGCGCAGCAGGGGCGTTCCTCAACCGTCCCGTGCGCCACCGTCCAGCCACGCTCCCGCTCACCGACAACGCGACGTCGACCATGTCCCCTGTTACCCCCCACCCTGCTACTCCTACTTCGCCTTCCATGTCTCACGCAGCTGCGGTGGCGGCGGCGCGGCCGTATCCTCCGGAGAAATCGCCCCTCCGCCTAATCGCGAGCGCGAACCATCTCCGGCAGACGCATGCCCAGGCGCTGCACTCGCCTGTTTCCACATCCCCTGTCGCGACGACCCCGCGCGCGCTGCGCCCTTCGCCCTCTGTCATTTGGAAAGCCCCTGCTGGCGCGGGTACGCCGGGAGGGCAGAACTCGCCCGTCCAGCGCTCCCCACTGTCTCAGTCGCCCTACCAACGCCAGCCTCAGCACCAGCAACAGGCTCCATCACTGGCTTATGCCTCAAGTCAGTTTCAACAGACACCGCAAGCACCGGCGGGGCCACGCGCGTCGCCCTCCGCTGCGCCCACTCCCGCTCCTAGTTCGCCCGCCCGTACGATGATTGCCATATCTGAGACGTCCAGTCCGCTCGTTCGGAGCGCACCCACCCTGCGCGAGACCGTGCTCAGTTCTGCAACTAGCCCGCCAAGCACCCCTCTCCGGCGCCGTCGGGCGATCACCCCGCCGCCTACTCACCGTCGAGTTATGCTCGCTTGTGACACGAGTGCAACTACGACACCCGAGCGAGTACCAGTCTCCCATGATGCGGAAATTGTAGTCGAAGAGGGCGTCGGCGAGGTGGGCGAACCCTCGAACGTCCCGGAAAGTCTTTCCATCGAACAGCTGTTCGACCGTGAGGCGCCACGCGCGCCGACGCCTATGCGCACCCCCACCACGCCCTCGCGCGCCGCGTTTGCGATGCCCGCGACGCCTGTTACGCCGGGGTCGACACCGACGACACCGACGTTCGGACCCGGTGGGAGTCAGCACTATCGCGGACGGCCGCTCCCCCAGCCCCCAGCAGAACGAGACGGGGAGGCGAATGCGCTCCCACTACCAGTAAAGCGGATCTCGGATGGCGCGCCTGTGAACCGCATGCCCGAAGTGCAAGTGGCAGGGGGAGAGGAAGTTCCTCCACCTCCGCCCCCGCCTGCTGTTCAGCCTACAACCTCCTCAGTATTCATGTCGGTCACCGCTGCGCCATCACCAGCATCCGTACCTGTGGTTTTGCCTGCAGCTGCTCCCGTGGCGCCGTCGCCCCAGATGGAGCGCTCGGATTCCGGAGACAGTGTGGTGGAAGACGCACGTGCAGCAGAGGGCCCACGGCCAGAGTTTCTGGAGATCACCGATTTGGACGTGCTCGCGTCGCGTCTCGTTGAAGGCCAGCGGGATGGACGGAACTACGAGGTATGTCTTTCCACATCTGGCTGCCTCTCTCCAGGCCTGTAGCTCACCACATCCTCACTTAGGACCTCCTGCTCGTGTCCGAAATCATAGGCCCAGCCGCGAACGCCTCCGCACCCTCATCTGCGACCACCCCAGCGACGGTGCAGGCGCTCACGCGGCGCTCGGAGAAGGCGACGATTCCGTACATCGGCACGGTCGAGATCGAGCGGCGGCGCGTGCTCAAGGACGGCCGCGTGAAGCTCAAGCTGTCCCTGCTTGGCGTCGCGGTGGACCGCTGTGGGGTGTGCCTGTCGCAGTTCAGACGCGGGGAGCGGGGCGCGCTTACGCCCGTGTGCAAGCATTCGTGAGTGAAGTCATCGCGTAGTGTAGAGGGATAGAACGTTGAGCTGAACATGGTCGGCTACATACAGGTTCCACGAGGCATGCCTCCGTCGCTGGCTGCGTACTGCGGGCGTGTGCCCCATCTGCCGCATGGTCCTCTCCATGGACGACTAGGAAGCCTGGACTTCCAGCATGCTCTTCACTCCTTTTGTGCCATCCTTCCAGCCGCCTCTCCTTGCTGTCTCGCCTCCGTCGCTTTGGCTCGACGGATCTGCTTTCGTAGAACTGTAGCGTTATGTTGTACTTTGCGTCTTCTTGCATATGTTGTGGTGTGTGTTTGTAGAATCTTACTGGGTTGTTGGGCGTCTGCCACTGGTGGGCTATTGCTCCCCATGTGCTGTGCTGCGCCGTGGACGCGTTTTGTTTAATCATATCTGCGCAGCACATAACAGCCTTGTGTCTTTCTTGGTCAAGGCGTTTGATCAATCTCGACGTCTGTACACGAAGACCCCTGCCTGGATACGCGAAACCCCTAACATCCTTATTCCCTAGAAGAGCAGCGCGCCATGGACCGTGGTTTACACCACGGACACGACGACCGTGCTCATATTGAACATCGGGACGTTGTTCGCCTGCATACCCAGGTAAGCACCTCACTCCGCTGCACACCCGCTTAAGAGTAAAATCACTCACTCCGACCGCCTGCAGGTGCCCGAGACTGAACACGCTGTTGCCGAAGGCCCCCTCAGGGATCTGGAACGTGAAGTCCTGGAACAGCCCCTTCTGCGGCTGGTTCGGGTCGTGTGCCGGCGTGAACGCGCCGGCGAACACGACGTTGGGGCCCACGCCGTCGGTGGCGGGATCGAACGTCGAGCAGTCCCCGCCGGGGCACGAGCGGAAGCCGATGAGGGCGGCGACTTGCATGTCGTTAGTCGCAGCCTCCTGTGGACCGGCGAGCGGCGTTAGCATGCGACTCGTGAGCATGGGAAGTTGGGTATGGAGCTCACGGCCTGCTGGACCTCGACGGTGACCGTGCTGCCGGCGAAGAGGACACTGCCTGCGGTGGGGGAGACGATGGTCGCCTGTTGGGCGAGAACAGAAAGCGCGAGCGAAGTGAGGACGAAGAAGCTCTTCATCGTGTTTGCGAGCTCGAGGGTGTGTTCTGAGCACTGTCTTTGAGTGCGCTGAGGCCATCTCCCTCGCCGTCGGTGTGTTTATATAGTGCCCAGTCGAGTCCTAACCTTTGAACGCGCCTAGCCCTCATAGGTAGACCGTTATTGTTCAGGGACATTGGATGACAAGAGCCGGGGAGGTCGAAGCTGGGTGTGTGCCCTTGACAGATGGCCGGTCGAAACCACACGGTATAGTAACATCTCGAAGTCCAGTGCGTCATGCATCATGTACGCAATTTAGCACCCATAGAAAGGTAGCAGTAGCAAGCAGGTGTACCGTTTAGCTGGATGCTCATCCACCACTAGGATTGACCGCTGTATATAGCAGCGATTTCTTCCGTTGTGAACGCGCCCGGCAATCCCCTGCCGGTTGTTTGAACGGGACCAATACCGACACACTTTAATTAACCCTGAGTTCAATGAGCGTAACCTACGACTACGTCACCCTCCGATCTGATCAGTTCTTCCCTTCTTGCCAATGGTTCTCATCCCCGGTACCGCAGCATGGCACGCACGCCTTTGGCAATATTTTGAAGGCAGCAATTCGTATACTGAGGATGCGTTCTCAGTCGAGCCCGTTGAAGCCTGATGGCTCGCATGCTCTGGTGGCCATGGTTGATTTGATAACATGTTCATAGCGCGTGGTATATAGTACAGGTCATGCAATGGTTCACAGTGCGAGAGCGATAAGTTCGGGATGTTACGTCTACCAGGCGGCCTTCGCGACAAGGGACTAATTTGCTCGTCAGCGAGTGGACCACAGACAGAAATACATTGTGCACTCACGTTCGGATACGTTCTCACGAGCAGCTTCCTGCCCTCGTCCATGGCCAAGATACCCACCGCAAACGCGAACGGAATGCCCCAGAACATACCCGGGACAGGGGTGGTGTCGAACACCCTCTGAAGCCCAGGTCCGTATATGTTGATCACCGCTATGATCGCGGTGGCGACCATCCCGACGGGGACGACCAGGTTGCGGCGTGGGCCCCACAAGGGATTTGATTGAAGGATCGAGACCCGGCGGTTGCGCACTGCCAAGAGGCCGCCGTACTGCATGAAGACGAGGGTCACGTAACTGGACGGAAGGTCAGCGAATGGGAGGTGTAGGCTATATGGAGGTACTTACTAGATGCATTGGCCGACACTGACGAAGTCCGTGAGTTGATCGAGAGTGTACCCGTGGAAGCCCTCGGTCCATTTGTTGTAGACCAGGATGACGTCGTAGAAGCCGAGCCCCTGTTCCTTCATGTATAGGAACCACATGCCCATCGCGCAGGGCCACATCATGAGGCCGATGAACTGAGGATGTGTGAGAAAGGTTTCGCATGTTGGGTAGCGGAAGTCGTGCTTACCAGGTACACCTGAACGAAAAAGCGCCAATCGGTCAACCGGTCGGTGCGCGCGTTACGCGGTTTGCGAAGCATAAGATCTGGGAAGTTGCAGTATGAATGGACCGTTCGGACTCAGAGGCAATCTGTCACACGTACCTGCTTCCGGCTTCTCGTACATCAAAGATATTGACATGACGACGTCATTGGTGATACAGAAGCAGACTTGCAGGTAAGAGCTGAGAGCGAGCTGCATGCCGAGGAACGTATTGCAGAATACGGCAACGAACTCGGTATACGAGCCGGCCTGGGTGAAAGAGTTAGTTGGCCCAACGGATGATGCAAGAGTCGAGCGGTGCGTACCGGCATGAGGTAGGTGATGACCTTCTTCAGGTTGTCGAAGACAAGACGTCCCATCTCAATGGCTACCACAATCGACGTGAAATCGTTATTGAGCAGGATCATCGACGCTAGAGCAGTGTCAGCATGCTAATATAGAACCGTGGAGCAACACATACGTACCTGCTTCTTTCGCAACGTCGCTACCGGCACCCATTGCGACTCCGATGTCAGCAGCCTTCAGTGCCGGGGCATCGTTCACGCCATCGCCGGTGACAGCGACGGTGTTATCACCCCTGGCCTTCGTGTTCTCCACGATGCGCAGCTTCTGCTCCGGCGTTGTGCGAGCGAAGACGATTTCCGTGTAGCTGCCCACGACCGAGTTCCAATCGGCGTCCTGGAGGGACTCGATGTCGTCGCCGGTGAGGACGAGCGCGCGCTCGCCCTCTTCCTCCAGAGGCTTCATTTCCGAGGCCTTGAGCGTCTGGAATCGCTTCGTGGACGCGGACGCACGCAGGTCCTGAAGCGTGTCTACTTTTTCCTGAGTGATGATGCCGACCTGCACAGGTGCTCTGTTAGCGACGCGAAGATACAAGCACAAGATTAGACGCACCTGACGAGCGATAGCCACGGCCGTGAGCTTGAAGTCGCCCGTGACCATGAAGACCCGAACACCTGCACGGCGGATGGTCGCGACCGCGCCCGGCACGTCCGGCCTGGGAGGGTCGCGGATGCCGACCAGACCGACGAGCGTGAGCCCGCGCATCTGAGTGTTCATAAGCTCCTCCAGGTCGTTCGCAGACATGCCCGGCTCGATTGCGAGCGCGTCAAGCGACCGGCGGCAAAGCGCGAGGACGCGCTGGCCCTCGCTGCTCCAGCGCTCCTGGATGCCGAAGATCTCGGTGCGGAGTGCCTGGGTGAGGGGAACGACTGTGCCGTCGGCCTGCATGACCTCGGTGCACTTGCGTGAGAGGACATCCGGAGCGCCCTTGACGAGCATCCAGGTCGAGTGGTCGGCCTTCGTGTCGGGCGTTGGGCGAGGCCGGATGGCAGTGAGCATCCACTTGTTCTTCGAGTTGAAGGGAATCTCGAAGAACTTCACGTAGTTGTCGGGCAGGGCGGGCTCGCTCGTTGCGGAAAGAGTCTCGGCGAAGCGGAGCACGGCGGTGTCGGTCGCGTCACCCTTCACTTGGCGCTCCTCGATGGGGAGGTGGGCGGTGGCGGAGTCGAACTTTGCACCGTTGCAGAGGCGAGCGACCATGAGGATAGCCTTGGGTGCGGACGAAGGGGTGCCTTCCACAGAAAGCCGCTCCTTGATTCCCTGTACACCGAGTTCGGCATCGACGAAAGCGACGTTTTGGACGGACTGTGGCAGGTGGTTAGGCGGTGAACATCACACTCAAGTAAAGAATGACGACTTGCCATCTTGCCCATGGTGAGTGTACCGGTCTTGTCAGAGCACAACACGGACATGCACCCGAGCGTCTCGATAGTCGCGAGGTTCTTCACCAGGACGTTCCGCTTCGCCATGCGCTTGGCGACAATAGTCAATGAAAGCGCAACACAGACCGGGAGGCCCTGCGTGCACGATCAGACAATGTGCGCATAGTCAGTATACGGCGTGGCCTGCATACCTGAGGGACGAACGCCGTCAAGCAACCGATCGAGTTCACGATCGCCTGGCTCGCGGTCTCGAACCCCGGGAAGCTCTTCCGCAGCCAGGCCGCCCACACGATGAGCGCGACGCAGAAGAGGCCGAGCGCCAGCGTCGAGATGATCTTCGTGAAGTACCAGATCTCGCGCTGGACCGTCGTGAGCTCCATCTTCGTCTTGCCCGACATCGCGACGATGCGGCCCATCACGGTCTTGTCGCCGACCGCGAACACGACACCGGTGCAGCTGCCCTGAACGACGAAGGTGGAGGTGAGCGCGAGGTTGCGCGTCTCGAGGGCGTTGTTGGAGGTCATGTCGAGGGTTCCAGCGATCATATCACTGCCGGCAGGTCAGCATGTGTCGCAATGAGGTCTGGGGAAATATTCACCTCTCGCCAGTGAGTAATGAGCGGTCGAACCGCACATCGTTGGAGATCTGGACGAGGCGAAGGTCCGCAGGGACACGATCGCCCATCGCGAGCGTCACGACGTCACCAACGACAAGGTCTCTGGCGGGTATTGTCTGGTGTTCACCGTTGCGGATGACGGAAGCATCCTCCGCGATAAGCGTCTTGATCGAGTTCATGATGCGGGATGCATGCCAGTCGACCAGAGCGTAAAAGGTCGAAGAAATGATGATGACTAGGAGCTGTAGCGGATATATTCAGTACGGAAGTGCGATCGCTGAGAAGCGGCAGACTCACCAATAGAACGGCAACACCGAGGTTGAATACGGCAGGATCGGAGCCACCGAGCGGCTCATACGATAGCTGCGGGCCGCGATAAATGAGACTGCGTAAAAGACAAAGCGGTGGCACATACGACGGTGACGATGAAAGCAATCCACATCAAGAAGTTGAAGCCACCAAAGACGTAGTTGAGGCCCTTCTTCCAGTACTGCGTCGGCGGGGAGGAGATGACGTTCTTGCCGGCTTTAGAGCGACGCTCGATGGCATCCTTCTCCAGACCAAGGCTGGGAGACGTCGAGAAGCGGGTGTAGACCTCGTCCACGGAGAGCCCGTGAACATCGATCTGCCTCAGAGCGGTGGCGGGATCGGCCGTCTTTGCCTCCACGGGCTTCTGCTTCCCATCCACATAGGAGTCGACGTGGAGGGAGAGGGTACGATACCTAGGCAGCGATGTCAGCGACTATGCAGCGACGAGCGTGTGCCAACCACGTACTGAATTTGTATCTCATGGCCCCGGGGTCTATGAGCGTGGACGGGGGCGGGAGCCCTGGAGAATGTCGTCGACAGTACACCCTCCTTGTCAGTATCCGAGGACGAGGACGAAGGCATGGTGGGCGAACGATGGGAGACGATGGGAGGATATGCGCCAAAATTTGCGATATTTATATGGGCGGGCTCCTATCCCGGGCAGGCTCGAGGACGGCCGCGGTGACGGCGGACATGGTGAAATAAGGTCCTGCGCGGTTTACGCTATTCCTCAGTACGGGCGCGCGCGATGCTGTCAATCAGGTCCGTGCGCGCGTTCGACCGGGAGGTTCTGTGCGCAGCCTGTCCGGATGCGAGCAGCTCGGCGGCGGCGGTGCGCTGTACCCCTGAACATTGGTGAATTTTGCACGGCGCAAACATGCGAACACTCACCACCACCGACGTCAAGGACCGTTTTTCAGCTGTTTGTACGCAAATCGACCGTCACCGTCGGTATCGCACAGCCGCCTGAGGCCCGAACATTCTTGGGATACCATCTGTGGCGGATCCTGCGCTGTTTTCGCTATTCCCTCTCCCTAAAAAATGACGAAAGCGCTTGATCGGATTCTTATCGCTTTAACGTAGACTTCAGTCGTGTGTCCACCGGCAATACCGGTCAGGCAGGGTCGGGTTCCGTCCACCACGGTGCGTATCCAACCTCGCCGCCGTCGCAGGCATGGCGCGCCGTATTGACGATATTGCTTCACTGGAGACGTTTCAGCTATCGACATGCTATGTATGGGTGGGAAAGCAGGCACAGACGCTTCTTTTTCATTGGCGTGGCATGCTCCGAGGGTTTCCATTGTGTGCGTCGCCAAAGACGCGGAGTACCCAAGAGGCACTCAGAAATTGAACGCACTACTTACGCGGGTTGCAAGAGGCACTCACCGGGAGATGCCGAGACCACGGGTAGTGGCCGGGGGTCCGTAGAGGGCTTAAGTCGATAGGTGGTGTCCCCTTTGGTGACACTAGATTTTCGATACGCAGGGATTTGTGATTGTGGTTCTCGACATCCCGTCAGACTCAACGAACCTACCAAAGATTTACTCTCGACGGTGGACATGATTTGTGTCGAATTTCGCAGTTAACGGGCGTCTAAACTGTCTCGGACCGCTATAAGCACTGAAATGTGGTCAGTAGAGCAAGCTACTCGCTTGTCTAGCAGATCTGTATAGAGCCGCATATGCAGGCGCAAGAACAAATGGCAATTTTGAATGTCGACGGACTTGCGTCGGACAGAGGTCGAGATTTGGATGCCCAGAGTATTTCATTTTGAGCTCTTTGTCAAAAACATACACGGAATTATCATAAATACGGCCCTCCGGGCGGACCTGGCCACGCCACGCGATACATTCGCGTAGACCTCATTACCTGAGCACACGAATAGGGTATGGGATAATTTGGATGAGTAGGGTACATAATACAACGTTTAAATATATGGCCATATATGGCCATACAGTATATATTTGCAGGTTCGAATACAAATGAGCATGGGCCAATGCTCGCGACCAGCAATAGAGGCGGCACGGATTCGATTTCATGCGTTTCTCCACGCATGGCGTGGCACCGGCGTTGACGAGCTTGCGCGGCTGCTTGAGCCCGCACAGGCGGATTATTAACGCCGGCTTGTTCTCCAGCGCGCGGGTGCCCACAACGCGTCCCACGATCCCACGATTTCACGAGCGCGAGCGTGCTGTTCTGCACAAATCGATGCTCGGCGTAGTCCTCCATGAAACGCGGCGGCGGCCGCGCGCACGCGCGTATGGCTTGGCTTGAACACGATGAAGTACGTATTCTTCTCAGCCGCGGGCCGGTGGCAGCTTGTGTAGCGCAGCTTGTGAAAGGTGAGTTTGAGCAGGGGTTTGGCGGGGCCTGTGGTGTCGTCGCCGCCGAGATATTGGTGGATGTAGAGGACT